GAACAGCTGAAAAAAAACATTCCAGATCTGACAATTATACAGGTCTGCTGGCGTATGCTCTGGCGTTGCCTCTTATAAAATAACCGACCATATCCTCGATAACAATTTTTTTCTTGACAATTGCTTTGGCAATTTAGGCGAACACAGAAAGTGAAAAAGAGTGCCAAAGCATTGTGATCGTGTTACTTTCGGCTACGATACAGAGCCACTGTCACTGTTCCCCGCTTTGTTTAGCACGGAGCTGTGTATGGATGGAGGGGGGAGTAATTAGCTTTTTGTTCGCGAAAAAAGAAAAAGGAACTTGTCGTGCACATAAAAAAAAGGCGAGGCAAAAGCGGTAAAACGTTTATGCGGAAAGTGCGAAAAAGAAAAATATATTTTTATTTTGTTTATCATTTTCTTATTTGTGTGTAATAAATAATAAAAAAAAAGTTCGTTTCAATTATCCCAACATATACCGTTGGCATCACATGCACCCGAAGGTTCACGATCGGCTGCCGGAGTATATGACCACATTCCCACTGGTATATATTGCAAATTTTCTTCAGGGCGCGGACCACTGAATCTGCCGATCATCAGAAGAATTATGACAATAGCCAGCACAAGCAATGACCCGATCATGGCACAGAGCAGTGCATCTGTACTACAGATCAAAGCTGTACCAAAACGAACTGAAGAGAAGAGAAAAAAGAAAGGCGAAATTGCTCGCTTTATATAGACATTTTTCTCGTTCGGGACTTCAAATCCCCGTGAATTCTCATTGGCCCAGATAACGGGTTGCGTATCAACTTGTGGGTTGCCTACTATGGCATAACAAAAGATACAGCACCAAAGGAAATGAAAGGAGGAGTGGTACCTGATGGTCAAGTAGACAAGCGTGCTTCGGCGGTAGTGGTACGTGTCTCTCACCATGGGCTGCTGTACCTCCGATGCTGTCGCCGCTTGGTTGTGAGGGGGTCCGTGCACGGCACCGTGTCAAGCGAAAACAAAGACACGAATGTGAATGAGCATGTAGATTCACGGAAGAAATGCTTTTCTGTGAGCAAACAAATGGCAATACAGGAGTGATTGACAAGGTAAACAATTTAACAGATTCTACGGCATCAGTTGCTTAGTAAATATCAAGGACACGATCCTCCCAGCAGCCAGTTTCCATTTCACCCAACAAGATAAACAGTATAAAGCGTAGTCCACAGACGATTCCATTTTGCTAGTATCTTTTGACTGCATGTGCGGTGTGCGGGAATAGATACAACACACACTTGACTCCAACGCTGCAGTGTATCAAAGATCGTTATCTTTTATTGTGAAGCGTGCTTGTCTACTGTTGCTTTATAATTTTCGCCATCCGCCAACAGTTCTCTGAACTACGCCGTGTTACCTCCCTCCATCCATTCCGAATTCATACTCTTTCCAAGTGTGCTGCCGCAGATAAGCTGACCGCTCATGGTAAGTATACGCTGCCGCTAGTGAAACTGACTCACCCTTCATTGATTTTTATTGCTACTGATAAAGTTAATCGGTTCGTTTGTTTTTGTGCGGGTTCTACGTTTTTTTTAGCAGCTTTCAAGATCCATTGGGACGATCAGAAGAATAACGCCATAAACGATGACTTCCTACTGTACATCTTTTGACCCTTTTGCGCGTAACTCGTTGCTCCATTGATCACCTTGTTCACCCGCCATTCCTTTGTGCACTTTGAGTACCAAGTAAATTGGCCAAATCGTTGCGTAACAATGCGCTTTCACTCTACGGAGTTTTCGTTTCAAGGGAAAGCTGTTGGAACGTTCGAGGTTTGACACACGCATCACTTGTCACTATCCAAAGAAGAAAGATCTGTGTTGCGCTCTTCCTGAGCTCCTCGTTCCTAGACTACCTTTGCTTCCTGCTGACTCACGTCAGTACATATCATACTCTGTTGGATGATCTTATTATTAGGTCCTATTATTGGCGGATTTCTGACTATCAGCAATAACACGTGGCGCACCACTTTCTGGTTCTGCTTTGCTTTTGGTGCCCTTGTCGTTATTGTTTCATTCATTTCCCTGCCAGAAACATTTCGTGACAGCAAAAGGTTTGATGTGGAGGAAAAGCTCCCTACAGCAGCAATATCATCAGCAACTATAATAACAGCAGAGACATCATCCACGTCGGTGGACACAGCAACGATCAACAAAAATGAAATCCAGCAACAAGAAACCGAAGCAAGAAAGAAGAAAGTGATTAACCCGCTCCGTCCAATTTTACTGTTATGCTACCCTCACATTTCGTTGACCTCTCTGGCCGCCGGCGTCGCATTTGCGGGTATGTTTACTGTCAAGACCATTGTTCCGACACTGTCTGAACAAAAGCACCACTTCGCTTGGCAAGTAAGTTTGTATTGCAATCCGTACGACATTAACTCCCCATATGAAAGCAGGTGCAAATGTGTGCGCGTAAAAGTATTACTAAACCACTTGTGTTTATTATATAATCCAGGCTTAAGCTATTCAGGTGCAGGTTGCGGCCACTTACTTGGTGCCCTTATTAATGGTCAACTTTCGGATCGATTGCTCTTGTCGTCACGAACCAAACGTGGCGGACGACACAAAGTGGAAGATCGCATCACAATAAATATCTGGCCGTGTTGCTTGATATTTATTCCTGGTAGATTACTACTTTTCGGCTGGAGCATCAATAATAATCTCACCTACTGGTCAGCTATTATTGGTTTCGGCATTCAATGCTTTGGTGTAAACCAAATCACGTCAGCTATGGGTGCCTATTGGTCCGATGCGATACACCCTAGCCAGGCGGCTTCAGCTAATGCAGCAGGAGTCTTTAGCTCGATGGTACTTGGCTGCTGTTTAAGCCTTACTGCTCCTCCAATGATTGACAGAATTGGTTTTGGATACTATTCAGTTTTCCTCGCTGGACTCAGTTGGCTCTCGGCTGGTCTCTTACTTATAGTCAAGCTGTACGGGCAAAGAATCCGTCGTCATTTCGGTTTTGAACAAAATGTAGAACGAAAAGATTGATTTATTGTACAGCTATATCCCTTATTACTGAGTCGAATTACTCGATGGAAAAACAACTGTAATACGTTACTCTATTATACACATTGTGCGTTCGCCTTCACCTTATGTCCGTTACTCTCATAAGGGCTTTGTTTGGCATACTGTAGCTTGCTTATAAATAGAGAAATCATCGCGTATATAAATGGTAAAACATGCAGGTGCGGCATGCATGCACCTCTACACACCCGCAGAAACAGGGGACGTTTAATGGCGGGCTGCATTTACAGTATGTCACGCTTACCATGTAGATATCAGAAAGGATATCTAGGTTCTGTATGTACGTCGAACGATATACACGTACCACTTACGCATCTCTCCATAGTATATGCACTAGATGTACAGAAAACTCTTATAGAAACTACTTGCCATCTCAAGCTTAGTATTATACTGTTTTTTACATTTATGTTCTATCCAGCAAAGGACTTACTGTTTTCTTGGGGTTTAAACAACCTTCATCTTCACATCTACTTGCATGATTCCAGATTTAATGGAGCATCATTTATGCGATAAGACAGCGTCTGAGGACTTACAGTCTTCTTTCCTCCTTTCTTTCTCCTTGAACAGAGAGAAAGGGAGAAGCGATCACATGATTTGTAGATAGCGAGCGTATGGTTGGATATGATGCTTTCCATTGCCAAAGGAAGCATGTACAAATTGCATCAACTGGAGATTGGTGACTCTTATGCAAGAAGTCACAAGGAAGGATACTTCTTATGTGGCAAAGTATATGCGAAATTAGGAAGAAGTTTCACCCAATTAAGAAAACCATCGTATAAAATTTAAAAAAAGTATATGTAAGCTGTTACTCATTTGTATTATAGGCTCAGGTATAACTTACTCATTATCATAATGAAGCAACATTTTCCGTTGAAACATTCTACTAGTTTGAATAACAACGTTCTGTTCAAATTGATTGCTTGCGTATTCATTTCGGCACAGGATGCACGAACGTTGACCATACTCACTATATTAATCATGCGTCAGTGCAGTGGATGAGGGCAACATACTACGCTCCATAACAGGGATTTACATGTTAGTTTGCACTTGTGTTATAACCCTCTCCTATTTACAAGCATGTATCTGAAATACGTAATAGTTATACGTGCTGCATATTATAACGAACGTTGTCTCACGAGTGTCATATGAACGTGAGAACTTAATATGTGTCATAGACACACTATCATATTGTATTAAAAAAGGGGGTTTAGGCAGCATATGTTGTGGAGTGTTTGCTAGTATATGCTATTAGTGACCGTTGAAGAGACTTCGATTTTTGTACATACTGTATTAAAACTTCATAGTATTTCTACTTTGGGACCATGCCACCCATACGAGAAAAAACATTCGAGCTTTCAAGAGCAGTAACACTGTCTTTTCCAACGGCGCAATATATTTAGTGTATATAGAATACCTATAAGAGCTTTGGTAGAGTTATAGGTCATTGTACAGTCAGAATCGTAAACAAGAAGTCTCAGTAAACTGTCGCAATTGCCTATGATGTGTTGTATATAAGCAGAGAAAGGAAGTGGTACAACAGACATTATTTTTACGTCAGAAGAAAGAGCGAGGAGAGAACTAATGATCCAAGTTGTCAGAGTATTTCTGACTTTGTATTATTAGATACGCCAGCCTAGTGATGTCCGTCAACATTACAAGATCGTTCATGTTTGGGTTAGCTTTCATAGTGTCGTTGAGCCTACAACCAACAAGTCAGCCAAACGAGTAAACACAGTGTCATCTGCATAATAATCTAGGAACAGTTAAGTGTTTGCGTAATATACATCTCTACCACCAAAAAATTCGGGCGGGAATAGCAAGAACGTTGAAAAAATCGTCATCTGAAGCAATAACCAATATGCATAAAAACGTGCAAACAGAACTCCTTAAAAACAAAGGATATGCAAAGAAAGAGTTAGTAGAACCTTAGTCGTAAATGGGAAGTAGATGCATCAGAAACAATAATTTAGCTCTTTTCTGCCTATATATATATACATCTGTTCAGGGCACATATATATGTACATTATCGGCATATGCTTCGGTCGAAACATCACACAATATGATCATAGCACTTGGAGTGAATCCCTAATCAGAATCACTATAGCTATGTTAGTAGACCTCTTTTTGGTACTATTACTATTGCCACATTGTTGATGTACCGATCTTGGTAACTTTAACTTAACCACCGAATAAAAGAGAAAAGGATTAGGCCAGTTTTTGAAGATCAAAAAACTGCTCCTCTTTTCTCCTTCATCACTACTATTGTTTCTTTTCTTTAGTTAGCTTGATATGAAAGATGTCAGCAATGACCAAATTTACAGATAATTTTCTCAAACAATACCAAAACACACCACCGCAAGTCATATCCATCGCTATGGCTGCAGGAATTGCACTTTATGGCATGTATCTATTTGATACATATCTAGCAAAACCAACAGGAAGCAAATACAACGAGGACGGAATAACTAGTCAAAAGCCGCCACAAGAGGTTCCTCTCGTACCTGGCGGTCTACCATATTTTGGTAATTTAAAGCTCTCTCCCTCTCGGTTTTTTTATACATGCATCTACTTACGAAGAAGATTGACCGTGAGCCTTTATTAACTTCATGTCGAACAATAGGTCATATATTCCAGCTCCCGAGCGAAATTCCTGCTTTTAAATTTGATGAGTGGCATAGAAAATATGGTCAGTAGCTATAGTAGTAGTAGTCGTGGACTGCCATTTTATGATTCGTATTTCTAAATGCATCGTCACTCACACAACTATACCACTCGGCTGTATGTAATAAAACGGTTGACGAACCCACCTATAGGACCTTTAATCCGTATAAATATGGGTATCAAGTCGTGGATTATTATTGGCGATTCCGATATTGCGAATGACATTCTTAGAGTTAAAGGTGCGATTACTTCTGACCGCCCGTTTCATCTTTTCACATCTCAATATGTTTCACTTGGGAAAAGGTAAACAATTGCAATCACTCCAATACTGATTAAAATGAAGTAAGCATCAAGAAGAAAAGGTATAGTAATATAGCTTTCAATGTAATGTTTATTAGAGGGATGGTGTTTGCTGACGCAGATAAGCGATGGAAACAAAGTCGTGCGATCGGTACGTAGATCTACAAAATTTTGTATCACAAATGACTGCTACATTGTAGTTACCTAAGGCTATTCCATATTCTTTTCACTCTTAATAATAGCACAAAGTCTCTTTGGACCCAAGGGAGTGTCGCGTAAAGTCCACACGTTCAAGCAAGAAGCAGAATGGGTTTCGGAAATGCTTTTAAAGGACACATTGGAAAATGGTCACGTGAATATACTCAAGTCCTTGCAAGTTGGCACACTGAACCTTATCATGCAAACATTCTTCGCGAAAAGAGCAGAGTCATTGGACGACCCCCTGGCAATAACTATGATTGATCTCACTGGGACATCTATTAAACTCAGTGCACCTGATCAAGATATGCCGACATTTCTGCCTGCATTTTCAGCCTTATTCGGCCCGTGGTTTAAGAGTAACGAGAAGGAGATGCGCGAGTTTGTTCACGAAAAACGTGACCCGGTATATTGGCGCTTAATCAGAGAAGCACTTGAGAGCGATGAAGATTGTTTTGTCAAAATCTTATACGAACTCAAGGACGAGAACGAATTAGAAGATGACGACATTCTATTATTTGTTGGTGAGAGGACGTTACATGTTAATGTTTATCATATCGTCGAAGATGCACAACGATAGCATCAAAGTTTATTTTAATATGGCAGCTACGTATACTAATAACTTTGGTTGTTTTTACTAGTCGATATAATTGAAGCTGGAACAGACACAACAGCAATGACACTATCGTGGGCTTTCGTCATACTATCGCATTATAAAGATGTCCAAAAGAGACTCCATACCGAGATCGACAAATTCATTGCTGAGCATGGCCGCTTGCCAGAGTACGAAGAAAGGGAGAACTTTCCATTATTGATTTCTGTGCAGAAAGAATGCATGCGTTATCGAACGACGGTTCCCTCCGGTATTCCACATGAAGTAACGGAAGACTGTAAGTAAACAAATAGCTGGTCGGCTCCTGGCAAAAAGGAAACCTGTTAAGATTACTGATTGGGCAGAATTTACAAGAAGTCGAATATCAAGGATACCTGATACACAAAGGTGCTGTGCTTTTATCTAATACTTACACTTTGAACTTGAGTGAAGCATTGTACGACAAGCCGAGAGAATTTGTTCCGGAACGTTACATGCTGGATCAGCGAACATTAGCTGCTTCAGTAAGCTCAAGTGCCTCACGGGGTCGCGATCAATTTATGTTTGGCTGGGGAAGGTATTATTATATTAAGTAGTTCATGCGCAAATTGAAATTTCTTATTCGGTACTCAAACGTTTTTTTTATTTATTTTTTTGAAAACAAGGCGAACGTGTCCTGGAGTTCATATGGTAATTCGTCTAGCTTACAGATAGTATTTATAAGCATGATATTGACGTTTTTTACTGAGCATGATATAGGCTGATGTAGAGATGTTTTATTTCTGGGTGCGGATCTTGGCAACTTCAATCATTGAGCCAACATTGGACCACCAAGGACAGCCAAGATACCCAGATTTGGATTCTTATCTTGACGGTGGAATTACATCTGCCCCAGGCGATCCATATATTCAAATTGTTGAAAGACCTGATCGACTTATTTAACGACAGTTTTGACCGATTGTCTTTCAAATTTATACTTGTCATACACATTTGCTCCATACTACAATAGCTTCATTCTGAGAGGCTTCTATGGTATATTGAGCTTTAATTTATAAATTGTTTATCTACTGTGCAATTTAGACATCTATTTACAAAAGTACATAGTATCTTTCTATGAAAGATTTTGTGACCGTGTTATATATCCAGGATACAAGTATATTGCCGGTAAAAGAATTGGATTTTCAATCAGAGACTGTATGTTGTGATCTCCACCTTTGTTACACATATTGTATTTTCACACAAATACACTTCAGCTTTAGTTAAAGTGCTAAACAATACCTAGAGGCAGAAATGGGCGTCGTCAAGCTGTATCCTATAAATATATATTCAGGCAGTATGTATACTGCAGAGAGCATTTATATACCTTAGTAAAATGTGTAATACCACGCAGATCACGGATAACGTATCCATCAAAACCATGCAATGCATAAAATAAAAGCCGGGCAAGTTTCTATTGCTTCTTGGACTTTTTGCGATTTGCCAAAAGGGATATTATAATCCATCATAAACCATGTTATTCCTAAATGGAGAAAAAAAGTACGAGTTTTCAACAGCAGGCCTGTCGTTTTCTCCACGGACACCTAGGTAAGTGAAGTGAAAAATTATCATCTTAGTTTTTCTCGAAAAAATAATAATAATAATGTCTGAGGCATCTATCGCATAATTTCCCGCAATTGGAGCTTTCTCCATAAGCAGTATGACATTGTACAAGTAGTACGAATCTAACCTTATCATGCCCATATCAAATGGCGCTGCACCGGATCACCCGCCAACTAGGAAACTGGGATTGGCAATGCTAAATTCCTTACTGGTATGGAGAGAAACTCGGATCTTGTTAAATTGGTTGCCTATGCCCCATTAATTAAGCGCGAAGGTCAAGAGCAATGGAAACTGGTATGTGACATTACTCGTTATATTACATGGGCTCAATAATGAACATGAAAACGGGCAATTATGAAAGAGATTCATCTTTTGGATTTTCATCCAACATGATTCATTTTGATACCGAAAAGGTTTGATTTACACCTTCGTACTATGTCTTTAAGGAATGGAGTAGCAACCGTAAGTCCTCTACTTTAAAAATTTCATTATTACTAATTGTAATTGCTGAAAAATAGTAACTAATCATTTATTATGCTCACTTTGCTGAAAGGTGCCGACACTATTCTTCAAGTTGATCATACCGACGGCGAGTTTGGTCCCTTTTATTGGGTGGTTGGATCTAACAAGGATACTAAGCAAGTCTTCATCAAGGTTGCCAACATCCGAGACACTGAGCAAATTGTCAGCATCAATCTCAAGAGCTTGGCTGCGAACACAGAAGGTGTTGCACGTGTTATTACAGGCGACTGCTTGGACCTTGAGAACAGCAATGAATCCACCGCTGTCAAGACTGATGAATCGGTCTTCAAGCTGTACAGCAAGAGTGATTTTGAGTACACATTTGCTGCCCATTCCGCCACCGTACTCATCCTTCAGATTCAATAAATGAGAATACGTGCAAGGCTTAGAATAAAATATTCCAGCCAACATAATTATCTACTGCCCCACCACCTCAATCTGCTATTATATGTATACTCATTATCGCTGTACTATTGTTAGTTATCAAGTAGGTTTTAAAAGAAAGTACAGGATTGCATCATAAGGATGTCATTTCATAACCTAATCATAAAATTATAAACAGTTTTACAACGTTGTCCCACTTAATAATACCTCACCATAAAAAAAGTTATCAAGTGAATATGTTCGTATCTGATGCAGTGTGACATTGCTCATAGGATGCATGGCACAAGACTGCTATACATTGTTGTCTTTATATTCATAAACATATGAACTAGAAGCAAAGTGAAAGCGAGAAAAAAACTATGTATCACGACAGGAAACTATTACAGCCGATAGTACACATACACCATTTACATACCTCCTGCAGAATTCCGGCCCTTACTAAATTCACAATTGTATTATGCTTCCCACTGGCATATTACTTATCTCAATTTCAGGTATTTAGAAAACGTCAATTCAGTTTGATTACAGTAATTAGATTAATCACCTACTGGTTGATGCGAAATTCTGTGACAATAGAGGTATACGCATAATATTACAAGCAGGTCGCTGTTCTTATGATACTTGCATGTAAGCGATGCGCTAATAGCCTAGTATTGGATTCGAAATAAAATAAATTTTCTCACGCATGCAGTAAGAAGTCAAGTATTTTTGAGTCATTGATGACCTCGCAGCCTGAGCGTGTCATGAGTCCACATGTACGCTTGTCGCTCTTGCTGATTTGAACTCATTACCCGTTCCGTTATCAAACTGCTGCTGTCACTACGGTTTACATATATATTTCGAAGTTTTATATTCTATGTTTCCTAATACAGTAGACCTTGCAAGCAATGCATTACTATGCTCTCATGATGATATACTATTGAAACTTCTGAGTTCCCATGACTACAATAATCATATCCTTGTCATGCATTTTTGGCGACTCTATACAGGTTCATCATACAGTGTCTCCTGCTAATATTTCATGGTGTGATTATATTTGCACAAACAACATATGGATGCAATCGGCTTCTGTTGCGGCATCGGCTCAACTACAATTAATGCAACTGGATAAATCACTCTGCATATACACTTCGTTCGTATCCTTCTTTTTTTTTCGGTATACTACTTATTCAAACCATGTATCCTTTGAAATCTTATCATTTTCAGACGTCACTCAGACTCAATTAAATTTGCTGAGCACCCCAACCACAGCAGGTATATATCTTCACCTTTTTCACGGCTTCTGCTGTTGGTACAATTTTCTCGTTTCAAAAAAAAGGTCTCTTTAATTCTTCAACAAAAAAGTAAATTTACTTACCAACTTTCCTCGCCTAATTGGCTGCTTTGTTTCTCTTTCGCTATAGGAAAATAATTCATCGCTGTCACTGCTATTCGCATAAAGCCTTTGATTAATCTGACGTAAAAGATATCATGCATATCAGTGTAGCTCAAAATCCGATTTCATCAAAAACGAAGCCTCTAATTACAGCCACCTCGACAGCGGAGCATCGTATTGAACGTTCTACTGACTCCTCCACTATCGACAGCGACGCTCAGAATGGCAAGGACGACGTAATTCATGAGGCGATCAAGAAAAAACTCGCCACAGTTGCTCTCGATAATAAATTCGGCCAAGATGATTGCTTTTATATCGTGGACCTAGGGCAGTTGCATCGCCAGTATTTGAGATGGAAAAAGTGCTTTCCAAAAATTAAGCCGTATTATGGTGTGCTACTTTCTTTTCTCCTTAATCACCGTCGCTCTAGATGTCGAGAAAGAATGTAATTCGTCCTGGCTAACTGATTTTTTATTCTCGTCGTATATGTGATGTTGCTGCACTCTTTACCACTATACAATAGCTGTCAAGTGTAATCCAGACCCGAGAATCATACAGTACCTAGCATCACTAGGCACTGGCTTTGACTGTGCTAGTGGTCCCGAGATGAAAAAGGTCATTGATCTTGGCGTCAAGTCCACTAACATTATCTATGCTCATACATGCAAACAAGCCTCGTATCTCCGCTACGCCGCAGATCACGGCGTCGCCAAAATGACCTTTGATAATATCGATGAATTATACAAAATCAAGACCTTGTATCCTAAAGCACAGCTTCTACTGCGCATTTTAACCGATGATTCAAAGGCCCAGTGGGGAATTGGTATTAAATATGGAGCACCTTTATCAGATGTGAATAATTTATTGAACACTGCCAAGGAACTTGAACTCGATCTTGTTGGCGTCAGGTATCATATTAAGTGCAAATAGATAGGCGCGAAAAGCAAAGGAATTAAAGGCTTAATCAGCTTCTACTAATTATTGCTTTTTGCTATGATTATCTCTTTCTAACTGTTCTGTACGTACGTTTTAGCTTCCACGTCGGTAGTGGATGCTCTGATACCGAGGCTTATAAGGATACTTTAAAGAGCTCACGCCTTATTTTCGACCGTGCCAAGAACCTCGGGTTCAAGAATTTTAACTTACTGGATATTGGTGGTGGCTTTTTTGGCGTCGATTACTCTGGAATGCCAACCTTCGAACAGATTGCTTTTGTAATTCATGAAACCATTGACTCGCTTTTTCCATCGGATATAGAAATCATGGCTGAGCCCGGAAGATACTTTGCAACTTCTACTCTCACGGTGTGCTGTCAAGTAGTTGGCAGGAAACTACTACCGGCAACCATAAAGGAGAACGGCGACGATAAAGAAGAGGACAAGAAGTACATGTGTAAGTATAGTATTATTGTTTAGCCGTGTATATTAAGAATGCCATTAATAATGTTTTGTGTGCGTTAAATCCCTACAGATTATGTAAATGATAGCTTACATGCTTCATTTGCCACTAGACTGTTCTATAGTGATGTGCTCAATCTGAAAGGTATACTCTCAAATACTGATGAATAGTGGTGCTAGTTACAGCAATGTATATTAACTTCTTATAATATATCGTATGCCTTTGACATTTCAGTATTGATGAAGGGCGGTATTTGCATGTACGGACAAGAGCAAAAGGAACGGACATATTCATGTAGTGTCTGGGGCCATACATGCGAGCCAGGCGACTGTCTAACAGATGATACGCAGCTCCCGATACTTAACATTGGCGACTGGATATACGCAGAAAACATGGGTGCTTATGCAATTGCTACCTCTCATTTCTGCGGATTTGAGAGACCAAAAACCGTTTACGTTAACAGTTTCATCGAATGATAATGACTACGCAACTCGCTTTATGCTACTAAATCCCTTATCTCCTAAAGCCCATAAACAAAGATGTAACAGTCAAAGCTTGACAAATAAAAAAGATTACTTTAATAGTTACATATCATGATCATGATCATCCTTATTGCATTTGGCATAGACAAGTATTCTTATTAATACTCGTGATGCTATGGTTGCGGTTAAACTCTTTGCAGCCTATGCATACCGCTGGTAATTGCGTCCGTTGGGTTTTCCCCCTATATAACACTTCATTTCGAGTTTTTATGCTTTTACCACTGAGCTCAACTTGGTCAAAAATGTCTTCCTTTTCCTGGTGATGAGAAAGTCGGATATATGACCGTGTAGAGTAATATTTTAGTCTTTTTATGCTTCATTAATGTCATTCTTCTCCACCACTAGCACGACCTTTAATACGCATGACATCGAGAAACCCGCCACATATCATCAATCGTTAGTGTGCCCTTGAAGTTACCGATAGTCAGTACTGTACTTCGACCATGTACAGGTCTAACTAGCGATCGTATTCAAACCCCTCGGATCCCACACCCGCACGATCAGGCATTGGAAAACAATATTCCTTTAAATCGCTTTCTGAGGGTGCCATCGTCTCCAGAAAGTGTAATAGCGGTTCTGCCGTAAATGTGCACCATTTTTTTTTATAAAAATGCAATCTCCTGTAAACACACAGTATGAGCGATAATTGCCGAAAAACCAGTGTCTTTAGCGTAGCCATCTCGTTAAGACACGATGGTACATTAACTTGAGCGTAAATTTGGAGATGATAGCGCGGTGCAACGCGTCCAACACACCAGGTTACAAAAGAGCATCAAATGCGACAACACAGGAAACGTGTAAGCAACCAAGTCTTCGTCCAACTGAGCTTCACTATCACAGCATAACTTTTTGCCCACAGGTTTTTTTTAGTTATTGCACCGCCTCATATTACATACATATGTATATATCTCAAATCATCCTGCACCTAGCTGTAAAAGGATGAACTGCGTAAGTCAAAACGCGTCTTTGGCTAAAGTGCTTATATGAAAGTTTCAGCGTGTGTGGTACTGATAGTGTCTTGGATCGCACCGGATTTAATGCAAATAGGGTTGGTTGAAGGCATCATTAGTAAACGCTAAGTAATCTCAAGGTACGCAGATTTGTCCCTTGATTTTACTGCATAGCCATCCACTCGTTAAACCAAATTTGAAATAAAAAAATGTTTATAAAAGAGAAAGCAAAGAAATAAAATGGTAGTAGTAGCGATTACAGCATTTCTTGATGATAAAGAAAAACTAACGATCTATTAGTAAGATTTCAAGTTCTCTTTAAAAGCATGATATTGGCGAGAAGAGGGGGAAAGTTGATTTGGATGGTTATAATATTCCTTTTTTTTCATGATGGGGGTTTGGGGGTGGGAAAGGATTTAGTCTAATATACTATAATGTTTTTAAGCAATGGCAGAAAGTACAACTTGGGATATTTGATCGTCCTCCTGCGAATTCCGGACTGCCAGCTCAAATGCCACTCCGGACGTGGTATCAAAAGTCATCCTACATCGTGCCAAAACCTTGGCGCCACCCAAAAATGTGCCTGCCAGAAGCAATGTGTGTACAGCATTGCTCTTGGGTAAGCCTGTGTCTTCAAGTGCTTGCATACTAAGCAATTGGCGGATCGATGTGCAGGCAGCTATATAGAGAGACGTAAGTGTGATCCATTAACGAGTTAACAAGTGTTCTTTTAAGATCTATTCTATTCCTCGCATAGTTTCCAATATCTAAAAAATATCAGATACACTTTTACCTTTGAGGCTAGGAGCCTTATCTTTGTCTAATGCAAATGTTTCTATTGCTTCACTTGCTGCACCCTGTTCCCATTCCTCTGTGAAATTCGACACGTATGTGGGACGGATATAATCACCCATCAACACTTCAGCATCCTCGACCTGGTACTCATCATCGTATCCTTCAGGATCAGCCTCGCCGGTGGTAGGATCACAATCCTTGACGTCAAACTTCAGTGTACACGTGAACGAGCCAACGGCGTAATCTTGTTGCTCAAAGGCGACATAAATGGCATTGGGGACATTGTATTCGAGTCTATCAGCAGGTATTTCAGCGACCTGCGTCAGACCCATATCATCCATCTCGGGCTGCATGATCATTTGCACATTTTCAAGCAATTGGTCGTTGAGTGTGTTGGTGCAGTTGAATTGGAACACAATGTGGTTGGCAAATGAATGCTTAACACAGTGTACGACGTATTCGGTCTCGCTTTCAGTAAGCTCAATAGGTTTGGCAGAGCTCTTGAACAGAGAGCCGAATGAAGCAAAAGCGGAGATGGATGCCAATTCTTCGGCATAAACGGCTTGTTGATCGAGAGAGCTGACGTTGTTGGCGGCATTGCCGTTGATGCCAGGTGTAGGCGTTGCTGGAGCAGCAGGCGAGTTGGTGCGGTTGGTGTTTGCACCGCTGCCACCAACAGCAGCGATAGGCAAGATGTCTTGTGCCCGGAGACGTCGTCGGTCTTCCTCCTCTTCGGATTTGCTGATCACGGGCACAGAGGCCAAATCGAACTCTTGATCATTTGCCATAGGAGCATTAACATATTCGACAAGCTGACGTTCCAAAGTCGGCAATGCGAAAGTAGCATCTATGGCGTAGGACAGATATGGTTATTATTACAATTGCACAGCGATTTAAGAGATGACAAGAAAATATAACATACCATCTTGAATCAAGGTCTTTGCAACATCACTGTTATCCATCAAAGAGAGATACAAGGCGGCACGATCACGGACTTCGTCATCCACATCATCCAGACATCTTCAGGTAATAAAGAAGCATCAGTTTCTGAACAATTTTTTTCTGTAGGTACAATAGCCGTTTTTTTTACCAAATAGAAAACACAATTTTTACCTAGTCAAAAGAACACGGATGCTGGTCTTGACACCTTGTTCTTCTACACAGACGCCAAATTTGGCCAGTGCGCTGACAGCAGCAGCACGGACCACCGAGTTTTCGAGAATAACACGATTGTAAATGTAGCGAATGTACTTTGTAGGAGTGGGCGTCTTTGGTCCCTCAACGCCCAACAGATGCAAGATACGGACTGAGAGTTTGGTGAATTCACAATCTTCAATAAATTCACACAAATGTGAAAGAGCTATTCAGAACAGAAAAAAAATCCGTGTTAGCCAAACCGCTTGATAATACTAATAAATTTCACCATACTCTTCCCTCCTCCCACCATTTTCATAACTATACAATACCTGTATCCTTGCTATCAGTGATAAACTTGACCATATCGAATATAGCCTCGACAACAGCCTTCTTGAAATCGTAACCTCCTTCGTCGCGCAAGACGCTGCTCAAAAAGTTCAGCATGACAGCCTGCTTAGCAGGGAACTTTAAGCAGAGCGAGCGGATAGCGTCCACAACGATCACCTTGAATTCATCCGAGATATCGCTCATGAATCCAGAGATCTGCTTCATCAAGCGATCCACAGAAGCCTCGTTACCAGTCTTGAGCAAGGTTGTGATGGCAAATGTAGCAATGCTGCGGTTGCGGTCGGTAATAAGGTTCTCCATATCCAAGTTGCAAGGTGAAACGGCAGCAGGGTTGGCAAGAGACAATTTGTTGAGGACGCGGATCGCGGCAAATCGCAAGGTTGGTTTTGGTGATGACAAGAAGAGTTGCAATACTATCATGCACAATATAAAAATAACGGACGTAAGTAACTTTACTCGTAACCTCTTATTTCCCTCAACGCCTTTTTGATCATAGGATATTTAGCTTACCAGTGATGGCAGGATATAATTCCTTAGATGACATATCAGGCATCTCACAAATAGCTCTTGCAGCTTCAAGATTCACCATTTCGCTCTTGTGCTTTAAGAATCCTTCCAAAATCTCATACATACGACGTGTGGTACTAAAAAAAAAGTCCCACAGTTATAACGTTTTCCCTTCGCTCACATGTTTTTCATTTTGCGCTTCTTACCTTGGATCCTCTTCCATAACCTTGCATGCATATCGGATCAACAAGCAAACAGCAGCGGGGTTCTTCAAAGCGCTACCGCCACCACCGCCGCCGCCCAAAAATCCGCCGCCGCTACGCGATCCAGCAAAGGTCTGAACCAATTTAGCAACAGCCATACGATCATGCTGACGGATCAAATACAACAAGCCCAATGCATGGTATTGACAGATGCTACTGTTGGACATGACAACCGGAGACTGGTTGTTGGCGCTATTGCCGCCAAAGCTGGAAATATAGCTGGATGCAAAGCCGGACGACGATGATTTGGCGTTTACAGCCTCTTGCACTTCGTTGGACCATCGACGGACAATATCTTTGGCCACGTCGTACAAGTGATAGGAGGAAACGAGTGCTGCTGAAGAAACGGAAGGTACCTTGTCGACAATAGATGCTTTAAGAATACGCTCAATACCTTGGATCATAGAATGCTATATGAGAATAATAACAAAGATATGTTATTGTCAGCCCAGTCCGAAAATGATAGCAAAAAAACAATGATAAAGGGTAAGCTGGTTCTCCCCCTCCCTTACGTCGGTGATCAGGCACAAGGTCCGGATTGCGTTGGCACGATAGACAGTTTCCTGTTTGGACTGGATATCCTTGATCAACGACTGGGTAACCATAATCACGTCCTCGGCCACGTTGGACAGTTCCTTAATGACAAGATACATCATTTGACGTAACGACGTCTACATAAAATAAAAAATAACGCGTAACGTTTAAGAAAAAAACAAGATCCAGATCTTTTCTTAAACTTGAAGACACCCTGTCATGTCCAAAAAAAACCTACGTCTTTGGACTGGAATAATTTGATCACGTTAAAGAATAGATCCGTAGCTTCCTTGGTCGTGAAGGGTTCACCCAAATACAAGAGATATACAAGTTTGGTCAATAACACTCGGCATTTTCTGATATTGACAGGAGAATCGTTAAACACGCGAGCTTCTTGTAACACGGTGGTTTTGTCGAGGTGATAAAAGAGGCCAATCTCGCTAGCGACTAAATATCAAAAGGTAAGCAAGTGTAACAAGTGAGTGTTTTCAATATTTTCTAGACATGACCCCATTAAACGCGATGGGATGGTTGTATCCATGGGGGGAAGTTTTCACTCACTTCCCCCATTTTCAAGGTACAGAGAGTATAGAATTTCCCAAACACGAATACATAAAATATAGAAAGCATTCTATTTCATTTCTGTTTGCTTACCGGCGTCTTCGTCTCGTTTAACGTAGCTCATAGTATTTCAAAGCAAAACAGGGTTGGATGATGAAAAAAAAAGAAGCTGTCGGTTTTTTGTTGAAAGGGCGATTGGTAAAAATAGATGGGAACCAAAAAAGCAACGAAAGAAGAATTAAATCAAGAAAACGCAATGTTTGTAAGTCTTGTCCTCTTTCGTCTTTGTCGTAATTGTTGTTGTTGCTGTTGTTGTCAGGAACCGAGATGAACCAAAACGGGCGGACAGAAAAAAAGACGTACAGGAAGAGAGGAGTGCTATTAAATGGTCTTTACTGGCGCGATTGACTGTGTGTATAACGAACGCAAATCGACACGTATTCCAAACTCCGGTTTCCTTTTTTGGGTTGCACAGGCGAAATATATGAGTTTTGAGATGAATGACAGTCTTTTTGATCAAGATGTCTGCATAGGACTATATTATATCGTGAGAGTAAACATGGAAAGGGTTGTTTGTATAGTAATACTGATCGGAAGCCAGGGGCACCAATCTACTACAGCATTTCGTCATAGGTTCCGTTATTGATGTACTACTTACTAATAAAGGTTGGCCATAGTGGAAACAAAAGGGATATGATTTCCCTCTTGCTTAAATCAGTAAACGCTAATAAGTTATGATGCGGCTTTTGCGTTTGGTAAGAATACATAGATGACAGCAAAAAATGCACCTTTGTATGTCACGTGTCGGTATGTGAAAGTAGATAAATGTGATAGGCCCGGGCATGTTCTTATTTTTCTTGCACATATATCCACCTATATAACTCGAAAGGGTAGCATAAGAAAAAAATATACACAATGACTCTAGCCTCCAAGGCCGAGCAATGGGCTGAATCCGCCACTCAATTGATCAATCGACACCAAAATACCATTCAAATGACGCTGACAGCCGTAGCCGCGTCAGCGCTTACAGCTTCAGCTATACTAAGCTACCAAGCCAGCCAACGACGATTCCATTCAAGCGCCTTGAAACGAGAACTCCATTTGCAAGAATCCGACTCGCCCACCATTGACGTGGGTAGTGGGTCGTTCTCAGAAATGACCGGATCGTTTGACGAAACGCTCATTGACGAACAATTGGCGCGTAATATTGCATTTCTCGGCAAAGAAGGTGTTCAGCGCGTACGTCAAGCGTTTGTCATTGTCGTCGGTGTAGGCAGTGTTGGTTCATGGGTCGCGCTCATGCTGTTACGATCCGGTGTACAACACTTACGTTTGATTGACCCGAAACGTCTTAACCGTCGCAATATGGCATATCATGCAGTTGCCAATTTGGAAGATGTGGGGATGGCTAAAGTCCAAGTGCTTCGCAAGCATTTCCGGGAAATCGCGCCGTTTTCCAAGGTCGAGTGCTGTACCGAACGTCTCTTGCCTACAAACATGGATACTTTGCTAGGAGGTAAACAAATGATACTATTGTAAGCTGGTTAAAGAGGATTACAAGACAGTAAACGCAGTGAATGTTAATATATCTTCTTTGCGCGCATAAATAAGGTCAACCTGCTTATGTGGTAGATACCATGGATAATGTGGATGAAAAGTTGGCATTGGCACAGTATTGTCACGAGCATAACATCAAGTTAATTACATCGATGAGTGCTGGTGCAAAGGCCGATCCTACTCGGATACAAATTTCTGATGTTAGCGATACATTCGGTAAGATCTTTTTTTATAAACGATATCAGAAATAGATACGTTTCGCTTTTCACTTATTGCAAAAACTCTATATTGTGGATACTTTTAGAGGATCCATTGGCTCGTGTTTACCGAAGAAGATTAAAGATGCTTAAAATCGACCGTGGTATTCCTGTTGCATTAAGCGTTGAAAAGCCATTACGACCAGGTAACCGTAACCAAAAAGGGCAAAAGCTTTTGTTTCGCTTTCATTAACACTCTTTTTTACCTGAATTAGATACTGAAGAATCCGTTTCCGATTTCCGCTCACGGAACTTACCTATTCTTGGTCCTATTCCCAGCATGTTTGGCATGTCCATAGCTACATACATTATCCTCCAACTTGCGGAATTTACTGCACTTCCTCCGCCATCTAACAAGTTAAAGGATACTCTCTTTGGACGTATTCTCTATGACGTATCTGATCGAGAACGAAAAACATACAAAAACCAGTAAGCCAAAAATCTTTTTGTAATTCGTAGGAGTAAAATTGTTTATAGAGAGAATGCTCAATCAGAGATGGTATCTTTTCATTTTTCAAATACTAGACATGCACCTTTTGATATCCACGATATTGTATATATTTTTGAAGAGTTGTGGAATGGCAAAAGTATACTAACAGGTCCTCAAGATCGACTGACACTCGCACGATGGGACAGAAGCAAGCCAATGTCGTCATTGAATGCCGTGTGCATGAGTCGAGACGAGGCACGGGCACATGATGCTTTACCACCGGATACAGACCTGCGGAAGCATTATGGAGATGGTAAGCTGTCAAATAAAATAAAAATCTTGTGCAATGTGAAGAAAATACTTACAAAGCGTCTTTCTTTTGTCCTTAGATGTGGTGGATTATGTAAATAAGCAATTTCAACAAGAACAAGAGTTTCAAAAGTTTTGGAATTGAACAGTTTTGCTTGTAATGTATATCATCACTTTCACCCATGTAAAAAAAAAATAAAGCATAAAGAGTTTAATATGCAGAGTAGAGAACAAAATGCAAAAGGAAAGAATGTTATTGTTGTCGATATTGATGGAACAGTTAAAGTGTGTGTGTGTGTGTTTGCAGGCTAATGTACGTAATATGGAGAAAGAGAAAAAAACATCTTGTTTGCGGTATGCATTTCATGAGAGGGGGTAAACGAAGAACGAAAAAGGAGATCGATAAAGTATGGCAAGACGAAAGGAAGAAAATAAAAAGGATATGTTTAGAATGTGTGATAGCATAAGGGATAGTGAACAGAGTGGATCTATTCCGCACTGTTTATTCTCTTTAAATCGGAATCTTGTCGACTTCTGCACGGGCTTCTTGCCAAGATTCCAAATTCTACAGTAATTCACACAATAAGTTCTCTGCATGCAAGTTTCCCCTGAGTCATTTTTGCTAGTTTAACTTACCCTTTGGCAGTATCGAATATGGATCTTTGCATACGCAATAAGCATATCGCGAAGATCCTTGATCTTTTCACGCTGAAATCGATCCAACTCGGACTGTAATTCTGTCGATGAGCCTGCCAAATCTTGGCGAGTAATCTCCAGTGCTTCTTGCAACTAATAATCGAAATTCTAAAAGGGTAAATTATCTGGATATAACATTTTCTTGAGCGGGTTCAAATTCATACGGAACGTACCACATCCATTGCATCTTTTGTCTTGCCAATCTGGTTTCGTCGTGTTGCCTCTGGATCCACATCAATGATATTTTGCAAAGAATGACCGACTGCGTTAATCATCTTGACAGGACTAGCCCACGTTTTTGTTGCAGGACGACGACCGACATGTGTATCATTTTGGAAAGATGGTGGTGAAGAAGAAGAAGAAAGAGAAGGATGTGAGCCATATGGGTTGTTGTTGTTGATGCCACTATTCATATCGTCGTGGTGATGATATCCATTGCCATTGACTGTAGTGGATGACATGGTACCGGGAATATCGTCATTGCTGCTGTTATTATTCAGTTCGTCAACATCCACAGCATTGCTTCCGATTGTACGTTCTCGACTGATGGCTTCTTCCAAGCGCCTTGCTTCGCTTTCCATCCGTTGCAAACTTTCCAAATTCTCCTTTTTGCTTTCCAGAGATCCTTCAATCATTTCCATCTGTGCATGCTTTAGATGACGGAACCGTAAAACTTGTTTCACAATATGTGCGAATTGGGAATGTTCTTGGATAGGTTCAGCAAACTCGCCTTCTAGCGAGGTAACCTAAATCAACACACACACATGCGTCAATAGAAAATGTCAACCCCGCGAGACGATATAGCACATACTGATTACTTTACCATTTGAGCAGATTCAGTATAGGAGGCATCTACGGCTTGTCCAACTTTTTCAATCGCATTGGCCACAGGTCCCGTCTCATTTAAGCTGAAACCATTATACACAGCACCCAATTCCGCATAATCGTTTGCTAGTTCTGAATCAAAACAAAGCCCATATTAACACACATAAATTTCCATATTTTTTTTCGAAAGGACACTAGGTGGAATTTACCTCCCAACCGACGAATGACTTTCCGCTGACTTTTATCGAGATTGTTGCTCATATAGTTGGCAATCCGGAACGTGAACTTTTCCGATTCTTCAAAGCGAGGATCGGGGCTTTTGAGGACATAGGTTGCTGACGGTATCGGGATCAAGTTGCTTGAAAGGACAGTGTTGTACTTGTGTGCCTGAACATTGGCTTCTTTGCTGACGACCATTTGCAATGGATTCTTTGGTAATTGCGATAAAGGTGGCGAGTGTAATACATCGGACTAATATCAATGTTTGGATTTTGGGGTTGTCAGTTCTTGCTAAAACTTTAGAGAATAAAGTGATGATGACTCTATTTGTTGTTGTTGTTGTTTTTTACCCAAGCAACACCACTTTCTAAAAATCGATGAAATACATGATCGAGCCCCAATTCTGGATGATTGGCCACTCGGTTCAGAAAGGTTTGCAACATCCGTTTTCTTTTTTCCACCATTGGGAGGTCATCCTTGACTCGGGTTTGAAGCGCTGCATAATCGACTAGAACAATAATAATATTAATGCATGGATTAAAAAAACGTTAAAATATGCTTCCCGTGGAAAACACAGAAAGTGTCACGAGACAGTAATAGACAGAGTGGCAAATACTACCAAGTGAATGTTTTTCTGGGATGGGTGGAACGATCAAGGTCGGATGAAGTCGGCTCAATGCTCGTCGAAGTGATTCAAATTCGCTATAACGTCGCTTCGTTTCCGTATCCTATTTTTGTATGTGTATATGCTTGAATTGTTAGATAAAAGTCGTTGCCAAGTGTAATCAAGATTCAAAGTATGCATGTTTCTCTATCTGTTTGGATCTCCCTCCTTATGTTCATTTTGCTAGTGCTTACACAGACACGGATATTGTAAGCAATGAAGGTTTTGCCAGCCGGTGTATCGGATTGCTTTTGAGCACCCGTAATGAAAATGTAAGTTACTTCCTGTCGAAGCAGTCGCTCAATGGTGCAGCCGCATGATGCTCTGGATAATCTGTTGCTGCTCATGTGGGGATTAAAGTAATGCTTTGTGTGATGTTGGGGGAGGGGGGGAGCACTGGTCGTTGCTATTTTTATGAACGCCAAGTAATAAGAAAAGAGAAAAAGGCTTCGGCGATACGCACACCACGTTCGGGCGAAATAAAAATGCGAAACTACGACCACGGCGCATGGACAGTAATTTGTTTCACACGTGACAATGTACTACCTCCTTTTTTTTGATAATTTAATATAACAGTCATGCAAGAAGAAGAAAGAGAAATGTAGTTGGATATAGGAATAGTAGTAAATATATACTATTCTATGCTTCTAGGCGGTCGTGCTGCATGCAGGAGCAATAACCGCAGGTGATGATAATGATGATGATGATGATAATGAGGAGGAGTTATTTCTGTCGTCGTTGTCGGTGGCTATTGTTGCTGTTGCTACTGCTACCAGTCATCAATAAGCCCTTCAATATCAGCCGGCAGAGAAGCAACGAACTACCAACAAGATATTCGAACCATTGACTCGATGATCGTCGGAATTTCCCCAACACAACAATCTGCTGCAAGCCTAATAATGACAATATAATACATTCATGAGATAAAACCGAACTAAAAGCGAATAGATATGCAGAGAACAATAGTAGGTGATAGCGAAGATTACAGTAAAGACGTATGTAATGTATGTATATTAGCATTGAGGAGGGAGAGGAAGGGGTGGAGGATGATATTCGTACAGCAAGAGTAATAAAGGAAACGTTTGTCAAAGAAATATGTAAAATGTATGGTGGAGGGGATGTAGGTAGGTAGGGATACAGATTATGAGTAATGAATAGTAGTAAGTTGTTGTGTGCAAGTACAAACCGGACAAAGAAAAGGGAAGAATCAATCTAGCATCCAGAAATCATCTACGCTACCACTGTCACTATCACCACACCAGGACGACGACCACATACCGTTGTTATTTTGAACAGTGCCTTCGGCTGTCAAATCGTGGGATGATGACGAAGTACGCATGCCATGGCTTGTTCGCCAATAGAATGTGTGCCGGCTTTCATAATCAACCAGCAAACCCTCGCCCGCAGCTTCACCTGCAGGTTGCAGCCGCACCCAATCGAGTTCCTAAAGAAACGTAATGAGCTCTTGTTTTTACTTTGTTCATTCCCCCTCTCCTTTCTTTGATCACTTACAATGCCTGATTTCCAAAAATCTGTCCTCTTTTCATGCGAGACACGGACGTCAGTGAATCCCCATCCTCCCTTGATATCAATTTCACCAGGCATTGTCACTAGAATCCACGTATTCGTAACCACATCCTCTCGAGCATAAAATTCAGGTGGCGTCGTGTAGGACAACACAGCCTCCTCCTCCTCCTCCTTCTTCTTTTGTTCTTCTTTTGCTGACATTTTCTTTTTCTATATTTACATGCATGTCAGTAAATAAGCACACTACTTGTTGGTCATGTACCCAATGCATTGTCCTTACTGGGATAACGGACGCAGTGAAGTCCAATGGCTCGTTCCATCGTGCTGAGAGGGATAATCGCATCCGCCACTGGACTCGGTATCGGCCTGGCGGAACACCTTCAATGACTCCATTCACCTAGTGGAAACACAAAGAACCATTGTCAGTTGTTTAAAGACTCAGCGATCGGGAAGGGAGGGGTGGGGGGGGGGTAGGAAGAGACATACATCGAACCAGCACACAGAATGCAACTTGGCCGTTGCGCCATAGATGCTTTCGTTCGTATGAACGATTCGCCAATAGGGCAGTTTGATGTGTGTGATGTGCATATTCTTGGCAGCAGACAATCGGCTCTCGTCTAAAAAAAAACAGTTTGAGCCAAGCTGTCCTACAAGGGTAGTTTTTTTTCCAAAAGTCTACCTTTAGCCATATATATATCGCGCCAACAGATCGCACTCATACTACTGTTGCTGTCATTGCCGCTCTGATCGTTTCGACAATCGTTTATTTCTTGTAGCGTTTCTTTATAGATTCGAGGAAATCGTACTTTGGTCATGACACTCCACAAATAGTCATCTTGGACCAGCAATTGTAGCGTTCGACTGCTCTATTGAATGCTGCATGGTTTAGTTTTGTGTGCGAGTAAGAGAAGAAGGTTGTTCTTTGTTGTTTAAAAAGTTAAAGGGGAAGGGGGTTTATTAAAGGGTTACGTCGTACTATGTAGGCTCTGTGTATGTATGTACCTTGCCGATATTCGCGATATCCGTGCCTGTGAGCCAAATGAAGACCAGGTGCAGGATTTCTCTGGGGATATCCTCGAATGTTTTGGTGGTGTTGGTTTTCAACTCGCGGTGCTGTAGTTGCTGCTGCTGTTGCTGCTGACGATGATGATGATGATGTTGATGTTGATACGTTGCAAGGTCCATGTGATAGGGTCGTGGTTAACTGTATAAAAGGAAGAAAAGGAAGAAAGAAAGAAAAAGAGAATGTCACTAAATATCTTTGAAAGCTGTTAATTACATTACTTTTATATCATAGAAGGGACACCGTCCTTGTTTGCCTGCTGCATGGCAAACCAAATGCCGCCTTTGTGTTTGCGGGTCACACGATCTGCGCTCTTCTTTGTTGTTGTTATGTATCGTATTCAATATGCAAGCTGCTAAACAATCTCGGCTGACACCAACATTTATGTCTCATCCTGCGTTGTTGTCACTTGTACGAGGGCTCATGCGGTTGCAACATGAAGAAAACTTCTATGGCAACGTACGAAGCGTCGCCAAGGCGGGAATCAATTATATTAAGCATATCTCTCCCAGAATATGAATATGTTACACAAATGTGTTTCGCAGGTGAGAGACATGCATGCTGACAGCCAACTGGTGACGACCCAAGTCGCGAGTTCGTCATCTGATGTATCTCGAATGCTGCTGCTGCTTTCGTTTTGCTCTCTTATGATAACACTTGTGAGAACAAAAAGGCTTAGTATTTGAGCAGCAGTGAGAAGGGCAGCGGGCGGTTGTCAAAACAGATCAGCAGCAGCAACAACAACTTGATGTTGGGCTGCAGCTGGAAATGAACCTTTTCCGACCGAGAAAAAAAAAAAAAAGCGATCCATGGTGAGGAGAATCAATAACAGAGCATTACACAACACAACAAAGCGCTTGACGGTATCCAATCAAATCGTTATATCTGGTAGGGAAAAGGACGGTACTTGCCCGCCTAGTTTTTAAGGGGTCAGTTAATAATACGTAAATGTAAATGTGCTATGCACGATAAAGAACCCGTGTTCGCTATAAATGTGTCTTGTCATTAATTCTTTTTTCATTGTAAGATACATATCTGAAGATCTTAATATCCCTCTCATATCATACATAAAGATCACCACAATGAGGACCAAGCAAGGAGGAGTCAATGTGAGCTCATCACTACTGAACTATACTATTTGTCATATAATTCTTTGTACTACTGCTGTTTGCTAAACAATATAGCTGGCACCAAATGATCGAGAGTAATTATCCCGCCGCTTCTCTTCGCTAAAATGTTTATGAGCATTGCCCAGTAGATGCAATATGAGTACTAAACGCACAATGCGGCGTTTCTTTACTACATAGTGCAGTCGCTCGAGGACACAAGCAACAGCATAATATAATGAAAAAGAGAAAGATGCCTAACATAGAATATCTTATATAGGAGGCTACTTTCACTATTTGGTAAGCGTTAAAAGAAGGAGAAAGTTAGCATTCAACATGGTGAGCGAAATATGTACCCTTCTAAGTTTGAAAGAAAAAACAATGTTAATACTCAAATATGTGTGATTTTCGCTCATGCTTGATCATACGCTCGCTCGCACACACGCGGACGTAGACACAAACATACATACAGTACTCAATCCACCTAGTACAGGTATGATGGCAAAGAAGAGTCATATAGGTTTATCCATGTTTCGATTTATCGAGCGCCACTGTTTGGATGGCCCTTGTTCTTCTGCTTTTGGCGAAAGAAAACGTTGACAATGTATAAATCACAAAGTGTATTTGTTTTGTTTTCGTTACCTTTTCTGATATGTATAGCCGTCAATACCGTCAAAAACTTGTGACAGCTGTATATATAAGCATGGTCGCGTACCTTATTGTTTGGATCAGCAAAACGTGATGCAGTCTATGAGAGCTGCCAGACTTTCATGCACCAAAACTATGATTACGGAAAGTCATGTGATGATAACAATGAGGTGACAGATTTGATCCTTCTGCACTGTAAGGCATCATACTGCAGAAAAAGAAACGCCACTTGAACTATAATACAAGTTTTTATCATAGATTCTCTTGCATAGACTACTGATGCTACAAGATGTATTGTGCGTCATGTTATCTTTCAAATGTCTAGAAAAGATATGAAAAGCAGCGGAATTCAACAAGTGAAAACGTTTTCTGGGTGAAAAATATAGTGTTGATATTTTATTATTACATAGAAGGGCATTTGCGTAAAAAGTGATAGCTTCGTTTGTTACGAAAGGGGCATTCACTAATCTCCAGCTCTTTCAAAACACGACTGCTGCTTGCATTCCCCCATGTTTGAATTCCTTGATCCGTCACACCTTCCAACGTATCCAACTCAGTTGAGTCCAAACTGCTCAGATTTACCAAGGCCGCGTTGTAAAGGCGCTGTCATTCGATGGGCTGTTTTCTTCTTATTTCTGCAGGTCGAATGTTTCTTTTTAATTGCTTTTCACCAAGAGTTCCCAAACAAATTGACAAGTAATCGATCAACACTACGTCTCACATGTGCCGACTCATCTTGGTGTTTCACGGATCAACTAGGCTAAAGAAGAAGTTGTCATTATATTGGTCACGCAATTCACATTAGCTGCTATCCGAGGCATTGAGCCGGATGGATCTTTTATTCACGCATCCCATATTACTTAATCCTATATGCTTAACAATAATATGATAATGCATCTGTTCAATGTACATGCTGTGTGATAGTTACGCAGAACAAGACTTTGCTCCACATAGTGAGAACTTCTGTCATCATAATAAACCGGTTTTAACTCTTTTCGGGTCTCGTTCTCTTAAACTGCTCATCGACTGCTTAGAACTAGGCAATGTTATTTCGTGTAAATATAGAAAACATGGACGTCATAGCGCGTGTACAGTTGGCCAAGGCGAACAAACACGATACCAAAGCACAAGCGAAACCCAAGCGAAGCACAAGCGAAACCCAAGCGCAACCCAAGGTACTTTGAACACATACATACACTGTGCCATGAAATCCGAGCTTCAACATCTGTTTGGCAAGCACGTTTTTCTCTGGGCTGATTCGCGATTGTCTAGATACGGTTATATAGCACCAGTACTTAGAGAATGGTGTTATTAGCGCTGTGCGGTGCTTCAACGGACTCAAAACGTTGGAAATATATTAGTTTTTCGACGTGCCTGGTAAAGCTTTGGCAATTGGATCTCAAGTCGTCAAAAGAAGTCAGGTTTCACCGGGTGGCCGCAGTAAGCGATCAAGTGGCTTGACTTGGACTCCGTCAACATGGTGCAACTGTTGTCATTAAGTATCGTTAGCGATGGCTGGAAGCTGATTGATAATTGAAAAATTTTCATTAACTCTGTCGTCACTAAGGCGACAACCAGTCGCTCAAATCGTGTGACAAAGTGTCCACGACACTAAAAAACTATAGAGGCCACCGTCATCACCATCACAACAACAGCAGTTATGGAAGCAGCCATGTCAACAACAACAACAATAACGGTAGCAGCAACGCTGGTGACCAAGAACAGGTTCAAGAAGAGCGAGCAGCAGCAGGAGCAACATTAACATCCGCATATCACACGCTTGTAGAGCTCGCACAACATAGTGGCGAGCCTTTCGATGTGGCTGTCTGATTTAACAGACATTTTCGGCGGTTCGTCATTTTTATTTGTTAATAGTGTCTAAATAATCTTTTTCAATGGTCAAAGTAAGAGTATTGCGCTATTTGTTGTAATGGAGAGATTATCAACAGAGTTGAGCAACCCCCCCAGCGGCACTGTATCCTGACACCAGCTGAACTACCATCCGCAGGCAATCGTAGTTGTGTACAGTGGTCACCTGTAAACTCAAAGATAAGATCACCGATTTTTGTGCGAAAGTGAAGAGATGTGAAAAATAACGGATCCTGCACACGTATACCGTGAAGCCCTGTGATATTAACTACATAATAAATAATTACTGGCTATGGTGTGCATGCATTTAGGTGGAATATCATACCTTGGCTGCTGGTTTTTTATATTATAAAAGAGAACACAGAGCGCAAACACATATATAAATATACTGTGGTAAAAAACACACTTTTACACTGCCTGAAACATCATCAGCATAAGACTTTCGTCTAAATATCAAACAAAAGCATACACAGCAATTACCACGGCAACCAGCTAAGCACTGTAGCATAGAGACAATCCAACCGAATTGTGTAAAGCACGTAAACATTATACTCGGATGATCCAGCTTATGTATGATAATGGATTGACGCGATATGATGCATAGACGTATGTCATCCGTGATCTCTTGAATCTCTTGTGCGATTATTTACCTAAAATAGGGCGGCTAATGATGCACTCGGAATGGATGTTTTGTCACCACAAGTTATATTAGCAAAGTCAAATCCGAAAAAAAGCAAAAGTATCTGGAAAGGAGGGGATTCGGGTATGATAGCGGATAGTGTTATGCAAGTTGTTTAATATCTTATCACCAAAATGACTGAACGTGTATTGCATTGGGTTGGAGTAAATAAGTGCTGAACGCCGTAGCCAGTGTCTTCATGGGATCCAGTGAGACATTGTATTAACTGTGGTGGCGCTCTTTTATATAAGTATATATATATATATATATATACCCACGGCATCCAGCGATAGCCGATCTCCCCAAGCCCGCAATGATGGATGTGGGCAGCTTAAAATGAATTGTCAAGTTATAGAGCAGCATGGCTGTTTTCAGCATAGTATGCGCGTCATCCAAGAGCTACTATTATCTATAGAAGCTGCTTCTTCAGGTTGATACTGTTGTTTGGTTTGCTCGTTTTATCAACCACCTCCCTTAGCAGTAGCGATACAAAGTCAATCAGACGTGGTGTGATTTGATTGGCGTATGTGTGGTTGATGTATGATATATGTGGGAAAAAAACAAAATACAAAGAAAAGCAGGATGGTCGGCTCGTACAAGAGTCAAGCATGCATAATCTAAGCCTTGCTTCTGAGCACATGAGTTCGTCTTACGTGTACTCTCATGTTCTATGTGAAAGTTGTGCCAACGATGTTTTCGGTTATTCAAGGGGTTGAAAGGGGCGTGGCAAGCGAAACATACCATTAAACCGGTTCTCTCAGCTTAGAACAGCTTGCCTTAAGCGCCGTTGTTGCTGGTGTGCATAGACTCCCAACAAATTTTTCCTTTCGATTATTTTCGCGAGCAGAACTGCGCGACCACAGAAATGTAAAAAGAAAGAAAGATGAAAAGCGCGTACCAAAGTGTGATAAAGCGCGTTGTGATCGTGTTACTGTCGGCTACGATACGGAAGATCTGTCATTATTCCCCGCATTGTTAGCCTGGACCTGTGGAACGCTCTTTGGCCAGAGGTGGTAGAAGCTCTCTGGGAGAGATGGCAAACGCTCTATGGAGAGATGGCAAACGCTCTATGGGAGAGATGGCGAACGCTCTATGGGAGGCAGCCAGCACTCACCCAGGTTTATTTGTTAAAGGCTGTTAGCAAAGAGAAGGGCTTCAAAGACACTCGACGTCATCCTCATTCTACCGTTACCGAGCTTCACCACTTGTCCTTGGTATACACTTTGCTTTGGAGCACGTGTACTGCACGGTCGTCAACTTCTGCGCCATTATTTCTTTGTGTATATGGCTTCTATTTATGTGAGCTTCTTGTTACAATATCAGTAATTTTTATTTTCTACAATGTCAATCATTCCCGGCACCTGCCATTTACTTTTTCTCTGGGATCTTGTTGCTGAAACACTGTAAACCGTGTCTGTGCGCCTTGTGGCCCGACGGGTGCACGTATCTTCCTATTCAAAAACAGGCGGCGACACCGTCGGGGCACGCCCTGCATGATACCGGTGAAACATATTTCGTAGGACTATCAAAACACGCAGACCACATACGCCTTCTTCTTGACCGCTTGACCGTGTCTCTTCAACACTTCTACTTCACATGGTATCTTCCCTGCCATTTTACTTTCCCACCTGCTGATTGAATGCCGAATTACAAGTCACGTGACGTGTTTTTGAATGACGAATCACAAGTCACGTGACGTGTTTTTTCTAAGCGGCGGGGTCAATCCAAAAAGCATAAATACGCCCACATTTTTCAGGCCATTTCGTTTTTTCTCTTCACTCTTTCTTTCCTTCATTTTTCTTTTTCCTTCACTCCCATGCCTCCTCCTGGTCTTCTCTTGGCTCTTCCCTTGGCTCTGGTTCTTCCCTTGGTTCTGGCTCTTCCCCTGGCTCTGGCTCTTCCCTTGGTTCTGGTCTTCCCCTGGCTCTGGCTCTTCCCTTGGTCCTGGCTCTTCCCTTGGTCCTGGTCTTGCCTCTGTCGGTCCTGGTCTCAGCCTTTTTCCCGTGGTCCCTGGCTGCCTACAACCGGTCCCTGCTTTGGGCTGTCCAGTCTGGCGTTCAACGGTGTTGGCCACAACCGATCTTCAGGCGAGATCAGAGGACGGAGAAATCCTTTTCGGTTTCTCGCCATAGAAATATGGTAGTGTCCTTTCGGTTGGATGCCTTGTCTGCTGGTCTGGTCTGGTCTGCCATGGTGGGGGTCGCAATGAGGAGCCAGGTGCCACTGTAGATCGCGTTCGACTCCTAGGACTCGACTGTCTGGCATTCGTCTCTCGGCAATCAACTCTCTGGCGTGCGACTCTCAGCAATCGACGCTCGGCAATCAACTCTCTGGCATGCGTCTCTCTGGCATTCGACTCTCGGCAATCGACTCTCGGCATTCGACTCTCGGCATTCGACTCTCGGCAATCAGCTCCCAGCTTCAGTACTCGGCCCCCAGCATCCGAGTATCCAGTAAGCAGCTCCTCCAGCATTCGACAACAGCAGCAAAATTTTTTTTTTTTTGGGTGTTTCGAGAGTCAATTCTTTCCCCTACCCCCACCCCTTCCCTTTCCTCTTCCCTTTCCTCTTCCCTTTCCTCTTCCCTTTCCTCTTCCCCCACCCCTTCCCTTTCCTCTTCCCTTTCCTCTTCCCTTCCGTCTACCCTTCCATCTTCCTTCCGTCCTTCCCTCCCTTCCTTCCCTTCCGTCTACCCTTCCATCTTCCTTCCGTCCTTCCCTTCCTTCTTCCCCACTCACAGGCAATCCACAACCGATTGCTTGCACTTGACTCTCGAAACGTAGCGTACGTCATGGTTCCCACTCGTTTGTACCATGATGGCTGGGTTTGTGGTTGATTGACCCAGCCAAATGATTGGGAGACTGGGACTCCCAGGCCGAGGCATTGGTGGCTTTCTTTTCCTCCCCCTTTTACATACTTCTTCTGTTTCTTCTTGCTTTCTTCATGCTTTTTGTATAGCCTACGGGTTGTGCGGACTGCTTGTTGAGGTCACTTTGTAAAATCGCGTTCTTATTATTTGTCTTTATTGTCCACTGATTGTGTTCTTTTAATAAAATTTGTACCCTTCGACTATTGATATTCATAACGATAACTTTTGTCTTTTATAAAATGTTTCTTTACTCTAATATTACAATGAATAAAAACCTGCTCTTTTACTTTATGTCCTGCTTAAACTCATTTACAATTTCTTTCCTTGTGAAGATATTTGCGTGTCGCTTCACCTTGCAATATCCATTTTCTTTCTGACTGTGTTCAATCGTCTTCGCCGCTTCATTTGACAGTTAGGAAAGAACTCATGTTTTGGCGTGCTGTGTCCTTGTTCTTATACAATGCTGACAATGTCAAATGGCTCACATTAGATTCGTAATTACTTTTACTTTGCAATGACTCGATCAATTCTAAACATAATATCTGGGCAACTGGTTGACGCAAGCATAATGCACAGACCGTTTGATACAATGTCAAAGTGTTGTGAAACCCGTAGCGTAGCAATATCAGTACTGGGCACATCAGAAAGTTTCTTGCAACAGCAGGAACTCTTTTGGACTTGGAACAAGTTGATCGAGCTTTGTATGCTTAAACTGTAGTTTCTCATAGGATCTGCACGACATGCACTCTACAGGCCAGATCTAGTTGCCTATAATCCCGGTTATTATAATACATATAATCATTAGTAGAATCGTTTTAAAACACGTTTCAAATGGCTTTCTATCAAAGCCTAAATGGATGTGCCCATCTGTTTGGGAGATCGCCTGAGATTGAGCTGCCTTTGGAGCGCCGGATATGTTCTCAGGTGGAGGCAGTTCGACACATTTGCAGCCAAGGTACTAGGTAGGTCAATGCGCTTTTAAAAGCGTTTTCCCAAAATTTTATTTTATTGCTCGAATATCGTCTATTTTACTCCTACGACCACTACAGCCGGCGTCGTTTGATAATGATGGATTCCATCTCTGAAAAATCGCCATCGTAGTTACCATTAATGAAGAATTTAGCAAATTTTCGAACATCATAACAGAATACGGAAAAACGAAAATGCAAGTGTTTTCGTTTATGTAAAAGTGTTTTTGGATTGATATACAATTTTCTTTTGACGTGTTGACCCGAAAAAGACCTTGAAGAAGACGATGATGATGTTGCTTGTCCATCTTTTTCGTCGTCATCGTCGTCCAAGACTAAAGTTGCGGCAGCAAACATGACCATTTGAAAAGTCTTGCTACTGCTATTCTGTAATAGCGTGATAAGGCCATGCTTGCTAACTCTTGTCGGCAGTATCCATGGTTTTTCTGGGCTAATGTTAGGGACCAACGTAGGAGGAACAGACACTTTTGTCCAGGGCAAAAACGTCATTTTTTGTAAGCATGGAAAGCTTTCACCGTTCAATGTGGCAAGCGTATCATGGGACAAATATGTGATTGGACCGAACCTGAGTCTTTGGAGTGCTTTTGCTGTAGCACCCAGAGTACTTAAAAAGGTCCGGACCACACGATCGCTACTGCTGCTGCTGCTGCCATGACCATTGCTGTCAATATCATCGTTGTAACCGAATGGGTAACAACCCGCGAGAAAGAGATCTTTAAGCGTGGGGACGTGTGCTATTGCCATGAGTAGCTCGGTGGTAAAGTTGATTCGATCTAACTTTATCGTGCTCAATGCGTTGTTGTTGTTTGACGACAACGATTGCGAAGGTGAATTGGACTGTTGTTGTTGGTGATGTGAAAGATAGTGAAATAGACCTGACGTTATGATGGGTGGTGTGTTCAAACTCGGCCATTGTGAAAGGCTGATCTCAAGGTATTTTAGGTTTCGCAAAGGCTCAAAGTACCCTGGATGGTCGCTACCACCAGAAAGTGTCATGATCGTTCTGTTACTCATGATGAGGGTTTCTAACCGAGGCATGCGAGCGAGTAGTGGTGCCAATGAAATTTTTTCGGGATCGTCGTAATGTAGACGTGTTTTTACAAATGAAACGCGCTTGAGACAGAGTTTTCGGAGAGAGGGCAGTGTCTGCAATTGGACGGATGATGATCTTGCGGATGATGACGCTTGGAAGAGAGTACGTTGATTCAATCTATGTAGGAGCCTGTGAATATGTAAGTTTTGGATCGTGGGGCAGGCGTTGAGCAGGGTAATAAACGAATGAGTATCGAATCTGATGTGATCACATATGAACGTGTGCAGCTGAGGCATTGTTTGCAAGGATCGAAAAAGAGATGACCAGTTGGTAATAGGACTTTGTCTGACGCTGTTGTTGTTATTGCTGTCGGTGTCGGTCCTGTACTGGGTGAGATGCAAATATTGAATAATGCGTTGTTGGTTTCTGCTACGTAAATGTTGAATGGTATAATCGTAGTATGGAAAATCAGATATACACAGATTTTGAAAACCTGCTTCCTCTTTCTCTTCGTCTTTGATATCCGAGCCACCGCTGTTCTGTTCGAGGCTGGTGATGGTATGTGGGTGGTTTTCTTGTTGTAGAAGCATGATGATGCTGGGATCCGAGTCATCATCATTGTAGGTGCAGTTCCCCACGTACGACACTATCTTTGGGCAATACCATAAGAGATCGCTTAGGTGTACAGATGTGTCAAAATTCGTCATGTGGTGCTCGTATAGACTAGCCATCCGTTTAGATGCACCAATGAAACATCGAAGATTTGGGCATTTCTCCAGGATTGGTTCAAGACGTAGCGGTGCATTCAGCAAAACGTCTATATGCAAGTAAATGAGGTGGTCAAATGTGGCAGACCTTGGTGCTGTTACTTTTGTTGAAGATCGCGGTTGTTGCTCACACACAGCTTCGCTACCACTGCCACTACGAGTACTGCTGTTATCACTCATCATAATGAGTGTTTCGTCAACATGGGGCTCTTGATTGTGTATGGCAGCGACCAGAACTGCGGAATCGGCGGGTTTGTATGTAAAATGGGTAAGAGCTGGACATGCGGACAGTACATTGAAAAACGCCACGTTGGATCGATGGTTCTTTAACGACAAATGCGTGAGACGTGTGTCATTATTATCATTCGACGCCAGCTGGTGTAGCTGTTGAATAAAGGCAACTTGGTCCTTTGTGACACAATTGTTGAGAGCTTTTGAAGAAAGGGTACCCAGTGTCAGATGGGTCTTTGGCATATAAAAAATTATGCGAGTTTTTTTTTTTACCTAACGTTTGAATTTGATCACAGCTCCAATCAATCAAGTTCTGCATCATCCAATACAAGTCGAGCTCATACTCAAACCCAACCAGTTCAACGTGTTTGACATGACTTCCAAGACATCGTTTGAGACAACACATTGTGCTTTTTGAGTGACTAGCGTCCAATACGGCATCAAGATGGCGTTGGGACAGTGTTACGGACTCCCAAATGTGGGTAATGTACTGTGGTACGTGATTGTACCATTCGTGACAGACACCGACGCAGGCAATACAATCGCGCTGTTTGAGTTGAGAAAAAATCTTGTTGAGAATGTCAAAAGGTAGTTGCGTTAGGAATGTCGTAGGCAAGTTTCTGTGGTGCTTTGCTGACATTTTTTGTTTTTTTTTTTTGGTAATTATGCTATTTTAGTATAGCAGCAACAATTGTAGTAGTAAACAGAAGATTCGATGGATATTAGGAAAGAGTACATGAAAAGCGGGTTTCGCGTGTAGGTCACTCATTATACTGTGTGTTCGATAACTGCAAGTAACGTGACTATAACTTTTGCCACATACATGAGCACTATGCAGGAGCCCCTTATTTCGGTCAATGATGTTGGTACACACCGTTAATCTAGATACGATGAACAGGGAATCCACTGTGAATTTTCATATTGTTTTATATACGTCCAAGGTCTGTGCAATACATTCTTTACGTTTACCTTAACGGATAACTAATTGTTGCTGCTTTTGCACTACATACTAGATGTGCACTAGGAGCAAAAAGTGTCTGCGTGGGGAAGAAAAGTTAGAGAGTTGTTTACGTTGTAACTTGTCTTGTGTGCAACCTCAACCCTTCCCCCCCCTCCTTTGTTGTCACTTATCAGAGACTTGGAAATGATGTACGGAAAGAACTACGTATTCCGTAAATATTTACAAATGGCTTTTGATATATAAAAGCGACACCTTACGACGCATCTCTTTCTCGTTTTTTTATTAAAACTCATCCACAATGATACCGCAGCAGGATACGTCGCACTATGTCCTCTTGTGAACTTGGAGACGCCTCGGAAGTGTTTGGTTGAATGTTTACAACAAGACACCAACAGTTTTACTCATCATGAAGACGCTGAGCTCAAAGGAGAGCGTCGAACAGCAGCCCGTTCTAATTCTATTTAACGGTACCTGGGAATCATCAATCTACAAAAAGATGGCGACGAGCATGCGTGTAATTTGCTGCGTACTGGTGATAATTTGGATCTGGAACATTTTAGAACATTTATTTCGTATAGTCTAGCTAGCAGTAAAAGCGTAATCATTTTCTTCATCTCCCCCAGCTAAATAAGTTAACATATTTCCTCCAAGTTCTATTGAAGAGGGGAAGGGGTTATCGTTATTGTTGTCTTCACATCCATAGCAACAGGTTGTTGCTGTTGTCACTAATCTCTTTAATTTCTGTTGTGGATTCCCTGTGCTCCCGGTAAAACTGTAAGGCCGATCCCAACTCAATGGCATAGAATATTCATCGTTACACTCTCCCCCCCCCCTTTCTTTTTCTACATGCCGCCCGCCCATAAACTTTATGAGATTGCAAAGTCATTGATGAATCACGTGTAGAAGCAAATATGTACCAAAAAAAGACAACACCGATGTCATTGAGCAGCATTGGTTAAATCTGATTGGATCAGGGAGCTCCTACCAAAGAGTGACAAAGGCCAAAGAAGAATTGGTTTACATGTCATAGTGATGCAGCTCTGCGTCCGCACTTGCATATTTTGGGCGGCAGAGCAAAAGGAAGAACAGAAAAAGAAAGAACCTAGACCTCTTCCCCCCCCCCTTTTCGCAAAAATGATCTTCGTCTTTCTCGGAAGACCATACATTTAAGGAAAAAACGATGACATACGCACACCATGATAGCAGAGAGATTCTTCGGCTTGTTGTAGATTTTTGTACTTTTGCATAATTCTGTGACTTTTTTAAAAAGAGAGAGAGAGGGCTACACAAAGAAAAGGAAGGCTGCCATTTCTTAAACTCCACACCCCCCACCACCACACACACACACACACACACACACAATCTCTCCCTTCTTCTCCTAACACAAATACATAAAGTATATATAATACACCATGGACTACAATGACACTGCAATCGTCGATCGGATTCAACGAGATCACTTTTCACACAACTTTGTACCTCGGGACATTACACGTAAAATGGAAGAGGTACACTCTCTATAATATTGATACGCGACTTTATATTTCATTGTCTCTCTCTGTATCTATGCGCATTGAGAGTTGTTGCTGCTGTTTTTTTTTTCTAATTCTTTGTATAAATAAAACTATTAGTTTCGACGAACATACATTCAACCTTTCTTCGAAACACGACTCTTACTATCCGAAATTCAATCGTTGGTCAGCGATCCGGATCGATCGAAAATACTTAGTGATCAGGTTCGTTCTATAAAAACACACACCAACAGAAACCCTCCCTCCCCCCCCCTTCCATTTTCCAAAAAAAAAAAAAAAAGGCCCTCTAAAACTTTATTGTCATTTAGGAAAAACAATATATCGAAAGTATACTTTATCAACCCTCATTATCATGCAAAGAACAACAACAACAACAACAACAGCCACCACATCGACGATACGCAGAACAAGTATTTGGATTAACAGAAGATGGTCTTAAAGTACCTCCCATGGTAACGTATGAAGATAAGTTGATTTAAAATTATTCCAACATCAAAATAACGGATTTTTATTAGCAAATCAAATCAAAATTAAGCAATCAAGTAGACCTCGCATTACAAGAAAAATATAAAGAAATCCATCAACTCGCATCCATATACCAAGAACCCAACGACGACAGCAACAGCATTCATCGTCGTGGTGCTATAGGCACTGACGACGACCGTGACGATGACGATATTGATCAAGTAGTACACATGATCCAAGTGAAACAGCAAGAATTAACGCGCATGCGCATTCAGTTACCCGCAAAACGGGCATCACTCAATAAGCTAGTGACGCGGTTCGTAAAGGTACACAAACAAAAAAATGATTTTGTGCACTGATTATTATTTTGTGTGTGATATCGCTGAATATATCTTTTTCATATATATCTATGACATAAAGATTACTTTAGAGGTGCTGGACACGGTGTGGTCGATCATCCGAGAATTCAAGTGTGATTATGAGCAGACAAGGAATGCATCGTTTGATGCGTATTACTGTGCCTTGACTGACACCCTCTTATTACGTATCAAGTTAGTAGTAGTAGTTGTTTTCTTTTTCTGTGTTAATAATGAGAAAAACGAACGACCTTGCATGAATGGATTGTTCTGACGACTTTTTTTTTTTTTTTGCCCCAGAATTTTACATGTATCTACGTTACTAGCAACCTATGACACAGAACTTGTAGCCGCACTGCAATCATTACGGTAAAAACTTCACTTTTTGATATTTTAAAATACGGTGGGGTTTGGAGATAAAAACTCATCCTTTTTGTTTATACCACGATTAGGACAATCCTAGAGAATCGGTACTTGGATGCACGGACCCAACTTTCATTTGCCGAGAAAAAGTTGAAAGCGTATCAAGAGATGGGGCCCGAATTCGAGACGTTGGCAGATGCATACTTCAAGTTGTTAGAAGAAATCAAGGCTACTGAAGATGACATTCACCGAATAAAAAACAATTGAAAGAAATAGTTTGTGTATGTGTGTGTGTGTGTGTGTGTGTGTGTACAGAAAGAATAGAAAAAAAAAATATATTGTACAGTTAATTGTTTTTTCTTGGTTTTTGTTGTTGTCATTGTCGTTTGCAAGCGGGGAATAATAAGGAGGAAGCAAAGGGGAGGGTTGGGGACACATGTATATTCGGTGTGTATAAAGTATATAGTTATAGTCAAGAACTAGTAGTAGTAGTAGTAGTAGTGGTAAGCAACATCATTTTGATAGGGTGGCGTATATGGATGGTTAAGGGTAAAAATATGTGCCCGGGGAAGAAGACATATACTTGCTACACACCTGGTGTCTCTCCCCCATCAAAAATCTCCAAGAGTTCTCAAGCATGGCGTGTGTGTGTGTGTGTGTCGCGTGCGTATTGAATATTATGTGTGATGGCCATCCTCTCCGTTTTACTCGTTTCCTTCTTTTTCTTTTTTTTTAGTAGTTGTACGTATCGCGGGAGAAGTTGGGATCCTGGATAAATGCGGCCAAGACTTTGCTGCCTGTCTGCAAGAGCGGATGACCAGCCACACTACAAGATAAAAACACTATTAAGCTCTGTGGTTTTCTAAAACCAGTCAATCTATTCTCCCCCGCCCCCCGGTCACCGTTGCTCTCCTAATAAACGATACCTAAAAAACCACAGTAGAAAATCAATCCCCTGGGGACTTACATTTGTAAAAAGCGTTCCAAACCCTCTCTTCGTTGTTCAATCACTTCATCCGCAAATCGATTCGTAAACACTTTGCCTGGAAGCGGTGGGATATTCACACGGGTTGACTCGCGTTCCAGCACATCTCTGAACCATTCGAAATCACTGTATCGTCGGCGTACCGAGGATTGCTTGAGTTTGAATGCGGGAATATTCGTCTATATTAGATATGTATACACGTTTCAGTTTGAATAGATCTGTGTGTGTGTGTAGTAGTAGTAGTAAACTCAAAAAAAAAAACAAGCTACGCGCGCGCGCGCTCTCGCAAAGGGTGTGTGTTCGTCGTCGTCGTTGTTGTTTTTTTTTTCAATACGATTGTCGACGATAAAAGAAACTTTACCCTGCAAACGATCTCGTAATCGGTATACATCTTGCGACCAAAGCCTTGTTTTCAAACAATAAGTTGTTTTAATGAGTCTCTCTCTCTCTCTCTCTCTCTTTCAATATAGGTAAAACTATTCTAATAGAAACGTATAAATACCATGGGTCTGCGGATTCTTCACTTCGATTTCTAAAAAGTTCTCGGGAATGCCATAACGTTCTTCCACAGTCTGTTCCCTGGTAATGGGACCGGCCATGGTTTCAAAAGCTTGGAATCGAGGTGCAGACGAGCCTGTTGTGGTCGACATGATCTTTTTTAGTGTGTTAATTTGTTTTTGTGGCGAAAGAAACAAGAAAAAAAAGAAAGAAAGAAGAAAAAGAGCACTCTTTCACAGATTCGACAAAGGTCGGTGACGAAATCCCATCCTAATAGGGGCAGCACTCGTGGGGTTGAAAGTTCTCCGAATGTTTCTTTTCGTTCAAATCTTTCCCCCCACAAAAGAAAGTGGTTACGAAACACATCACATACTAAAACGGATCAACAAGCTTGATCATCGCCCTTATTTGTGTGCGTTTCATGGCGTCAACGGATGATGATGATGTTGGCCTGTTTTTTCTTAACTGCTTACTAACTAAAAGACGAGGGCGGGCTATCTTGTGCTACCGTATGGGTCCACACTGTGGTTGTGGAAATAGCAACGGACTAACTACAAGCTTTCTTAAACCAAGTTATGAGCACCATTGGTTTTAGCATGAGGATGGCTTTTTCACAAAGGAGAGATATCTCCATCATTTGGCTACAATCACGATACAACAACACACATGAAACACTTTGCCCAGCACTTTATAGTTTTTTATTATTAAAGAGTGTCTGTGGTATTTTTTTTATGCTTTCTGAGCTGGCGGCAACTGTTTACTACTGCACGTCATCATGTGACATGAGCCATCACAAACGCAAAGTTTTTTTCTTTCTTACCAGTACTTCTCGGTGGTCCAGGAAAAAAAACTATGCGTTGAGCGGGGATTTGTTCATCTGCATTTTCAGTGTAACCCCATCGCCGCCAACCCAAAAAAAAAAAAAAAAAGCCACGAATTATTTTTTCTGGCACAAAAAGAACCCTTCTTTCCCGATCTCATACAACTTTAAAGAAAATGGAAGGAGAAGAAATAGAACAGTATACGTCGTCGAAAAGCCGCTACAACAACAATAGACACGGTAGTGATGGGTATGCTCGTCCACCTCCTGCCCACAGTATCTATGGTGAGATTGATGCCGAGGTACTGGGTTATTTCAAAAACGTTGAAGAAACGCTTGACAATCCTGCCTTTGAAACTGCTGAAGGTATATATTTCAACCTCCTTTATCTTTGATATACTTTGGGAGAGACACAGACATGGATCGGAAAAAAATAAAATGTACTATTGGAGAGCTAATCGATCTTAAACAATTTTTCCCATAAGAATTGCGATCGTTCGTTGATGCTGTTTATGAAGAAGTCGAAGGCAACGAACTTGTCTTGGTGACCGATCCCTCGTGTGCCATTATTGTTGAAAAACTATTAAGAATCTCGGACGGATTCCAATTACGCGTGTTTGGCGATCGTATTAGTGGACGGTAAAAAAAAATTTTAAAAAAAAAGAAAGGGTTTAGAGAACAATGGACTGAACCATTTCCGGGGTTGAATAGATCTGTCGAGCTGTTTTCGCATCAATGGGGCTCGCACGTATGTCAAACGCTGTTGACACTTTCTGCCGATGCCATTACCAAGGAAGTGAACGATCCGGACACCGACATGAAGGATGATGATTCACAAAAAGAAGGAGAACAACAAGAATTACGATCCATGCAGCAGCTTGTGTTGGATATGTGTCAAGATATCAAGCCTGAATTGGGTGCGCTTATATCGCAACAGTATGCATCCCATCCCATTCGTGTCTTGTTGTGTCTTTTGGCTGGCAAACGCGTGGATGAAGAAGGTGCGGATCGTGGTCGGTTCAGAAGCAAAAAGTCGGGCAAGTATAGACAGGCACATAACTCGAATGGCTTGGGCAAGGTATATATATAAATTCAACTGCGTTTTAAAGGAGAGAAGAGGGTGATGTTTGTTGCTAAAAGGTTGTTTCCCCTCCCCTAAGCGTTCTGGCAAAGACAACGCTCCACCCAAGGTACCGCAATCATTCACCATCATGTTACGCGAATTGATCAGTGATCTTGCCACAAAATCATCCGATACCGAAATGCGCGTCTTTGCAGTCAGTAAAGTAGCAAGTCCTGTTTTGCAGGTATGTAGTAACAAAAAAAAGAATTTTGGAGGCTAGACGTATAAAAAAGGAGGGGAGAGAGATGACTGATAAAAACTCCCCCTGTTTTTTTTAGCTGCTATTGGAGATGGAACAAAGTTTCAATGACAAAGAAGGCGAAAAGATCATTGCCGCACTCCTGGATCGTATTTTGTGGGACGTGGCTACGGGCAAAGACACGGACGCATCCGTCGTCGCACAACGCACATCGTGGTTCGAAACCATGATCCGTGATCAAGGCGGGAGTCGACTCTTGCAAGTCATTCTCAAAGTAGCACCCGCGTCGGTACACAACAAACTGTACGAAAAGCATCTCAAGGGCAAACTTGCAAAGTATAGCCAACATCCGCTCGCCAATTTTGTTGTGCAGACGTTAGTGTCGACGGCACGGAGTCAGGAACAGTTCACCGACATGTGTCAAGAACTTCAGAGCAGCTTTGGTCCCTTGTTGAAGAATAACAAGCATGGCGTGATCCGGAGCGTTGTGGAGGCATCGGCGAAATTGAATACACAGCAGACACAGGTCATCAAGTGGTTGCGTGAGGCTTTTGGGATTGAGAGCGATGAGGATCAAAAGTTGTTTGTATTGTGCTTGATGCGCATGACACGGATTGAGGTAAAAGTTTGGCCAGTGATTCAGGACGAAAAGAACGTATGGGAAACTGATGCTTTGTTTTTCCGGGGTCATGTTAGAACGTACGAGATCTCTCGGACAAGGAAAAGTCAGATACCCGAGCCTTCCATTTACAAGGCTCGTTGATAATGCAGGATATCATGAAGATGAACGAAGGCCACAACAAACACATCGTTACTAGGTAAGGACGATGATATTTATCTCCCAGTCTATATATATATATATATATATATATTTTTACTAAAATTGAGTTTTGATTTTAGCTTTTTATCTCAAAAACCCGATACCACGTTACCATGGTGCTTCTCACCACAAGCTTCGCGTGCATTTGAAGCCATGCTTGCGTCCGAGTACGTGGGTGGCAAGGTGAAGAAGAAAATCATCAAGAACTTGCAAGGACATTATGTCCAGATAGCCAAGGACAAGTTTGGCAGCCACATCCTTGACCGGATCTGGGCTGTGGCGGAAATCAATGTCAAGGAACAGATCGTTGCTGAACTGTTGAAACGAGAACGCGAGCTTGCGGAGCATCCGATGGGTAAATGTGTCCTCTGGACGGTTCGCATCGAGTTGTATAAGCGACGCCACGATGAATGGGTTGAGCGTGAAAAGGGTCTGGAGAAGAAAAAGGAGTTGTTCAAGGATATCCTGGGCGATGGCTTTGCTGCTGGTGGCAAGCCAAACAAGAAGCGAAAACATTGAAAACACACACATGCCCTCTTTTTTTTCCCCCATATCGTAAATCAGCATCCATCGTTATTTTTTTAAAAGTAGTCTCATCACTTGTCCTGTTCTTTGCATCATATTCATAATGTATTTAAACAACATCTTTTCCCGCTCTCTCCGCCCCCATCCCATCCCATCATCACTTCTACTGATATATACTATATATTTTTTTATAAACATATGTGCATTTCAAAACATAGCTTTCAAGAAAACCATACATTTCAAGTGAGCGAGATGGATAGATTGAACACAAAGAGCTGTAAGCAGAGGAGAGGGGGTGGGGGAGGGCCATTCCCGCGTTTCTTGGACATGTTGCTGTGTGTATAATAAGGGTATTTGAAACAAGTGTTGAAGAGAGAGTAAACGTAGTACATGTGTGCAATTATTTACGATGGATGCGTGTGTATGAGTGAGTAAGGAAGGAAGGAAGGAAGGAAGGAAGGAAGGTATCTTATGCACCCAATTTACCGTTCAAGTCATCGCCTGATCCTAGTAAGCTGTTTTGCTTCAAAAGTACGCATTCGCCACCGTTCTCGAGATCGATATTGTACTGATAAAAGAAGCCTTCTGAAGTAATGACCATGACTTGAGGCGTAGTGCTATGTACACACACATACATGATTAATTCTTCATGCTATTTTGGGGGGGGGGGCACAGCCATCCTTTCTTTTACCTGCTCAAGGCAACTAAACTCTGAACACCAGCACTAGGCAACTTGAGCGACGCAAAGTCTCGTGACGGCTCCCACATTTCTGTAATCATTCCTGGCAAGTACGATCCAATGTTTCGTCCCAGATGCTGCGATGAACGCCGTAACATTTGGCTATTCCCATTAAAAAAGATCAGTTTTCTTTTAGTCTCATGCCATCATCCCAAATAGATCCAAAAAATAAAGAGTGGTCCCCCCTCTTCTCCGCCTTACCCTACACTTCCACTACGTCCTCTGGTTCCAGCATCCTCATTGCCATAACCATCATGATTCTCCATCATGGATCCATGATCATATCCATTATTGCCATTCTCGCCTACAGTCGCAACCTTGAAAATATGGACCGTCTCGGTATCGCTCGAAACGCACAGTAACGAGCTGACGAGATTGAATGACATGGAATAGATCTTTGCTGGGTAAGATCCACGTCTGAATTGATATACTTTGCTTGCATCAGGAACCGAAAACACGCGAATCACGGTTCCCTATGTGTCAGAACAAAATGGGGGGCGGGGGGGTGTCAGAAGCGTTTTTTCTCTCGTTGTTTTGTGTGTTTGTTGAAAAGTCTTTTTACCTTTTCACTTGCAGTAGCAAGCAAAGTACCTTCCGAATTCATGGTGATGCAACTGATCGGTGTCTTGTGGGCTTGGACAATGTTGACCAGCTGAATACTCAGGGCATCGAAAATCTCCACGTCACCTGACACGTATCCGGAAGAAGAACTTGCGGTAGTAGGCGATGTTGCGGGTGCGAAAGGAGAAGTGGAAGAGGATCGCGATGGATAAGCAATATAGCAATTGTCGCTCGATGGTGACAAGGCACAGATAGCTTTTTGGGGAAAACAGCCCATCAGTTCCGACGACCCACTTCCATCCAAAGGATATCCCTTTCTCTTTCCTGGTGTGTGTGTGTGTGTGTGTGTGTGTGGCCTACTTACCTGTTGGATTGGGTCTGGTGTCGATGGTATGAAGTAGTTTCATGTTGCTAATGTCGTACAGGAAGATCTGTTCTTCAAGCACGACTATCAGCCTCCGCCGGTTCATTTTGACAGCCAAGACAGTTGTTGGAAACGTAAGTTCGCAGATGGTCGATTGTCTCTGTTGTTTTGTGCATCAGATAAAAAGATCTTTTTGTTGTATTGCCATTTCCAAGGGGGAGGGGAAAGGTGACCCTACCTTGGTATTGATGATTTGTAACTGTCTCGATGTAAATCCTTCTTGGCCTTCTACACCTACGAGTGCCACCAGCGACGTACAAAAAAGCATTTCAACGATACTGGCACCTCGGTCCGCTATTCTCATGATATGGATGCAAGTTGTTGTTGTTGTTGTTGTTTTTTTAGTGACACTGGTAGGAACCTTCACTCACCGCCCCCACCCCCACCCAACCACCAAAAAGACAAAAAATAGGTCTGGTCCAAAGAAAACAAAAGAAGGTTTTATATAACTTACATTTGGAATAGCATTTGCCAAAGGGATCACAGTTGTACATTCTGTAACCCTTTTCAGTGCCCACAGACACACAACTAAAGTCTTGGTTAAAGTTCAAAAATAGAATCTTTTCGTTTTGCGTTTCAATGTCGCCTGTCATGTTCATTCTCTATGTCAAGGGGGTTCAATGGACTAGAGAGAAAGAGAGAAAGAGAGAAAAGGAAGAAAAGGAAAGAGAGAGAAAGATGAAACGCGCGGGACAAGAAAAAGAGCTGCATGTGGCAAAACTGTAGCTGTGTCTACGTGATACCGAGGCACCGAGGCACCTAACACCACAACACCCTCATCGACAGCAACGTGACGCAATGCACAGCGACCACGACACACGTCTCTAATTTTAAACTTAATGGTCACGTAGCCAATGCTGCCTTTCTTTCTCTCTGTCTCTCTTTTTGTCATTGCACGGTTCCTAGCAATTGCCCTTGTATCTATATTAAAAGTGAATGAAAAGAACGAACATACGGAGGGCTCGCGAGCCCTTTTTATTCTAATAGCCGTTTGTTTCAAGTCGGCATAGTACGTGGTACAAGGCAATGACGAATAGGCGCACTCGGAGGGGTCGTTTCGGAAACCGAGATCACAAATGTACTACCACCTAGGCAAACTGTCGCTGGCATTTGTTGTAAGTATATAGCAGTGCGGCTACCACTACCACTACTACTACTACTACTACTACATGCATCATTCGAATGATAGACATGGTCGGTTGTTATTTTTTAACTCTTTTTTGCTAGCTGTAACACCATTGGGTCGCTAGTCAATGAAAAGTACTATTCATCTCAGTAAGCCCTTTGTTAGATCGTGGTAAGGCAAACAACACCCACCTTGATGTCATTAAAGCTGTCTCTACTATGGTAGCACGTACCTTCCTTGTACACCATTACATACTACAGTTTTGATAGGGTCTGAATAAAACCTTGCTTGTGATTAGTGTTATTATCAGAGCACAGGCCTGATCAGCCACCCAATCAGTCACGGTGGTGGTCTTTATGATCCTCTTTATGTGTGATATACATAACCTCGATGTTCAACTTGACTAAAAAAAAACGAGAAAACAGTCGACCCTTCAAAGAGGCAACCAAGAAAAACAATGACTGTTGCCTTTTTATTTTACTCGCGACAGACACGGTTATCGTTTTTATTCGATGACATTCTTTGTCTTTGATTGTTTTTTGGGCGATTACCGACTAATAGACGAAATAACTGGGATGATGGGCGATTAATTGGTACTCAGCCTGCAAAACTCTGTTTTGGGTTGCACTACCCTAATAATGAGTGCTTTTTCCCGGCTTGTGGTACCCGTTTGCTCCGGCTTTCTTTCTCTTTCCTTCTTTCATAATTTTTTTCTTACTCTCTTGCTTTGATCGCCTTTTTCTACTACCTCCAAAGAGAACAAGAGTAAAAAAAGAAAAAAAAAGTAGTTTGCTGCAGTCACTTGCCATGATAAGCAAGGTAAGGATCTGCTTGTGTGTTGTTATTTTTTTTTTATTTGCAGGAATCCTGCACCCAAATATTTTTGATAAGTTTTTTTTTTTTTTGGCTTTAAAACTCAACGTCTCATATACACGTATTTTTTATGTCAACACCACGACAGGAACTCGATAGTTTTGGATATATCCATAGCCGTAAATTGACATTACCGACAGATCATGCCAACATCCTGCGCAATGCTCCGTTGAGACAAATCCCTGAAGCTTTGGTAAGCCTTTATGTTTTTTGTTGCGGGTTTTCTTTCGCGTTAGTACCACTCCCCGAGTCGTTTTGCTTTGTTACTTTCTCACACCAGTCCGGTCTACTTGTTTTATTTTATGGAAAAGTGTGTATATTACGACATTCTGGTAGACGATCGAGTCGTTGATAACAAAAATAGCAACAGTGCCTGTAAGGAACATGAAGGGGGGGGGTTTGTTTTTTTTTGTGGACGCAAAAACGCTTGGATCGTTTATTGACTTGCAAATAAAAATAAAGCGTATGGACAGTTTTATGACGCTATCACCGCTTCGTCTCGACCAAGCCGACCGAGACACATTTCATTTGTTCCCTCGGCTATAGAACAAAGACGATTTGTCAAGGTAATTCAAAAGAGTGTCAGCCCGTAGAAACGGAGTGCTGTGCGACAAGGCCCCCCGCCTCTTTTTTTTTTTGACAGTTTTATATATATATAGAACGATGAGCGACGTGACAATTTGATATCCGAGTTTATTTTGACAGAAGACAATTATGTGGCTAGTTTACGTGCTTTTATTACGGTACGTCTCTTTTGTGTGTGTATATATGTGTGTGTGTATGTTATATCAAAGTATATATCTTTCGACTGGTTAAATTGGTAATAATTATATTAATAACTCTAGTCGATTGTACATCCGATCCGATCCAGGGCCCGTGACAAGCACCGAAAAATATTGGGTCCTTATGAATGCGGCAAAATATTCATGAACATTGAACAGATATTACAAGTCAACGAAGCCTTTCGTTTGGATTTGGTACGCTATCAATCATTTACTGCCAGCACGAGTGCTGCTTCCGAAACGCCATCGTCGTCGTCGTCGTCGACACAGCATCCACAGATGGATTTTGGTGAAATGTGTTTGATGCATGTGAGTTGGGGGTGACATATTGGGAGGGGCAAAATAGATTGAGAGAGAGACAGAGAAAACCTCGTTTCATTTACTAAACTGTCGTCATGGTTACTAAAAAATGAACAATGTTGAACAGTTACGACGTTTCGTGAGTTGTTATCACAAATTTTTGCTTGGCGTTGAGAACGCACAGACATTTAACATCAAGGAGCAAAAGGATAATGCGACTTATGATGCGTATTTGGATGTAAGGACGGAACACAAAAAAGAAGGAAAGAAGTGAATTTTGCTAATAATCAGTTATTATTTCATCAAAGAAAATGAAAGGGAATATGGGAAACCAGACGGTGTATGACTATCTGGCATTACCTGGACAGCGCGTGGGTCGATATACTATGTTTCTAAAAGGTAAGGTGGAAGATATACTATGTTAGACCCCGTTAGCTGTACTTACGTAATATCCGACACACATAGAGTTAATCAAGCATACCACGGATGACCATCCAAATTTACCTGGATTAACGGAAGCACTCAAGACAGCCGAAGAAATTGCCAACATGAGCGAAGATTACCATACCAAACTGATAAAAATCTTCCACAACATGCTCCAGTCCATTCAAAACTGTCCAGTAAGTGTGTTTGGGGGGCAAAATCCCCCGTTCGATATTGGGGTATATATATATATAAAGATGCTCGGCTCTGTAACAAAAGGTTTTTTTATATTATATCAATGTAGGCCTCGCTATTAAGTCAACAACGAAGCCTAATTTGTCATTTGGATGCTTCAGAACTAGATCCACACACACTGAAACCCGTGCATCCAGTTACTTTGTTTTTGTTTACGGACAAATTGATGGTGGTGCGACGTCCAACCTATGTGGCGGATGGACTGGAATTATGTGGATTGGATCACGAACGAGACAAGTCAGGGATGCTGTCGTTATTGGTAAAAAAGGCGGAATCGAGCAAACGCTACGACAGAAAATTAAAGTTTCGAGGATGGATCAGTTTGAACGATATTGAAATACATGATGGCGCAGCTGGTAAGGGGTTTCCCCCTCGCACCCCCAACCCTTGATGAAAAGTACTCAACAAAAAAAAAACTATGTTTTTTAGAGCTACCTACATCATTTACGGTAGTGACAAGTGTCACAGATACAGTCGCTGCCGATGTTGATCCTCAAACACGCGATGCGTTGGAGGGCTATTTCCTTGAAGATTCGTTTCGTTTGTTTCATCTGTCAGGCGAAAATGACGCAAAACCAATGAAATCATTGATGCAGGACAAGGAGAAATTTATTGAGCAATTTGGAAAGACTAAATTCGGTCATCGTCGAAATGGTAAAAGTTTCTAGCTCAAATGCCTTTTTTAAAAGTTTAACCTACCGTCGTCGTCGCGCTCTCTCATCCTTTGACTGTTGCTTATATTCAATTTTTTGTTTTCATTAGACGACCATCTATTGGAGTTTACACACGGACAATGGAAGGGACGATACTTTTTTGCCAACATTTACCGATTATCTTCTTATCATCTACTCTCAAACAAAGTATGTATGTGCGACCCGGGGGGAGGGGCAGCTGCTGCTGGATAGAATATGAGTTATACTAATAGTATTGTTAGAGCGAGATTGCTATTGCTTACCTTGAAGATGCTCTAGCGACGTTGAAATCCGAATTGAGCAATTGTTACGCTATACCACATATACTGGGCTTCATTATACCCAATGATGAGAAATTTAGGTGAAGAAAGCATACCCCCAGACTTGAGCACATGTGATTGGGGGGGTTTTTTGCTAAAGTTTTTCTTTATCTAGATTTTCGATATTAAGCAAGCTGGCCCTTGGTTGTACATCTGATGACGAGAATCCATGCGCACTCGACTTATCGGCACAAACTGAATCAGCGTTTCAAAACTTTCGAGATCGATTCCTCGGTAATCGTAGGTATATGAGCATAAACTATATCATCCCCCAAACAATCACATCAAATTTGTTTTGATGCTACTCACCCCGCAACCTCCCCCACCCTCCCAAAGAACGAACTGCCAGATATATATATATATATTCGAGTGGATCGACTCACAAAAGAAAAATTAAATCGGCTCTAGTGTATGCGTGCGATAAAGATTTGAGAGAAGTTGGACGAATGGCCAGTTCATTATCTGGACGAGGACGTCGACAACGTGTTCGTTATACCGATACAAAACCAATGCGCATGACATTTCACAAAGAGTTGTCACGACGACGAAGCATATCCACATTTAAACTATTTGGCAACCTCGGCAACTCGCCCACAGCATCAGGAGCAGCAGGCGTGTCAGCGACAGGTGCAGGCATGGCAGCATCTTCATCGAGATTACGACGAAAGAGTTTATCGAGTGATGAATATATGCGAGGCGGACTTGTTGAATCACGGATATCAAATACGTACTCGTCGGCATCCTCGAGCAACGAATCACGTTTGTCGGAAGATGATACTATTATTTCAACGACACCCTCTTTAGCAGCAGCAGGAGGGGATGATGTGTATCGAAGCAAAAGGAGAAGCACGGGGAGTGGAGCTCTGGCAGCAATTCGAAGAAAATCCCTGACCGAAACAATTGCATCTGCATACCGAGTAAGTAGCGATTACACACACACATTTTCGTTGAAATAACGCTGTTGTCATGTTTCGTGAATCCTTACATACCAAGCATGTTATATAATAGCCAAGCATCCATCCTTCACCGAGCGCTTCATACGAGCTTTCGGTAATTAGATGGAAAAAAAACGTGATCCTTCTTATTTTATGTGTATATATTCTGGTATATTTACTCATGAATCCTAGCCTAAAGGTGCTGTGTCGAAAACGGAAAGCGCCGATGGACTTGAAGAACGGATCAAACAGCTCACAACGACATTGCAAACCAGTACCCATAGTAACGGCAGCAATCGACCGCCAGCACCGCCAATATTACGTCCAGAAAGTTCAGAAAGTAACACTTTGTCAAGAACATATTTCAGTAGCGGTCAAAGAACGTCAATGTCGCCTGAACAGTATGGTAGCGGGTTTACCACGTTACGCAATAGCAGTCGAGAAACATTATCATCCATGGGTGGTAGTGGTACCACTACGAGCGGACAAGGAACACCTCTGTCGCATGATTTGACGCTTGGAAAGGTATATTTCTAGAGCTGTATAAAATTGTTTGCTCTCTAATAATTACTACTCTGTCGAGATGATTAGACTGTTCCATTTTCTTGGGAGGAAGTGCGTTGGGCTAAAAAAAACAATGTTTGTTTTTCCAATGTGTATATACAGCAGGATAAAGTACAGGTCGATGAAAAAATATCAGAGTTACTCGCACATATCAAGGGGCAATCACCTGTATCTACAGCAAGCTCGGATAGTAGTAGTAGCAGTAGTGTGAGGACGCCATCACCTGCAGTGACTATGCCTGACGGTTTGGAAAAAATGATGGCAGAAATGGAGTTAATGAAAAGCGAGTTTAGTCGTCGGTACAATTCAATGATCCAAGACTATGAGGAAATGGGGGCTGTAGTACGGCATTTGAACAAAGAGCTAAGAAAGGTAAAAAAAATCAACCCACACCAAAACCGGCCTTACTCGATGTAATTGAAGTAACATGTAATTTTCTAAATTCTCTAGAAAGACGAAGAGTTATCGATACTGCGGATCCGATATCAAGATGCCATGGCAGAAAACGATCTGTTGTACGAGGTAGTGATGATGGTCGTGTGGTATATCAGAGTAGTGTTTCTAGGAAAAAACATATAAGAATATCAACTGAAATTTGTAATTGTTTCCCATAGGCATTCAACAATGAGCTAGACCAAATGTACGACCTCTATGAACAACGAGCAACCAGACCATCCGTAAACCAGCGTCTTGAGCATGAAGATGATGGCATTGGCGGACCAAGACGTCCTTCGCACCCGAGCCCAGAAGCTCAAATTCGCAAGAAGCTCGAACTGACCATCAAGGAGCGTAATCAGTGGCACCAAACCGCATGGTAAGAATAATAACTCTGCTGGACCTCCTTTGTTAATTTGGAAAACTGATGCATGTTACCGTAACACGCCTAGTAAACTTGCCCGCGAGTTACAGACTTTGAGCCAGGGACACGGCAACACGACTACTTTTATGCCAAGTAGTAGTACAGCAGGCGTTCGACCAGCAAACTCCAGATCAACACCTACTCCTCCTTTTAGACATTCCATGCAGTAGTAGTAGTAGTAGTAGTAATCATCCTCCCCACTTCCATTTTATGCCATTTTCTCCATATACTGCTCTTATTTTTTTCCTCATCCATGTATGTAAATGTATGCACAACGTTCTAGTTTTTTCCCCTTTCCACTTTTTGATATACCTGCACATCCAACACCACACAACACGTCATTTTTCTTTTCTTGTTCTTTTTGTTCCCTTCTACACTATAGACACACTCTTCCAATACACAGCATCTGCCATATGCATATTTTTTAAAAAAAAAAAACAAAAAAAAGATAACCAAATTCAATTGTTTCTTTAATTGTTTCTTCAAAAAATCTCAAGGTAATCATTGCTTATTGTAAAAATGAACAGAGTTTTCTATTGGAACGGGGCATTGTGTTATGCCTTTCTTTTATGCCTCTGGATATATCGGACAAAACAAAAATCTTGTGCTTGTAAACAAGCAGTATCGACTTGGCTATCCATCATTCAATGCCCGTGCAAATCTTGACCGTCATGACGCGTGCATCTCACAGCACTTTTGGCCACTATTGAATTTTTTTGACGCAGCCAAAAAATAGTTGTTTTGAGACGGTGCCTGGAAGATAGCGGAGATGGGTATGTGAAACATTCCAAGCATAAAGCGAAATCATGCAGCGCCATAATAATGATGGACTTGTAGTACTTTTTTGCCCGTACACGTGTCCACTTTTATTTCGCTTAACGTCTAACTTATTCACGGTCAAACTGAACAGCATAAGAGAAAAGTTGTAATGTCACGCGTTCCTCACCCGGGGTCTCTTTTTTTCTCAGTATTGTGTCTCATCACACATCTAGTTCCAACAAGACCCGAGTCCTGCAAGACCAAGTCCCAAAAAGCTCAAGTGTAAACTTGACCAATGCCCAGCACGACAAAGTGCCAGCAATGCCAATTGCATTCCAACCGTTTTACGCACTTTTGTTTGTTTTTCCTCGCGATTTTTACCATTGCCAGGGTCATTGTAGCAAGTAAAAGATCCGCCTCGCGCCAACCCATTGTGGGACCTCCTTTGCCATTGTAATGGCCGTCATCATTACTGTTCAGGGCTGCGCAAAAGCGCTGCCAAGTGTGCTTTTCTAACGGCTTTTGTTCTCACAGTTCTCGTTGCGCTCGTCGCGTAGAAGCTTGTCGACTACTTTTGGTTATTACCTGCCCCATCTCACTCTCTGTCATCTCTGCTGCCCTCACCCCATCCCACCTCCCCCCCCCTTCGATCTGTCGATGATCAGGCACTAGGCGATGCTGAAGAGCACGTCTAAAAAGTAGAGTACGATGTTGAGAAAGCTGCAAAGGACGATGCACGCATTCCGCGCACAAGTACGACGACGAAGCCGCGAGGGAGGATGCCGCAGCGTGTGCTGTCAGCGTAGGCTGATGGTCGTCCATAAACATCCCAGGCATGCAAGGTCACTACTATTTCGCCAGCTGAATACGTCTCAGTCTATTAGCGCACGCTGATTTTATTCTGTATACGAGCTCGCTGAAAAGCTTTTCTTCCGTGAATCTACATGCTCATTCGCATTCGCGTCTTTGTTTTCGCTTGACACGGTGCCGTGCACGGCCCACTCACAAACAAGCGGCGACAGCATTGGAGGGTACAGCTCCGCATGGTGAGAGACACGTACCACTACATACCGCCGCAGCACATTTGTTTACTTGACCACCAAGCACACCCCCTTTCCTTTGCTTTCGTGATAGTCCCTTTGAGCCATATGCTAAAGCCATACTATTAAGCAAGAGCCAATGAAAATCCATGGAACTTGGTGGAACTTTTTGAAGTCCCGAGCGTGACAGTCAAAAAACGTCTATATAAAGCGAGCAATTTCGCTTTTCCTTTCTTTTTCTTTTTCTTAACTTTAGTTCGTTTTGGAAAGGCGTTGGGCTGTATGCGCGGGAGTCACTGTCCGTGCTATGATCAGTTCCGTGCCAGTGCTGGCGATTGTTTAGAGTCTTCTGATGATTGGATGGGCTCAGTGGTCCGCCATGAAGAGATGACTGCAATGTACCAGTGCGGGTCAGTGGAGGGTGAGGAACGAACAGATTATTATTACTATTATTTATTACACACATTATTACACACAAATAAGAAAATGATAAACAAAATAAAACAATCTTTTTCTTTTCGCACTCTTCTCATAAACGTTCTACCGCTTTATTTTATTGACAAGTTCCTTATTTTTTTGCCCACCCACAGCTTCGTGCTAAACAAAGCGGGGAACAATGACAGACGATAGTAACGCGATCACAATGCGCTTTATCACACTTTGGTACCCGCTTTTCACTTTTTTTAGCTTTCTGTGGTCACGTGGTTCTGCTCGACTATCCTGTTTTTTTTTTCCACATATAAGAATAGGGGGAGATACTGGGTGGTGGGTTGTATGTGGGAGATGGGGGGAAGCTACGACTATTACAGGGAAGGAGCTTGGATTTATGTCCCTGCTACTGAGGGAGGTGGTTGATAAAATGAGCAAACCAAACAACAGTATCAACCTGAAGAAGCAGCTTGTATAGATGATAGTAGTGGTTCCAGGATGACGCACATACGATGTTGAAAACAGCCGTGCTGCTCTATAATCTGCTCTTGACAATTTATTTTTGAAGCTGGCCACATCCATCATTGCGGACTTGGGGAGATCGGCTATCGCAGGATGCTGTGGGTATATATATATATATATATACTTGTATAAGAGAGAGCCACCACAGTTGATACAACGATGCCCGAGACTTTCTACAATGTTTCACTGGATACCATGAAGACGCGTTCAGCCCATATTTACTCCAGCCCAATCCAATACACGCTCAGTCACCCTGGTAATAAGCTATTAATCAACTTGTCCTTTTTCCACTACTGTACCATGAAAATCAGTGTGTGCTGATTTAGACTAAGACATGTTTAACTGGAAAAAAAAAGAGTGATGCCAAAGCAGCCTTACTTTTTTTCAATGCTTATGGACGAGCCTATTTGATAAGCAATTTACGCTACATAAATAAAGCGTATGTATACATGTTTTTTTTTTCGTTATTTACAGCAATAGGTGATCTAATAGCGTGCTCTTATGCTGAATTGAGTTGTTTCGTCAAGCGTCGTACGTACACAACAACTATCGTATACATAATGCTTTTATATACCAATTAAAGCGAGTATTGTTTGTAGAGGCTTTTATACTACCAATGACCAAAAAGCCAAAGAAGCATAAAACATGTGTTTCTCAGAGTTGATTTATCAATCGTATGAACTATAAGTTTACGAAGAGCTTTGACTTTTTTCCCCTCGGAGACCTCTACTTTCTTTGTTTAACAAAGAAAGGTTATTTACACGGCATCACCCTTCTCCTCACCATTACTCAAACAGATCCAAGTCCTCTCGTAAAAATCAGCAATTTGGCATCTGAACAGCTGGCCACGAGTATGGACAGATTCATGACGCCGCATCCACTGTCATTGAATCAGTGCTTAATACTCAGCTGCTTTTTTCGCTGCAAATCCGAGCCTATGCCTCCTCCATGCAAAATCAAATCGACTCTCTCGTCGCAGATACACAACAGCATAGAACAAGCACCGGCGTCGGCCATTAGGTATCTATGCAAGGCAACATATAGCCAATGTTCGAATACCAAATACGCGCAATTGAAGCATACGATGAGGGCATCCAAAACAATACGTCACGTTATAAAATCAGGGTTCACGATAGTTCGTAGGGATGCACATAAGGTTTTGCGTATCTTCTGCATACGCAACATTTTACTGCATTTTGCTATGTTTCAAATGAATGCTTGAGTGGATGAAACATACATGAGGGAGTCGACAACATGAAAGACTCGTTCAACTATCTGTAAAGTGATGGACGATATTCCATTTGTATCATAGTAGAGTAAACGGTCACCCAGTCAAGGCCGACTAAAATATGTCCAAGGGAAATGTCTGCATATTCGTGCAACTTAAGATAGGGAAGAGAGAATGCTGACACTTTACCCAAAAATAAAAGACGACTCTACTTCTCATTCGCATAATAGTAATCGTTTTCTTTAATGTCCTTCTTGATTATAAGATGCGATTTTTAATATTTTAACGAATCCGTTCGTTTTGTTAAACGGTATCGTTTATAGAGATTGGCCCCCATTGTGAGTGACCTGCTGCCACCATATCTAGCGCTTTTGCATAAAGTAATTATGTACTATTTGATGATAGCAAGGAGCAAATTGTAAGTCTGTGATAGCCGGTTTTTTTTTAAGATAAAAAGACTTTTGATTATCACATTATTATAGTTAGCTTAAAATACTAAATATTCATCTTGTTGGTATTCATCAATAAATAAGTTATCTTAACTCTATTCAAAGTTCTTTTCAGATAATAGTATGGATGGGCCGTGGGTATACCCTTTGATAGTTATATTCCTTATTAAGGTCATACGCTCGCACTAGAGCGAATCGGCTACAGATTTGGGGTTTTAGGAGGAGGCTGCACACCATATCTGTGGTGATCGCGCTGTACGAGTCACAAACATTTAGATACGCCAGATTGCTGATCGAGCCAAAAGCTTTCATGTCATTTTTTACGACGGCAAAAGACAGCCAAACAAACAGGGTTCGTGTTGCCTCGCTGCTTGCCAAATGCTATTTATGCGTCGCTATTGTCGATTGAGATATACTCCAAGTTCAGCTTCCGGACGCTTGAAGAGGCAATGTAGGGTACAAGATCAATATTATCGCAGCACCAGTAGGAGCACTTTGTGACCATACTCGAACTCAACCAACGTATCAGCACGATCGAACACCGCAGCCAACCAATGAGCTGTACGAATTATCCCGTCCTCTGGCGCTTGTGCTGCTGCATCTTTGCTGACTACTGTTTCTCGACCTTCGCCATCATCATCGTTTTCATAATATGTTTTTCATATATGGCTAACTTGCGGAGATGTGGCAAAGATGCAAGTCTTCAAAGAGCCATGGATGCCAGAAACCCGTGCCTTGGATATTCACAATTTGGAGAAATTGACACACGGTATCCAGTTTTGATATTGTCTCCGAACCAACCTGATCCAGGTAAAGTTCAATGCCAGTGCTCGCAAGTGAGGAGCATCTAGTTATCTAAGCACGTCCCAGCACTTGTGTCTGCCACCCAGTCATGTTCCCAAGGCCACCTCCAAATGCTTCAGGGTGGTGTGAGATTTCGAAAAGCCGTGCCAATAGGGCCATCATCCATAGCTACACCTAAATCCATTGACCGGGACTGCAGCTTGAGCTTCTTCAAACCAGTATATTGCGAAGCTGATGCATAACAGATGATGAGGTGGGCGATGATGACAATGGTGGTCCTGGTGGTAATGTCGGCAAAGTATAGTTCGTGCTGTAGAGACGTGGATCTGAGGCTCCTATAAAGCTAAACTCTTAAAGGTTGGGGCAGTGCTCGTCCAGTACCCTCAGTATTTTCGCACAGTCCCGATATTTTTTGCTGTTGGGCGTGAAGGATATCAGATACGGGGATCGTCGTAGTAGCGGAATAAGGCCATTGTCTTCGTCCATCCCATAGCTTACAACAAGTGTAGTAAGGTGTAGATTATTCGACAACGACAATGACGGTAGCTCTGAAGGACTGTTGGAAATTGATGATTAACATAACGAGTAGTAAAATGTTGCGACACGCAGCGTAGATTCGAACATATCAATGCAGAAGATAAAATAGATGCTAGTGGATCCCCTCTGTCAATCGATAAGTCGTTCACCCACGTATGTAGCGTTAAACGCGTCATACCGTTTTGGTTACGTCTCAAAATGTCTTCCAGTGGTTCTTCAGATCCACAACCTTCAATCTCTGTTGACAACATGAATCTTCATTAATAGACCCACAATCCAGGAAAGCTATGCAGCAAGGCGTGCGAGTAAAAGTCGATCGCTGGGTTAAAGTCTTGAGATGCATAGGCTCGTTTGCCCTGTCCGAAAGCGTGTCGTGTTCCACTTATAGGTCGAGCTCCACTATAGTTAACATTGAGTGGTGAATCGTCAGGCTTCGCCGGTGAAGGCAGTTGTTGTAATATTGCTGGATAGCTCATGGTAGAAACACGTCGAAATGAATATATAACGATTTAATGAGGCTCGGCACGAAATTATAATGAGATGCATCCTGTGTCACCTTAAGTATGGACTGGTTTGATCACTAAGCAGCGCTCGTGATTGCTAACGGCGCCATTAACATTTTGATGCAACTACAAATCTCATCCATAGAGAAATATATATCAAAAAGAATGTAACACATCCATGTTTTCATGCTTTTCTCTTCTTTAAGCTAACATCCTGCATACAAAGTGTAATAAAAAACATGAATACAAGGCATAAAATGAAGGATGAGATAACATGTTGCACTGCTATGGCGATGACATCTGCAACAATCTGCTGAATTTCAGGGGATAGCTCTTTCACTCTTCGGATGGACGTGATGATGAACTCGATCACCTAAATATTACAATGTATATGTGAGAATAGAGACAAGGTTTATGTATGATAATTTTAGGTTATGTAGACTTTTTTATAAACTGTACCTTGGCGGCATCGGGGCCATCAATTCTAGTTGGCAGCAGCACCTTCAGCGTACGTTGTATAATCGCGGATGAACATGCTATGCCGCTCGTAGTTCCCACATTGGTGGCCAAGTAAAACATCGACAGGGCTGTACCACCTACTGTTATGTTTGTGTTGCCATGCTGTGATGAGTACAGAATTTTACTGGTATGTCATCTAAAAGAGGTTCTGTGTCCAGATACTTACGCTCGGTAGGCAGGGTGCTGATAGCTGCTACAGCTAGTGAAACCATGAGAGCACCGCAGCCAATTCCTCCCAAGATGTAAAGGAATAGGGTCACTGCAGAATATATATCACCATTTGTCCAAAAGTACATCGTACTCCATGATAGAGTTTGCATTGCGATACAAGTAAGCATCAATCGCGAAAACCGACCAGCGTGTTTCAGATAACGTCCCGATAGGTAATACCCTGCGAGGACTCCAGGTGTTGCGAGCAAACTGCATCTTCCGGCGTCAGCCATGCTGAAATGGAGGGATCCCTAAGAAGAAAGACATTAAAGGCAAATTACCAAGAATTATCACATATCAAGTTAATATTCGTTCAAAGTCCGTAATTGTCACCTATGTTGATGTTACCATAAGATATTGAGGTCCCGTCGCTGTAGCTCCTCCAGTGATTACATGCATTAAGAGACAGCATATGCACGATATAATAAAATTACGGTCATGGATCAATGCTCGCGGCAAAAGTGGATATTGAGCCCATCGTTTTTGATGTAAAAAGAACAAGATGTATCCAAGTAAGGTTACTGCAAATGCTGCAATAATTATAGGGCTACTCCAGGCATAAACAGTTCCCCCAAAAGAAATGGCGCACACGAATGATACAGTTGGGATGGATAGCAAAGTAATTCCGACAAGGTCGACCATGCGGAGCTTGTCTGTGAATAATGTTGGTTTCTCTACAACTCCTCTCCTCTCGGAGCTTGGGGCATGAGGGGTAACCGTGGCGGTGGCAATAGGGGCGTCATCATAGCTTTTGAGGTGATATATGCTTAAGCACAAAATCAGCGTCAAGGGTAAGATGGCAATCATGTAACAGTATCTCCATCCAAAAGTATCAGAAATGTATCCTCCACACGGCGCTCCAAAGATAAACGAAATCTAATAGTTGTTCATATGGCATAATAAACTTAATTCTTAGCCCATTCCACAAAGTTTACAACATAAGTATAGCTTATCTTAGCCGTTAAACTTCATTTACATACCATGAGGATGATGTTAGAGTAAGACATGTACATTCCAAGTTTGTCGCTGGGCACAGTGTCATGTAGCATAATGTTTACAAGGGTACTGAGTCCACCTCCTAATCCTGATATCGCTTGTGATGCAATCAGTTGCATAAAATTTCGCGAGTATGCGGACCCTGCAGATCCAATAAGGAACATGACGTTAAGTGTAATCCACACAGATTTGCTCCCAAACGCCTTCGAAAACTGTCCGACTATACGAATGTCCATTGATTAAAAGAGGTAAATGATTGTGATGCTACGGATGATAAATTGCTGACATAGTTAAAGCCGAAAAAAATCTGTAAGATATATTTTCTGAAGACTAAACTGCATACCTGTTGGAATTATCATCAGATGAATAAGTCCATAAGCGTTAGGAATCCAGGTTGCCAGGTGGGCACTATTGTACAAATTATTACATCAAAGCAAAAAAAAAACAATTCAACACACTCTTTACCTCTGGAATTCGCTAGCTATTACTGTCATGGTTGTCATTGAAGCTGATTGACAAAACGTCGTAAGCGCTGGACTTAAACAATAGCATCATACTTTTCATTAGTACTGTATTATAGGTGTATCCAACCTTTCCTTGACTATAAATATGTACAGTACTTACGATGCCATCATAATAACCAAGGCAAGGTTTTCAAGCTTCTTCGTACTTCTTTCTTCTGACGAGTCTTCTGACGGTTCACTTCCGTGGGTGACAATACACGCAGGCGTCTCATCGACAAGATGGCCTTTTTGACCATCATCTGATATCGCGATGGCATGATACTTGGTCAAGTTACTTCCGTAGTGATTTCTGTCGGAAGATGACAGTAAGGACTGTACTGTGGTTGCCGGATGTATATCATTATACTCCCCATCTGTTCTATTCGAGGTTCCCGAAACCTCGAGTGCTTCATTGGTTGAATATTCGTGATGGTAGTCGTTACCCGCATTCAGCATTGTTTTTCGAAGCGAGAGGAGTAAGATTTTCAATACAAAGAAGAAAGATCAGGTAAAGAAGGGATGAGTAAAATTTGTAATAATAGATATAAGCCTCCTTTTGAATGAGCCGCAACAGGACTATCCTAATGGTGTACGTTGCTCTACTCATTCACCTGCATAAGTAGTTATCAGGAGGTCTGCCAGTACGACAATATTCCACCCTCGCCACCAAAGGATAATGTCATAGCTCAAATACATAAATGAAAAATGATATTGAGAAAACCGTCCTTCGCCACCTTCAGCAGAATCTCGGGTTTGCGTATAATTACAAACCACGCTTAACTATCATAGTCTGGCTCATGCGCAGTAATCATCACTAGAAGCAGCAAGAATGTTGTTGTAATACGGCATGGGAAATCTATCTTGTTTGTAAGCACTACATTCTACAGTACGTGCTGCTTGATTCATAGGTTCTTGTTGCTTTATGCTATAAGAAGGTGATACTTGTAGTGTCCTGTGTGCAGCAAATCATTTGTGCAGAATGAAAAGAAAGCAATACATGCACATGTAATGCAGAAAAATCAATTAATTGTTTTGGCTGATGCCAGCGCATTAATCTAAAACTCCTGTTGAAGCTCATGACTTTGACTATTTTAGCTAATACATACATGCATATGTCAGAGTATCTTTTTATCATTAGAGATGATGATAAGCGAACCTTGCTGATCCTATATCGTGATTATGTTTTGCAATTTGGAACAGCCTACAGTATACCCCCGTTAACGTCAACCCCGATAACGTCAACCCCCGATAACGTCAACCGATTCGCTGGTACCCTTTCAAATTTAGCAGTTAGAGATTTTGCCTATTCTCTACCCCCGGTGGTCGTCAACCCTCGATATGGTCAACACTTTTGCTGGTACCCTGAGGGTTGACGTTAACGGGGGTCGACTGTAATATGAAAATAGCTTTTGCCCTCTGAATCAAAAGACGCTTTGCTGCCTACACATTAATAAGCTGTTTGTGTGTATGTGTGTGGTGGGGATAACGGAAACAAAAACAAGGCAGCAACAATCAACGACGACGACGGCCCCCGTGCAGTGGTTGGAACATCCTTATAAAAACAACATACGCAGCAGAAAACTTCACAAAAGAAGATGATCGTCAGCTTACTTGATACACCGATTCCTTACGTTTCAGTACCTGGTCTTCAGCCGCAGTCAACACTGGATGCGATGAAGGACGTCAGATCTAGAATACGTTGTAGTAATGTACCAAACACCATCACCGGATTTGCTGTCGAGGTTACTGATGCTTTGTCACCGATCACGTCAGAGGTCTCGGACAATGTTTATACTGATTTCTCGAAACCAGTATATAAGAACAAAAATGACATCATGCATATTTACCCATCGACTCCAATATACAATCGCGATATCCAACCAGCCACATTGTCTGTTGTCTCCTTTGAGAGATTCGTGGACAAATTACTTGACATAAATCAGCAACTACCATCATCATCATCACCATCACCAGCACCACCGCCAACTGCTCCTCCTCCGCAGCAACAACAACTCCGGTTCATCGCATGCTACTTTCAAGCAGCATTTTTTACACCACGACTGTAGCTAGCACTGGCAGCTCTATTTCTACGCTATATAGAACTTTTTCTGTCGCTATGATCTCTGGCATAAGTAAAATTTTATGTATTCCCATTTTGCATCTGCGCTATTTCTTGCTTGTATACAGCATAACTATGCCCCTCTCCTTCAACGATTCATTTTTAAGCGTGTGTGTAGATCCCGTTTAGCACGTCAATCCGAGATATCGAAGCACTCTTTAAGAAAATTGTGTACTCAATGTACAACTTTCTACTAACAAGGACACCGCACAATGCATTCATGTATGTATCTCTTCATTTATAAACCTACTATGGTACTAAACTATACAATACAATCTTTTTTGAATGAATAGGTCATAATCGACAAATTAAGCAGACTAACACTCCTGATGTGTTTGTTGAATTAAGGTCGGAGCAAGATCATTGAAGAAATCGTTCACAATTTGAAGGAACCAAAAGTGAAAGGTCAACGAGTGTTTATAATATCAGCAGAAGTTTTCCAGAAACCCTCTTCTGCAATATACTTTCCAAGTAGCGCGGAGCGTTTATCGGTGGAGTACCATTTGCCACTTCATTCTCGATCCTCTCCTCCACCGCCCGTAACCCCTCGCGAATACGACTATCTTTTGGGTATTTGTCGAAACTTCAGGGTAATGCGTAAATCTGTCAAAAGAAGCTGACCAAATAAGAGCCGATCTCTACAGATGCTACTATTGTATCACACAGTGCTCATTGACATAGATTGAAGCAAGTATTTGCTAATGATTATCCTTGTTATTTTTATATATGAATAGCTTTGCTTCTGTGTATATTGCCCTGAACAACCTTTTGGAAAACCTTATCTTTGTAATTGTAAAGTTTACATGTTGGTATGCGCTAAAATCAGCACCGTACTGCAACGCAACCGTCTCTATGAGAATGTTTTGTTGGCAACAAGGAAGTAGAAGAAAAGAGATACAACTCTCTACAGTATACTTTCAGAATTCGATCTATCTAATATATTATTCAGTGTAGCCACATTACGATTCCAATTGATAAAGTATTATTATCAACTTGAGAAGACTTTGATGCAACGTATGATGCGTGCAGTGTTAATGTGTCTTGGATTTACAGTGCTTCAGAAAAGGCGTATTCTTGAAAGAGGCCTGTGCTTCCTCCATCCTTTAGAAGCTCTATATTTTCATGTTATATCACAAATGTGTAAATCTATTGCTTTTGATATTGTGTTTATTCGTAGCGAGTTTCGTTGTCCCGATGGTCTTACACCTTACATCAAATTGCCGCAACAGCATTGGACGATGGTTATTCGTCAGAAGATCACTTGTCGGCTGTGTGGGTACATAGTTGAAAACACCTCTTATAGCACAAACTTTATGCTAAATGTGATTACCCCCTTGTGCATTGTTTCATATCGTTAAATACCGTGATGTTACAGGTCTCTAACTATAGTTGTTTCTGTCAGTGGCAATTTATGGTCCTAAATCTTTGCTTGTGATATTATAATGTACGTGAATGTTTGTGGCAGCAATACACACTTCATCAAACAGTGCGTTTAGGTATATTGCCTTCTCTAATGATATACTGCCCCTCTGAAGAAACACAATCTCTTTTACAAAAACCAGTATAGTATTCACTACGTCCAGCATACTGTATTCAGATTATCTGAAGATGAACAGTTTGTCAATGATCAAATATCTTACATAAGGTCGTCTTGTCAAATGTATTTGATATCGAGTAGTCACACGCTACCAGTTGCTCCAAATGCTTCATTGCTGCAAACGCTTCAACACGTCACAGCCATCCGACCCTGTTCCTTGAGCGACAAGTGACAAAGAATCGACCCAATGACTTCATATGGCAAAAGTCGGACCATCCACTGGTTACGCTGATTGATCGTTTACGTAATATCTTCGTACTGTCGGACTAAATATGATTGTCGAGGATGGGGTAAACTGTTGCTGCTGGATGAAGCTTTTCTTGCAAAAAAGCAGAGCATTGCTTTGTGTGACATACAGATTCGGCCAACCTGTTTTACCATTCAGGTTGGCACGTTTACCATCGTCAGCATTTCATAGGCAGCGGCACGATGGAGTAGGATATTGGATAGATCGTATTGCAACTGTGCGATTGTTCGAGTATAAGGATTAATAGCTTGATTGTAGTTTTGTTTAACATAAGCCTGTTTGCCTCGTGGAAAAGTATTTTGCGTGGCTGTAATGTCGAGTTCTGTGACATTTAACGTTGCGTATGCATCGCCAGACCTCACTAATTTAGGTGACTGTAGAAATGCCAGTATTTCTATCTTTGAAACGATCGTTTAGAGGGCCTTATAATTATATCGCAGCACGCTTGAACAGCCGTATGATGACATGAGGCCCATTTACAGGCATATAACAAGAACGTTCCTTACCGATGAAATTCTATGACTTTACGGAAGGCCTGATTTCGGTAGAGTGGCTATTCTTAAGAATGGCTGCTTATGTTACTGCATTAAGGTAAGTAGAAATGTTTAGCTGAAACGTCTTAGTACATAGAACATCCACTCAATTCATATTGGCTCCCCTGTTATGTGATATGATTCCAAATCTATGGTCGTAAAGTGCATGGGCTAGTAAGCTAAAACGATAGACACCGCAACAAATATGTGGTGGCATCGTCAGCAGTTGCAACTTGAATCGCACAAAGTGAAAATTAAACGTAATACTTTCATGATAGGATAAGTAGAAGGGCTTTGAAGATAGACTGTGATTTTCCCATGCAGCACATGTCCGGGGAGCGACGACGAAGTCAGTAGATTCGATAAAAGCGCTCATACATATAGAAGTCGGGTTTTTTTGCTACTTGTATAGTTTAACTCTGGTATAATCGTGAAGATTATTTTGGCTCAAGGATGCAAAATACGGATTAGCACACAGCAGGATATCTCGCGCAGCAGAGTGTTCTATAATATGCATATCACTCTTGAAATGTCCGAGACGCAGCGAGTAGCTAATCATAAAATTCAATGAAAAGATAAATACATAGAGCAGACTGTAGATTAAATACGTAGACTAGTTTTAAAAAAAAAGTATTTACCGCTATAACATATCAGGTCGTCACTATATCGCCGTCCGCACCACCGGCTTTGACAATGTTCATGTCCTGAATTTACCGGAGAATGATATATGAGGGCCCAGGCATTCAGGAACAAACGATGTGTATGATATAGCGCCTAATTGAATGAAATTATATGTTCGGTTGGCGAGTAACTTGTTATAAATTTCACTCTATCATGATCCGAAAAGCGTGAGATCGCTTCTTTGCTGGCTTTGTTTGCAATCAAACCCCATGATTGACGTACTTTTTTTGCCGCTTTTTTTCCCCTTGTATTACACAAATAAAGCTGATGCAGCATGTCCTGGTCAGTTCCAACCACCAACACGTCGCATGGTTATACGTGTAGTGATGGTATGGAAGTCACGTCTTTCTTGCGAGAGAAAATATGTATGACAGCATGGGAAAAACCGAAAACAGCAAGCATCAATTAAAGAAAGAGAAAAGGCCGCAAACATCCCCAGTTTTAGTAACAATTGACTGGAGCGAGCCATTGAATCAGGAAATAATATAGCTCAACTAAGCCCGTAGTCGTGTGCCTACACTTGCATCGAACCAATGAAAAGAACTTCTTTTCAACTCGATGACGCTGATATAAATCATTTCCGAAAGAGGGACCGATTGGTCTGGAAAGAAGAAAACCCGTATCGACGTTAATAAATCTGTAATCTGTAGAAGGATATAATGATCAGAAATACACGCCTGGAAAAAAAAAGGTTGAACCAACCAGAATGAGCCCGATGATCAGGAACACTTTTGGCATGTCATTCCAATAATGAAGAAAAATAGTCGCATGAGCAAATCTAGCGGCGAAGCGGGCTTTTTTTACTAGCACTCTATTTGTCACCCGGGAATAAGGACAGAAGAACGTCGCCATTTTCTCGTGCATAACTCATTGTTTTCGTGACCATGTTCCCTTTTTGCTCATAAACACTATCGATAAGATTTATAATTCTTTCATTCTGGAGAGATAATGCATCTCCATCAATGCAAGGGGTAGTAGGTTGGTTTGGGAGGGAGGGAAAAAGAGAGAGAAGGAGAGCAATTTTTGCGTTGGGTTAGTTGTGTTTAGGATCACCCATATCGACAAGGCGCTCCTAGAGAATATTTTGGTCCTTTCGTGGTGCGTTGGCGATATCCAAGTATGCGATGATGATCATCCCCTTCCTTCCCTTCTACGTGTATAATGTGTAATAGCACAATGCTACACACGACATGTAATCCAATGAGCACTCGTTCTTTATTGACAACAAAAAAGCATTTAAATATTTGGTCATAACCAAAAAAAGCGGTGTATCATGATAAAGTAACAACAGTGCTCGTTCCAGCTATTACAGGTCACTAAGTATGCGTGAATGTGCGAAAGAAAGGGCTATGTATGTACTGCATTGTTTTTAATCTGCTCGGATCAGCGTCATGATACAACAATTCTGCATTGGCGCGTCAGACGAACCAGTAAAATGATTGCATGATTGGAACCAAACACTCTCATTCTAAATTGCAACATACAACAACAATTATACTCTTGTGCGCGCAAACTTTGTTGCAAGGGCCGCATATGCTGTTCCGATATCAGTCTGCTCCCTCATTTTTTTCTCTTACCCATCCCCTATTCCAACCACTTGATTTAATACATTTAGCTAGTATACTCGCTGACTCTCTTTAGCGACTTTTTTAAATTAACCCTGTGATAAAACCGAGCTAGTAGTTAGCAAAGAAGTGTATTATGCAGCAGTGTTTGGATAATTTATGATAGCACTAGCACAAAGTAGAAAATAGGAGGGGTAAAAAGATTTCAATTGACAGCTTTTTCGTGGAAGGTTTCAATTTCAATAGCACAAGGGGATACGGGCTTCGTGGTACACGCTAACATATTATAGAAAGGGGTGATGTATAGATATGGAGCTTGATAAATTTAGCCTCATTCTTTCTTTCTTTCTTGTGGTCGATCCCTAACAGGATGCTTTGCATTATTGCTTGTGGTACCTCAAAATGGTATTATCTATCTCTTGTCCCTTTCCCGTTTGTTTTTTAACAAAAAAAGTCATACAATGTTAGTGTGTGAAACGACGATATTAAGGAGAAGGGAAATAGTGTGTGCTTGTGTTTTCTTGTTGTAATGTTGTAGTAGTACGACTTTGTTAATACATATACTTAAACGCTTATGATTTTTTTCCTGACGACCATTATGCAGCAGCAACCTTATTCTTGCTTTTGTTGTGATAAAGGCGATGGTACCGTAGCCATACTTCCCAATTAATAATGTCCATCAGCAAAGGTAGATTTCTCTCCTCTCTAGATGCTCCTGGTGCCTTTGCGACATGCACAGGTACGTATAGGGTGGTTCTCGCATTCAACAGTCATTCCTATGATAGGCGCTTCATAAGGTTTGGGTAATAAGGTTTGTTGCTGCTGTTGACACTGTTACAGTAGGAGAAAGAAGATAGGCAACACTTATAGTCGTTGATGATGGTATGGGAAGGAGATGTGTCCGGAGGTAAGAGGATTACACGAAAAACTAAAATATATCTCTCTCGTGAGTCCGTTAAACCTCTTTTTAGACAAGATGTGGGACCTGATTGCAACAAAAAACTTGAATTGCATCATCGTCATCATCATGGTCAGGATACTTTTTTTTGTTAAAGTAGGTTGGCGTGGGGAAAGGTGTCATGGGGGAAAACGATGCAAAGAAGAACGATGAGAATTAATCACAAGAGAATACACAAACCTATGGTTTGCGTGTTTCAGACTGTTTTGTTACACAAATCCCACCGGTCGATGGATAGGAAGCTGAAGCGTAATACTGTATCGAGAAAGAGAAGAAGGGGTGTTTAAGTGATAAGTGCACAGGCTGCCTGAATTGGCTGTTTTGCTTGTATACTTTGGCACAGAGCATCCAGAGCAAGGGGAAGCGAGAATAAGGTACTCGGTGTACCCAGACCCTTGTGTATAGTAATAGACAGCTTCCCAATGTACTGGTTCGTAGCTACGTTCTGAACTAAAATAGTTGGACACCAGCGGCAGCGGTAGCAGCATAAGACAGGATTACGGCAGCAAGAGCAAAAGCTGCAGTCCGTGCACAACAGCAAAACAAATGGTTCCTTTACATAAAACCAAATAAAGTAGTAGTTTTAAGGGTACCCTCAGCACAACACAAACAAATTGTGATTTTGATCGTATCACTTTCATATTCTGCCTAGTATTTATATGTGTTGCCTTAGAGGAGCAAACAAAATAAGTAACATTGAAAGATTGCAATGGGCATTTCTACACATAACTTAAACGTAACCCTGATGAAGCAATGATGATGGTAAATAACAATGCATCGTACAAGATCTACCCAGAGAACTTTGTTATAGGTTCCTGCAAGTCTTCCTACTATTCCCAGGTGCTAATCATCCGTACTAACAGACGAAAGGAAGCAGTATTAGTGATATCCAGAAAAAGATAAATAAAAAAAAGATAAGGAGAGGACGAAGCTAGATGATGATAGCAAACAATTATTGTGACATGAGCCTGTCTCCCTCCTAGAAGCTCACGCTTCCTCATTTCTGTGCCCGTGACAAGAACACACGGCAAAGGACCATTCGATGAAATCTAAAATAGTTGATTTATGAAATGGGGGTCAGTCACGCCTTCTGTTTTTGTGTGTCCAATATGTGATAACAAGTACATAGCAGCTGTGGCTATCTTGATAGAGAATAATACGTCTTGTAGCTGCTAGTATAACGTGCCTTAGCTGAACATCACCGCCAACAACGGACATCATTCAACTTCGTCATCCGCTCGGCCCTTGGCAAAAGGGCAAAGCGCGTAGTACAAGTATTCCATGTGCGTAGCCCGGTATAGCGTTCCCCGGACTATTCTTACGTGTACCACTGTCTGCACAAGCCTCTTTCTCTGTTCTTATGGTAATAATGCCTCACTCACACTCTCTTTGTCCCCCATCCCCCAAAGTTGTATTTTGCGGTCTCTCCCAAATTTAATAACGAACGGGCTTTGCGTGATAAAAGCAAATTCGCCCAACCAATCAGAAACGATCCACTTTAACTCCTTATCAAAAATATGATGCGGAAACGCACCCCCAGTCAAGCACTGCGCATCCTATAAAAGGGAATGAAGCCGTGGGGAAGAACATACACAGGGAGAGAGCGAGAAAAAAAGTGGGGGTTCGGATACCTTGCAGAGCCGATATGGGAATTTTTTTTTAGTTGGTTACCCACATCCATGACGAACGCAGCACAACAGCAGCACACGCTTCGCAGCAGCAGCAGCAGCAGCAGCACCATCACCACCACCACGACCAATAACCACACAGAGGGAGGGCGTATTATTTCTTCCTTTGGGTTCTGATGTCGGTCTTGATAAGTGACGACATACACTCACTCCCACACAATTCGACACTCGCTTGCTCACACTCACACACACACACAGAGTGCACCTATGAAGGACACCGCACCGCACCACACCACACACACACAAACTAAAGAAGAAAAAAAGTCGCACTCGCCGACAATTTAAAAACCCAACGATTCCTCTTTCTTCTTTCCTCATCAATCCATCTCCTCCTCACCTCTCTCTCGCTCTCTTAAACATCATCACTTTTTACTATTTCTTTTTGACTCATAATAAAGTAAACCTCTTTGCTTATTGCATGGCTCCATGAGCGATCTCAACTGGTGCACGTACTGTGACAATGCGGTTAATCCGTACTCTGTAAGTTCCCTTCTTTTTAATTCTTCAACCGAGAGTGTAATAAGCAGTGCCAAGTTTTACTAAGTGATATTTTGTTGTAATTAGGATTCGCTTTACTGCAGCGAGCAATGCTTAAGAGCCGATGCTTTGCGTAACCATCCATTGCTTGGCTACGATTGGCACGAATTCGAGGACTTCCCAAGACCTCACCCTTCATCACATCATGCATCCACATCTTCCTCAGCATCCTCGGTATCATCCACCACTCCAGCACTTTTACAAGCATCTTCATCATCAGCATATTCTTTATCATCTTCATCTTCATCAGCAGCAACATCATCATCATCTTCGTGCCATCACAGCAGAAACAATGCTTCTTCATCGATCCACACTTCTCCTTCTACCTCATCGCCTGCCCTGACTGCAACGTCAACATCTACTGGCAGTGCAAGTAGCTCGCTGCGATCCGTCAGCCTGTCCATCACTCCACCGAGCACGACTACCATGACGACCGCCATGACAACCACCATGACAACCACCATCAACACCATGAAAAAGCCCTGTATTACAACAGCAGCGACTACTACTACTACTACATCCCTATACCACTAACATCTTTACCCGAGCTGCGCTTGACAAAAACCTACACTCTATCCATTCCATAAAAAAATTCCGCTCACATACCAGTTTTTAGTAGTCTCTCCCAAAACACCCAAAACAAAGCAGAACAAAAAAAATCCCAGCATATCATCCTTTCAAAAGACAAAAATTAACAAGCATCTTCCGTGTATTTTGCTCCCTCTATCTTCTCTCTCTTTCTCTATTGTAAATGATTTCCACTATATACCATTTGAACAACAAGAACAAAAATATTCATTCCATCAGTTTGCTGAGCTTCAAAAAGAAGCTTGTTATTACCGATTTCTGTGGTTACCCTCAATTGCGACATCAGGCCGCAATATTTGCCTTGTTGTCATCACTCGCTCTTTTTTCTCTCTCTCTCTCTCTGTGTGTGTCTGTGTATATTCTATTATATATCTAGTCCGTGCGTCCTACCATTTGCTGGAGATTGTGCTACCGTATATGTCTATCTTCCACTTGTCCAAAAGGCACAAAAGCTCACAAACATCGAGACGGATGGCGTCATTGACAGTTATCTTTTGTGAAAGTCAAAAAGTTTGATACATAAAAAAGCAACATGCAGTAGCAGTCAGGAAACGTTTTATATTTATTGGTTTCTCTCGCGTCTTCTTCCTTTTTTTCTCGCATCCCCTTTTTTATACTTGATCCTTTTCCCGGGTTTAGTTTACGCTTTCACATCAAAAGAAAGAATGTCACTAGAAACGCAACCGTTGCTTCTGAAGCCGGATGAGGTGTATCGCGATCGGTTAAAGGAAGGTGGAATTAGCCTTGGACTGCTGACGTTTTGGTAGGTATCATGACTGCGCATTCTATTGTGACTAAGGCGGGACAACAACAGCAGCAGTGAAAGTACATAGTAGTGGGAGTTTCTCATATCTGTATGCATTTGCAGTCTTTGTACGGGGTCGATTCTAGCGGCAGCTGATAACTCGATTGTCTATACCATTTTCACCGAGATTGGCACCGAATTTAAAAGGTACAGATCGAAAGCATCCTCATCCCCTCCTGATAAAATGTGTATACTGATTGCTGTTGTGATATGCCTTTTACTAATGAAATGACACGTTTTTATAATCATCTGTTATATTTAGCTCTAATCTGACTGCGTGGATATTGACTTCATATTTACTCAGCTCATCCGCCTTGCAGCCTTTATGCAAGTTCTTTTTTTTTTCCAGAGAAAAAAAAGGGGAAGATAGGGAAAGAAAAGGGGGAGAGTCGGGAGGAGGGCAGTATTAGATTCGGGAAAAGAATCGTCGATAGTAACATGGAAGAGAAACGATGTCCGAAACAAAAATACTGTTCTCTGATGCTTCTTTTTCCGAATACAGATGCCAAATTATCGGATGTGTTTGGTCGTAAAACAATTCTTCTGGTCGTGAATATGTTTTTCTTTATCGGGTCAGCAGCTTGCGGCGCGTCCCAAAACATTCTGCAGCTGTCGATAGCCCGCGCCATTGCTGGTTTAGGGGGCGGGGGACTCATGTGCATGGCTTCAGTTGTCATTCACGACCTTGTCCCCATGCGTCAACGAGGAAAATACCAATCCTATGTCAACATGACTCAAACAGTAAGCACAAAGTAATTGAAGAATAGTTTTTCTACAGTGACATAGATTTAACTAATAATGATGACTACCAAAAAAAAAAGATTGGAGGGGCAGTGGGTGCACCTTTGGGTGGATGGATCAACGATACAGTAGGCTGGCGTACCTGCTTCTATCTCAACTTACCCCCTTGCTTGTTTGCCCTGTACATCTACTCCCGGCGTTTGCCTAATTACAACAACTTGACCAAAGGACGTTTGGTGGACCAAATCGATGCTATGGGCGCTGCTATTTTGCTTGTTGCCAACTCGTGCTTTGTCCTCGGTACATCTTCAGGTGGCAATACACGTAAATGGAGCGATCCATGGGTCGTGACGGTATTGGGAATCTCGGTCACTGCGTATCTCGTGTTTTTCATCAACGAGTTTACGTGGGCCAGGAACCCTTTGATGTCTTGCAAAATGGCCAAGAACCGCAATGTCTTGGGCTCATGTGCAAGCAATTTCTTCTTGTGGGGGACAGTGACGGCGATCAATTATGTACTCCCACAATTTTTGATGGTAAATGTCGATTATTGTATGCATGGAGTGCGTAGAAGATAGGGTTGGGTCGTCTAATGGTGGTTTCATATAGGGAATTCTGGGATATAGCACATCCTCTACTGGCTTTTGGGTTATGCCTCGTACTATTGCTATCGCTACTGGATGCTGGTGTGTTGGTAAATACATTGGTACTACTGGTCGCTACAAGAATTACTTGGTCATCACAATGATGCTCGATATACTCGCTGTCTTTGGCATGATCTTATGGAAACCAACCACAGATGACTTGCTATTTAAGCTCATGTGTATGCTTATGGAAGGATTCGCTATGGGTTCAGTGGCTGTTGGCACTATGGTATCGCTCGTAGCAGATATTGACCATGAAGGTAAATATACATATCGAGTTCTTTCTATACTTTTGAGCAATAAATAAGAGAAAAGAGACTAACCGATTTTTTACTAAATGTGAAGATACGGCATCGGCCACCTCCATGATTTTCCTGTTCCGTTCTACTGGTCTCGTCACTGGTGGTTCTATCGCTGCTGCGATTGTCCAGGGTAGCTTCAAATCCCTTCTGGAGCAGACTATCCACGGTCCTGACGCCAAGCAAATTATCGACTTTGTCCGAGGGTCCATTGCTGACATTGGAAAACTAAATCCGGAGATTCAGCGTATAGTAATAGATGCTCTATATCGCTCTTTGAGAAGATGTTTAGTGTACGGATTTATCATGACAGTGCTATCGTTCGTCGCAGTGGTAGCAATGAAGAACTGTTACTTGCAAAAAAAGTAAAAGAGCATGTATTAAAATATCAAAGTTTATAACCATTTCTATTGTATTATAATGTACGTTTCCAAATATAAATTTTATATATTCGTTTTAGATTCTAGAGTTGTGTTTTAAACGAATCCCAAGCTTCGTTTAATGTGCTAAAGATGGCACTAGCCAACATGCGTTGTTCAACAGTAACAGATGCTGGTAGCTAGTATGTATATATAGAGAGTGATATAAATCAGTATATCTGTCGTCAATAACAACCAACACCTTCCCATTGGAAAATACAAGACTCCACTTTTGATTACCTTATCAGGATGCACCTTGGCAATGGCTTTAATATATGTCATTTTGCATCGTTTTGGATCAATAAGTTCGCTCATTTGAGCACCACGCCATTGTGCACCTGGCCACAGCAGGGTATCCAACGTTGCCAACAGAGCACGCAAGTTGTTCTCTTTGCCTGACTTCCAGTTCTGTATCCGTGTATTCACATCGTCTGTCCGTGCCAGTCGCTCTGCATCCTCTGCTTCTTGTTGTGCTGCCTGCGCCCGCATGGCAGCTACCGCTTTGCTTTCTTCCACATTAGCCGGTTTAGATGGTCTTGGTGATGGTTTCGATGGTGATGATCGAGTCGTCGTCGCTGCTGGTGCTGCTGTACTTCCAATACCAAACAGATCATCCATTGTAGATGTTGTTGTTGACGATGACTGTTGCGGTTGCGATACTGTGGGATTCAAAGCTTTGCGACACCGGGATAAGGCTTGATTAATCTTGACATTGCCCGAACCTTCCAATTTGACCAACTCTTCATACGTCTTGATCGCGTCGTTAAACTTTTCAATGTTTTCCAGAGCATCGCCTTTACGATGCAAAGCCTTGACCAGCTGCTCGCGCCATCGGATCGTGACGCCCTCTGACTCGATGCTTTCACCACTGACAAGTGCCATCTCGATGGCAAGCTCACAGTCTTCAATACAGCGCTTGTACTCGCCAATCTTGAGCCGCGCCGCAGCACGATTGTTGCTCAGCAGGACAAGGTGATCGTGGCCCGATGGTAGTGCGCCAAGCGCTTGGCTGTACGCAGATTCGGCATCACCAAATTGACCCAGTTTGAAATGTTCATTACCTCGCTGTCGCGCTTGGTTGACACGTGCCATTACGTCTGGGGAAGCACTGACAATGGGTCGTTGTCGTTGTGGTCTATGTGGGTGAGGAACAGGTACTGCCGCTGGTTTTGCTGCTGATGATGGTGAGGGTGTGGCGCGTGGCGAAGCTCGACTCGAAGCTTGACTCGTGTTTGGCGTGGCGCGTCGTCTGGATGGCGACACATAGGTTTCCTCAGCCTCACGTTGTTGCCGAACTCGTTCCTCTTCTTGTTGTCGTTTCCGCATTTGTGCCACATACTGTCTCCGCTTTTCTTCTTGCTGTCGCTTCCATTCCATTTCTCGCTGTTTTTCTAATGCAGGATCTTCGTCGGAACTATCGTCATCGTCAACAAACTTTTCCATATATGGCTCCTGCTGCTTTGTTGACGCTCCTGTCGTTCCTGCTCCTGCATTGTGTCGGGATGCTGCTGCTGCTACTTGGTCAACTTCGTCATCCATCACATCCTCTGCCATCCATCGCGGCCGTCCATGCTCACGGTTGAGCCGCTCCAATCGTTGTTGCTCTTGCCAATCCCCAACGGCTTTTGTGACACGCTCACGTCCGGTTTTCACAAACATGCTTGCGTTCTTGTATAGGAAGCCACCCAACTCGGACGCTTGTGCTACAAGCTTTTCCTTTTGCTGTTGGAATGCGACATTTCCTGACGATGAAGATGATTCTCCCGGTTGGGATCCTTGCTGTTGCTGTCGCTGCTGCTGCTGCTGGTGATATTGTTCTTCTAATTCTATCTGTTGTTGCAATCTCTGTTTCTCGGTCATCGGAGGCTCGTGTTCTTCGTCCGCATAATCATCTTGGAATAATGCATTCCGTGCTCGTGCTGTATCGGTTATGGGTCCTCGCTGTCGCTGTCGCGGTGATGGTCTTTGTTGTTGTTGTTGTTGTTGTTGCATGACACGTGCATTATTGACCAGCAAATCTACGGCATCCTGCAAATCTCGGCCACCAGTAGCTTCCAAAGCAACTTGCGCTTGTTCCGCTTCGAATCCCATATCCACCATTTGTGCAATTAACATATCCATCGATCCTCGTCGTTTTTCTCTTGACGATAATGATGGTGATGATGCTGCGCCGTTGTTGTCGTCATCGTCAAAGTCATCACGATACCCGACAATTGGAGTAGAAGAAGAGGTAGGAGGAGGCGATGGTGACGGTGAAGGTTCTGGTTTAGGTTTGACGGCAGGCATTGACAGAATGCCCAATGGATTGTCATCATCGGTATTGAGGGATTGTTGTTGTTGCTGCTGTTGAATAACAGGTGTTGTACGTGAAGCCAAGGATTCAACATCGAACGGGTCCGCGCTTGGCTAGAATTTTATTACGTGTTAAAGCTACTATTTAATAATTTAGGACCATATAACACATACCGTTGTATTACGTGAGCTATCCAAAAGGTCGAAATTCCACTTGGATGATGCTGATGACGTGTACTCTGCATTCTTCGTTTGCTTTCTATGAAGTACAAATACGCAAGACAAAGAGCTTATTAGCATAAAAAGGTTCCTCTCTATCTATTTGCAAAACGCTTACAGTGCATTCAGTGATTGAGGCGATGATTCCTTTTTGGATTTGCTAAACGGATCGAGCATCATATCGAGCGAGCTAATGTTCTTGTTCAAAGACGAAGAAGAAGACGACGACGACATTATCGGTGGTCGTTGTTGTTGTTGTTGTGATGGTGGTGTACGAGTCACTGCTGACTGATCGTCGAAGTTGAGCAAGTCGCCGAAAGCATCAGTCTGTCTCTTTTTGCCTTGAAGATAACTCGGTTTTTGGGGTATATTCGGGGGTGGAGCCTTGTTACTAGACCAATCAAGATCGAGTAGATCGTCCATGATGAACCCTTTTTTAACGTTTTGCTCTTTAAGGTTCAAGAAAGAAAGGAAAGAGAGGAAAAAGCAAGTGAAACGGGGTTGCTACTGCTTCCTCTGTATAGTCCCCTGCACTGACTTTTGTGTGGACGTCGCCAGATGAAATCTGGCATGAAAAAAAACGCGGCAATTTTCCATGAAGCGATGAACTATGTTGTTTCTATTACTTATTAAAAAACTATTATTTCACAGATGATATGGTAGTATTTTCCGGTTCTGTCTCGAAGCTGGTTGTCGTGGGGTCAAATATGCTCAGAAAAGTTGCTTGGATGGGTTGACGCGCTCAGCATGCTTGCAATCACCGCGCACACATCTTTAATACACTCAGAAGAGGCGATAGGAGGTTACAATGCATGAGGTAAGGAATAGGCACTCTTCGTAACTGGAAGGAACTTAGACTCAATATCATTGCTGTATAATAGGGAATGACATAAGGGGAGAAAGGAAGAAATGGGTAAGCGAGAAAGTAGGCATACATCGTAGCAGGATACAAAACCAAGAAACTCGTCAACAGTGGTAGCGTTGCTGGCCAGGTAAGTACCTGACACAGCGGTTTAATTTATTGAGCCCATGGGTCACCGCTGTTATCCAAATATGCACATACATGTGCCCACTTATGTTGCCATTCTTTAAGTTCTGCACAGTAATGTTATATGTATGTAATATGTGTTTGATCACGTGCATCATTTTTCTATATCTGTTTTATTGTGATCATTATTTTTGCACAAACATGCCATGCAAGGTACCATTATTTGGCGCCTCATTCAAATGCAGCAGTTGTGTCAAAAAACCATACACTTCTACATTAAAGAAGGGTGCAACGACGGTTCCAGGCTGTGGATACAATTGTTCGACCCTGGGTCCTTTAGCCATGAAAATGGCACGCATTTCTGGCGCCATATTGTCATAGCCGTGGATCCCGCGTGGACGATAGTCTTTTCCGGAATGAATGTCATAGTCACTGTGTGAAATGATGGCATATCCTACGTCAGGAATCGTCACGATAGGAGCAATTCTGTCGTTTTCACTGTAATGGAACCTTTCAGGTACATTTTCACGCAGGTAGACCTGGAAATGTGCGCCATCCTCTACTTGCTGTTTTTGTTGGGTATAATTGTAGAGTTCCTCGTAGATTTGTTGCACGCTTCCCTCCGGCGCATCATCTTTTGGTCGGAGGCTTAATAATGGCCATGCCTCACGCACGCGCAGGAATGACAATGATTCTTTGGATAGTATGTCCTCGTACAATATCAATCGCGACTTGTCTGTTTGTGCCATGCCATGATCGCTTACCTAGGATACAGCATCATATTGACATGGTGAGAAGGAGAGGGGTTTGGAGTTGGAGTTAGACCCTATCTCTTCTATGTTAAGTAGCACCATCCATTAGAATAGTAGTGATAAAAAGAGTCTTACAATTACGACGTGAACATGCTCATGTAAATTGCGTGCTTCAAGTCCTTGCAGTAGATGCCCAACTGCATCATCCATTTTGCTTAACACACTATTCAACTACTCGAAATTGTGCTTGTTAGCCTGTAATGTCTTTTTTTATAACCTTTTTTGAGTTACCTGTTTGCCTTCAGGGCCACCTCCATGTCCCTTCTGATCAACCTGGGGTACATAGATTGATATCATCTGCGGACGTTCTTCGAACGGCAAATCAAACCATTCTAATGCAATGTCCATTTTTTGTTGTGCGGTAACCTCGCGATCATAGTCGACAAGGTAATCTGGCATCGTACTTGGCACAGGAGAACCAGGCCACATGATCACTGCAGACTTGCGTCCTTGTCTGCTGCTGGTAGCCCAAATCTAAAGTTTATTCGACAACCATAACTTTGTCAGACTCTTTATCTTTTATTTTCCTTGTATATACAAAGCGAAGAATACGAAAGGCAGTTAAGAAACTTACAGGCTCTCCTGACCACCATTCTGACCGTGAACTGATCTCCGGCTTCTTGTGGATAAACATCTTGCCCATTGCTGGATCGTAGAACTCGTTACCTACGATACCATGCGACTCTGGATAGAGACCGGTAGCCAAAGTCCAATGATTTGGAAAGGTAATAGACTAGAAACGAGCACGGCACTACGTTAGTATATCTTCTTTACCAGACTGCCAATTGAAAGAGGACGTACCGGGAATGAAGGATTCATATATTCAGCGCTCACACCTTCCGAAGCTTTTGTATTGCTCATGAAACAAAGATTAGCACAGTGACCACATAAAAGGCTTTAAAACACCAAGTGTCCTCTTGAAGGGGTGGATTTCACTTACCAAACTTTGCCAAGTTCGGGGTAACGCCGCGTTCTAGATAATCATTTCGAAACCCATCAAGCGAGATATAAACGACTGTCGGAGCAAACTGGTGTGTGCCGTTATTGTAGAGTCGTTGTGCTGGAGCATGCATATTGTGCATTTCTTTGCTGTGCGCATACATCATCAATACTAGTTTAAATATGATGAACGAAAACCCAACGGCAGCGGCAACTGCAACGTATCGCCATATATACCACCGATTCTATAAATTCCCAATGGTTGGTCCGTGAGAATTTGGTTGGTATTCTTGTCGATATTAGCAATATATAAATATTGACAGATTAATGGTTTTTACGTTTTTGAGCCGTTGTATCCGAGCTTCGTGATCTTCGTCGTCGTAGCATTCTTCTTCGGAATCGAAATCTTCTTCGACATCCCAAAAACCTTTTCGTCGACTGACATGTGAATCCCGTCTCGGCTGTTCCTGGTCATTATCATAATGACCGCCTTGGCTCAGTAAACGTTGTTCCTCTTCCTGTTGATCGTATTGCATGTTGCGCGGGTTGCGTTGTGATAGTGATTGACTTGAAGGAAACCCGAAAGGAGCCATTTACAAGGGGAGAGAGGAGAGTTTTTCTTTCCGGGAAAACGTAGGGAGAGAAAGGGAGGAGGTAGGGAGGAGTGGGTGGGAGACTTAGAATGGGGCTTTTTAGGGATAACAAAAGACGCTCCAGCCCACTCACTATTACAAGTATGTGTGTTGGAGTGTTAGGTTGTTGTGCGAGTCGACTGGTTGGATTGATAGGCGTACTTCATTCTGTCCCTTCTGACTTTATATCTATTTCCGGTATTGATCTGCACACGCATGGTTGGAAAACCAGGTTTCTCTCTCTTGTGTAGCCTAAACTATCCGACCACACCATGTTGAATAAAACGCGTACCGTTCTTCATTTGCGCATTACTCAATCCACGGCATGTTTTCATTTCTACTTGCAAATTATTAATCAAGAATGAATGGATAGCTAGCTAACGACTTGAGAATAATAATAAAAAAGGTCATTCGAGTTATTGTGAATATTGATCAAGAAAAGATCGACTGGTACAATGAAAGCGAACTTCACCCACTGGTGCTTAAAGCACTGCAGCCTATCATTATGGAGCACTTGCTGAGTGATAAGCACAGCTTATCAGTTGAGAAACGTAAGAAAGAGCTTGAAGCATCTCGCGTTTTAAAACACGGTAAGTTTTTTGTCCCTCTTTATACACCTAACATCTCTATTATTCGTTTCTCTCCTTGAAATCATCGTTATCATTATGCGAATAATAAACATTGTAAAATAGCCAAGTTCCGGCTAGCGTACCGCTTCATGTCGAAAGATCATACACACGAGTCAATGATGCTACGGGTAATAATCATCATTTACAGTATACACGATGGTATTCTTCTTTATATTAATGTGGGGATGAAATTTGCGTATACGTGGTATTGCATAGGATGATGGTGATTATCGAGCAGTACAGGTCTACCCATACCACCTCAGTATATTCGTTGACGAGCCACGCACCGATCTCAGTACTTGGTTTGCTGCATGAAAGGAAGAAAAATACTATGTACATACGTTGCTACTACTCTTGTTACAGAAACACGCCTTCTTCTTGTTCTTGTTCTTGTTGCTGCTTTTGATTTTCTGGCACTACTGGTTTGGTTGGGTGCTCTTTTCGAAACGCATCCACGTTGCTTCCAACTTCATATGCTGCTGCTTCTCCAAGTCGTTCTTTGATTACACGTAGGGTCAAATCGATCCGGTTTTCATGGCGTTCCATGAGCGCTTGATTCTCCTCAATGGCTTCTGTCAAATCTCGATCTTCTCCCTTGGGATCAAATTCGCGCATGGCCTCATTGGACTTTAATAAATGGGCAATAGAGTTTTGTACTTCAGGAATTTCACTGAGAAGGGTGTCAATTGGCAGTTGTTGTAATGCTTGTTTAAGGCGAGCTAGATCCATTGCTACAGTGAGTGAGAGAGGTGTGGTGCATGCGTGTCTCCAAAAATAAAAGAGGTGCTGCTCGGGATTAGAATAAAATTGAAAGAAAAGGCCGCACATGCAATGCCATTAATTTAGTGTCATAAAAACCGCTGGTGCTGCTGCGGTGATACGATGCATACGTGCATGCGTAGTAGCAGTAGCACTAGTAGATGCAGCAATCAGTATTACATCAAAATCATTTATGTGTTGAGGCTCCTGAAAATCCATATGAAATATCATTTTGTTATTACTCTCAGCCATTCTGTTTCTTGCTTGGTTTAATTTTGTATTGTTTAATCAACGTACACACAAAGAAGGAGGGAAAAAAGTACCTGTCGCTTCTTTCCAACGATTTTGAGGGGAAAGTGGATATACGCAGATTTCAGAACTAAGGATAAGGAGTGTGAGTTCAACTTTACCATATGCCAAAATAGAAAAAATATATAAGAATGGAAGTATTGTACTTATTTGTCACTTTTATTCTCATTATTCTTGTACTGCCCTTCCTTTGACATATATCTCATCATCGCCATCTAAATGAAACAGCAACTGACGACATCCGCTGCTGCTCTTGCATGCTTATTAGGTGCTGTCACCACATCAGCATCATCACCACCAACAGGCGCTGTCGTGCTGGATATGACTCGTGAACGCCCTCCTCCATCGCTGGCCGACTTTGTAAAAACCTCTGTTTTAAATCATGTCGAAGATACCTTGTCCTCGTTGCTCCCCCACAAGTGGTCGTACCGTGGTCCGCGAATGCCAGATCTGGATGGACATACGAACAGTCTTATGCAATTGGATTCAGACCTATCAACGCCATCGTCCCCAGCGCTGCCTTCGTCATCACCATCATCACCTTCGCACTCTTCTTCGAAACCAGCCATTAAGACGACGACAACATCGACTCAAATGGCAAATACCATGTGGAGTGTAAGTTTTGAAAAAACGCGAGATGATTACGACTTTTACGTAGTAGTAACCTTTTTTCTTGTCTTTATCGATTTAGTATGTCATTGAACTGGGCGTGTAAGTAGCAACTACTTTCTACTAATAAGCTAAAAGAGTAAAAGGAACTCATTGTATTTTTGCAACATACAACTATATCCTTCATATTTTCAGTGGAACGCCAGCACAAACGTTCAAAGTCATCTTTGATACTGGCTCGCCTGTCATTTGGATTCCGTCCGATGAATGCAATGATACTTCTGATTGTCCAGGGGCTACTACCACCTTTGAGACGGAGAAATCATCTACTAAGAGTATCGAAAAGGACAATATCATCATGGTCCACTATGGATCTGGTGCTGTAGAAGGCCACGTTGCACATGATACCATTTCCTTTCAAGACACTCGGATAGCTAACCAGTCGATGGGTTTAGCAACCAAAGTGGTAGATAATTTGCTTACAGATGGCATCAGTAAGTGTTTTTTTTTCTTGCTACCTACTGTATTCGATATACCATGATGCAACTACTTTTTGTGTTTACTAATTCGTTGTTCTTTGTTGTTTATTGTTGTTATACTTAGACGGCATTGTTGGGTTTGCACCCAATCGAGGCACATCCGAGTTCAATACAAGTAAGATTCTCTCTTGATCTTATTATAAAGTGCTATTAATGAAATAATCAATAACGACAATAACGAAAGATAAAAATACATTTGCTTATTGAATCATCAATTTTGATTGTGCGATTGAAATTAGAACATGAGACACTACTTACACCTATGGACAATTTGGTCAAGCAAAAAGCTGTTGAGCGTAACATGTTTAGCGTGTACTTTCAGCCGCTTCGGGACCATAAGGATATCAGTACCGTAGGAGGCAAACTGGCGCTAGGTGGATTACTTCCTGAGGACACCTACCAAGGCGAAATCCAATGGATTCCTCAAATTGTCGATGGCGATTATGCTGACTATTGGACGATTGGTTTAGAAAGCATTAGCGTGGGCGAAGCTCAAGTGAGCAGCGCCGTTTCTAAAAAGCGACGATCTCAAGCCTATGGTATTGTTGATACAGGTACCACCATGATCGTCCTCAAACCACAAATCGCAGCAAACGTGTACAAGAATATCAAGCAGGCCAAGTACAACGAAACACTCGAACTTTATACAGTTCCATGTAATTCCCTCGAGGCTTTACCCAACGTGGAATTCCATTTCGCAAACGGCGTGAAGCTGAGCCTGACACCGCAGCAATACACTGTGCCAGAATGGCAGCTCGTTTACTGGGGAGCGTCCGATTGTCCCCTATATATTGTCAGCACGACATTGGATGATGCCGAGGAAGCAGAGGAAGGCGGTTTAGACTTTATTCTTGGTCAAAAGTTCTTGGAGCATTATGTATCGATCTATGATGGTGATGACCACCGTGTAGGATTCGCACAAGCCAATCACCCAACTGTTGTATAAATAATACAAAAATAAAATTCAAGTATATAGAGTATTGTTGTTTCTTCTTTCTCGGGCTGCATTTTACGCATATTTAAACTTCCTACGTGTAAATATCAACATGGACAATAGTAAACTGTGTGATGCCCATTGCCACCCTCATGACGATGTAGAGCACCTCGACATGATTCCCAAGTTGAAAACAGGCCACATTACCATCATGGGGGTTCGTCAAGACGACTGGGATCGCGTTGCCGAGGTAACCGCGCAATGTGCCTCGGGACGTTGTATTCCCTCATTCGGTAAAGCAATGCATAATAAAAGGTTACTGTATTAACTTCAGTGGAGACAAGACTCATTGGAACAATATAAAACTATTAGGCATTCACCCATGGTTTCTTCATCGACTCATGGTCGATGACAATGCCGACCCGAAAACACATTACGATCAAGTCTTGACGGCCAAGATAGCTTCCGAAAAACAAGAAATGATCGAAGCACTCGAGCGGCCGTTTCCTCGAGAAGAATGGGTTGCTAACTTGAAACAACGACTTGCAGACCATCCACAAGCAGTTGTAGGCGAAGTCGGCTTGGATCGAGCAGCACGACTGTTGCCAGATGGAGCCATTGAATGGCATGGCGTCAAACCTACTACAGTTCAAACATCGATCGACCATCAAATGCATGTACTACGTATCCAGCTTGAAATAGCGCGCGAATTCCAGCGCGCTGTGAGCGTCCATTGTGTTCAAGCCTCCGGTCATTTATTGCAGCTTCTTCAAGAACTAGCAGTACCCAGCAAGAAAAAAGACAAATCATCATCTACTGCTCTTCCGCCACCTGTGCGACTTTGTATACATTCTTTTGTTGGCTCGGCTGGTTCCATCCCGCAGTTTCTCAATGTGAAGGGATTTAGTATCTATGTATCTTTTTCAGTAGCCATCAGTGGTCGACTCGCAAAGTCGAAATTGCAGCAGCTCATGTGCGCTATTCCGGAGGATAGACTGTTGATTGAGTCTGATCTAAACAGTCCCCAAGGGCAAGATGAGGCTATGGAAGAAATCGTAAAGGTAGTAGCAGAAGCAAGGCAGTGGTCGATTGAACAGACCATTGAACAGACGTATAGAAACTGGCAAACATTTGTTGGTATGCAATAGTAATAAACGTTTAAAATGTACGTTTTATGAATATGAGAAACCTTTGGAGAGTTGTTACTACATGTTATACCGATATTTATAAGAAAGACAATCACTTTTGTTCGCATTCCTCCTTCTTCTTAACCCTATTTATTACAAGATTAACTGGGGGTTAGTCCCGGTGATCTTATTGCTTGTACATTTGCTCATGCACATTAATACTCAGGAACTTTCCTTTGCTTGCCAGCATCAATTCGTGGTTGGATATCCTCGTCAAACCGCAATGGCTCGTCATACAACTGGACATTGCCACCACCTGGTCGATGCTTCATATTGTCCTTCGATCCGACCTTTGACTGAGCATTGTCATATGAAGCATCCTCATGAAAGACCTTTTCTGTTCCACCGCCCGGTTTATGCTTGATGTTATCCTTTGAGCCGACTTTAGATTTGGCCGTTGCGCTGTAATCGACCTTTTCTTCGAATAGCTCTACGTCACCACCACCAGGTTTATGCTTAATATTATCTTTGCTGCCAACCTTGGATTCAGCATAGTCGTAGGAAACAGCTCGGTGAAAAATCTTGTCCTGTCCTCCGCCTGGTTTATGCTTGATATTATCCTTTGATCCGACCTTAGATTTGGCGTTATTAAAAGAAACATCTTGGTGAAAAATCTTTTCTTGTCCTCCACCGGCTTTGTGCTTGATGTTATCCTTTGATCCGACTTTGGATGTGGCCGTTGCGCTGTAATCCTTCTTTTCCTCAAACAGCTGGACATTACCACCACCGGGCTTGTGTTTGATATTATCCTTGCTGCCAACCTTGGATTTAGCTGTCGCGCTAAAGTCCTTCTTCTCCTCAAAAAGTTTGACATTGCCACCGCCAGGCTTATGTTTGGCATTATCGAGCGAGCCTACTTTGGATCTAGCCTTGGAGTAGTCCTTTTTCGCGTCATACAACTTGACATTCCCGCCGCCAGGCTTGTGCTTGATATTATCTGTGCTGCCGACTTTGGATTTCGCGGTTTTGCTATAATCAATTTTCTCTTCAAACAACTCGACGTTGCCTCCGCCTGGTTTGTGTTTGGCATTGTCGAGAGATCCGATTTTGGATTTCACCTTACTGCTTTCAGACTTTTCGACCTGAGATTTTCTTTCATTCTTTTTTTCAACGATAACAACCAGTGTATTTGCATATCACACCCCCCCTCACATCCAACCACTCTGATATCAACCGCTTTCCTTTATTATGCGCAGCTTTTTCTCCACCCCAGCCATTCCAATACACTTTTCAGCACAAATGTACGAGCGAAAGAAAAAATCTAACCTGTAATCCACCCGCTTGCGACGCGTAGGTTCCGAAACGGACGATGAAGTTGAATTGGGACTTTTCACGCTGCTGTTGCGCGACAGAGATCGTGGTGATGTCACATTATAATCGTCAATGCGAGAAGTACCTGCATTTCATATATCAAGGTACCACATTAATGTCATTAAATCGCGTAAATGAAAATAGTATAAAAAACAGTTAGTGTGTGTGTAACATCTAGGCTCAGCTGTAGTAATAAGCAATCTAATTGTGTCTTACCTCCGCCTGGCTTGTGCTTAATGTTGTCTTTACTGCCAACCTTGCTTTTAATGTGGCTGTATTTAGGCAGAGGAGCCGAAAAGATGGTTGTTCCATTGCTTGAGGCACTGGTGCGACGACTCGATGCTGAAGAAGACGATGATGCGCCTCCTGAAGATGCTATGCTGCTTCGTTTCGTCGTCGTTACAGGGGAAGTTGCGGTTGTTGTCGTTGTTGCTGCTGTGGCAGAAGCTCTTTTCAGATAAGTGGTAGGGATGCGTGGGACAGGCGGTGCTGCTATCCTGCTTGCTCGTCTTGCGGCGGTGCTAGTAGTATCGGATCGTGATGCTGTAAGCGACATGGTTAAACTTGTGTGCACGCAATAGGCGCGCTTAGGCTATCGTCAAATGGCGAAAGAAAGAAAGGGCTTTTGATGTGAGCGAAAGAAAAGAGAGAGAGAAGGAAAAGGGAAAGAGCGAAACGAAAAACGAGCGTAATTTATTTTCGTGTGGTTTACATAGGGCACAGAGAGAGTTCTCGGCCATTTGCAACAATGATCTGCAGACTCCGATAATCCACAATAGGATTGGGTCACACGAAAAAGGTTATACAGCTAGAAAGATTCCTTTCGTGTACGTTGTGGGAGGGAGGACGTGTTATAGTGTCACTACTACTGGCTGATCACGATGGGTTCTTGTGGAATATTGCCTGCCCTCCGAGTAGCACGGCTATCCTTGGTAACTTTACATTATTTGAAAAAAGGCTATTCTATTTATCAGTTTTACGCTTTCCTTCCCCTAACGTGCAACCTTATCACAGATGAAAACGCGTGCTACGGCATGAATTTGGGAGGATGTGAGTAGCAAGTGTGTCATCCTCCCTACCCGTACCTTACATAGTCACACCGTCACCTTTAATGAGAACCTGCATCAAAATTGCCAACTCGGTGATGATGACCTTCATCCAACAAATACACAAAACGCTCTGGATTAAGGGGGAGAGGATGCGAGCTTGGATCAGCGTTTCATGTGGCGTCAACACATTTCGTAACGATCACATCCCTGATTATATCCTCACAACAACAATAACAACAACAACCGACCAGTTATGCTATTTTTGTTGATATCTATTCACGCCCCCGTCTCCCTCAATCTGAAAGTGAATATGCTGAGGAGAGATACAACATCATGAAAGAACGGATTGGCCGGTAGAAAACACCATGTATGCAGACATATACTGTAATGCAAGTCTATGTTTCTTGCCATTACTGTGATGTGCGCAATTTGTATATACCGTACATGCCAAGGCTGCTATGTAGTATAATTGTATAACCTTGCTTTTCGTGGGCATGTGGTCAAAGACATATAATAACGCCAGACAATATGGCGTGTGATGGGAAAAAATAATATATTTACATTTGAACATGTGGGCGGCGCAGTTGTATATCGACACTGCATTAGTCGTGGCCGAAGTACATAACAAAAGTGAAAAGAAGGATTGAAAAGGGTATCGAGTACTCATCTTTGACATCATTGTAGAGACGTAGCAGCAATAGTGATGCTATAGAAAGTGGCTGTTAAGGGTGAATTAGGAAGTAGTAGAACTACAAATAATAGATCTCCTATCATATGCGCTCACGACGCAACAACGTATCTCACTACAGCACATCACTCCATTCAAAAACCAAACGACAGAACTTATTTCACATAAAATATGCTTTTTAATAGCCGAATTTTTTTTTCAACACAATCCCCCCAGTTTAGATCTTATCATAGTACTTTTCGAGACCTGGGATGTCTTCTGCAAGACCCTTTCTCTTACGCACGTTACGAATAATGTCATACACTTTGTTTCCAGGTTCCAGCGGGTCACCGGTCATGTGCTGCCAATGGTCCATCACGGCTTGTGGGAAGGCAGTGCCACCTTAGTCGACAAGAGAAAAGGAGAATCGTGTTAGTTCTTTTATTCACGACAGCAACAACAACAACACGGCCACTGCCGCCTCCCGATGTACATATGTGCACGAGGAAAAGACTTGAAGAAAACTTACCAGTCGAAGCTCTCAGGTCTGCGGTGAAACCAAATGATTCATTGACTGGAAGGTAGGCCTTGATAGTTATCATGGGAGTACCTGGCCGCTGTTCTTCGTGGAAGACAACACCACGACGCTTGTTGAGCACATTGTAAATACCGCCAATGGCTGTGTCTGGACACTGGATTTCGACGAGGTAGACAGGCTCTTGAATGGATGGGCTTGCCGTCAAGATCGAGGCGTACACAACACGACGGGCCGTTGGGATGATCTGGCCACCACCACGATGGATAGCGTCAGCATGCAGCGTCACGTCGAGGACATTGAATCGGCAGCCACGCAGGTTCTCTTCTGCAAGAGGACCTTCTTTGGTGGCCCACTGGAAGGCGGCGACCATGGAATCTTTGATTTCATTCAAGTATTGCACGGCCTTGGTCGTGTCTACGAGCTGTAATTGTTATGATTTTATGTTAGTATATAAACACAGCAAGAGGTAGAGAGAGACGCGTTGGTGGGGAATAGATAAGCTTACCAAGTTGGGACCCATACCGTCTGGGCCAAAGCACCAAATCTTACGTGCGTCTGCGAGCTCCCAACCGTAGTTCTCTGCCATGTCACGGGCACGCGATTTGAAGTCGTCTCGTGGGCCGATTTTACCCTCCTCGATGGCCTTGGACAGCTCGTCCTCGATAGGCTGTGCGCGCATGTGGATACGGTTGTGCTTGTTGGGCGATTTAGACATACAGTCGATAGACGAAAGGGCCGTGACCGTCTCACGATATGGGACGACAGGATCACCGGTCTTGATGGGCACCTGGGCGTGGTCTTCTTCCAAGTCCTTGAGAATGATTTCCAAGTGGAGTTCACCAGCGCCAGCGACAATGTGTTCACCAGAGTCAGACGTAAATGTCAGCACGCAAGGATCAGACTTGGCCAATCGCTTCAGGCCTTCGACGAGCTTGGGCAAGTCATTGGCATTCTTGACCTCGACGGCAACTTGCACGACAGGGGAGACAGAGAACTTCATGACCTTCATGTTGTGGGCAACCTCGGAAGTGGAGATGGTGCCGCTCTTGACCAAGAACTGATCAACACCGACCAAACCGACAATGTTGCCTGCCGGGCAGTCGTCGATGGCTTCAATGTATCGGCCCATCATCAACACGGTACGCTGGATGGACTTGATCGACAAGTCGTTCTTGGACCCGGGTTGGTAGTTGGGACCCATGATACGGACCTTCAGACCGGCACGGACAGTACCTGAAAAGACACGGCCAAAGGCATAGAAACGACCCTTGTCGGATGTGGGGACCATCTTGGAAACATAAAGCATCAAAGGCGCTTGGGAATCGCAGTTGCGGATACCCGTCGCGCACTCGTCATCGCTGGGGCCTTCGTACAAGTTGGGCACACGGTACTTTTGGGCAGTGACGGGCGATGGCAAGTGGATACAAATCATTTCCAAAAGTGCGTCACCGCAAGGCAAGAATTTTCGCATGACGACCTTCATCAACTGCTTGCCCTCCAGCTCTTCCTCATCGTTCTTGAGTTGGATGTCGAGCTTTTGCAACAGGGTCTTGGTTTGGTCCTTCTTGAAGTTCATGATCGAGTCAAAGATCTTGAAGATGGGGTCGAGGACAAACATGTTGAACGCGCGTTCCAGTGTCTTGCCGTCGCCATCGGTGCTCTTGGTGCTCCACTTTTTGGTCTTGGGGTTAAAGTAGTTCTCACCCCACAGGCGCTGCATCATCTTTTCCCTGTCGACGCCGAACTTCTTGGAGTAGCGGATGGCAAACTGGCGCAGGGTGAAGCCCCAGCCGTGCAAACCGGAGGCAAAGGCAACGGTACCCTTGTCTGGGTAGACTTGGACATCGCCCAAGGCATCGTCGAGGTATGTGGAGATGATCACATTGACCGACTCGATGGTACGTGCGAATGTCTACATAGCAGTAGTGGTAGCGTTGGTAATGTAAGAGAAAAAATTTTGTGAAAGGAATTATTAGGCCCATGGGAAAAAATAAGACGAGTAAACAACAACAAAGTAATAACAGTATAACTTACGCTGTACAGCTCTTCCTTGTCGAGTTGCAGCTCGAGCAAAGCACGGTCGATCTTGTTGATGACCAGCACAGGCTTGATGCGCTCCGTCAGCGCCTGGCGCAACACGGTCTCGGTTTGGACACAGACGCCCTCGATACAATCTACAACTACAAGGGCGCCGTCTGTGACGCGCAACGCGGCAGTAACCTCGGAGGAGAAGTCAACGTGGCCAGGTGAGTCAATCAAGTTGATCAAGAACTCATGGCCTAGAGAGAATAGAACAGGTTTTGTTAGGTGGTCAGTTAGTGTGTGAAAACATCAATCTTGGGCAGTCAAGCACAGAGTTTTTCCTGAGCCGAATAGATGAAACGAAATAGACAGGTACTACCACAGCTACTTTACCTTGCGTCTTTTGGAATTTGATTTCCTTGATATCATCAGGTTGTGCGAGTTGGAAGTACATGGAAATGGCAGTGGACTTGATGGTAATACCACGGTCTTGCTCATCCTGACGAGTATCAGTGAAGCGCATGTCACCGGCACGGCCAGCCGAGATGATACCAGCCTTGGACACCAACGAGTCGGTCAAAGTCGACTTGCCATGGTCGACGTGAGCAATCACCGACATGTTGCGCACATTGGTGGTGCGATTCTAATAGGTACAAACCAAATATTCGCGCGTGATCAGCTTTTCTCACACGGTCTACCTAACTAGCGCCCTTCCTCCTCCACCTCCACCTCCTCTCGGAGCTGTTTCGATAGAAGCTTACCATCAGAGAGCGGATTTCTTCAATAGTAAAGTTCTAAAAGAGCGTTTGCCGGTCTAGTTAGCACAAGAAAACAAGCGGCGCGTAGAATTCTCATTCTAGGTTTTAAGTTAACGAGCACTGACCACTAGTAAAATGCCGAACGTAATAGCAAGGGAGCAGCAGCAGGAGCAGCGGAGGCAGTTACATAGGAAACGTAGAGCCCCGCGGTGCAACAACGGATAACCGATTAGATTACAACAATAGGCCTCTTTTGTCTTCTTCCTCCGACCCCCCGCACACAGACACAGACTGACATTGACAACTTACCCATCTTGTACTGCTTTCCGTTTGAATCAAAAGAAGGGGAGAAAGGTTGTTGTTAGAGAGAGAGTAAAAGAGAAAGTTGAAAAACAAAAAAGAGAGGTAAAGAAGCGAGTATGAGAAACACGCGTCCTTTTTATTTTACCCAGGCCATCAAACACAACACACTCACACTCACACTCACACATCATGAGCTTAGCTTGCAAGAAAGGACCCCATCACACCCAGTTCAAATATGGAATGCTTGCTGTGTCACTCTGTTTCTTTTTCCAACCAACATGTTCCCACCACTAAAAGGCAAATACTGCGGGAAAAGAAGGATGCATAACACTGTTTTATAAGCATCCCATGTCACGCGCGCCCACGCTTTGTGCTGCTGCTGCTTCTCGGGTCTGTTGTAACTAGCTGCTGTTGTTGGTACTGCTGCTACGAGTGCTAACCAGCTGCGTCGACAATCCACTACTGCGCCGTGAAAAACCCCGTCCGCTGCTTTAGTCCATCAGTCTTCTCCTGATAGATTCATTCGATCACGAGGCGCGTATCTTTCTACTGCGCAACAATTCGTTGAGCCTTCTACAACAGATTACTACAGGTAGGGAAGCTCGTTCTCCCTCTGTTGTCGGGAGTTGTCAGTCACCCTAATACACAACGCATTATTTCTGTGCAACCGCCCATTCCTTTGCCCGAACCTCGAATTTGTCTTTACGGTGCCCGGCCCCTCACTTGGGCACCCTCGCAATGAGCAGCAACAAGCCGTAGTGGCAGTATATGTTTGCATCATATATATCTCCTGTCAAGTTGCAAGTATGTACTCTTTTTCTTTTTAACAGGTGACACTTTCCTCTGCCCAAGTCGCCTGACCTTGTCAATCATCCCTTTTGTTTTGGTTTTAATACTGGGCTTTCTCTTTCATCATTGATACGTCGTCACCACTATCTTCTTTCTTTCCTGGTTCATAGCCCACAATGCTTAAACTTCTTATATCATAGCAGCAGTAACAAGCAGACCACCCTACATATTAATCATAAAGAATAAGCCCCGGAACTCTCTATTTTGCACACTGTGAAAAGAACATCCCCCTCGCATTGTTTGTCTTTTGTTTATTGTGACGACACTATTATGTGTAGCAGAGAATTGTTCTGGCTGCGAAAGGTACATAGTTTGACACAGTCTGCTTTAAAAAAGGGCGTGCACGCCCTTCTCCTCGTCATTCATCGGTTTTTTTTTTCTCTCACTCAAAGAAAAGAGGGAGGGGGTGCACCATCTGGTGACTTTCCGTCATACTGTAACCTTGTTTTTTTATATTCTTCCAGTAGTAATGAATGGTAGATTTTTTGAATGGCTGGTACATGAAGCGTGGGTACCAAACCAATATTTTCCGGCTTTAGGTGTTTTATGCACTCGCATCTCACACAACAAAAAATCAACAACAACAAGGCTGTAGCCCTTGCTTATTAGTTTGCGGTTTCGTAGCAACAGCGTTACAAAATAGACACCAGGCTGTTCAGGAAATGACTTGAAAGGAGTACTCCCCGCCAAATGTCTATTGTCATGCAGCATGAAGCATCCAGCTCAATAGTCGTACAACATAGCAACAACAGTTCGTAGTAACCATAGGAGCGGCCCAGTCAGTGGTATATGAAGGTTAAATATTTTAATTGCATAGTAACTGTTTGCTATGGCAGTGGTGGGAAATCCTACCACGAACAGGCTGTTTGTTTGCCTGATTGCATTGTCATGTATAGTCTGTGTTGAGGATGGTAATGAATTAGGAATCTTAGCGGACCCATAAACAGAATTTTTTTTGTTCCAGCTCGCTTGACTTTAGACTTTTTTAAATTTCACTCTTTTCTAAACCTTCAATACACAACCCTACATGGTAACGCAGCTCTTTGATCTCTCGCTCTTTAATTAAATGATTAGAGTGTACTGATCCGAGATTCTTCTTCTTTAGCCTCAAAACGAGCATATTGAAGAGCACATTAAGCGCCATGGTCGGCGATTCGATCACGAAGAGCGCACGTAAGCATCGATCCATCTTTTGAAATAACAACAACAACCAGTTATCATTTTTTTGTCCCTTTGATCAAAGCCAATTTACCAAACAAACATGTATATATTTCAACTTTAGGCGAAAGCGACAAGCTCGTCAGGCACATAAAGACTCTCAATATGCGCAAAAGGTGCATGGATTGAAGGCGAAATTATACAACAAGAAGCGTCATGCGGAAAAGATCCAAATGAAAAAGACCATCAAACAACATGAAGAAAAGAATGCCAAACAAAAGTCAGCCGATGCAGTACCGGAAGGTGCGGTACCTGCCTATCTTTTGGATCGTGAGGGTGAAGATCGTGCCAAGATTTTGAGCAACATGGTCAAGCAGAAGCGGAAAGAAAAGGCTGGCAAATGGTCTGTACCATTGCCTGCTGTCCGTGGTATGGCCGAAGATGAAATGTTCAAGGTCGTCAAAACCGGTAAATCCAAGAGCAAGGCCTGGAAGCGTATGATCACCAAGGCAACCTTTGTCGGCGATGGCTTCACTCGTAAACCACCGAAATACGAACGCTTTGTTCGACCTATGGCTATGCGTTACAAGAAGGCACATGTCACACATCCGGAACTGAAGGCTACGTTCCAGCTGCCGATCATTGGCGTCAAAAAGAACCCACAGTCGCCATTGTATACCCAGCTTGGTGTCATCACCAAGGGTACCGTTTTAGAGGTGAATGTCTCGGAATTGGGCTTGGTGACCACTGGCGGTAAGGTCGTCTGGGGTAAATACGCTCAAGTCACCAATAATCCAGGTAAGAATCATTCTTGTTGCAAGTTGAGAGGACGCGATGGAAAGAGTGACAAAGAGACTGATCTTTTCTGCTTTTACTCCTAGAAAACGATGGCTGTATCAACGCTGTACTTCTTGTTTAAAATAACTGCATGTTTTGTTGTTTCTCTTTTTATCATATATACACTCACACGCCCACACACAAAAAAAGTCTCTGTTTCCTTTTCTTCCCTGTCCCGTAATTTCTGTATAATTAAACCATCTGTTTTTTATTCTTTTGCATTTCAAAACTACTCTTTTTTACATGTGGACTAGCCAGTTTTTGATACGTCGCAACAATCTTGCTCTCCGGTGATGACGACGAGGACGTTGTTGATGGAGGTGGCGATGGTGATAAAGATGCTGGTGATATTGACTCGGCTGCGGTACATCTTCCTCGTGGACAAACTGAGGTGATTGCTCTTGTTGCGAATGGAAAACAAGTTGCAATCCACCTTGAGTGTTGGATGGGATAACAGGTGAATAGTCAGGTTGGTTCTCTGGTGACGATGCAAAAACGTGTTCGTATTCTTCTCCTACGGTTGATGCGCTGTCGTTCTCGAATGAAAATCGTTCTGGAAAAGCTAAACGCTCTTGGTGAAGATGATAGAGTAAAATCAATGGATGATGATAGGTGTGTTCCTTACGTTCAATGATATATGTCAATCTTGCTGCGATTCGCTGCGGCGATCCAAGAACACTGAACGCACGTGTCATCTTTTGTATGACAAGTGGATCAAGCGGTGGCCGCAATGGTTTGCGGATGGGTATGTCACTGGCCGGCGGTAAACTGCGGAACCAAGGATGCTGAGCCACTTGAGCAAGCGTGATCCGTCGGCCTGGATCGATCGTTAGCATGGATTGGAGCAGATCACGGCATTCCGGACTAAGTCTATCTGGAAATTGAACATGATCTTTGTCCAGAATCCGCTGGCTGACTTGTTCAGGTGAATAGCCCTCGAACGGCATTCCTCCAGTCACCATGATATAAATCAAGACACCAAAGTTCCATACATCTACGGGCGGGCCTTCGTACGTCTCGCTCACGGTATCCAACAATTCTGGTGCTGTATAATGGATGGATCGACACATGTATTTGCGCTTGTCCAGTAGTTGATCAACACAAATTGATGCAGCGCTAAAGTCCAGTAGCTTGACCTGGCCGTTCTGCGCGAGGATCAGATTATCAATTCGAACGTCGAGATGCACAATAGCATGGCCATGGAGATAATCCAGAATGCGCCAGACTTGATGAGCGTAGCGTCGTGCAGATACTTCGGATAAATAGTGTTGCCGGATTATATGGAAAAGTAAGGGAGTGCCGCTGATATGTTCCATGACAAGATAATGGTGATCCAAAGTTGTGACAAAGTCATACACTTGTGGAAGGTATGGATGACGTAGAAGCATTAAGATCTGGGCTTCTCGAAATGCATGTTCGTCACGAAGTCTTTCGAGCGCACTTGTTTCTTGTTTTTTGAATTCGTTTTCATCTTCAACATCACCCGGTATACTCAACAAGGCATATTTATTGGCACGCGGCGTAATCTTAACAACAACCTAGTATTTCCCAACCCTATCCGTGTTAGCAAAAAGTATTACAGCATCGCGGGACTGGACTATCAGATATACGCACCCTGTCTTGAGTAGTTTGATGTTCTGCCATTATTATCTGTGCGGTGCTACCCTGGTGCAGAAGATCCAAGAAAACATAGTCACTGATAGCTTGGAGTGTGGATGTGCCAGCAATAGGTAATGGCTTGGCCATGCCTTTCTTGACCCTCTTTACCATGTCAAGTTCTTGGAGTGCTGCGGATGCAGATGACTGGAAGGACACCGTGGACGAAGAGGATGAGAATGTCGAAAGACTACCGGAAGAATCCATGTCCATCAACGTTCTAGTATCCGGCGAAGCGGGTTCCAGCACATTGAAAGCGCCAGTGCACAGGCCACATTGACATGTTTGTGTTGTTGTCGTTTTTGTTGATTCTGCAGCGTTTTCTTGTTGTTCTGAGTGCACATTCATTGTTGTTTTTCGATAACAATAAAGTGTGTTTCACATAATCAAGAGGTGAAAGAGATTGCAATACCTTTAGTGTGGCATGTTAATCATTTTCTATTTTATGCCCTGTCTGAAAAATTGTCACTCCCATGCTCTTTGAAGGGGTTCAGGTCGAGACAGATCGGTGAAACAGCAAACAAACAAACCGACAGGGGTACCGCGCATTGTACTCCCTTTGTTGCTCATGGTATCAACACATTACTTTGAAGAAGCTACATACCACGGTGGACACATTACTACAGATACTTCTGTACGATATATGTGCTGCAGTGAGTTCACAAAGTACGTCGCTACTATGTGAGTTTCCTGATCAATATATTTAAAAGTATAAGAAAGAGTAGTTTGGGTACAGAGTTGCTATATATATTACTTTTTGTGCATGCATAGCACATTTGTTTGCAAGTTCACTTTATGCAAAGTAATCGTAGCGCACTAAATTAGAGTATTGCGTTAGATCCACTCTTCCGATATGGACAAAATCTGTGCGTCTCAGTGTGTTAAGGCACCGAAACATGTCTATACAAAATATAAGAAGCTGCAAGTTATGCGTGTATGAAGCTAGTTTACAATGGACTATGTGGGTTTTTTAAGGCGACCTCATGTTTAATAGTCAGAATATTACAGCCCATTGTTCTTGGATGTCTGACAAGCAACAAGGCCGAAATCGAGGGAGAAATTAAAGTCCGGCCAGTCCGGGCCGGAGAGCGTGCTACTTTGTAACGCTGGCCTAGCAACCCTTTGCCTCCCTCTCTATCCACGCGTAAAAGGTATGCATCAGAAGGGTGGAAAGAAGTGAAGGACGAGAAAGAGTACACGAACGAACACAATAAACGGAAAGAACGGATGGATGGACGGATGGATGGAAACGTGGATGCTAAATTGACCCCCCTCTTTATATTGAATAGTTTTTGCCAAACATGGTGAGATACGCTGCCACTCCCTCTAACGCGTCCAAAGGTATATAATTTAAAAATTAATTCGATTTGAATTTTTCCAAACACTTCAATGCACCAATGCGATGAAAAAAGAGACGAATTACGTTCAGTATTATTGATGATTTAAATAAATTACTTGAATAGCTGCCAAGTCTCGTGGTTCCTACCTCCGTGTTCACGCAAGTATCAATTCTATACAACAATCAGTTCAATTTGACGTGGAGCGCAAAAAAAAAACACTCGACGAGAAAACGAAACGATGAACACAAAGATAATAACACATAGAATCGCAATTATAATTATATACTATTACTATATAGTTCAAGAACACCCACGAAGTAGCAGCTGCCATCAAGGGCTTGAAGTTGAGCAAGGCTTACAGCTACTTGCAGAACGTCACTGAGCACAAGCAGGTCATTCCTTTCCGTCACTTTAACGGTGGTGTCGGCCGTACTGCTCAGGCCAAGGAATTCAAGGCTACTCAGGGTCGCTGGCCCGTCAAGTCGGTCAAATTCGTTACTGACTTGTTGAAGAACGCTGAATCCAACGCTGAGGTAATTTTCTATCAAAGGAGAGCAATCGATCGATCGATCGTAATGAAGCATTGCCGGAACGAAAGAAAGAGGATCCTAATAAGAGGATTTTCTTGATATGATAGGCCAAGGGTTTGAACGTTGAGGAGCTTTACATCTCCAGCATCATTGTCAACCAAGCTCCCAAGCACCGCCGTCGCACTTACCGTGCTCACGGTAGAATGTAAGTTTTTTCACTGCGAAATATATAGCCAAGTAGAGCCCAAATGATTAGGATATTGATCATGTGATTGTTCTTTTCGTTGTATATAGCAACCCCTTCATGACCTCGCCCTCCCACATTGAGGTTATCCTCACCGAGAAGGAAGAGGCTGTTGCCAAGGCTTCCGAGAAGAACGTTGCCCGTTTGAACAAGCGTCAGTTGGCCCGTAACGCTCGTCTTGCTCGCGCTTAAATAAACAGATTGATGGGATTGTTTTTCTTCTCAATTTATATATGCATGTTTGCTTTATTATTGCTACTATGTGTGCTTTCTGTGTGGAGAAATGTTTCGTTGAACAAAGATGTGTGAGGGTGTATGAGTGCGTGTGAGTGAGTGCAGGAGACTATGATGATGGTGGGGTTGCTTGTTCGGTAATGGTGGAAGACGACTTTTTCTTGGTGCTCTTTTTCTTCTTCTTTTTCTCTTGCTTATCCTTCTCGTCTAAGAGACATTTTGTCTTTTTCCTGCCCAGTACTTCATTCAAAATCTCAAACACTCTTGCATGAAGGTTTTCGGGTACCTCGTGTTCTTTGCAGAATGCTTGTGCTATCTGTTCAGGTGTATCGATCTAAGAAAAGAGATAATGTCAGTATAAGGAGAGCGACATAAGTATAGCGAGTAAAGTAGTACAACTCACCAGACGGTATTCTAGAATACGCTTGCCCTTGTCTGGAACATCCAACTCCATCTTATGGATCCTCTTCATTTTTGGATGTTCCATAATCGGAACTCTTTTCCGTTGAGGTGCTTTCTTACCTGGAAGAGAATCATCTACTTGTTGGGTTGAATCAACATTCGAAACGGACGCCTCATCATCTCCTTGCATGTGATCATCGCTGGAGATAGGCGTTCCATTTCCTTGTGCTGAACCAACATTTGAAAGAGGCGATCCATTCCCTTCCAGTAAATTAACGTTTGAGAGAGGTGTTTCGTTTCGTTGCACTGGGTCACCCTCATCCATTATTAAGCTTTCAAGCGGATCATTGACAGACATGTGTGTGATTAGCGGCTGAATGAGGTTTGCATCTGGTATTAATGGTTGTTGTATAGTTGCGTTCGATTGGTCTCCTTCGGGTGAAAGGAGATCATCGTCGTTTGTATCGATTAGAGCATTATCTTGTATTGAATCACTTTTCTCCTCAAGTGATATCGGTGGTGATGCGTTATTATTGTCCATGGTGAGTCCTGACATTTCCTCCCACAGCGAAGAAGATTCGAACGATGAATTTCGAGCAGTAGTAGCAGCAATGTTGTTGTCCTTAGTAAGTTTCGTGTTCAACTTGCCGCCAGCAACGACATCGCTGGTATCAATCAAGAATCCCGATTGCGCATCAAAGGACGCAGCGGCCGTCAGGGTATTATGTCGTGCTGTCTTTTCCTGTCGCGCAATTTGTTCAGCCACACCTATCGAGGCAAAATCGTGCCACTGTGCTACAGCCGCACTGTCGTCCTCCTTGTTCCGTGGAGCGGCTTTCTCGGGAGCCTTGGGAGAACATGTATTGTCGGGAAGGCTCTTGGAATGGGCTATAGATAGAGAGAGAAAAAAAGGGATAAAAAAAGGTTTATTGGTATATAGTGCATAAGTGTGGAATAACCCATCGACCTTAGTCCCAGCCCTCATCGTATCCAAGAAAAGAATCCTTCATATCATCCTCAGGATGATCCATAACTGCTGGGCTTCTATGCTTCATCCATTCCCTTTCTCGTTGCCACTTGGGTTTTCCAGGGTGGATAGGTAGAAATTTATCATTACCTCTCGCCTGCGGCTGAGCCTGCTGCTGCTGCTGCTGCTGCTGCTGCCGGCCATGTTGTGGTTCAAGCGCCGGGGAAGTCTTGATCGTCACGCCGTCGTCGTCATCCCAATCAATATCCTCTTCATCGCTACTCAAAAACTCGGGCGATCGTTGACGTGAGTACTTTGTTTTGTTTTCTGGTACTTTTTTTGGCGACGCACTGGCTTTTTCAAGCGGTGGCCATGCGGTACTGGCTAGCGCGGGTGGCGTCGGTTCCGATGGTGCGGCTGTTGGTCGTGCTACTGGAGCTGCACTTCCAGATGTCTTGTATTGTTGTGAAACTGGATCCCAGAACTGGGTCTTTTTCTGCTTCTCAAGAAGTTCGTGAGCGTAACCCTGCTGTCGCAAGTCGTTCCAAGGTATGTTATTCTCCGGTGTTCCCCAGCCGTCGCTTTCCATTACAAACGAGCTCCGGGCACCACGACCGGTGCCGCCACGCTTGAAGCTAGGAGCTTGTTGTTCCAGCGTCTCCTGTTGCCATCTATGTTCGTGGTGTTCAGCAGTGTATGGTGTCCATGGTTGCTCAGCTTGTCGTTGGGATGCTGGCCCTGGTTGTTTAGATGTAGAGGCCACTTTTTTAGACCATGGAGTGGGGTTGAGCGAGCCCCATCCCCCTAGTTCAACCGTTTTAGACGCCTTACTGTTGTTGTTGCTGTTGTTGCTGACGGCGTCATTGGATGTCGTCGTGAGAATAGGCCATTCCTCGCGCAAGGGCGGTTCTGGGGCCGCTGTGGGTAATGGTGGTGGCATGGCAACTGGCGTTTCTTCCGCTTCTTCAGTGAAGGGCTCTACGAACTGCATTGCTGGATAATTAGGAGTCGGAGATTGGTCCAGGCGATACGATGTAGTAGTACTTGCATGTGTATTTTCATATGTTGTTGGCTCCTCAAAGTCCTGTTCTTCTTCATGCTCCATAACAGGCTCTGCATCAGGCACCGGAGTCGAAGCAGTGGTAGAATTGCGTTGAGAAAGCCGTGATGAACGAGATGTAGCGGATGTCACAGTGGCATTGTCGTTGTGGATCTTGGATGATGACGTTGGGAGATACTGCTGAATCTCGGACTCGTTTGCATGTGCCCACAAGGCTGGAGTAGTCGGCCGCAAATTGTATTGACTCTTTAACGATGCCACCCGTGATAATGATTTGTGAGCTGTTTCTAATACGAATCAATTGTTATCATTGAGAAAATCGATTTGCAAAAGCCAATACATCCGTCTACTTGTCCTCTTCCTTACTTTGCTCATAATCTTCGTGCTTCGAAGCCTGCTCTGGTTCTTGCTCATTACTGCTGTCATCCACGGGTCCCTCTGCCTAACATCATAAACCATCAAGAATTAGGTTTCCTCGTGAATTAGAAGACTAACCAGCATGAAAAACTATTTCTTACCTGAACCTTTTCAATGGCATCATTTAGGAAAGTCACACTGACATGCAATTCGTTGGCAAGCATGACTAGTTGTTCGCCGGTCAAATAGCGGTTGCTGGGCACTTCCATGAGTTCAGCATTCATCTGCGAGTCGGCAGACGCAAGTGCATCGATGGCCCTTTCATCAAGAGTTAATCGCACAGCTCCCCATGCCGCGTTTTGTGCCTCATCCAAACGTTCAATAGCCAGAGATCCGACAATGGATGAGGCGAGATTATTATAACCGTCGAAGCAAATCCGTCGTAAGCGATGATCTGCAGTGGCACAGCATAACAGATATATTGCACGCGGTGACACCGGGCCACAAGCTTCCATGTATATATCCTGAATGGAATGTTGCGCTGCTGATCGTGCTAAGCCCTCCAATGTTGCATCGCCAATACTTGTGCATTCGATTATATGCAGTGTACGCAGATCGTCGTTGCATTCAAGCAGCTGGATCAAAGCATCATCTGTGATATCTTCACAGTTGCGCAAGCCGATGGTTTTCAACGACCCACACGATTGTGCCAAATCCTCCATCACCTTCTCAGGCACGATCATGTTTTCCAAAAGCAGTCGCTTGAGATGGATTGCTGTTGACCACGAGTTGGTTCCTTTGTATGTTGGTGACTTGTTTTTCTGCGAGGATATCGTTTGAGGATCCGCGCGTAGTTCGATGTTTTCGATGTTTTGGCAATTGGCAATGACGGTGGAAATGATGCCTGCACTGACGAATGTCGTTCCATGTAGCGTGAGCGAACGTAGGTTGGGAAATGCCGATACAACGCGTTCAACATGAACATCTGCCATGGGTCGGCCCTCGGTCAGGGTGAGCTCGGTCAGGTCAAGTTCGCCAGAGCACAAGCGCGCCAGAGTTTGTTCCTCCATCATCTCGTTTTTGTTCTTGCCGTGACATAGTGGTATTTCCAATGAACGCAGTGCATGAGCGCGACTAGCCAACGTGCCTGCAAACTCCACTGATAAGTAAAACTCGCCGTCGAGACGAAGTTCGCGCAGCCTTGACATCATGTTCCGGAGCACAAACGGACGTTTAAAAGTTTCGTTGGATCCAATGACGGTGAGGCTAGTCAGTTGGCTGAGAGTCGCGCCAATCGATTCAATCTTCATAGGATCAAGCTGCCAGCCGTAGATTTTGAGTGCCTCGATATTCTCACACTGTCGTACCAGGTGCATGATCAGCTCGGGCCATCTGAGTGGGATGTTTTTCTGGTTGTGTCGAGTCAACACAGAATCAAGCATAGCACGAAAAATGGTCGGACACTCGCCGTCCCGTACACAGAGTGAGAGTCGTTTTACGTATAAGGCCAGACGTTTTCGCGACGTCGCGGAGCCCAAGAAGAGTTGAAAAGTAGTAGGATCTCGAAGCACCGGCGCTTCCCAGAGAATGGGTGTTGACGCGGTGCTCCATGTTCGATTGGCCACTGTGATTTCAAAGAGATCCCGCTGTGTGGGCAAGAACCGACAAATGCGCTCCATAATGTCAATGCGTAATCGCAAGAACGCCGGAGGCCGTGCAAAATCAAACGAAGAAACCCAGCTTTCGTCGTTAGAACTGCTTGGCTTCATTGTTTGTATAGAGGGCTCATTCAACTCTTTGAGGATCAAATGAAAAAAAAAGAAGGGGGGGGGCAAACAAAGACTGTTTGGAAGCGGGTAAAAAGAAAAGAATAAAGCAAATGGGTTTGCCCTTTGAATCAATACTTGGCGTGACTTGAAACTATCAAACCAGAATACATGTACTCTTCTCCACTTTGGATACTTTATTTATCCTGTCTAACACACCAAAACAAACAAAAATGGTTCCCTTTGTGGTCATAGTGTCACCATAGCTCGGGAGCTGCGTTCCGCATACCAGAGCGTATCACCCAGCCTAATGATGCTATAATGACAACGTGATTCATTGCAACATAGCAGATTTTGGACTCCCATTATCATACATCCCTCCCAATTTTGTATCTGGACCGTCATTATTGATAAGTGAGCAGTGCACATATAAAATAAAATTAATTCGACTTTTATTCACAGAGAGATAGTCATTTTAAACACGGTATATATCAAGTTCCTAAGCGATCAACAACATAGGGTACACAAGCAGAGGAGACAACGATTTGGTCAGTTAGTACAAGTGGCTCTAATCGATGATGAATGCCCTACACTTCTTATACTCTACCTATTTATCGTTATCGTGGCAGTCCGTTTCTCCGCCTAAAGCTACGCAACAGGCTTTATATGTTTGTCCGCTAAACCAAAGAGTTGCTGGTGTGTATACGCACTCGTTATCATCTGGAGCGACGTCAGTGCCAGCGCAGCATTGTTTGTGGACTGCGTCGAGAAGATCACCAGACGTTGGGTCAACGCACTTGCAGACAGAGTTAGACTGCGAGTCGTCGCTGGCGACGACAAAGGCTGTGTAGGTAGCAAGAACGGCGAAAATTGAAAGCTTGACCATGGTTTTTGTGTGTGTTAAATGCAGGTATTAAAGCACGATATGTACTAGACGATAGAAAGGTAATAAAAATGACATCTCATATACCAGAATATTTATATTTTTCCTTGCATTCTGCTAAGGACTCATTACCCCGGGGCTCTTCTCCTCATCCAAACCCTATCTTTCTGGCTATGATAGTCCACACTTTTTCTTTGTTACGTAGTATGTAAGTGTGCATATAGGAGAAGAGGAGAGGAAAACCGACGACGATGTCAACAATTACTGACTAGTTTGAGAAAACTAAGCAGGTAAACTGGATAACATACTCCTACAACAATGTTCTTTCTCCCACTCTAGCCATCCCTAACTTGTATACAAGGGGGTGGTATAAGAGAGATATCAGAAAGAACCGTTCATTTATCATTTTGGAAGGGCGCCTGATGCATCTTCTATCACCCCCGTCTTTCTATTCGTTGCTGATGATGTTGTTGTATATATCGCCTGGCCAAGGTCAACGCAGCTAAAAAAAAAAGGAGAGCAGGGCAAAAGAAGGTATAGAGTTTTCTTTCTACTGTACTTTGATGACTTTTAGGAGCATTTAGCATAAGTACATCAGGAATAGCACCGCATCGAAAGAGGGAAAAAAGGAGCATACAGTAACGTAAATTTTCCAGTTGCTCGGGCGATAATAAAACTTTTTACAATAGGGGTGGCAAAACGATGAGATGAATGTTATATGAATACACAATTGTAAAAAACATGGTATGTTTTCCCTCTCGTTTGCTGCATCAATGTATGATCTACATGCCATACAAAACGCTAGGTGTTTCAGTAAGGGCAAATTTAAAAGACGGGGATTGTATATATGGTCTACAACTGTAGGTTGGTAAAAATTGATGATCTTATGACAGGATAACACTAAAAACAAAGTTCATCCGTTCGTGCATAATAGAGCTGACGATCTTTTACCAAGGGAATATGGAAATAGACAAAGCTATACAGTGACTTGCTTATTTTTATAAACATAATACATGTATCCATCTAGTCCGTGCCCATGCAGGCCGAACTTCAATTAAGTACCCGGATTTTTGTGCACATGCCCACATAGCAGGGACTGGTAGCTGGTAGGCTATGAGATGATGATCATCCTATGTACGTGAATTTTGGTATGCAAATAGGTCTCAAGAAGATGCGTGGGTGACATTATGATAAACATCATCAGCATCTCCGAGAAGGGGGGAAAGACAATCTCAAACAGCCACTCGCTTTACGACAAAGTGGCTGGCTACGCCGTGCTTCAAAAACCAACCATACACTCAAATAGTATGGAATGCATGGAACCCATCAAGGGGTTCATGAGAGGGGGGAAACATCATCCATCCGCCTCCTTTCTCTCTCGTCCCTCCCGCGTCGCGCATTATTACCTACGTTATCCCTTCGATTCTTTTAACGGATAGTTGCACATGTCATATGTTACAAAACGAATATATATGTTTATAGTTATTGAAACATTTGACGATTTGTACTATTATATATTTTTTCGCTTCTAGAGACAAACAAAAGGGGATTGGAATGAGTAAGTGAAAAGTGCGAGAACTTTGGAAAGATATTTAAAGGTTGCATGGTGTGGGCAAAGGGCGTAAAGATATAAAGTATTTTTGATAAGAAATGTGCTAGCTAAGAAGAAAACTAAAAGGATATTACAGGGAAGAAGAAAAGAAGATGATTCATGACAAAGTTTTTGTGGGGAGGGTTGATGGCAGAGGGAAAAGACTTTTCTTGATACTATGATGGAACGAATATTATTAGGCGATAGGTTGCTGTTGTTGCAGTTGCTGCACATGCTGTTCGGCTGTCGAGATGATCGACATGATAAAGTTTTGCTGTTCAGTGTCAAGATCTTTTGTGAGCAACGAGTATGATGCAGGGTTGCCTTGTTGCAAGCCTGTCAAAGTTAAGCATAGAATAACAGAGTAGTTAGTTAAAAAGTTTGATTCTTCTTGAACGAACGATGACCCAAGCCCAAAAGGAACACAACACATACTTTTGAATACATCACCGAACCGAACGTAGGGATCAATCTCGTCCAAAGGCGACTCAAACAAGAGCTCTTCTTCGATTTCTTCGTCAAAGTCGTCGAATTCAGATTCGCTCGAGTGATTTGCGGCTTGCTGAGCAAGGTATTCAAGGTATTCATTATCTTCATCTACAACATCTTCATCACCGTTATCGTCTTCCTCATCGTCAACGCTACCGCCATCAATACCGCTTTCGCCGTCGAACTCATCGTCATCGAAACCGTCACCGTAAAGCTTCTCCATTTGTTCACGGTCTAAATTGTTGGTGATATATAAACCTTGTGAGTGTTTGTCATTTTAGATTATTGTAATGTAATCCTGAGTTTACTTACTCTCCATAGCCTTGGGCAGAGTTTTGAAGACATTGAGAACTCCAGCCAAGACTTGAGACCAGCCGGCTTGCAACGAAGCTGGAATATGGTCAGCGGGCAGCTCTAACAAAGAGCACAAAGCAACGATAACGAGCTTCTTATCGTGTACACGCGAGAACTTCTCCAAGTTGTTGAACCACATGGTGAAGAAACCTTGGGTCCACTGGTTCTCCTCAAGCATACGGAGGGTCAATCCAGGGTTGTAGTAAAGGCAGTTGATGACGACTTCCAAGCAGTGGACACGGAACTCGTTCGTCTTCATCGAGTTGGTGAAGATGTATTGGAACGCCAAGTTGAGGAAAGGTGCAATGTATCCATCGACCTGACCGCGGCAGTTGAGAAGGACGGATTCCATCAGCTTGCATGCACACACACGATCGTGCTCGCCCAAGCGATCGCTCTTCATCACAGTATCAATGATATCGAACGTCATGCGCTGGATGTTTTCGTTGCTGACAAAGACATCACGGCCGTACGAGATGTAGTTGTCCAGAGGTGGAAGCATTTCGTCCATGTAGTCGATGCCCGAATCCTTGAACGCCTTGTAGATGAGCTCAAAGACACCCCACATGGTTGGCGTCACACGCTTGGCCGAGAACGTGCACGAGTCGATAATCTCAAAGATTTCATCGTACAAGTCGAGGACGTTGTTTTCGAGCGTGTATGTAATGACAGGAAGCAATGCCTCTTCCAATTGCTGAAGGATATCAGGCGTGCTTTCGAGACTCAAGATCAAGGTTCCAATGGTTTTGAGAACACCCATGGCTGCCATGGTCTTGTCGCTCATCTCATCCACATCGCCGTTGAAAGAGCCGTCTTCACCGGTAGCCTGTTGATTGGCCTGGGCCAATTCCTCCATGATACGCAAGAAGGTATCTCGCAACTGCGTGCAGAGTTGCACAGCAAAGGGAGTAAGTTGCTCAGCAAACACTTCAACGAATTCCTCCATGACGTTGGCAAGTGTGTCAATGTCGATCTGGTTCGTCAGATCCAGAAGCTCGTGCATGATGAAAGGCAAGCTTGGTGCCATCGCGTTGCGGACGCTCTCGTGACGAATCATGGGTTGCAAAGCCAAGGCAGCTTGGACCTTGACGGGCAATTCAGAGTCGCGCAAAGCGTCAAGTACGTTCTGGTACAAGGTGGCCAAGTTTTGCTCGTTGGTGAAATCCAAGTCGCTGAAATGGCGGGTCATATCGCATGCGCGTGCTCGGAGATATGGGAAACGACTCTTGAATTCAGGGAATACGTGCGTAACAAAAAAGGGTTCCATCATGTTTGCAACAGGCGATTTTTGACGCAGCACTTGATGGGCCAAGCATCCGATCATGCAGAGAGCACCGTCCTTTTCGCGTCCGTTCTTTTGTTCATCGGGAGTTTCCAAGTACTTGTTGAGCACATTGTTGATAAAGTTGAGGATACCCATGAATGTGTGTTTCTTGCGGTCGCGGGCAAGGTCGATAAGCAAATTGATTGCGTTGGTCTGGGGAGAGTGGAAGTCCATAAGTGGATCGATCTTCTTGTGGACGTATTCAACGGGATCATCCTCCCACAGTTCCTCGTCTTCAGCTGCAAAGCACAGTTGAGGGAAAATGAAATGTGCAACGAGCGTCTCGGTGTGCGGCTTCAAGATTTGCCAGGTGATCTTGTGCTTGATGCTAAGTAGCAAACGGTATGAAGTCAGCATGGATGCATACCTTGTTTGTCATCATAACAATCAACAACGTGTCATAGTCCATCTTTTTCTTACCTGTCTCCGAAAAATGCAGCGCTCAAGGCGAGACACTTGGCAGACATCCAGTTCTCCTTCTTGATCCAGCCCTCGATCTGGCTCAAATAAGTCTGCAGAATGTTGGGCGCAAAGTTGGTAATGAACCCCTTTGCAAATGAATTGTACTTGGTCGTGCTGCTGGGGAGCAATGCTGGGTTGCCATATTTGCTGAACAGTCGATTTAAACAATGGTAAGCCCACTTCTTTGTCTTCCACCAAGGATATTTCTCGCGTTCCTCGGGGTCAGAGGGCAGCGCTTCCATGGGAATTTTCTTGTCGATAAGCTGCAAGAACATCGTACCCCATCCTACAAGGGACTGTGTATCCTGCAGGCATTTTGGCAAGTCTACCTGCATTATAGAAAATATATATGCGTGTCACTCATTCACCTGTCCACAATCTCCCTCCTCCTCCTCCCACATCCTTCTTCACCCTTTTTTCTTTCAATACGAGCTGCGTACCTGAATACCGGCATGATAGATCTTGAGTGCAAGCTTGAGCATTTCAGCAGCTTCGAGGCTTTCCTGCTGAACGAGGTTCTGGGAAATTGTGAGGATGGCAGGGAAGGTATGCTTGATGATTTGCTGCAAAGGTTCCCGTCGTTCCATCGAGCGCCACCTTGAAAAAGAAAAAACAAATAAGGTTTTCCCTCCCATTTTACACTCAAACAATCATCGATTCTTTTCCTCCAAAAAACAAAACACTTACTGGTACACTTTGACAACCTCACGGAGGGCAAGAAGAGCAACGTAGACCATCTTGACATCAGTGGATGCCAAAAAGGACTGTACGTCATTAACAAAATTGGGCCATTGATCGGGAAAATCGTTGCTTAGGATAGTGTTCAGACAAGATGACAACTGGACTCTGATATAAAGCAATAGATAGAAAACCATACACGCATTAGTATACGTTAAACCCTTTTCCCTGGTTTGTTCTTCCAATCAGTTTCCATAGAAATACGTAAGATCCTTACTGTACTGCACTGGGTGCGCGCAGTAACGCTTGCATAATAGACTGCTTGACCATGTTACGGTCATCTTCATTAATTGGATTTGCCACCTCGTTCGATCGATCCCAAGCCTTGTTCATACGGTTTTTGAAATAGATAGCAGCTATAGTAGTCATAGTATATCGTAAATAACTTCACTGACAAGCGTGTTAACAGTATAAGCACGAATTTTCCCCCCTTTCCCACACGTACCTGCTTGACGAGCGCCGAGCTCCAATTCCTCGGAAGCGAGGATTTGAAGAACAATGGGAAGAAAGCCATTATGAGTTTCGATCTATCAGGATAAGAAGAGAATCTGGGTCGTCAATACGGAACTTTACTTTTGTATCAAATACACGTTTCCAAAAAGAAAAAGTTCAGGAAAAGAAAAAAATCGAGCGCTTGACTGCTTACGTTTCGAATGCTCAGTTCGGCCTGTTTATGCACGTTCGGATCGGGATGGTACGTAGACACGAACAGTTGATAGACAGCGTTTTGATCCATGACGTTTTTCTTTTAAAAAAGTATTCAAGATTTATGCAAAGGGGTTATAGAATGATGAACTTTTTACAAGTGGAAACAAGTCGTGTATGCGCGTTGCGTCAAATGTCCTCCCTCCAAACCAAGACGTTCGACAAGGAAAGCGAGCCACAGAAAAAAAAATCTTTTTGGCGATGGACCTGAAAGGCACCGGCGAAGGTGACTGTAGCGGGATAAATGAATTGCCGCCAGCGTATCATATCTTTCCCACTCCACACACACACACACACACGAAATGATACTTGCGTCTTCCGAACTTTAGCTAATCCATACACTATTTGTCAAACATAATGTCTAATCAATTATATTGATCAAGTGTAGCTTGTCCTTGTCAGTATCCGCAAGAAAATATAACACGAAATAACTTGTGGAGACTTGTCTTTTAAATGAGTTCTTTTGTCACCTAGGCTGCCATCAGCCTTTGTCGTTCACGGAAACGAGGGTATGATGCTGGTGTTAGTGAGCTATACTTCTTAACAGGTGTAATTTGAAACTATTAGTACCCACAGCAACTACGATAAACAAAACTTGCTGTGTATGTATGGCTTAGCTTTTTGAACGAGAAGCCATTTTAGTTACCGTCAACAGCTGTAGTTCATGAGACAAAGTAAGAAGGACGGATAGCGATTCAGGAAGAGGTAGGCTGTATAATAAGAGAAGGATGTAAAGAAGACCATTATTGTTTCTCGTCCTGAAAAACAGGTCGTTTTAATACTTTTCATAGCTTTTCTCTACCCTGCCGCGCTGTATATATAATCTCGTCTACCATAGTTTCTCAGTGACGACAAAATTGCGGCACACTTTATGATCTAGAAGCGAGGCTTCAACAAACATCTTCCTTGGTCACAACTTAGGTCCTGAACCGAGAGCCAATGAGAACAACAAGTCAATAACATAGATTGTCAGAGCTTCTTCATTAAATTAAACTATTTTAAATCTTCAAGTCCGGTATATGTGTTCCGGGCTTCCGGTATTCTGTTTTTTCTCGTGTAACGCCTCCCGCTGTAAAGGTGTTTCTTTCAAAACACTGTCATGATCGTACTACAAGACAAGTGATCTGTACAACCCGTCAAATCGGTATGTCTGTCCAGAATGTGTACAAGTGCGTAGTGCATAAAATTCTATTCCAGTCTGCTATGAAATGTGCCTGGAATGTTTATGCCACTTTTTTTTACCACTTACTATGATACAGCATTTCCTTGTAGTTTAGCGATCATTCTTTTTTCTCGTTTCCTGTGCCACAACTCTTTAGATCTCAAGAAAAAGAAAACGAAAGAATACAGCAGGAAGAAACCATGGAGAATAATCCTCCGGGTATCGATAGCAGCAACAACCAGCCACCACTACCACTTATGTCACGAAGCAAAAATCCACACAATCGCCAGGATGAGGAGAACCGGCCACTCCCACCCCCTATGGCAGAAGCAAACGACCACCGTATGCATCGGGCTACAGCATCTGAAGCATCTGGTAGTCATAACATACAACCGCTGAATATCAATGGCAAGATGGACGATCGACAGCAGGAACGCAAACTCCACCATGATGATGATGATGAAGAGAATATCGTGCCATCGCGACCCGCAACCGTGCACGGTGACGCCGTGATTCCAGGGAGCCACGATAGCTTCATTTCAACACAGTCTTCCACAACTAACTCTACATTTCCGTATGCGTCAAGTGTGCCAGAGGAATCTTCATGTGTTAGCGCATTAGAACCACGCAATGCTACAACAGCTACAGTGCGCCGCGTAAGCACCACCAGCTCTGTACCTGACTTGCTCCAGCAATCACGGCTTATTAGTAACTCTGCTCGTCCCCATCGCTGGCGACGAGTCAAAGACTGGATCTTGACACCTGCATCCCATCGACGAAAAGTACGAAAGGATGCAGAAGCAATGGATGCTGAGCGTTCAGTGATTGACTCCCACATCTTTCTTCGCCAACTGGAATGGAATATATTGCCACCGCTACTTTTATCTGCCGCGTTCCAATACGACGAGCACGGACATCGCATGGTCCCTGCTCTTGTATCACAGATCCACATCAGCGTCACTCGGCCCAATGATCCAACACGACGAAAGGGAAACCTGCTTCGGAGCACACGTAAGGTGCTTCGCAGAAAAGAAAAGGACGAGCAATTATTCAAAATTGTTGTCGAGTACGGAGACCCTACATTAAGCGCTGGTCATAAAATTCAATGGGTGGTGTATCGACGCTACTGGGATTTCTTACGGTTACACTATCAATTTGTCGGGCACGATCTTTTCAAAAAGCGGAACGTTGGTTTACCAAGACTACCACGATTACATCAAATCCATCGATCAAGACATAGTAACAGAACGTGGCAACGAGGGGATCTAGGCGAACGACGACGGCAGCAACAGCAGGAAGAGGGTTCTGGTGGGGTAGAGACATCGAATGCTGCTATGCGACGCTGGAGCAGCTTGGACATGGAGTTTAATTTCGGCCTAGAAAACGAATCGGATCCGGCACACTTGCCTGACATGATAGAAGATCCATCTATGCTCAAATACCGAGCGTTGGAGCGGTACCTGTATTCCCTCGCCCGTGCGCTCTGGATCTCCCCACAAATCAACAGGCTTTGCAAGTTTTTGGAAATATCCACACTTGGTCTGTACCTTTCCGTATCCGACCCCAATGGATATCATGGAAAAGAAGGCTATTTGACAATCGTTGATCGGACAGATCGTGAAATTGTGCGAACCCAGAGGGATGGTATATTCTGTGGATTACTCGCTCGCCAAGGAAGTAGACGGACACCGAAATGGTTCATCGTGCGAGAAAGTTACTTAATTGTCTGTGCTGGTGGGCCACATGAGGTAGAATACACAGAGAGTATTGCTGTTGACTTGTACTTTATAAAACAATAGTAACTTCTTTTTTTTCCAGACGGCCATTGAAGACGTATTTATGGTAGACAGTGCTTTTCAAGTGAAACAATTATCAGCAGAACAACAAAGGAAGGACAAGACACTACCATTACTTTCACGTGCGAGTAAATGGAAGCCAAGTCATACACTACGTATCAGTAACTTTCACTGCGTGTGGCATCTCAAGGCCAAAAACAGCCAACAAGGGCGACAATTTCTTGACTCTATCCAGTACATGGCCGAACAGTCGATTTGGTCACAAGAGCATCCATTCGGTAGCTATGCGCCTATACGTCATCACACATCTGCTTCGTGGTTTATCGACGGAAGGGACTATTTTTGGGAAGTTTCTTTGGCGCTCGAGAACGCTAAAGAATCCATTTACATTCACGATTGGTGGCTGGTAAGCTGAATTGATTTTTGTGTTTATTAGGATCCATTGTATTCTCGTTCATCTGGGAAAGGGAGCACTCACTAATAAATGCTGGTACTATTATATACTGTAATGTTATAATGTTGTGTCGTCTGTCGGTACTGCTGTACCAATCCTTATGTAGTCTCCAGTATGTACATCAGCAGAAAGATATTAATAATAGGTTGCACGTGTGACTGTTATGCTGACAATATGTAATTACTTCTCCCATACTCTTTCTTTCAGGAAGTGGTAAGTGAACTCAACAGAGCCGACAGTTGCAAGATTGTAAGGCTTAAAAACGCACCTGCGAAAATGATAACTCGTAGTATCTTCGACGCCCGGCGTCTGCCAACTATGAATGGAGACTGGATCGTGTCCTGCAACGAAAAGCACAGCAAGGAGTGAAGATTTACATTATCATATACAAAGAGGTAACATGCTGCGCATAGTTTTGGGGAAACTGAAACATGCAAAGGCCTTCTCCCATATAGAAACCGTATATGATGTTATATTCACACATTTAACAACTGACTGTTGCCCCATAACGATTCTGCATATTATTTTGTCGTCAGGTAGCGGTTGCATTACCACTATACTCACACTATTCAAAAAAGTACCTGCTATCCCTATCTCCAGACAATATCTATGTACAGCGGCATCCTTCGCGCGCCGCCGACATTTTCAACAAAAATAACGTTCTCTTCTGGGCCCACCACGAGAAGATATGCGTGGTTGACAATCTGGTGGCATTCATTGGTGGAATCGACCTCTGTTTTGGTCGATGGGATACATATCAACACGTTGTGGTCGACGATGGTGATCCAAGCTTGGCGCCAGACAACAAACATCCGCAAATATGGCCGGGAAAAGACTATTCCAATCCACGTATTCTTGATTTTCATACATTGGACAAGCCATTTGAGGATAACATGGATCGCACGAAATTACCACGGATGCCATGGCATGATGTATCATTGAAGATCACAGGCCAGCCTGCGCGCGATATCGCTCGCCACTTTGTACAGCGATGGAACTTTTTGCGGCGCAGCAAGGCAACACCTCCTAAACGTCCAACGCCGCTTCTCTTGGCGAAGCCCGATATATCCCCTTGTTTCTCCGTCAATCCCTCTACTGCTAGCACTACTCGCAATACGGGTGGTCGCGACAATCGTCATCATCATACGAGTGAAAGTCCCCGTGATGCGCAAAAAATGGGTCAATTGCCAGTATCCCACGTCTGTTGCATCCAACTGTTGCGCAGTGTCTCTCAATGGAGCCTTGGCATCCGAGATCATGTGGAGCAAAGCATCCAAAACGCCTATGTCGAAGTGATTGAAAACTCTGAACATTTCGTCTATATTGGTAAAGTGTTTTTGGTACTATTTTCTATTCTCGTCAGCGTATAGATGCACCAGTGACGCCTTATTAGTACTAAAGATACTAGTAAATTAACTCATGTACACGCATTATTTCAACGTGATATTTAGAGAATCAGTTTTTTATCACCTCAACACAATGTGGATCGACTAAAATTATGAATCGGATCGGCGACGCGTTGGTGAACCGTATTATCAGAGCTAAAGAAGAAAGGCTTCATTGGCGTGCAATCATTGTATTACCCCTTATCCCTGGATTTCAATCCGCAATCAATGATTCAGAGGGTTCGACTGTACGACTTATCATGCACTGCCAATATAAGTCAATTAATCGTGGACCACACTCTATTTTCGGCCGGCTCCGGTCGGCTGGTATTGATAATCCGGAAGAATACATTACGTTTTATGGACTCCGCAATTGGGGTGAGCTTGACGATGGTCAGTTGGTGACAGAGCAGGTGTATGTCCACGCGAAGGTAATAACGACACGTGTCAAGCTAGGTTTATTACCTTTTATGGGTGGGATAAAAAGGGAAATGAGTAATGGGGAGCTGACGAAAAGGGATAGTCAAGGAATATCATCATGCTTAACTCTTATACTGACTTTTGTATCAGGTTTTGATTGCCGACGATCGCACGGTCATCATCGGATCGGCAAACATCAACGAACGTTCGCAGCTCGGCAACCGTGACTCCGAAATAGCTGCATGCATCCATGACAACGAGATAGTTGCATCAACATTGCGAGGCGCCCCGGCCAAAGTGGGTGCGTTCGCGCAATCTTTACGGATGCGACTTATGAGTGAGCATCTTGGCCTGGATATTGAAAATGCATTGGAACAAAAGTCTGCTACTGTCAATAACGTTGATGGTGATCATAGCGATGATAAGAGTGAGGATGTTGCCGATAACGACAACAACAGCAGCAAAAAGCAATCGGAGACAGAGCAAGCAACACGTTCTGAAAGTGTGCAAGCTAATGCTTCTTTGTTTGGACGTCAGCACTTCGAGAAAAGTCAAAATCAAAATATCTACAAGGCTCCTGCAGTATGCACACGGCCACCGTGGGCACCTGCCTATACCAACAATGCCAACAATCTTGCCTCTTCATCACCATCATCACAAGCGCTACCTTCTTCTTCTCCAAGTACATCGACGGCAGCAAACAATAATAGTCTTAATATAACAGTGAATCATCGCAGATCTTCTTTTCCGAGGACAATGTCAAGAACAGCAGCAGAAGCACAGAAGAGCACGACTTCAAGTAGCTCAATTACATGCACACAAAAGCACGAGCAACATACACAATTCTGGGAAAAACTTTGTTGTGACCCTGATATTGATGGCACAGGGAGCGACAATGGTGATGAGCTCTTGGCTGGAAATAGCAGCAGCAACAACAACCGGGACTACATGCACAGGATATTGCGTGACCCGTTGGACTCGAAATTTATGAACGTATGGCATACCACTGCACGGCGTAACAGCCATTTGTTCCGATGCGCATTTTTGGTGATGCCCGATAACAATGTGCAGACATGGGACGACTACAACGAGTTTAATTATATTGCAAAGACCTGTCTTGGACGCAAAGATCCTGCAACAAGTGGAACGCATAAAGAAATGATGCTTTCAGGTGCGCGTCGTCGATACAGCCAAAATACCCATACTACTACAGGTAGTAATAGTAGCACGAGCAACAACAATGGCGCAGCAGCAGGTTCCAACCATGATACACAGCAACAACAACAGCAGCAGCAGCAGCAACGACTTTCATCATCATCCGACACGGGCGCAGAGCCAGCGCGTGCATACGAGTATTTATCTCGAGTTCAAGGGCACTTGGTCATTTGGCCTATTCATTTCTTGGAGGAAGAGGATGATCAAAACGAATTCTTACATAACAGGGATAAATTAGCTCCGTTAGAGATCTTTGATTAAAGAAGCATACTGTATACTTTGCATAAAGTGAATTTTTGTTTGCTGCTGTATGTATGCGTAGTTTATACTAGGTAGCAATAATCGTGTACATAGAAGTCGAAAATTCTATGTTTATTATGGAAGACTAGCTGGACCGGCGCCTATTGGCATGTGGTCACTTGCTCGAGGTACAGTTGTAGAGAAGGGATGTTGGTACTGTATATGAGGATGTGATTGCAATAACCGAGTAAAAAACCACCAGCAGGGGAAAAAGTTTTGCTAGCGGAAAATAGTACTATAAGTGTGGGTGGCAAAGAATATGGTGTACATATACCTATTAATGAGGATTTATAAGTATTAACTATACGTAATAAGGCATTAACTTTTAGTGCAACAAATCGGAAAGTCTTGCACGTCAGATACATATTGAATACTCCATGATAAACATTAGACAGTGCTACTTAATACGATCTGATAACCGAGAAAAAAAAAGTTATGTTTTTTTTATCATGATAGATAAATTTACACGAAGCACCACAGAAGGATTAAGAAAAGAGCAGAGAGAGAGTATATAAGAGATATGGGGCATACACATTGAAAAAAAAGTTTGACGGTAATATAGAAAATAGAAAAAGTGTGCTTGAGAAAAAATCAAAGTATTAAGTAAAAGTAAGAAGGCGGGGGAGGAAGATGATGATGGAGAGAAGAGCACCTAGGCGTGATGGTCCGTTAACAAGGGAAAAAACGTCTGAGCAGCGGTTGAGAGAGAGCAGGGCAGCAATCGATGAAGAAGAAGGACAAAGGCGAATATATAAAAAGGTGGTGAACAATAATGTAAAAAGAAAACGGAGCTAATAAGAACGAAGAACGGCACCGCATCTACCTATCAAAAGGATATGGTAGACACGTACACACATAACCGAATAATAAAAATAAAAATAAAGAGTTGGCAATAAGAGGGGCTGGGAAGGGGGAAACGAAACAGAGGGTATATGTATAATATAGATTATTTACGACTACTGCAGAGCATTTTTTATCATATATGATATAAACAAGATGTGTTTTGTTTTGGGTGCTTGGAAAACGGAAGAAGCCCTGCTGCACGGTCGCACGAAGATTGGAAAATAAAAAAGGATCTCCTCTCCAAGAAGAAAAAATAATCGTTTTTTTCATTGTTTTTTGTGTTATTTACGAGATAGGAATAATCGTTCGTCATTGTCAAAGGAGCTTAGAATTGACGTTGAGATTGACCGATGAAATCGATCGTATCAGATTGAGCCGTGGATGAGGCGTTGGATGAAGGAGGTAGTGGTGGTGATGGATGCTGCATATACATACTCTGAGGATAGCCAAGTATAGACGACGATGATGATATTGTTCTCGTTGATGACGACGATGGTGTTGTAGTTGTAGCGAACGGAGGAGTAGCTGCAGTCGAGTTTGTCGGTGAAACGGGTGATGATGTAGACGTTGAAGATGACGATGAAGATGACAAGAATGAAGACGAGGGTAAAGAAGAGGACTGGGAATATAACGGATGATGAAGCATCACAGCATCGCGACTTGCGCGGGGTCGCTGAAGAATTGTATTGGATGATTGACAATGTTCGTTACTGCTGTTATTGGTGACATACGACATGTTATTTTGTTGTTGTTGTGGTGGTGGTGGTGCATAGTAGTATGAACCCGTTGCTGCTACTGCTGCTGCTGTTGCTGTGGATACCGAAGCTGTCAATGTGACAGATGAATTGTTGCTATTCCGTTGTGGTTGTGGTTGTTCAAGTTGTCGTGATGGTGGCGGCTGTTGTTGCTCTTGTGGAGGAGTGGTTGTTGTCATAGGCAAAGTGCTTTCAGATGTGCCAGTATAACACATGGTGTTGTATGGAGGATGGTTCCCCGCATGCTCGTTGGCAGAGACATCAGTATAGCCCAAAGAAGTAATATCACATTGGGACAGCAATGTTGGGTGATGGTAAAGGGTGTTGGATGCCTCAAAGGAGACAGGAGGTATGCCAGAACACGAGGAAGCCGGTGGTGCTGCCGAAGAGGGTGTAACTTCGCCTCCACCACTAAAATCTACTGATACAGGCCCTGATGCTGGAGAGGGAGGAGATGCGGCGCCGACCGGTGCTGATGGTGGTGGTGAGGTGAAATACGGCTGTTGATAATGATGATGATGATGACTTCGGTCATTGTTCGGCCAAATTTGATGTTCGCTTCTGTTGGTCGTGCTAAGGTCATCGTCTTCAGTGGACGCAGATTTTAGCTCCATAGGAAGATATGAAAGGCTTGTCATTGGCGGTGGCTGCGTGCTGCAGCTGTTATTACCCCGTGCAGCAGCAGACATTGCGGTAGTGGAGTAATCTGGTGGTGTCCTTGGCAGGAGACCAATAGGCGGACTTGAACTTCCGTTACGTCGCGAGATACAGAAGGGGCAGTGCCGAACAAAGCGGGCGATTAATTCCTTAGGAATCCATGAGTATCGCCTCCGGACCTAGTGTTGTTGTAGTTGTGTTAGAGTGTTGTGTACAAAAGGGGGCAGGGGACGAAAGCATAGAAAGCTTAGAATCTCTAAATAACCTTTTATATGATTTGAGAACTACTTACCAATGCAGAAGTTTTATCTCGACCACCATGGTTTGCTTCCTTGTGAGCTCGCACAAGGATGGCATAGATCTCTTCGCGCATTGCAACGGGCTTATTGTCGTGACACACCACCTCAATGCCGCTGTATAATGGCACCAGCTGAAACATCTTCTTGACCCAGAATCGAAACTGAGCAGTTGATATGGCTGTGTTCCGGGGATCTTTCAGCACTCGGATGATCAGGGAGTATCGATGGCAGTCGATCAAGGCCTTGTCCCTTTTCTTCGATGAAAGGTTGTCTAGATATCCTTGAACAATAGACTCGAACTCTTCGCTGCTTGGAAACTGGTCCCTCTCTACAAGACCACCGCCTGCTGCTGCTTCCGTATCATCCATATGCGTGCTGTTGTCATGATAGACATTCGTGGTCAGTGGAGCATGCGTTGGCGCTGACAGTGCTACGGACGCATGGTCATGATCCATGCTACTATGGTGAGGATGTTGATGATAATTAGATTGTTGGTGTTGATGGTTGTGTGGATGCTGCTGCTGCTCCTGTTGATGCTGTTGATGCAAAGAGTACAGGCTGCTGCTTGGCGGGGTGGCCAAAGCGTCGGGGTGGTGGCCAATGCTGTTACCGTGGAGATAGTAGTAATTGGGTGGTGGAGGCAACGCACCGCCTCCGTTATTGTCATGATACTCTTGTCGAAACTGCTGTTGCTGGTGATGATGCTGTTCAATCTGCAGCATACTTGTGATTTAAACGTGAACAAGAAAGTAAAAAAATGGAAAGTCGTTGTCTGCTTTTTAAACAGGCTAAAGGAAATCTGTGTAGTTTGTGTGTGTCGCGGGTAGAAATAGGGAATCCTTCCTTGGGTACAATTAAAAGCAAATAGATCGAATCAGAACCGATGACAAGGAGAAAGCGACGAAGAGATAAGGCAATCCTTCAAAAACGTTACAGTAACGATAAGATGAAAAATACAAGAATAAAATGGAATACTCAAAACAAAAGCAAAAAATATACAAAGAGATGTAAAGTATATATATATATATATATATATGTGTGTGTGTGTGTATGAAAGAAAGAAAGGAAGAAGGGTAGACAGGAATGAAAAGTGCGTGCGTGTAGGTGAGGGTGTTTGAGCTACTAGGTTGTTGTTATGAGCCCGGCGGCAAATCTGTTCTTGTCAGAAAAGCTGATAGACTACTCGAAAGAAAAATGAAAAAGGGGGAGACCAAAAGTGGGTCCGAAAGAATGGACCCTTTTTATTGCTTGCGCTTTTTAATTGACACGCTAGGCATACGCATACGCATACGCACACTCACCCACCCGCTCTATACAAGCACACACGGCATGATTGCTAAGCACAACCGATCGCATTTTCTTTTTTTGGTCATGGTAGTGGAGCCACCACCGCGCTTCCTTAACCGAAAAGATCCCTCTTTTTGCTCTCTCTGTTCATCCGCCCTTTGCTTGTTGTGTTGTTTCTACTTTTATCTGCACTTATTATCATCATCATCATCACCTTCAACATCCTCCTCCTGCTTCTTCTCCTCCACGCCTCCCTCTTCTAGCACTCTCTTTTTCTCTGTCTCTCTCTCTCTCTCTGTGGATGCATCAGTTTCAAGTTATCACTATTCCAAGTAAGGCAGGGTGCTTCTCTATAGATAGCAAAGGTTTTTTGTTCTTCGTTGACTGATAGACTCTGACTGAGAAAGCACAGGAAAAAGCACGTTCCATAGATTAGGAAATGTAATGTATGCAGACGCATGAGTATAAACCAAAATTAAAGGACCCTGTTCCCCCTTTCACTGTGTTATTATTGCATATACATAACCCTGCTACAACGACATGATGATGGTAATCCTTTTTTTCTTTTACTTTTGTTCCTTCGGCTCCCAGAACGCACATTAACTAATAAGAGCAGTTCTCGGTAAAAAGACAAATAGGAGGTAGGATGAATCAAACATGTTCCAGGTCGAGGATCACGAAAAAGAAATGGTGGGTGCGTGCTTACTATGGGGGTCACTGGTCTTTATGTTTTATAATCGTATTCATTCTATTGCTGCTGCTGCTGCTGTTGTTGCTGTGTTGCATTTGAATGTTATTGATTGGGGCCGCCGATCCCCAACACCGATCAGAACTCAAAAGCTTTAGAATATGAATGATACGAAATAAACTGTAAAGCACCGTTAAACTTTGTCTCGCGCGCTCTGTCTGTCTCTTCTCTCTATCTGACTATTGTGCTCTGTGTGAGTGCATGTAGCCATTCCGAGCGATGGGACATGAGAGGGAGTTGGGTTAGGAGATGAAAAATGAAGAATAAAGGCATTGTTGCTAGCACATATTTCATCACTTTCGCTCAGATTACAGTAACAGTGCTCGTAATATACTAGCTAGCCGGTTTAGCATGGTAAACATAAATTTATAATTCATATGTAATTCGTTAAAGCACAATACTACAAAAGTTGAAAGAAGAACAAACAAAGTTTCCCTCCCTCGTCGTCATTTCACTACCTACTCCTCTTCAATGATTCTACATCTTTTTATTTCCTTCCTATCTTCAGTCTTGTATGACAATTTATTGCTTTCTGCATTTGACATTCGCTTTTAAACCGTTTACTATCCTGTAATCACTACTACTGCTACTATGCTAGCGTGCAAAATCGTACCACGGTTGTATCCTCGGTCTGTGCGGTGCTGACTGACTTAAAAAACGAAAACTACCAAACCTTAACGTGAATCGGATAGAGCATTTCCATTTGGTCCGGGCCACATGAGCCTTATTCATCGGCAGGTAAGAAGAAGCAAATATAGGACCAATCCGCTGCAACAGCCGAAGGAATAAAAAAAAATGAAGCACATGTACGAACGAGATGCTACTGCTGTCATCCATCATGATGGTGCATCGAATACGTCTAAAATAGATACCCATATACATGTACGATATGTAAACATCCCCTCCACTTTCTCGCCCCTCCCAAAACATCTACTTCCAAATAAGCGGCTACATATGTCAGTCATCCATCATCATTTAAGCGCACACTACTTTCTCTTTCTTTCCCCTTTCTGTATATTATCACTATCATTGCACGCGCAAGACACTGATACACGGTAATATCGTCAAAAAATAACACATCATGTGACCTGGTTGTAATGCGAATATTGGGGTACTTGGCAGGGGGATTGTTTGTCTCTTATGTTAAGTGAGTTTTATGAATGTAGATTTTCGAATTCAGATCAAAACAAAAAGAAACAAAACAAATCTCTTTTTTACTCAGGGTCACCATTACAAATAATATATCATTAGGTAAAGAGCATATATTATTTGTCTGTGCTAATATTCTACAGGTTTTTGGGCGACCGTTAAGGCGGCTGATAATAACCTTATTTTCTTTTCTTTTTTGTTTACGGGTGTATGTATCTGTGCAGTCTGTATTCATTGCCTTAATGATACCTTGTCAGCAAGAGCAGTAGTGGTAGTAGTAGTGGTTGTAGTAGCAGCAGCAATAGTCGCAGGTATAGTACTATTACTAAGGATTGGAGTTTGCTGACGTATGTACGAATGACGATGATTACGTTGAACGGTGCATATACATAAGCTCCTTGCTGCCGACTTGTCGGGTGCTTCTAGCAGTGTTATCATAACTATAGATGCGCTACGTAGATGAGACGTAATGATGGCACACGTGCTTCGGTACAAGTGCCTGTTTTGGCAGTAATAGCAGCAGTAGAGCTATTATTTAGAATAGCAACAATGGAAGAACATCTCCACATCATAACAAAGAATAACTTTTTTTGATGCTCTTTATGATTGATTGAATCATTCTATATGATGACGGTGCTCGGTCCGTCTTTTTCATGCGCTCGATTCACCTCATCAACATGCGTGTAGGTGTATAGAACACACATTATTAAATCAAATCGCTTGGTGCATTGACAATGATACAAGTGCATCCGAAGCGATCAAAGTGCTGTTTCACTGCAGACACACATACATATTACAGAGAGGAGTCCCGTCTTTTGTTGCTTCATTATCTACCTGCTATGGCACAGAAAAGGCTTTTCTGGTGGGGAGAGTGTTTAGGGAGAACAAGGAGAAAAGGGAGAGAGAAAGATAAGCGAGGGGAAAGGGGCGGCGGTGGAGAGTTGCATGGCTCTGTATCGGTCATGGAATTACCTTTTCCTAAACTTGGCCCTTTACGCACCATCCAAGATCTTCCAAAAGATCCTCGCGCGTAGTGGTGCATCATGTCGGCTTTATGTGTGGATTTGCGTGTCTACTTTGTTACATTTATTATTTAGCTTTTTATTCTTCTTCTTCTCAGCAGAGTGTCTCTAACAAAACTCGTATATAATCAAAGCTCTTGATTATTTTTTTTTCAATTGCACACAACAACAGCACACTGGATGTACAAAAACCTGTGACATCTAGAAGTAATACTTTCCTTTCAGAGAAGATATAAGGGGCTTGCTGGTCATCTAGCAGCTAGTTAACTTCATCGGATACCGTGCTAGTCATATGTCTCGGCAGCATCTACATTATGGGGAGGTTTGAAATAAACTTTTTCTTACTGCTGAGCGACTCCACCACGTGCTTTGTTAATGAGAGTATATAGCACCTTCACGTAATAAAGAAAATTTAGGCAGCCTGAAATGAGGCTTGAGAGCTATACCCGTAGTGGGGATTTTAATGAAGTGTAAAAAAAGGTTGATGTGCAAGAGACGATTACAATGCATACAGTGGTCCCCCGTAAAGATCAGCCATTAAGGGGGTTCTTGAAAGGCTGAAGATAATAAGGATTGGAAAAAAAGTGAGGGTCGGTTTTATATAGAGCCTGTATGCATTTCTAATTTTGAGGGTCTAACACAAGGGTTGATATTACTGAGGGTTGAATTTATCTGAGGGTGATCTTATCGGGGGGACCTTCGCATATTCGATGACGTTACCTTTATGTACACGAGGAAAGTTTTTAAAATTAGACACGATCAAAATCGCAACGGTTCGAAAAATAAGGTTGAACTTGATCAATTTAATCGGACGTCCTCTCTTTCCGAAATGTTATTTGGGCTACATACAATAATGAAAGGGACCTGGTGCTTAGGTTGCCAGGCCGTTAAAGCAACTCTCCTTTTGACAAGTGGGGGAATACTACTATTATTATTTTTTCCGGTGGAAAGTCTTTAGTAAATTAGCACAGTTTATGTTTAATGACGATGATGGCGCTCTAGGTTGCATTTGCCAGGAATGTCGACGTTGATGCTGTGGCTATGTACACTGGTTGCTAAGATGTATAGGTGTAATAGTTACGCTGTATCAGGCTTGAGTCTTGCTTGAGTCAAGTAAGCGGTTTGATGTGTCGAATGGTAACTTCTTCTACTTAACTTATATAATCGAAGAGTGTTATGTTCTGTATTACTTATTGTACTACCGATTGAAAAGTTCATAACATGGATCATTTGATGTCAAAACAATAGGATTCAGCGGTTAATTATACAAGACCTATCGAGAAGACAGGATAAATGTCAACAAGATTAACAAATCAGGCGATGTACTTGAAAAATGACTCTTTTATGAGTCTAATACAATGCTCAGATACCAGATAGAGTTTAAGAGCTAATGGATTCAGATACAATTAAAGTTTTACTGTTCAATAAAGTAATTTATTTTGGGCGAGATAGTTCTTGGAATCTTTTTTTTGTGCTAAGAAGGGTTCGGGTTGTTCACTACGTCGATGCTGCCAGAACTTTTTGTCACATCTCATTAAGATATTTAGGGAAACAAGAGAAATAGGTCGAGCATGTAGCATTTATTCACTTTAAAATGATTTTTCGTTTGAATGACTTAATGGCATATCGTGGCACATTCTAAATATCTTGGCTCGTTTCCATGTTGAAATGATCCATTCAACTTTCTACGCTGTATTATAGATTGCCTCACATACATATGCTGCTTAAGGTCTCCTCAGAAATAACCTTTCGCCCTGGCATATAGAAACATGTAAACACCGAGCAGAAGGACATTAGTTCGTATACAGCATTATCACAGTGTCGCCCAACAGCAGCACATAAACAACCAGCAGGTGGAATGGTCGTGATAAGATTAATATTATTACGATGCAGTAGTTAAACCCACGGCCAAACATCCTTTTTTTCTTTTAATATATTTAGGAGATCACACAGGTGGCACTCTGGACATTGCTAAGATAGGCCAATAATGTAGTTGAATAAGTACTGCAGTAGCTTTGTCTGGCAAATGGTGAAACGGGGGCAGCTTTGATATCTAGTAGTGTTTGTTGGTACTACAACACGTGGCGCAACAACAACAACAAACTTAAGCTTGCTTGTTTATCACCTCCTCCATTCATGATGGATTATAATTGCCTGATCGCTGTCACATTTACAGCTTTAAAAAATGGCCTTATTTTAAATTTAACGTTCCTCTTGTCTCATTCTTTTTCTCTCCCCCCCACTCCAACGAGGAACAATATAAGTTCTCTCGATATTCAATGCTAAGCACCCGTCGTGCTGTAAGAAAATATGTAGAAGTATTGGTGTATATGAAAGCACCAAAAACATAAATTGCCGGTACAGTGTAATAGTGGCGCTTGCATCAATTTTATATGTGTGATATTGTACGTGGCGCGTGATGATTACATAGAATTCATGATATATTAATTCATATATGTGATATCATAGCAAGTAGCGGCGTGGGCTACACCATTAGATAGAATTGCCGATGCTCATCACGTGTGTAGTTTCGAGAGAAGAACAATCCTAGCTGCTCTTGATAGGTCCGTCCATATGTCAAAGCTATATGCAATAAAACATTATACTGAATTCTTCATCACGTGCTGATAAGATCCAGACGTCACACGTGCGCTTTGATCCATCGAAATGCCCAACAATAACTTCAAGTAAAGTGCTTTTAGGATTGTAAAGTTCAGATGATTTTATTGAGGCTTTTAAAATGAGATTGTGTATATGCTATGCTATTTTTTTATGCGGGTGAAAGAAGAAAAAAATCAAAATTATATGTGTACATGGTTAAAACAGGAATAAATTGCAATTTGTATATAAAAAAAGGAAGAGTATAATAGATGTTAATAAACAGGACGGTATTGCCTGTCTTAATCATCCTTTTAATCACCACCGTCTTTGGCGTCGTCGTTTCTAGTAGTAGACTTTCTACCTTTTCTAGCGGCATGCTGCTTAGCCTGCTCGCGATCAGCCTCGACACGTTGCAAAAACGCGGGGATAGAATCCAAGAGCTGATGAAAGAACTTCAACTTGGCCGAGTGTTCATCACGGCCACCAGAGGATGACGCCAAAGTATGATCATCCGTACCCGTCATAGAAATGCTGCGGACCTTGCGTCGACTGTTAAGAATCATGGCATGGGACATGAACAAGTTCTGAAGCTCGGCAGTGCTGACTTGGTCATTAGGAATCATGTCCAAAAGTTTCTGTACAATTTCTTGGAGCTCGGGATCCTTGTTACCGTTCTCGTCGGCAAAGAAACGCCAGAACATGGATTCGGTTTGATAGCGATCAGAGAAGCCAAAATGAACCTTGGCATCTACTCGCCCGGGTCTCAAAAGTGCAGGAGTCAATTTGGCCATATCGTTACAGGTGAGAAAGACAACTATAAAGTTACACGTCATTTTTTTTTCTCTCTTGTTAGATACGCTCATATAGAAAACATACATTTCCCTTTGAAGGGTGTCAACAACACTTACGTGATCCTTCAGGACTAAAGACACCATCAAGTGCATTGAGAAGACCAGTGGCTGTCACCCGCTTTTCTGACTTTTTGCTGTCTTCCACTTCACCGTCATTGATTGTACAGTGGTCGATGTCTTCCATGACGACAATGCTGTTTTTGGGTGCTTCAACAAGCGCTTGAACGAAATCATCGTCGGTCATGGCAGTAGTAAGACTGATCAAGGCAACATTCATATGGACTTTGCTAGCCAACGACTGGATAAAGGAAGTCTTACCTAATATTGCATATACAATATAGAGCTTAGTATACCTGATTCCAAGTCCACGAATACAGTTAGCAATCTTACCAGTTCCAGGAGGACCATAGAGCAGATAGCCTCGTCGGTAAGGAATACCAGTCTTGATATACCATTGCTTTTGGGTACGGAACGTCATGAGATCTATAATTTATCATATTAAAGAAGGTTAGTACAGAAATATATAAACTCTTCGTTTAAAAGCGCAAAGTTATCTCTCTCACTATTTCCCACATTTCTTTACCTTCAAGCACTTCTTCCTTTTGATGCTCCTTCAGTACAACAGAATTGAAAGCACGGGGTTCCTTAGAGCAAAGCTCATCCCAGTTGAGTCCACCCCACCGATCACACTTGTACTTGTAAACAATGAGCTAATAGAAAACGTATGCAAGTGAGCACAGATTTTCTATTTTTGGATGTGCGCCCGCCCATGTTCTTTTACCCTCTATCTCCAAAAACCTCTAATCCGTATCTAATTACCTGTCCGCTCTTCTTTTCATAATACTCATCCAGCCATTCTTGAATAATGCTTTGTAAAAGCCTTAAATTACGACTTCGCATGCTATATGAAAATATAACAAGGGCGTATATCAGCTTGAAGATTCATATCCGTAACAAATCATTCAGAAACAAAAAAAGCCGAGATATTGACAACAAACCTTATGACCAAATGTTGATGGGTGCCACTTAAAGCCTCGAGAAGCTCCTCTGTGTCACCTCCCGATCTACCTCCAGACTTATCCCAAGGGGAATAGTTGTCGCGATTGATCCATAGCTTGAAACCTTTGTACTTTACAACCTGAAGACATCCACGTTCTGTTGAAAATAGAAGAAGCTATTTAGTATGTATGTACTAGATATTGATTTGACCGATATGAAACTGACGTACGTGGAATCAAGTTTAATCGCAGCGTCTTTTCCTCACAGCTGGTGGTTTTGTCCTGAACTGTATCGTAGTGGGTAACACCATTGACGTGCTTGAAACTTTTGATATCATTAAAGTTTTCCTTGACAAAAGTGTAGACTGGGTGGTAGATTGCTTCATCGTCATTGATCTCGATCGAAATGTATAAGAGTTGAGTAACAAAGTTCTCGAATCGGGTGGAAAAGGTCTGGAACATTGACAATAAGGTTGCTACAAGATATAAAGTAGCGCGTGTTAGTTCGCCTTTCCTTGGCACATGCGTTATTCAGAATAGCAAAAAAAAAAACCTTACGTCCTAAGCTCAGGAACAAGCCAACAAAGATAGCATCATTGGCAATGTAGCGTTTAATAACAGCAAGACCACGTTGACCGAAAAAGACTGTCCAGAAGGATTCGTCCGTGAGGATATCCACAAAGGAAGCTACGGTATCAAAGACATTGTGTAGATGGTGAAAGGATTCCCCGAACACAAACATGATAAAAAAAACAGAGTGGTAGTGAAGAAAGCGGAAGGAACGGGAGAAAGAGGCCTCTTTTATACTCTTCTGGTTTTGCGGGCTCTTGTTGCTTTTGATAATATGCTGCGGCGGTTGTCTTTATTCTTTGTTTAGCTGCGGAAAAACCAAGTTGATAGGATACTGACGTTAGGGTGGCGCATGACGTAAAACGAGTTCCGATCATCTTATTGTCGCGCAGTCTATTGTAAAGCGGCATGTAGTGTGTACTGGCGTTGAAGTGGCGCCCTGGAAAAAAAAAGGTGTAGAGTCCGATCATGTAAGTATATGTGTGTGTGTGTGTACCGCAGCTGCAACAGCTATACGACAACAAAACAAGGGGTAAATTGTGTCAAATGTGTTTTATGAGATGCACCGCCTTTACGTTGCACGGGACTAAGAACAGAATTTTGTTCTTATTCTGGTGTTTAATTTCGTTGCGAGGATACTTCTCCTGTGCAACGGTGACGCATACACGATTCGTTAGTACTTTAACGTACAGAAGCAGTATATTGAGTATATAATGGGCAGGTATAGCAACAGTACTTTGGAAGGCGGTAGTTGTAGTAGTAGGTGGCGATCTTCATCCGCAGCAGCAAATAATTCGGGCGGATGCCTATATTTGTATACTGCCACTCACCACCCTTCTTTGTGCATCCTGCACTGTTACTTGGCATTTCAGAATATATATGAATTTAATATTCAATATGAGAGCGTAAGATAACAAAAAGTGGATACAATGGTGCAAGGTGTGTCTACACTGATCAACCATTATAAATGGACTCCTATAACAGTAGGAGGCCGGGGGCCCCCGGGGGGGGTGTTTGCGAGATGATAGATCTCTGAGTGCCTTATTAGAATGCTGCGCCATTCTCACATTCAGCCTAGTCACCTGTTTTTAACTGTTTTATTGTTTTTTACAATCCAATTAATTCACCTGAAGGTGTTTTTTCCGCTTTGCTGGGACATAGAATCCTGCAGAGAAATCACCAAAAAAAAAGAGTGGAGAGATTCTTGGAAAACACACACACACACACACACGCACACCTTTCCAACCAAACCTTTCCCAATACCTCACCTTCTACTAAACCCAATCACCCTCTCCAACACTCCACCCCTCCGCAATTTCAGCCACGACAAAATGATGAAAGGATTGAAAGGCGTGGTACGCGATCGGTTTTCAATTCGTTCTTTTTCTTTATAATATCATTACTACTATTTGCTACTACTGCCCTTGTAGGCTCACTTGTCTCTTTTGCTCCATCGTCGTCATTCTTTAATATTTTATCTGCTGACCCTCCCCATGCACTCAAATTCTAGCTTTCTAGGAGCAAATCTCAACATCAAAGTGACTCGAAATCTCGAACAAAGCAGCAACAACGATCTTCAGTATCCGGTCAACCACAAAAATCGTCGTCTACACCCTCTAAACCCCAAACACAATCTCCATCAACAACAACGACGACGACGACACATTTAAATAATGAGACAACTAGTCCACAGCAACAAGAACAGCAGCAGCAGCAACAGTCGCTACAACAACAACATCACCAACAACAGGTAGAATACACTAGCCTATTTTACACACACACACACACACACATACGAAGCAGACGTGGCCCTATTCTAGCCACCTACTATCACCTCCTCATACAACTCTCCTTTTTTTTCTCTGTTGTTGTTGTTAATGTAGCATCTACCACCAAAACCCATCATGGGAAACAAGGTGCTGGATTTACCAAAGTCTGGTAGCAGCGTCAACCGGCTTCACCAAGGCATGCCCAAAGATACTATTCCAGTTGTCAAGACACCAAGACGCCAACGATCCTCGCGCTTTTTTGCACAGGATAATAAGGTTGAGCTGGAACAATACCCCCGTTTCAGCGGTTAGTATTAAGATAGATGGAGAGAGATAGGGTAGTGATGGTGATAAATAGAGAGAGAGAGAGAGAGAGAGAGCGCACGCGTGTGCAAGCACTTGCAGAGATGATGATGATCGTGATAGTGTTGGTATAGTGATATATTAGTGCCACGATCACGTTGTTGTTATGCGTCTCGTTTCTCTCTCATTCTCTCCCTGATTTACAATTGCTAAGCATTGTATGCATTTGGTTTGTCATGTAGAGGTGCCACCGGCACAACGGCCGCAGTTATTCTTACGGAAGCTAAGCCAGTGCCAGACCATGTTTGATTTCAATGATCCGTCGTTTGATCTACGGGGAAAGGAGATAAAGCGCCAAGCGTTGCAGGAAATGTTAGAGTATGTTGCTACGACGCGTGGAGTCATTACAGATTCGCTTTATCCGGATGTGATCCGAATGGTAAGTAGATACCTGCATATTACATGTGTGCGAGTGTGCTTTACACATTGTATACCCACACCCTTACAGTACCTTTTTATCTTTTTTTCTGCTTCCCTTGGACAACTCCTCCCCACCATCCCGAATGGACGAGGAGGAGGAGGTTGGGGGTCGGGTGGGTGGGGGGGGGGGCGGGGATATATGTTGTTGTTTTATGGAATTGCTAAGAAAGAACAATCTATTTTATGCACGTCCCCGTCTCGCGTTTACCGTATGTGTGTGTGTATGTGTGTACTATGCATATATAGTTTACTGTGAACACATTCCGGTCCATCTCGCCGCAAGTAAAAACAGTAGCCGAAGGTGCAGATGCCGAGGAAGAAGAGCCTGTCTTTGAAGTGGCGTGGCCCCATCTGCAACTCGTCTATGAGTTTTTCTTGAGATTCGTCGAATCACCCGATTTTAATACACATGTTGCGAAAAAGTATATTGATCAGAAGTTTATTTTGCAGGTATGGTTTTTTTTCTTTCTTTGCTCTCAGCACATGCCCCTCCACGCTTACTTTTTCTTTTGTTATAAACAAACAATGCAAATCTGCAATTGTATGGGATTACACTGAATTATCTCTTCCTCACTCACTGACTAATATTGTTCCTGTTATTCTACAAACACCCCTCCTCACCCACATTTCACGTTCCTCGCCTCCTCCTTATCCAACCCTCGTACGATTCTCCTCATGTAGCTACTCGAATTGTTTGACAGTGAAGACCCGCGCGAACGAGACTTTTTGAAAACAACACTGCATCGAATCTACGGTAAATTTTTGGGGTTACGAGCCTTCATACGACGCTCTATCAGCAATATATTCTTCCAATTCATTTACGAGACGGAAAAGTTTAATGGTATTGCCGAATTGTTGGAGATCATGGGAAGGTAAGGAGGTTTTAGTTGTTCCTTTGACGTCTTTTTTATGGAGTTAGATTTACAACTGTGTAATCACAATCTCTTATGCTAGCATCATCAATGGATTTGCTTTACCGCTGAAGGACGAGCACAAGGTGTTTTTGTTCCGTGTCTTAATACCTCTGCACAAGCCGTCGCCACTATCGTTATATCACCCTCAGCTCGCATATTGTGTGGTTCAATTCCTGGAGAAAGATCCAACATTAACTGCCGAGGTAATTGGGAAGAAAATAGCTACATGTATAGGTACTGATGATCTTCTTTTCCTCTTGTAATGTGCTTATAGATTGTTCAAGGATTGCTACGATACTGGCCCAAAGTGAATAGTGCCAAAGAAGTGATGTTTTTGACCGAGATGGAAGAGATTTTGGATATTACGGATGCGGTAGAATTTCGAAAGATCATGGCACCTTTATTCCAAAAGATTGGACAGTGCGTTTCCAGCTCCCATTTTCAGGTATCATATCCGTTGTGTTTTCTCTCTTAATCTCTTTCCGCGCATGTTTTTCACCTATAAAAACACGCCTTCTAGGTTGCAGAGCGAGCCTTATACTATTGGAATAATGAATATATCGTAAACCTGATGAGCGATAATATCGACACCATTATGCCAGTGGTATTTCCCGCTTTATATCGACATGCCAAAGTGCACTGGAATAGGTAAGGAAAACGGTTCTCTCTCTTTGTTGAAAGGTGGGGTCAAAACAGAGTACTGATACTAGCAAATTTAAATCTCAGGATAATCCATGAACTTGTTTCCGACGCACTAAGGATTATGATGGAATTGAATCCCACCTTATTCGATCAATGTTTAAAGAAATACATCAAAGACGATGAAGAGTAAGTCTGGGAAGAAGGATTTCTCGAGAGATATAATTACCTGGAAGAAGGAGGTCAAAAGACTAGAACGTGTCGTTGGTAGAGTTGGTTCACAATGAACTAAACAACATAATAATAGAGCACAAGACCGAATCCAGGAAAAGGAAGAAATTTGGAGACGTTTGAGATTACAAGCAGAAGAAGCACGAACCCGATCACCTACCACTATTAATTCTACAAATGATATCGCTGGCACAGTAAGTTTCGCTAAAGGTTGAATAATAAGGGGTGGAGATGATGGGTGAGTGGGTATATATGTGCAAGTGGAGAGTGTAAATCAGTAGTAAGTTTTTTGCTTATCTATTAGCGTAAAGGCGAATAATATTAGTTCTACCATCACTACTTCTACTACGTCCGCTATACCAACAACAGCAACAACAGCCGCTGCCGCCGCCGCTGCAATAAATGATACAAATGACACCCATAGTAACAACAACAACAACAACAACACCAATCAGACCTCTGAAATCATTACCGATACCCCTCCATCTACTACTACTGTCGCTAGTACCGCGACCACCGCTACCATCACCATCACCACCACCGCCGCCGCCGCCGCTGGAGAAAAGTCACATGATATACCTGACACAGGAAACTCGTCTGATGATTCTGATACTTGTTCGTGGCATAGTTATTTAGAATAAATTCCACACAATGATTTTAGACAGTGTAAAAACAATGAACACGAGGCGTGGTAAAATTAACGCGACAAAAAAGAAAAAAGATTGAATTAAAGGTGACCCTTTCTACTCTACATGCTGTACATAAGAAGATACACGCATGTATGCATGAAACCTCGATCTATTAGACTTGTGTCCATTCCTACATACTTATTGCCATCACACCGTCGTATATATGATACAGGTGAATCTTGCACCTTATTTCTGTTGATAACTAGCTTCTCAGTATTACATTAGACTTTTTTAAAAAAAGGTTCCCGACCACTTTCATGTCAAATATTCGAGCGATGCATAGTGGAAACAGTTGATGTATTCTTGCATTGCATGTAGTATCTAACGTCTGCACATACTGTAGCTGACTCCGTCATTATCTGACAGTATCCCGTAAAGATATACATTCCTACAAGGAGGTCAATGTATGCAATGCAGAGAGGTCTCGTTGAGCAAATATTATGCTCACATGATTGTAGCTGGAGTTTGGCAAAGAGACTAAGCCGACGAGACAGTGCTCGACTGTTTGGCCAAGTCGATATAATAGTGGCACATATACGATTGCTGCGTGCGACTGTAATATACACACAGATACATGGTGGATCAAGTATTTTTTATATTCTGTATTACTCATAGCTATTGCAGCAGGGTCCATGGTGTTGTAGGCAATGATTGCATCCAAAGTACTCACGAAAGGATACGCGCAAGTGAATGGATCTGTTTCCATCGCCCGTGTGTAACTGATGATGACGGCGAAAGAGAGAGAGAGAGAGGGAAAAAAGCGCAGCATAAAAACAGGGAAAAACTACCTCCGCCCTATACTCAGAGCCACAGCTAATACACACAGATATTACAACGCACCTTGCATCTCCCTCTCTCCCCCACACTTTTTCCAAATACGTATTTGGCATAGACTGTTCACCCACCTCCCTGGAGAACCAAACGGTTTGTAGAACGCGGGTTGATATATCTATTTTTTCTGAACTGGCGACGAAAACACAATATACAAGACATCTAACAATGATCCATCCTGGTTTCCAGGAATCCCAACAACCAACGGCGGCAACAACTCTTCTTCTTCTTCCTCCTTCTCTGCTCCTACTTTCCTAGAGGCTAACCAAACCGACCACACACACATACACAATGGACGACCCCAACGATTTCGACAATGACGATTCATCCGTAGCCGCCACCAGCACGAAGCCTGTTAAGCACAGTGGCCGGAAAAAGATCAAGATTGAGTACATTCAAGATAAGAACAGACGTCATATCACTTTTTCCAAGCGCAAGGCCGGTATTATGAAAAAGGTATATTTTTCTTTTTGTGTTTTTGAAAGAAGAATATGAGGGTGGGGAAGGGAGGGGGAGTTTGGGTTGGGGCAAGTAAGAGAGAAAAAGAAAAAACGACAAGCTAAACACACACTCCCCCTTATCGTGGAATCGGTTGACTGTGGTTTATCGAAGAGAAGGCTTACGAGCTCTCTACGTTGACGGGCACTCAAGTGCTGCTGCTTATCGTCTCGGAGACAGGATTGGTGTACACGTTCACGACTCCCAAGCTGCAGCCGATGGTGACGAAACCGGAAGGAAAGAATTTGATTCAAACCTGTTTAAACGCTCCCGACCCTATTCCAAACGACGTCGCTTCGTCGTCATCGGTGAGTAATTTTTTACCTTGGGTGTTCCTGCATGATTTTTTCCATTTCGTTGTTTGCTCACATTTCGTATCCATACCGACTGCCTTCTTGAACGCCATAGGTACGTGGCGATGCAGACGAGGAGAGTAGCATTGCTTCGCCGCGACCCACAACTGTGATGCCAAAGGCGGCCATGAATGTAAGTTTAAATACATGGAACGTGGGTAAAAAAAAAAAAACGCTGGCTTACAAAAAAAGACCTTTTTTGCTGTATCTTTCTAGGCTTCGCCCAACACTGTACCTTTGGCACATCCACCACCACCACCGCAACAGCAGCAACAACAACAACAACCGATACAGGACAGCAATATTGCTTACGCTTCGTCTTCGCCTTATATGATGGGCGGTGGCTCCAATTCGCGCTATGACACCGGGTATCCAAGTGGTGGGCCAGCTCCTGCTTCGTCCTATGCTAACTCAACTCCCTTATACCAACCTCACCAACCGTACAGCAACATGTCTGGTGGCGGTAACAGTGGCTACCCCACTTCTTTACAGCATTCTGGCATGGCACCGGCAGGTGCTTACTGGGTGTCTCCTTCTTCGGTGGCTACATCTTCGGCGCAATATCCAGACATGAAACCGCCTGTGGATCCTCTCGGCCGAGTTAAGCGCGAGTAATCTTCTATCTTTCTTACTACATGCTATGTCTTTCTATCTCTCTCTCTTTCTCTTACAAGCCAATACTATTAGTTCCATACGTACGTTCCTATATTATATCTCACCCCGTTTTCTCTGTACTACCCCAATGTATATCTTAACAACTGCTCCCTTCCCCACCCAGATCACCCACAAACGAACTACCTTATACTATTTGAATCTGATCGACTATGTTCATGGTATGTGTTCATGGTTGTTTGTTTAATCATGAAAGAAAAAAAAATATTGACAACTACATGGCTTGCTTTTTTATGTTACATGACAATGAGAGAGAGAAAGAGAGAATGTACGAAAGGATATATGGCTTTTTATATGCAGGAAGGATGTAAAGGATGGAGAATTAGAAACGCAAGTCCCAGCCAATCTTGGGACCAAGCTCGGGAAGGACTTCTGCAACAGTGTGCATGTCCTTGTCACCTCTACCAGAGAGACATACAATGATGTCCTGGTCCTTGGGGAGCTTCGCTGCCTCTTCAATGGCATGGTACAAGGCGTGCGATGATTCGAGAGCAGGAATGATACCTTCCAACTGCGTAAGCTTACGGAAACCAATCAATGCCTCGGCATCGTCGGCCACACGATACTCAGCTCTGCCGGAATCCTTGAGAAAAGCGTGTTCAGGACCAACACCGGGATAATCCAAGCCAGCGCTCACGGAGTGGGTCTCGATGATCTGGCCCTTTTCGTCCTGGAGCAGGTAGGTACGTGTGCCGTGCAACACACCGGGTGTGCCCTTGGTCAGAGTAGCCGAGTGAAGAGCCGTGTTGACACCACTGCCACCGGCTTCGACACCAATAATGCGGACAGACTTGTCTTCGACGAATGGATGGAACATGCCAATAGCATTGGAACCGCCGCCAACACAGGCAACAATGACATCGGGCAACTTGCCTGCCTTTTCTTGCAGCTGTCTCTTGGATTCGCTACCAATGACAGACTGGAAGTGGCGGACGATCATGGGGAAAGGATGGGGACCGATGGCGGAACCGACCAAGTAGTGCGTGGTAGACACATTGGTGACCCAGTCACGCATAGCTTCGTTGATGGCATCCTTCAAGGTACGCGAGCCGCTGCCAACAGGCACAACAGTAGCGCCTAACATGCGCATACGGAAAACGTTCAGCGCCTGGCGTCTGCAGTCCTCTTCGCCCATGTAGACAACACATTCCATGCCAAACTTGGCACAGACAGTAGCTGTGGCAACACCGTGTTGACCAGCGCCGGTCTCTGCAATGATACGCTTCTTGCCCAAGCGCTTGGCAAGCAAGATTTGGCCGACAGCATTGTTGATCTTATGTGCACCCGTGTGGTTCAAATCCTCACGCTTGAGCCAGATGCGAGCACCGCCAGCGCTTTCGGTCAGACGATCAGCAAGCTGCAGACGCGAAGGACGGGCAATGTAGTCATAGTACGATTCGAATTCGGCAGTGAATTCAGGATCGTTGATGGCGTCAATGAAGCACCGTTCAAGTTGAGTGAGACAGTCGACGAGAATTTCTGGCACATACGCGCCACCAAAGTCACCGAAACGCGTGGTCAGTTCGTAAAAGCTCTTGAGTTCCTTGCCAACAACAATGCCCTTGCCGGCCACATCGCTCACTTCGAGATCGGCTTGGGGCTGCACGGCAGCAGCAGCCAGTTCAACAGGCTTGCGGCCGCATACTTCAGAGCAGTACTGTTCGACAACTTGAGCAACGTCCTTTTTGGCTTCCACGGCTTCGCGGATCACAGTAATGATACGTGAGCCAATGACGACACCGTCACCGTGAGCAGCGACCGTTTCGAAATGCTCGCGCGTAGACACGCCAAAGCCAATGGCCAAGGGCACGTCTGTGAACTTTTTGATACGGGCCATGAGCTCAGGCAAGGACTGGCTGACTTCTTTGGTGGCGCCCGTGACGCCAAGACGAGATACGACGTACATCCACGAATCGGCGACTTCGGCCAACATGGGAATTCGGCTGTCGACGGTCGAGGGGGCAACGAGTGGAACAAATGAAAGACCGTACTTTAAGCAGACGTTGCGGAAGGTGTGTGATTCCTCTGGTGGTAAGTCGACCATAATGTATCCGTTCACGCCGGCTTCTTTACAGTCGCGTACAAGGTTTTCTTCGCCATATGCAAGGACAGGGTTGTAGTAGCCCATGAATACCACGGGAACGGTCAGTCCACGAGCGCGTGCGTCGCGTACCATTTGCAGACACATGGTAACGTCGGTTTTGTGTTTTAAGGATTCCTGTTTTTCAAACGACGTGTGAGCTCGCCTTTCCCTTTATACACACTTTTTTTTTCCTAACGCCATGCTGTTATGTTTACTTACAGTGTTTGCATATTGAATTGTGGGGCCATCGGCTAAAGGATCGGTGAAAGGGACGCCTGAAAAAAGTGCAAAAAGTTTAGCAACTTGTTGTCAGTTGTCAAGTACAGGCCTCATAATCTTACCAAGTTCAATCAAGTCGGATCCACCACGTTGCAGAGACAGCAAGACTTCAACGGATGTTGCTGGATCAGGATAACCAGCTGTGACAAAAGTGACAAATGCAGGGCGATCTATAAACGTTCCGCGTTGACAGTGAGGATGCGAAAAAAAAAAAGGGAGGAAACACGTTTAGAAACTTGTATTCCACAATTGGGTTTTATCTTAATATTCCACGTACTTTCCGCCTTGGCAGTAGCGAATGCTTCACGAAGACCAGCAGACATATTTGTGTTTAGTTAGAGTGATAAAGTGCAAGAAGAAGGGCGACGTATAGAAATGGGGGAAAGAGAGAGAGAGAAGGCATCAATGACTCTGCCATCTTATAGGTTTTACTCATATTTTTGAAACGCCGAAGATGTGACCGCAACCGCTCTGCAATCTCCTGGAGGCCGATTAACGATTTTAAGTCCTCACTACCGGGCAACATGTGTCACCATCGCATGACCCAATTTTTGTCTCTAATTTATGCATGACAAAAGTGATTTCTTGAATAAAGCTCGAATAAAGTATTCTTCTCTTAAGTGGTAATAGTGCTTTCATTCTCTTCTCCCCAACAATTGCATGTCGTGGTGGACTTACTCAATTCATCTATTCTGCTGAGATTCATTTAGTAAGATGGTCTTTTATTAGTCAACATACATACATCAAGTTCATCATGTACCTGTATCACACAAGACACCGATCTAAATCTATCCCACCTTTTTCTTCATCGACTGCCATTTACTTGCTACTATGTGTGTCTTCAACACCAATAGCGTATACAGTTTGCGGATGCATAATCCTAACGTATATTGCATCACCTGTTTGAAGATGATGTCCCTCCTCGCTGATAGAGCTGCGGTATCGTGTTGGACAATCAATAGTTAAAAGAATTCTTATTTTGACTGGCGAAACGTACAAGATTGACTTATAACTAGCATCCTCATATTGCTGCCGCACTTACTGGATCTCTGGTGCTGTACTGCAAATTGACAGGTGTTTCTGCTTCTTGTTGGTCAATGCATTTTTTCTACGTCAAAAGGTAGACGAGAACCTATCAATATCGAATCATATTGGTTCTGGCGTTGCATCAAGTGCTTAACACAGTAGCAACATACAACTGCAATCTTGGTATAACTAGATTCTCTATAAACACATGTGTATGTATCAGAAACAACTTCATTGTGCTTTTCTGCTTAGTAGGCATCAGGCTCAGTATGCTGTACAATCCGCACACTAATTTTTTTTTCAATCCCGAATAAAGATTTGTCGCGTCGCCTTTCAACCGCCCCCTCTTGTCGATCGCTTTTTTAGAACAGCAATGGATTACATGACAGAAAAAAAGCTTCGTCCTCTTTACGGTAATTATTCTATTGACGCACGATCCAGAATCTCAAGGGAAAAAAAAAACTACTTTTTATTTCCGTGCTGAACCATTGTACTAGAGGCGATCGACGAGGGTCAAACTAAGCTTGCACTTCAACACACGACTAAATTACTGAAAAAGAACCCAGACTGGCCCTTGGTCAAGGTACAGGACAAGCTACAAAAATTGTGTTCTAATCGATGCCAACATTTACTTGACACGTTCACGTTAATATATTTTAGGCTTTGAAAGCTGTCGTTTTGGTTCGAACGGGCAAGGACGATGAAGCTGCTGCGTTATGCCAACAAGTGAAAAAATCGATCCCGACTGACAATGCCACCTTGCAGGCGTGTACCATGGCTTACAATGAACTCGGCCAACGTAACGTTTTCGTAATAGATGCACTGTAAAGAGAGATAGAAAAAATGACGTGTTACTAAACTTATCAACAACCAACTTTTAGACCATGCAATCGTCGAACTTTACGAGAATGCAGCAAACCAACAACCAAAGAACGAAGAGTTCGGTAACCATTGGTTCATGGCCATGGTGCGCAACAATGACTATAAGGGTCAACAAGCTGCTGCTTTAAAGCTACACCGTACCTTTAAACAAAACAAGTATTTGTTCTGGGCAATCATGTCCTTGGCACTCCAGGTACGCGCTCTTGATTATCTAAGCTTTATCGTGCAAGCGACATAATTAACGCAGACATATACTCATAACTACTACTGTAGGGCAAAAACTCGGCATTATCATATACATTAGCGGAGCGCATGATGGCGAAAGCACAGGAAGAAGGTCGATTGGATGAAGTGGAACACATGCGGTTGTATCTACTGATTATGCTAGACCAAAACAAACACGAACAAGCACTGACATTGTTGGAGGGTCCTTTGGGTCAAAAATCGCTTCGTGATCCTGAAGTTCGTCAAATCAAAACCGAACTCTTGCTTACCAACAAGAAATGGCAAGATGTCCTCAAGTCGACCGAACAAGCACTGCGAAACGAAAACTCGGATGATTGGATTAGCTGGCGTGCGTACTTTGATGCTTTGGATGCGTTGGTCACCGAAAACAGTGATGATGCATTGATAAAGCAAGCTCGTGCATTGGTTGCGCAGCTTTCAAAGCAGGCGCTCGAAGCACCTGTATTGAAACGCGGTCCATTTTTGGCAGAGTTGGAGCTGGACTATCGACTTGACATGTTACAGAAAGGAGGTAAACAGTGCCACGGATCGTGTGATAGGAGTGTTGGTATATTAAAATGCAAATGCACCTTAGATGAAAAAGCTATTCTGGACAACATTCTATCATACTTTTCCCGGTTTGGATCAAAGTCCTGCTGTTACGAAGACCTCCAAGCGTACATTTCGTTTTTGAAACAAGACACATCAAAAGCAAAATCTTTTATTGATTCGTTAAAGGCAACCATTAATGAAGCCAAAGAAAAGGTTAGCTACAGGGCTATTGTCTAGTAGGAATCAGGAGTTACAGAAACTAACATATTTTTTTCTGTGAATTGGTGTCATAAGCCTGCCATCATTAAGAACGTTTACAAGAATGTCAACGTCCGAAAGATAGAACGATATCTCGGATTGCAATCAAATCTCTCACTTGAACAAGGTTTATCCCTTGCTAACGAACTGTGTCAAGCATATCAGGATGCGCTCCCACTAGGTAAAGTGTCTGCTTGAATGGAAACGTGGAACCAGAAAAAAAAAAGAAGAAAGCATATGCTGGACTGTACGCTGATAGTTATAAATCAAAGGTGAGGGATTGGAAAAGACAGAAAACCAATATGGCGATGATTATGTCCTGCTGGCAAGCCATGTCTTGGTGGATCTCTATCACGAACACAAGAGCCCTGCTCTCCTGATCCAAGCAGTGTCTTTCCTGGAAGATGCGCTTGAGAAGAGTATCTACAACTTTCATATAAAATTGACCTTGGTTCGTCTTTATGCCATGCTTGGTAAGCTCGGTCGTTTTCTCAAATGTTGAAACCTTGTGAATGTTGCCATGACTTATGTTGTTAATTTCTATAAAGGTGTTTGCAACCGTCCTGTACAAATATTCCGCACCATGGATATCAAACAAGTACAATTTGATACAATGATGTAAGTCTGCTCAAGATTGATGCCCCAACTTAAAGCGCTGGGCTGTTTTACATTCGATACTAACAACAATAACGACAAAAAGCCATTATTTCACCGATCGCTTCATTTCCCTTGCTTGCTTGGATGAAGTAGAGCAATTATTGCTCGAATCCCTCATGATATACAAAAGCAACCAAGTCGAGGTAATTTTGCTATTATTGCAACAAAGAATATTGTGTCAAAAAACAGCCAAAGCTGACGTATGCTGTTTATAATAATAGACGCCAGAAATGGTCGTCAAAGCATACCAATACGGCACCTTCTCAAAGGTATGATATTATATAAAAGGAGCATTGATTATTATGATAACTAACAGACTTTTCTTATACAATGATGACAGATTCAAGAATTCATTGAATTCCGCTCACGCCTCGACTCGTCCCTCCAACAAGCCATTACCAACGTAGAGCTAACTCGAATCGAATCGAGCGCATCCTCTTTCCAAGTGAAATATGCAGTACAATATTTCCAGGATTTGGATGTATCAAAGATCAAATGTGATGGTAAAGAGAAGCACGCAACAAACTGTTTGTAACTATTTTTCAGTGCACTGACATATATAATTGATTCTGACTACTTTTTTAAGATGCTTTCGTCCAAGAGCAATCTGATAATCGTGATTTTAAGGTGTTCTTGAACTGCAATTCTGAAGAGCAACCCAAAGGAGAAGAACTATTCAAACTGACAAAGAGTACCAACGTAAGTTATATTTTCTAGGTAGACATGAATTCTTTTAACTAAACCTTGCAATATTTCTAATGTTTAGCGAGTGTGGCTGCAAACGTTCTCTTACATCCTCAACATCCTAAGCGCAGCATGCAGTACCAAGGAAAACAAGGATTTAGGCGGTATTGTAAAGCAATTTAACGAATTCTTGCAACGCAAGGAGGTTCCTAGCGAGGTTAGTAAAGGGGTGCATACATTCATATAGGATGTCAAAGAGGGACACAGCATCTAAACACTTATTATGAACAGGTGACGCCACAAGAATTTGCAGTGGCCAAATATATTCGTGAAATCAGCTCTGCACTTGTATCAATCAAGGATCCCGCAACACGGAAAAACAGTATGCACTTCTTTTCACGCTATGAAAAAGATCACTTTTTATAAATTTTGGTCTGACACAAGTATATATCGATTTTCTAGACGCTCAACAGGCAGCCGAACACTTGAAGAATGCTGGTGCGATCTTGGAAAAAGAGTGTAAGGTTTGAGTGTAACATTTTTTGTGTTGAGGGGGGGGGGCGGGGTGTTATCTACGCGCTAATAACACGTTTTGTGCTGTAGTGTCTCCTGAGGGTAGCTTCGTAGATGAAGTAGTATCATGGAACTTATTCCACAAGGTTTCCATTGCTTTAGAGGTATTTGCTTCGCTTCGGTTTACATCATGTTTTTTAATTGTATATATATATACGAAAGGGCAACAAGTGATAATCCTATGGCATGTTTTTATATTAGGCGTTTAATTATGGAGCAGTCTTGGTAGAGATGATCAACCGTGCTCTCGGACTGACCAGTAAAGACGCAAAGAAAAAGGCGGCAGAAAACGCCAATAACGATATCTTCGTAAGTTGAATGGATAAAGAGTTATAGAAAAAAAAAAGGGACTGAGATATTGTAATTAGATCGCAGCACTTCAAAAGATGAATGAGGCAAACAAGACATTACTGCTACGATCACAAGCAGCAGCACGACGTGGTAACGAGTTTTTCAAGGGTCAGTTCCAAAAGACCCTCACCAAGTCTATCACTGAATCCGTCTATACACTGGATCAATTCAAGGAGAAGGTAAATTCTTTCAGTTTTGTTGAAGCCAGTGTTTGCACTTTCTGGTATTCTTGCCCATGTTGATACTCATCTAAACATACCGTCACTAGGCAAATCAGAACCGACTGACAGATCGTATAAAAAAGATGACATCAAGCTGGACTAGTTCAGTGTCTCACTTGTCAGAAGAAACTACTAGACGCGTTATGAAATTATAATAATTAAAAAATCTGGTTGGATCTTTTTTTGAGTGTTCTAACCTTGCTCTTGCAAACTTTTTTTTTTGGGCTTATGTAACAGAAGCGGGTTAAATTGCAGATACTCTAAAGGATAATGACAGAGGTATGTAGCATATTGACATTAGCTTTAGTTTCTGCTCCTTGCTTTTTATTTTTATTTAGCCTATAAATATCGCTTCAGTGTTTAATTCTGTTTAGCCCTTTCCTCTCTTACCATCTAAATAGCAGATATTGCGTTGGATCATGGAACCCATTGAAGCTGTAGAATTGGATCGAGATCATTCTCACTTTTTTTTTTGGAAAGTTTGACAGCGCTACATAATACAGCAATCTTGTTTCGGCAAATTATTTAGATTGTCATTTACCTACTTACTAAGTTCATCAATACACCCGGAAGCGCTGCTTTATATTCCTTGCTTGTACCAACTATGAGGTTTATCAACATGTTTTGATAATGATCACAATCCACCTTTAAACTTTATAATCAAATCATGCCAGTCACCATATTTTAAATCAAAACAACTAATCAATCAAGTGGATGTAGCTTTACTATGTATATGAAACGCGGGGGGGAAGCAATAAGTAAGCGCGCAATCTATTTATTGTGGGTCTTTTCTAGATACCAGTAATGAGATTCGTGATATCAAACTGCTTATTAAATGTCTGACGACTGCCTTGAGAATGGGTTTCTACTTGATTGCTAAAATCTGTTCCAAAGCTCAAGCTTTGTATTTACGTATTTGTTTCGTAATTCCTTATAAAACAGCACTACATGGTAATTTCCGTAGCTGCAACCTCTGTACGAAAGAAAGCTATCAATCGACAGTGATATCGAGGTTGCTGTGGCCAGTTTAATGTAAGCAAATGCTCAATATGATCTGATGACATATCTATCTGTGATATCTGTAAGTTTCCAAACATTAAATATCAGTGTGATTATGGTTACTCCTGTAGGCTTGCTCAATTTGCTACACCTCATAATTTAATATTTGCTCTCTACTGAAAGATACATGCGTTCACATATCGTGCTCATATGTTATTGAACGGGAAAAAAAAAGGATCAACAGGAAAGCTGTCATTAAAGTTTATATAAATGACTTGTTGGAAACATTTCTACATAGTTTTAAATTCGGTCTGACAGAAGTATAATATACCGTATTTTTAGATACCACTCAACAGGCAGCTGATCGATGGGGGCCCCACTAGCACCTATTTTGGCTAAAGAGTGTGAGCGTTGATCATTAATCGATCTTTTAGTGTGGCTTTTTGCTTTGCGCGCGCGTTGCAAACGACCACCCCTTTTTATTTTTCCTGAGGGTAGCGTCGTGGATAAAAATCGATATCCTGTATATATTCGACAAAACATTCTATTGGTACATGGAGCGAGAAACATCTCCACTTTTTATTGTAGTGTATGCTTCGCTTGTATATGAAGATGATGCCCAATAATTATTTTTAGCCATAGGTTAATATAATTTCCTAATGGAAAGATAATCAAACGGTGACTCTCAAATTAACCGGGAAGAATGCAAAACAGCATACGGCGGAAACGACGATAACGACCATTTGTGTAAATACTATTAGAAGGAGTAAAAAGAAACATGCACGAGGTACACGTATAACTTGGAAACTTTAACGGTGATACGGTTCTAAACTCATAAATCAGCACGACGAGTGAATTGCCACTTTCACGATCACAAAGCAGCGACACAGGCCATTGGAGGTCTAAACATCTATCACTGCATCTGGTTATGCACTTGCTTTTTTTTTAAAGAATAGGGCGTTTATATACTACTACGTGGTTCGGATATCCTTCTTTATCTTCCACCAATCAAGATAACGTGCATCATCCCTTGCCTGAAACAGGCTGAGGGATTGTATAATGACGTCCAAACAACCGGAACAATTCAGTGGTCGACTTGTTGTTGACAGAAGACCTGCAAATTCTAATTAAAGAAAAATTCAACTGATTGGGATTCTATCTTGTGATATTCATCTAAAACAGAATCGTATTTATTTTTTATATGTGGCAGAAATGTAAGAAAAATTGTGCGCCAGCAATGATGCAGGCAAAATCTTCCTATTTTGGCGAAAACCTGCAGTTAGCATGTACTCGCGCAGCCAATCAGACAGTTTCTCTCCTGCAGAGTGACGGTCTGCACCATGAGAAAAGTATTCAATAAGGCATGGCGCATATATACTGCAGTAGTGGTTTGTAGGCCCCCACTATTTGGTGCTATAAAGGAAAAAGAGTAACTTTTTATCATTAAGACTTTTGGTGAAGACGGCCAAAGGTCATATTACTCAAATCACCATGCTATATGCAGTTAGGACGCGCGCAGAAACCTCTTACAGACAGCATAATTGGCACGGAACAAATGCAATGTGCTGCTCCGCTTGGCATTTTATGAAGAAGGGAGGGAGGTAGGGAGGGAGGGAGCAGTAGCAGTACGCATGGTCGTCGTCGTCGTCGTCGTCGTCGTCGTAGTATGTAGTAACAGAAGATGTCTATCACTGAATCATTATGTTTAGGGTTTCAGATAGTTTCCTGTTTACTACGCATCGAGATCTTGCAGAGTACCATACGTCAAGCATCGTTACCGTCATTGAGTTTAACAATATTCTACGAGACATCCAAAAAGAAGCTTTTCTTTATTCTGGTACCTGGCAGCGTGCTTACATGGTTGCATCCCTCTCCTTTCGGGCTTTTTTTCTTTTTTAGTTTTCATGGTTTCATCAATTGATCTATAAAAGCAAAGACAAAACCGCCTCCCCCCCCCTGCTCGTCTACACTGAAAAAAAAAATCCCATTCGCTCTCTCTCTCTCTCTCTTTCTTTCTTTTATTTTGAACTCTTTCCGTAACCCTCTCCTCCTCTCACTTTCCTATTGTCAGCCATCCCCGCTTCCTACGTAGCCACTACTGTAAAAGCGACGATAGCAACACCCGAGATCACCATGGCACCACATAAACACAACGATTCTGCAAAGATAATAAAACCGCCGGGCGAGTTCGTTTCAACACCCGTCAGTGAGAAATCGTTCACGCCCGCAATGGGTGGCGCATACCACCACCGCCACAGCTCGACCGACGACTTTCAGATGGCGGTAGAAGAGGTAGAGCACGTACCCGAAGGCACAGCATCGCCCGGAAAAGCATTGTTCATGCTGCTCAAAGCCTTTGTCGGCACTGGCGTTATTTTCTTACCGGGAGCGTAAGTGCGACTACTACTGCTTGCTTTGCTTTGCTTTGCTTTGCTCTCGAACAAGAAGCGATCCTGTTGATATTGGAATAAATACCAAAAAAGACTAAACACCAAAAGTTTATAGATTCGTATCGGGGGGTCTGGTCTTTTCGATCTGCCTGATGATATTTATTGCCACCATTTGCTTGGTTGCCTTCCAAATCCTTATCATTTCGCAGCGGCAAGTGAACGCTTCGTACGGAGACATGGGCCTGATTCTGTACGGTCCATGGCTGCGCTACATTATACTGTTCTTCTTGTGCTTATCCCAGATGGGCTTCGTCGCCTCCTACCTGATCTTCATCTCGCAGAACATCGGCTTGGCTGTCGACTACTTGACCCACTGCGCATCGCCCATTGACAGCAAGTACTATATCTGGATCGTCCTCTGTGCCGTCATCCCCATCACCTGGGTCCGCAAGATTGCGCGTCTCTCCTGGTGTGCCATCATTGCCGACGTCTTTATTCTCTTTGGCTTGATCTGCGTCCTGTACTTTTCAGCCTCAGAAATCGCCCAAAATGGCCCCGGACCCAACATCCAATTGATTAATTCAAGTGACTTTGCACTCATGATTGGCACTGCTGTCTTTTCCTTTGAAGGCATAGGCATGGGTACGTAAAATGAACAACCATTATGTATGATACGAATGACATTCTTAACAACAAAAAAAAACTACAGTTGTTCCCATTGTCGAAGGTATGAAAGAGCCTGACAAGTTTCGAAGGGTCATGAACATTGGTCTTCCACTTGTGGCCGTTATTTTCATCTTGATCGGTACGATTGGCTACTTGGCCTTTGGCGATCAGACCTATGCCAGTGTTGTCGCCAATTTGCCCAAAGTGCCGCTATCGATCACCGCCCAGCTTTTGTACGCTGCCGCCATGATTCTGACGTCTCCTTTCATGCTCTATCCTGCACTGACCATCATCGAACAGGCGCTCTTTGGAAAGAGCGGCTTGCTTGGCTATCGAAGTGGACGCATCGCATTCAAGTGGAAGGTTGCAAAAAGCTTTACACGGTCCATGGTCGCCCTTGTCTGTGCTGCCGTCAGCTTCGCAGTCGGTGCAGACGGGTTGGACAAATTCGTTGCGCTCGTCGGATCACTGGCATGCATTCCTCTCTGCTTTATTTTCCCCGGTAAGAAACCCCTCTCGACTTGTCCCCCTTCATCCTACCCCACCTTCCCCCCTATAGCAGCGGCAATTGACTCTGGCGCTCATACACTGTACTTTAACTTTTAGGAATGTTCCATTACAAGGTGACAAAGAACAAATGGGTTAAAATCGGTGACGTTATCCTGGTCTTGTGGGGAATGGGGATCATGGTATACACGCTCTACGTCAACATCAACTCTTGGGTTCATCCTTCAAGCGCTTCACGGCCAGTCCCGGACCCCTGTCCTGCATAATAATAATTTATTCTCTCATCCTAACACCCCCCCCCAACGGTTTTACCTGTCTGTCATTCTCCCACAATTATTTTGTATTCCAAATACCTCTTTTGTTTTCTTTTTTCGTGCTGGATACCGCCCTCCTACTCTTGTAAATTATACTGCTACTGACTCATACACATAGAAGTTTTGCTTTGATTCGCCTCATGATTATATATTTATTACCACTTTTAAAAAATGAAAACTGCCTATTCCACATCTTTGTTCTTGCCAAAAGCCAGGTTAATCACATATGGAATTGCGGGGGGGGGGTTTGTATTGCGAAAGAGATCTGCACAGACATGCAGGCATAAGTCAGCACGGCGTTCTTGAGGCTCCTATAGCACTTTTGCTGTCGCAGTATACGGTAGAGGGAAGCCATAGCCCCGGATGGTACAGAAACTAATTACCTTTACTGGCATGTAGTTGCCTTATAAGGAATGCACAGAGTGCTATTCTCCAAAAAGAAGCGCTTGTGGTGGGTGATACGCACGCGTATGTAGCCCGCGCGAGCAATCATTTGACAGATCCGTTCGTCTTGTTCGGATCAAGCTTCCATGGCGTTGTTAGGAGATATTTTGCAAATCAACGGCGCAGAATGTGGTGTACGCAGTGGCGCCGGCAATGTTACGTGTAATATAGAAGAAAAAGTGTAAACGGTTTGTTTGTTGCGATGACAAACACGATAACGATAATGAGAATGGAGATCGATCGAGTAGACAACAGGAAAATTGATGGGATGGTCTGAAACCTAAAGAAAGCGGTCAACCAAGAATACTACTTGAACTGATCAGCTGATCAACACAACCACCGGTACTACCTGAACCCATACCAGCCAACTGGCGAAAGAAACAAATCTGACACAGAAAAGTGAAAGCAACAGCAGCAGTAATAAACAACTACGGGGTAGTCGTTCTTTTCTTCTACTGCTGGCGTATCTCGAACAAACAAAAACAGGCGCTAAACCATTTTGTAAATTCCAAAATTCAACTTCCAATTTTGGACAGTCATCCAACATCAAAAATTTAAACAAGGCAACTGCAGGTGGTGTGTGTTTACGCTGTTGTTATTGTTGCGCATTAGAAATGTCACTGCTTGTCAAACACTAAGCAAGCGGAAAATACACACGCATACCTCATGCTGAGCGAGACCGATGTATTAACAGTAGTGATTTTAATTCATGTCAAAAATGTATGTTTTTGTACGAGCCTGAACTACTACATACTACTACGATAGCGCAGCCAGCATTGATGTTCTATGCGTGTGCTGTAACTAGTCTCTGTGCCTGTACCCAAACTTGGAGAGCGTACCAGGTAAGAGTATGTGCGGCGGCAGATACATCATCAATATATTGCTCATGTGACCAACACGAAACGAGGATCAACCTCTCTTTTTTTTTGTTGCCACCGCAGTGTGTTACAAACTCGTTGTGGCTGCTGAATTATCTACACTGCTCTAACAATATACAACGAGCCCTTTCATTTTAATGCTGCGCAGCTTCTTTCCGATAACGGCAACGATTATGTTTTGGCATGTTGTTGATGTGGCCCTTCTTGGTTTTGCTGTTGTTGTTGCTACGGATGATGGCAACGATGACGATTGGGCTGCTACCAACCTATTTTTCTTTGCGTTTAGATGGCTCTAGAATCTTGGCTCTGATCTTTTGGTTTCATAAGAAAACTATATAAAGGAGTCATCATGCAACGATGATCTGATCATAATAACATCACTACTACTACTACTACTACTACTACTACTTTTACGACAGACATCACCACAATGGCACCACAATGGGTTTATGCAGCCGGAAACTGTTGGGTTCCCTTCGATTATGTAACGAATTCAGCAATTGAGAGACTCTGGCGTGTAGGTGCCGATGGCAATCTTAATGTCGGAGGCTACCTTGCCTACATCAACACGGCTGGATTGTACATGCTACAGCACAACACCAAGCGTACGATCACTCGAACGGGCTGTTAATATTATTACACGACAACAGCTACAGATAATGCCAACCCATTCTCGTACTACTGTGAAGTCAGTCGCAAGCTGTTGCTTTCATCTCGCCGACCTGACGACGACGACGGTTCCAACCTTTCATACTTTTCCATTAATGTCATCTCCTTCTTTTCTTATGTTTATGATTATGATGAGCCATATTACACCATTCTCCTTGCATAGCTATTATACCACTCCACAACTACCACCATTCACTTTATGCTTTCATCTGCACGTTCCTCTCTTTGATTTTCTATTACATTGTCCACAACTCTATTTCGTTTTCCGGTTTACACTTTTAAATTACCATTCCCCTAAAGTCTTCATAAAATAAGGCTTGTATATATGCATGCGTACTACAAATAAACAAATCCCTTTGAGCTCTTTTCTTATCGAAGTTATCAATCTGGCTCACACTATTAATTTTTGATTTCTCCAAAGGCCCGAACTCTCTTCTTCCATTGTATATATAAATATGAGCAACAGAAGTTGACATGGTCACCTGAATGAAGGAAATAACAGAACTGCTCATATTAACAACAGCGTACATTGCTCCCTGATATCTACATCTCCATCACTACATACATATTATTTTAGCTATTCACGTTTCCCGTCATGCGCACATTTGGAAAAACGAAAACAATTCAATATGTTTCCTGAACGGTGACAATAGCGCCATTCAAGCGCCACCTCCACCACCGCTCCTGCAAAGGACTTGTATATCGAGCATTATCGCTGCGCAGCTTTTCTAAGACCCTTAGCAAAGGAAAGACACACTATATATGGAAATGAAATTGCCACCGTCCTGTTTTAGTAAAAGACAGGTGGCACAGCACAGCTATAGTGATAGTTTGGGGGTGGGGGGCTCGGTACATATTTTCGAATTCGTGTTACATAACTAGCACCTTCTTTACAATTTTATTATGACTCGAACATTTTTAAATTTGGCATGTCATACATCTTCCTCCGGGGGATTGGCGTTACTCAATGTACGGGCCGATGCGATCAATGGTGTTATGTGACATGTTACGTAGCAACGAGGGAGCGTTTTCGTCTATGACGCATATTTATCATTGAAGAACAAACGATATATCTGATTTAGCATTTTCGACATAGCTGCGTTAAAAACGAAGAGAACTCACTATTACGCTATTCATTGAATCAAAGTTGTACTGCTCGCTGTTGAATTTGTGACGTAGTTGCTGGATAATACAAAAACCTTGGCGGTTGTAGAGTTGCAAACTACTGCGGAAGGTCGCAGTAATTTTGAAGTCAACTTTGGTGATCGTCATCGTGTCGACCCAAGGTACGGATATGTTCTCCGTGTCGACAATCTATCATAGCATTCATCGTCGTGTATCCATCCTAGTGTCAATTGTGGGCCGAATACTCTCAGATATGTATACTGGGGTGCAATATGATTTTATTTCTGATGTATCCCACTCTCCCCTGTTACATAATGTAAAGCCTGTGCGGTACTGCAGTCGATCTTTCTGGAATTCTGTAAAACTACTGCTAAATCATCAGCTTCCCGCGACTATTGCTGCTATTCTCGGTTTTACGACCGATATGGAACATGGATGTACCAGCTACCTTATCCTATTGAAAAGGAAAACTGCTTCAACCTTATCGTAGAGTCTCTCAAAGAGGGAAAATATGTGGAGCTGGTACTCAGTGATACAAGGAAAATCCCGGATATTTTTTTCAATGACCTCTTAAGCGGTATGAACCAAGCCTACTCTTATACTCTGGTAGGTTGGACGCCACTATCATCCCCCCCACCATCATGACAATAGTTACGCCACTGTCTTATTATGCAATTATTTGTGCTGCGCGACCGGACAACTTTTCGATATGGTATCTAGATCATTCAAACTAAAATAAAGTAATTCAGTGTTGCTGCGCTATGACTCAAGCTGTATATGCCAAGTTTTTTTTTCCATTGTTTTCCATTCAGTATGATAGTGTACTTTTGCATGATCGCTCTACTGTGTATCATCTAGGTCGCATCCTATCATTTAGTACTATTAATCTTTTACATGATCCAAGTGCGTACGGTGATTCCTTTTACTCTTAGTCACTCGAATAAACAACAGCGTTCTTGTTCTAAAGTAGTACACAACGCGGGATCCGCCTTTTCGGGATAATAAAGCTGCTAAAATCTCGATATGGACTGTAACACAATGCGCCACGATGATGGTATCATGTACATGTACCAGCACAATGATCGGGACTTGCTATTTCTTATTTTTGTTACATCATGCGTATCATTTTGGAAGAGGCGGGGGGCTGGTGGATTAGACAGCAGAGTGATTATTGATATCGACCAATTCCGAGATAGATTGCACAAACAAACAAGAGCCTAACCAGAGTGAACGCCACTGCTGCTGTCAATTACTACGATCTAGACTTGCTTTTGATGTAACCGGCTACAGATAAAGCTGTTGGACAGGGATCGAATTGACTGCGCCAGGCAAGTATCGTATATACTGTTTCCATTATCCGTAGTAAAATACTATTTTCGAGAACGAATAGCCTGTCTTCTTGGCGTGCGCCCCGCGAGGTTCAGCACCGAGTATATAAAGGTCGTTAACATGCTATTACATTTCTTCCTTACTATTACAATAACCTTTTTTTGTATCTCAAGAAACAACACTCGACAACAACAACAACAATGCAGTGGGTTTATCAAGCTGGCACTAACTGGATCCCGTTCGATCAACAAAACAATATGACAATTGAGCACATGTGGCGCACTCATGCAAAAGGACAAGTTTATATCGGCCGAGTACCGGCGTACGTTAATGCTGGTGCCCTTTACATGGTGATCAACAATCAGCGGGTGATTATCGGGCGAACAGGCTTATAGCACAGTGGCACAAATAACAACCGTCTACACACAATGGCACTTGAAGCATTTTCATTTACATTCTCATTAACAACCTCTTTTACCACATACTCAATCATTTTTTCCCAAACCCCCACGAACACATGTAATCAACTTTTTTACAATCTCAACATATTTGATTTTCCCCTTTGTAAGCCTCAAAAATTAATCGTCATTATGGCATTTTGTAAGCTTATCCTTTCCCATCATATTTAAAAAAACCCAAGCCCTCTCAATAAGAATCATTTCATCCTTATATAACTGGTCTCTACATTCCCTCTCAATTTACCTTTTTTATGTTAAATTCATAGTAGCAGTCATATGGATAGAAGTAAAGGACAATAAAATTCACATTCGATCTGCACATTCGATCTGCACATTCGATCATGTGAAAAAACCTACCAGCTACTACAGCTTGATTACAATTAACTATATAGTGATACGTTACCCTGGTGTGTAGATATCAATGATCTGAAAAACCGCCAGGTTTTATAATTTGTTTGTTGGAGCTCTGAAAAACTTTTAGTTGGAAATACAGTACATTTGTCTGCCTGGAGTGCCAGGTTACGATAAGCGTCTGAGCTTCTTGACTATCATGAACCCTCAGCATGCTGACTAACGTATATAATATATATGACCATAATTACAAGTTTAAATACGTAGAGTGTCTAGCTAAGTTTTCTTGGTAAGCAGAATTCATGCGGCCCACAATAAATTTGGGGAAAAGCGAATTTTTCTAAGAAAGCTATATAATATACACGCCAGGTGTTTATGCTTTGATTTATTAATTGTATTCAGGGCTATGTTTATCAAAATACGGCTATATAGATATATACATTATTTTCACTGTTACGGTTACTTAATTGCGTTTGAGCCAGACAACGGCACTCTTGAATTGAGCATTATTTAAAGAGGTCAACAAAATACCCTTGTGCATGAGCAAGGCACCAGACATTTCGTATTCTTCGTCGACATCATGTGGACTCGATGTCCACACCTTTACGGAATATCTAGCGGACTTGTCCAGGTTACGCAAACGGATCCAATTGAGAGGCGTTGAGAAAGGACTGTTGAAACGGTAGCCAAGGACAACGGCCTCAGACTGATCGTGGGATGTAGTTTGGCTTACAGCAACCAGTTCTGACATGCGACTTGGTTGGACCAACCAATCGAGATCGCCATTTTGGATAACGGGACGGATTTTTTTGTAAAGCTCTATCCAGCCAGCTGACTCCTCGAGCTCGTCCTCGGTATATTCATGGATATTGGAGCCAATACCCAGTCCACCTTGGAATGATACATGGAAACGGAAGGAAAGAGGAATGTGGATACCCTCATCCCATGGGGAATTAGTCACCCAGCCATACATGACACGCGGAGGCAAGAAGAGGGATGCGCCATATTGGATCATGATGCGGGCATCAGGTCTGGTATTGTCACTTGTCCATACTTGATCCGTCTTTTCCACCACACCAATGTCCATACGGCCACCTCCACTAGCACAGCTTTCGATCCACAGCTTTGGGAACTCCGCCTTGAGCTTGTCGACGATATAGTAGAAACCTTCTCGAATGGAAAGAACCCAGGCCTCGCGTGGATTGCGGTCATAGTCATGCATGGTCACTTCACCTGCAAGCGAAATATAAGCACGGCGGTTAGCCTATATTAGCAGTAATAACTCAAACTACCCGCAGTATTCCACTTACCCCAAGGTCTGTTCATATCCCATTTGATATAGTCGATATCGTTCTCGGCAATCAAGGTAGCCATTCTATCGTACACATATTCTCTGACTTCAGGCAAAGCGAGATTCAAGACCAGTTGACTTCTTGCTTCATATCTAAAATTTGGGGTAGGGTCAGCCAGTCTAATCCATTAGCTTTATATGTCTCCGATACTTGCCTCGGGATGCCCTCATAGTAAAACACCCAGTCAGGATGTTCACGGTACAAATCCGAATTAGGGTTAACGCCTTCACTTTCGAACCACAGCCCGAACTTCATGCCCAATTCATGAACGCGGTCTGCGACCGGCTTCAAACCATTCGGGAATTTCTCCTCGTTGACGTACCAGTCGCCCAGACCTGCCGAATCGTTGTTACGGTCGCCAAACCAGCCATCGTCAATGACAAAGAGCTCAATACCCAAAGGGGCTGCAATTTCTGCAAGTTCCAGCTGCTTCTCAGCAGTGACATTAAATGTCACGGCTTCCCAAGAATTGTACAACACAGGGTGGAAAACGTTGCTATCCTTTTGTGTTTCGAGGTTCTTTTGCTGATATTTGCGAACATGACGTGGTAACAGTTTGCGAGCTCCGGGCATACCTTCACTCGTAAAGCCAGCAACAAAGATAGGGGTTGTGAATGACTCGTTGGGCTCCAAGGTCCAGCCAAAGTCTTGGTGATGCATGCCACCAACAACGCGCGTGGTACCAAAAAGCGAAGTGTGGGCTGTGATTTCCCAGCTTCCTGACCATCCTATGGCGCCAAAGTAGACCTCGGTTGATGGGTTGACATCAGATGGGACTTGACGGATAGCAAAGTAAGGATACGATACGTGTGACGGGAAACCGCGTTGGCTTTGAACGACATGAGTAACGCCAGGTCGAAGCTCGGTCGACTCAACCATAGCTTCAGCAGCCCTATTGAGCAACGGATACATCAAGTTAGTACATCGAATCCAGGATTATATTGATACACCTTAAGCCCGGAAATTGCAACATACCATTCGCCTGCCAAAGTCAGAATTTCGCGCTTTTCATCAGATCCGAGCGCTGTGGGCAGATGCCATGCAGCCGAGAACGCCTTTGAAAGGTTAATACGCTTATCTAGGCCGTTGCGAATGGTGTACGATCGTCGAATGATATCGTTTTCAATATCAAGTTCATAATGAAGAGTAACAAGAAGCTCGGTGCGATATCCATCACGCAGATCCACATCAAGAATGTAGCCCTCCGTGATGTTTGCGTTGCCAGCAAACAACAAGTTTAGCTCACGCGTGCCATCTGGAAGTTCGGCCTTGAGAACGTTGTCGCGGAAACGCAGACCACCAAAAACGGGGAGTTCTTCAGTAGCATAAGTTGGGGGCGGGTTTTGGGAAAAGAAAACATCTTGCATGGTAGCGTTCAAGTCGTCCAGTCGCTCCAGCCGGTTTCCCCAGTGCAGGTTGACAAGGTAGCCATCTGCCGTAGCGCCAATGACATAGGTCGAGCGTTGCGTTACCAAGAACCAGGTGTCAAAGGTAGGGTGTTTGTGGATGCCCGTTTTGAGAGCTCCGGCAAATGCAGATGATGCGGTCGCTGCGATCAATAACAGACCACGTAAAAGATTGGAGTATTTCATAGTCGACGAAGAAAAAAAAAGGAGGAAATCAAACAAGACAGGCTTTAATATGGCTCTGATGCAGATACTCACACGGTTCTTCTTTTCTGTATACCTTTTCAGCTCTAAAAAGAAGCCTATTGATGGTAGTCCCATTTAAATTCATTCTCTTTACCTAATCAATCACATGTGCAACCGCTAAACTTTCGATTCGTATCTACTTTGCGGTGATACAATGAATCCCTCTCTTTAAATCAAAAATGAACTGTGCTTCATTTGTTTATCGAAGCATCCATTCAATGACATGATTACTTTTACGAATTAATAGACAGGTACTGTATATTGAAATAAGCTATCATCTATAGCTGAAAACAGGCGTTGTAAAGATCGCGAAAGCAGGAAACTCAACACCATTTCCCACAGTGATTGTTGTTGATTTGAGAATTTAAGATCTTGTTGCGCTGAAAGACTGTGTAGCACAAAGCATTAAGTAATCCATGATGTTCGTTACACACATCTAAACTTCATAACTTGACGTCCTCAGCGGGTACATCTTCACACACAACGACTAAAACGTGGTATGTACACCTTTTTTTTTCTGGTGCCTGCAGACCGCTTGCTATGATCAGTATGGAGAGTTTATTTCAAAAGTGTTGCATCGTAAGGTACGAGCATCATACATAAAAATGCAATGGGGATCGCGAAAGCTACTCGTCGAACTTATTTTAAAATATTGACTTTTTATGCAGATGTGTGACACTCGGCACCTAGCGACCGACCGACCGACCGGGGGATCCAGTGGTTCGTTCGTCCTCGCCATATCCCCACAAGTAACGAAAAAAAAAGTTATCCATCCACACTGAATGTGCAACTGAGATATTACATAATAGCCATAGTCACTGTTCCACCACCGCTTTATGCTGTGTTCTTTTTTTGGAACTGATTTGGTTCCTGATAAAAGTTACATGATTCTTTTTGCACTGTGCGTTTGTTCTAAGGATTGTAGACATGACTCTCTAAAAAGTTAGTGCAGGGAAATTACACGCATAGAAAACATAGCGTGGATGCGTCCATCTACTTTGTCTAATAAAATATCATCAATAACAGCACTAGCAATCTACAGACAAGCAAAATTCAGGAAAGTTTTGTAGTAGCACAGGTAGACGGTTTTGCTGAAGCTAGACGAATCTCTTGCTGTTTATTACGTGGGAATATATGATTAAGTAAACGTCAAATTTCAATTGCATAATAGTCATTCTCTGAATTCTCTGGAACACGCTCCAACTCTACATGCTTTCAGAAGGCGATTGCTGTATGCAGCCCGTGATAATGGAGAGAAGGTATTAAGGTTTCTCTTTGCAGTCAATAGACAATTGTTTGAAAAAAAGAAAAGAAGCAGCCACAGAACGAATTTTATGATGATTTCCTACTTACCGTTAACAGATAAAATAGAGTTGTCGAAGCTGCAGCCATGCTGTTATGGGAGTGCTTTATAATATAACATTATTCTCTCCTCTAGAATGGCAAGTAATGTATTGCAGCTCTGTGGTAAATTTTATTAACGTGTACAGCAGTATCAAGTAAGACAGGACACTTGGGTTTATCGAAACAAAACTCAATCAACATCGTATGGTAATATTAAACAAAATGGAATGGTATAATGGACGCAAATAATGAGAGTACATCCTGAGTTATGTGGTATGTAGATAAAGCAATTAAGCCGACCACTTTACGCTATTACCATGACCCAGACTGTCCCTATTTCTGGCGATCCAGCAGCAGTAGGTTGAGGGATCTTGATATGTATGTCAGATATACATCAAATCTTTGCAGAACGACCAAATCAGACGTCTTCAGACAAAATATCAATGTCCTGCCATATTTTAATGAGTCAACTCTGAACTTTGGACAAGACAGCCAAGTATCAGGCAATTCTTCTAACCATTGACATTTTGCTGGTGTGACCATCAACAACGATTATCTGGCTTGTGTTTAACACAAATTATAAAGAAGATAGGTTGTTTGAGAGAAAGGAAATAGTCACAATGTCTAAGCATAAAAGAACTACGATCACGCAATGCGATGCTAAAGTGCACTATAATGAAGATCTGCGTTCAATTAATTGCCATTATCATACATTATTTCTTCTAGGTTTATGGTCGCCGTTATTACCATGTCTTCCGGGTTATGTGAAGTATCTGAAAAGTAGTCATATTAACTAAAAGTATCCGATAAGTGTGTTGATGGCATATCTAGCACTGTTAATACATCGTTATGGTGGTAGTCTGCATGTATCATTGTTTACCTAATACACATGGAGACGTACTACGTGAATGTCAAGAAAAGCTTTTGACTGATTCAACATTAAAAACTATATGTCGTAATCATAAAGCGGCTAGAAGCGGTGTGAACAATGAAGTAGGATAATGGGCCAGCTTCGTGCGCTTTGGTCATTATCAGCTCTGTACGTTTCTTGTGTTGTCATTTACTGCTGTACGACTGCCTTATTTGGTTGGCGGATTGGTTGGCGGATTAAAGCAAGATAAAAAAGAAAGTCAAAGAATCTCGCGCAAGACACGGCTTTTACCAAAACCAAACGAATGACCGTCGACTCTCCCACTGCCGCACGAAAGCGCCAAGCTGCTATTGAAGAAGAACAACCTTGGTGTTTAATAGAATCAGAACCAGGTAAAAATAGACAGCCATGCAGAGGGGGAAAAAACAATTCGAGCCTCTTGATCAATCTTGAACGTTTGCTATTTGAGCAGATATCTTTACCGAGTTATGCTCAACTTATGGGGCCAAGGATGTCGCGGTTCAACAAGTTTTCACACTTGACATGATACCAAAGTACGTACATGTACGCGTACAGTTGATTATTGTGCTTTGCGCTTTACGATTTACTCAATACTGTATGGAAAAAAAAATTAGGAAAGCGTATGGTTTGATCTTTGCAAGTCGGTACGACGACTCAACCCCCATCCCTGACAGTTGGATCGAAAAGGACGACGATCGCGACAAAGTGTTCTTCTGCTGCCAGGTACGAGACTCATTAACCCTGACAACAACACGTACAGGAACATGAGTCTGACTTACCGTTGTCACGGCGCCTTTTTTTTTTAAAAATCAGGTTATCACCAATATTTGCGCCACCTTAGCCGTGCTTGCTGTTCTGTTTAACGCGGATCACCTTACAGATATCGGCGATCACTTGCGAGAACTGAAAAGCATGCTGCTTCATGTCGATCCTGTGGTAAAGTGAGATGGAATACGAAAGGATTTTGTATGTGTACTAAACCATCTTTTGATTTTAGACGAGGGGCATGGCTATCGGTAATGATACTCTTTTACGAAAGGCTCACAACAGCTTTGCAGGGTAAGATATAATCCAATGTCAGAAGCAACAAAGAGTTGGGGATATGGTGGTGGCGGCAGTGGTAGCAGGTATCTTTTCATACCATAAGACTTATATAGTTTTTCGTTTCTGTTAGAGCACAGGCAAAAGCTGCTATTTCACCAAAGCGACGGAAAGCTTCTCCACCCAAGAAAAAGGGCCGGAAACCAAAGGCACCAGTAGTCGAAGAGGAAGTAATATATCATTATATATCCTACGTTCATGCCGGCGGGTTTTTATGGGAGTTGGATGGTATGAACCGCATGCCGATCAAGCATACGCCATGCACCCAAGACAATTGGTTGGAAGCTGTAGAGCCTGTCTTGCAGCGAAAGATACAGTTAGTATACTTTTGCGTGTGTTTTTTTTATCAGGAAGGCTTGAGGTGTTTCAAAGACCTTGGGATTGTAGGTCAGAGAAACCATTTGTTTACTAGAGTTTATATTATTATAGAGAAGGAGGTGAGGATATTTGCATGCTGGCTGTCGTACCAGGTGCATGGACAGAACAAGGCCGCGAGGATATTGCGGAAATTAGAGACGTGGAGAAATGCCTCGATGCCAAGCTAGACGAACTGGAACCAAGCTGGAGAAATATGGATGACTTTACGGTGCCTACAATCACGTGTGTAGGCAATCCAACTACAATTGTCGAGGATTATGCGCGACGCTCAACAGTCAGTGCCCTGATACAAGCGAAAAATCATTTGGCAGATCAAATACAGTCCAGACCGTTCGATTCTACTTTTGCATTGAAGGAGCGTGATATGAGTCAGGTACAGTTACAGTGTCTTATTCAGTGGAAAATATAAGGTCTCCCTCTTTAATATTTTGCTGACACGATAGAACATGGTCTTTTGCAGCTCGAAAACACCCGTCGTAAGCATGACTTTACAGGTTTCATAAAAAAGTTCATTAGCCACATTCATGACAACGAGATGCATAAGGAGGTGTTCAAGTTAAAAAATTAAGACTTGGATTTACAAGCGTTACGTTCTCTGTTTCTACATTTACTCTAAACTTCTGTACATAATAACGACACGTTACAAAAAAGATAAAGGCATAAGCGTTACGAATATTTTTTAGACAAAATAGCATTAAGCTGCATAGTTTTAGTTTCAAAAACTCACTAGGCCATGGAAACATACCATCAGTCTGCTCACATTCGATTGCATAGCATTACAACTGCGCCGTCGGGTGCAACATGTATTATTCCGATTTTCCCAGTATCCAAAAATAACATTTTTCTATTGGTTGATATTTGTAATCAGCCGATCTTAGAAATTAGTAAGAATCTCCCGAATGCAGGTACTATTGGCAGGGTGGATATGGGTAGACACCACGGATAACATAATACTGTAATACACTGGTTCCGTAACGGGCCGCAAATGGATGCAATATATAAAGAAACAGAAGTTCAATAAAAGAAGAGAATTTTGGTGATCCACTACGTACGCTATTAATACGAGAAGTCTTTATGCAAGGTAAACGGAAACAACGCCATGTTCCCATGCCCGTTTGCGGTGCTATCATTTTTTTCCTTTACGTCATCCTGCCATGTCCCCGGGGCCAGTACATCGAAAGCTAAAGTAACAAAACCTGGACAAACCTGGCCATTCAGATTGAACAACGTCAAAAAGGCGGCGGCTGGTGCCTGCTCTTAAACCAAGGTATGGATACTAAGCTATGTTTTGATATACATATTGTCTTTTGAATTGAATATTTAATGTAAGACCAGCAAACATTTATTAAACTTTACAGCAGAAAAAAAAATTATTTACTATTAACAACTTGTAACAAAGAACAATTGCAACAAGAGAAATATAAATATTACTAATAATAATATACAGACAGCAAGATAACAATGGAAAAAGGAAACGTAGCAAAATAACAGGTATATATATAAGAAAAGTACTTAATATTGTTAAACTCTCTTATTAAGCTTATAACCGCCTTGCACAACTCTCAGAACTGCCGCGGCGCATGCTCCAACGAAGAAAAGACAACCAGCAAAGATGACGGCACCTCGGTAGTCTTCACCGTTGTTACCACCTTCAACAATAGCCGAGGCCAAAGGTTGACCAAGAAGACCGCCGAAACACCAAGCAAAGAAGGCCCAGCCAGTACCAGATTCAATTCGGTCAACACCAACGACTTCAGTAATCACAGCAGTGATCATAGCAATGTAGCCACCGCCGAACAGGCCATATAAGACAACAAAGGCCCACATTGATCCAGCAGAAGTAGCAGTAACCCAAACTAAAAAAAGAAAAGATTTGGAGATGGTGAGTATACACAAGTAGATATTAAGAGTCTGAACAGAATGGTAAAGTATCAAAAGTGAGCGTGTATATGTTACCTGCTAAATGGGCAATACATGCCATCAGACCACAAATTACAGCCATGTTAAAGCGTCCAACGTAATCGCTGACGAAACCGACGGAAATCTTGCCGAAAAACATGACAGCTGACATGATAGCGCTAAGGTTGCTACGCATAAAAGGGTCGAGATCAAGATAGCGGGCATAAGAAGGAACAAATCCAGAAGGAATCTATACATATTAGACAACTCGTTAGCTCATACTGGCCAAAAAAAAAAAAACGAGCATCGTGCTATTATCTACTTACGTAAAAGGCAAAGTTTCCAATGAAATGGATAAAGAAGAGCACAAGGAATTTCTTGTTCTTGAGGTCTTGAATGTCGACAATAGGTACGTTCTTCTTTGGGGGGTTCAAACGCCAGCATGTAGCAGCTGCGACAGCGAGAAGAGCGAATTGCATGAAACCGAGAATACGAAGAGCCCATTCGTATCCAATTGTTTCAAAGCAAGCGCCAGCGATATAAGAGAATGTAAGACCGCCTGCACCAGATGCAGCCATCTTTGTTAAAATACATAATACAATCATTAACATTTAGCGCCAGCGATATAATAGTACTGCGTTATGATATACTAACAGTGATGCCAACTGCAAGACCACGGCGCTTAGAGAACCACATTTGAGGTCCGCGCATACAGGAGAACCAGGCCAATGAGGCGCCGAAGCCGGACATGATACCCTGAGTAATGTACAATTGCCAGACCTATCAATTTTTTTTTACGAAACCATCGATAAGTATGATTGTTGGTGGGCAAAAATCATGTTCTGGTCGATTGTATATTGACAAAAAAACTCACCGCATTAGTGATACTGGCAAGCATCATTGCCAAGCAGGAGAGGATACATGAAGTGGCGAGAATGTAACGGTCGTCGACTTTGGAAGCCATATAAATGTAGAATGGACCGGTGATGTTACAAAGACAATACCACAGGGAACCGATCCACGAGAGTTCAGTCATTTGGCCTGGGTAGACATTTGCGTTGAGTTCGTCAAAGAAAACACCCCAACTAGAACATTAAACAAGAAAAACAATGGAAAGAATTGAGTTAGAATTACTGGTGTAAATTTAAAGGGCGCCTATCAAATCTGGGTTTTACCTGTAACCGTAACCTTGACTAATTTGAGATCACATACATAATAGAAAAAAAAGTTTAGCTGTCAAACTCAATTGGTGTGGGACAATAGTATACACTGCGAGATGCTTACGAAGCAAAGAATCCCTATATGAAGACACCATGAGAGAGATATTAGCTTTATGCGTGAATTGATTGATGTTAAGAGAATCATGACTGTTGCTGGTTCTGTACTTACACAAAACGAACCGACCACCACTAGCCAGGCTTTCAAGCCTCCGTCGGGTGCCTCTCTCAGAGGAAGTTCTTCTTCGGTAGACTCATTGTCCGAGGTACTGGTGTGGGAGAATTCGCTCTCGAGTTTGTGTGAGTCGTTGATGATGGTAGGCTCAGCGGTTTTTTCGTCTAAAGCCATGTTATTATGTCAAGTTATAAGGGTAAAAAAGATGTAAGGAAAGAGGAAAACGTATTATACTAATAGGAAAAAAAGGATTTATAAAAAGCGATCGATCCTTTTATAGGATGGACTCTCGGAAGCACAAAAGCATGGGCTTCATGTTACACAGATCAAGCACAAATGGCACGCCTGCCACGGCATTGTGGGTGGTCCGACAAAGTATTACAAGACATAGCCCTTCTCATAGGCTCAGATGTCGGGTTGATGAATAATAGACGTCCAATGAATGCGCTGAGCGAGCCTTCTCCTGAACCTCGGTGCTTGTTTCGCCCTGGTTTTCTATACGGATTTCTCCACAATACAACAGTGCTGCCGATATCGTTTGTTCTGTCTCAGTTCACCCGTTTCTTTTTCTTATCTTATCTTTGTAAACGACCTGTGTAGACAATGAACATTTGCACAAAAAGTGTGCCAGTGCCCTTTTGTGCTACCAAAACTTCAAAACTGGAGCCACACACGCCAAACTGGGAAATGAAAAAGAGACACCGTTTAGGAACCATTTCATGTCTGGGTGAAGGGTGGTTGTAAGATCCAAGCGATCGCAGGGAGAAAAAAAAAACAGATTCTCCCACAGTTCCCTATATGGTGCGATAGATATGCCCTAAATGACCACATATCTGAAGCGTATCATAGTAAAGAGTCAGCAGAAAGGGCCGGTTGGTCCCCCGCAAACTAGATCCATCCAACCCCCTTCAAAGTTAAAAAAAGTCCGCCAAATTTGATTGGAATTGCCAGAAACGAAAATCGATCTCAATTAGTGAAAACAGCTCACCCACAATTACCTCATGACCCATCGCTCTTTATTTTTAATTCCTGCCCTTTTTTTTTGCATATGGGTGGGCAATTGAGGATGGAAAAAGAAGGTTGAGCATCGATGGAAAAATTATAGCTGTCTCAGATGCTGCCCTGACAACCAATCAAGCCACTGACGGTCTTTTGACGCTCTTCCCAATCCTGGCAAATTCCGAACGTACGGGGCTCAACTGGATGGGGTGAAACTAGGAGAATCATTCGAATGGTGTCATATTCTCGACGACACGTACACATCTCGTTTCATTGGCATACGATCCAGTTCTCGGCAAGAAATCAGCGTCTCGCTGGGTTCTTGGTTACAATTTCTCGCTTTGGTGTGGACTTCCCGGCCGAAAGCTCCCCAATTGTCGGATGGACTGCTGCTACTGTGGTGGCCAATTGCATGTGGATCAGAACCAACTTTGCTTGTTACTATTTAGATGATCACATGATAGGAATTACGTACGATGTCTGAATGGTCCATACGCTGACTGAGTTGAAATAGATGTGGTAACTTTAATTGTGTATGGACCATCGCGGTAGTAAAGGATCAATAAAGTTAACCGATCGCTTTGTGCCCGTTTTTAAGAAAGCTTGCCAGGACATTAACAGTTTAGTGCTAATGGATGTGCAGGTTGCTTCCGACGATTTGACCATAGAAACTGTACAATCAATGTCTTTCAGAGTAGAGTGAATGCACTTGTTCAACTTCATATCTGCCTAAGATGCTCAAGATATCTTATTATCATGCCCCATAGTGCATCTCGCTGACAACGATATGACATATAATTTTACATGCTCAGTATCGATATCCAGTCATGCCAATCTGTACGGATGCTTTTCATGCTGTATAATATCATTAGTAGTCATGTATTTATATCTTTTAATATATAGTAATTCGTGCATCTCGTCAGTTCGTGCATGTATAATACATTTAACATAGTATAAAACAATAGCGTTACACCTTTTAAACTTTCTTAAAAATCTTCCAGCCACCTTGCACAACTCGAAGAATCATAGAGGCACTTGCACTAGCAAAGAAGAGACAGCCAGCAAAGATGATAGCACCTTGATAATCTCGACTGTCGCCCCCATTGCGGTCTACAATTGCTGCAGCTACTGGCTGCCCCAATAACCCACCGAAACTCCAAGCGAAGAAAGTCCAACCAGTGCCAGATTCAACGCGGTCCAAGCCGACAACTTCAACAATTACGGCAGTAATCATTGAAATATAGCCTTCATAGACGTAGTAAAAGGTTAGTATCAACGTTCTTGGATTGACATACACAAACCTCGCAGAGAAATAAGTAAAGCTGCTCACCGCCTCCAAAAAAGCCATACAGAACGGCGAACGCCCACATTGATCCTTCAGAAGTAGCCGTCAGCCAAACTATATGTCAAAAAATATGTACAGACGTTAGTTCTTTGGTTGCTCATATGATTATTCTCTGATAATATGTAATGAGGAGAGAGAGAGAAAGAGATATGATAGTTGCTTACCTGCCAAGTGGGCTATACAAGATACCGAGCAACAGATTACGGCCATGTTGAAACGTCCTACGCGATCACTGATATAACCAATAATAATTTTGCTAAAGAACAAGAATGTAGACATGATAGCGCTAAGATTGGCACCCAGCCAAGGATCAAGATTGAGATGACGCGTGAAAGACGGAACGAATCCGGAAGGAATCTATCACGAGAGAAAAGGAGCGAAATGACGTTTCTTGTTTAAAAAAAGTAAAACGATACATGTGCGCACGCAAAAAAAGAGCAGTGATTGGCACTGGTATTATTACTACCAAAAGCGACTGACGTAGAATGCGAAATTACCGATAAAGTGGATGAAAAGAAGAACAAGGAACTTTTTGTTCTTCAGATCGCCAACATCGACAATAGGGACATTTTTTGCGGGTGGGTTTAAGCGCCAGCAGGTGATGGATGCGACAGCGAGAAGGCCGAATTGCATGAATCCGAGTACTCGGAGAGCCCAGCGATACCCAATCGTGTTGAAACATGCTCGAGTAACGTAGGAGAATGAGCGACCACCTGCACCAGAAGCCGACATCTACATTTACTCTACTAATCAGGTACATCATTTTCCATCAACAATTACTATTTGTACGCACCGTCAAACCCACTGCAAATCCACGATGTTTTGAAAACCACATCTGAGGCCCGCGCATACAGGAAAACCAGGGCAACGACGAGCCAATACCAGACATGATACCTTGAGTGATATACAACTGCCAAACCTAGGGTTTATAACATAATTTGCAGATAAAAGCAATTTTAGAAATTTTGCTCCTAGTAATAGTCATAGTAGCAGTACAAAGTAAAGCGTACCGAATTGGTCAAGCTTGCCATCATCATGGCCAGTGTGCTCAAAAGACATGAGACAGCGACAATGTACCGGTCATCCACCTTGGACGCCATGTAAATGTAAAAGGGTCCACTGATGTTTGTGAGACAGTACCACAGTGAGCCGATCCAGGTGAGCTCAGTCAGTTGACCAGGATACACGTTAGCATCGTATTCGTCGATAAAAACACCCCAACTGAGCAGCAGTCCGTTTCCAAGAGACACCATGCTAAATTTAAGAGTAGGTAGAGAAAGAGAGAGTGTGTGGATACATACACAAAATGCTCCTACAACCACTAGTCATGCCCGCCAACCGCCGTCTGGCGGCTCACGGAGCTCTGTCGAGAAGAGAATTCTTGGTCCGTCGTGTGTTCATGGGCCACTTTATGTACAACCTGTTGTTGTTTGTAGTCAACAGGAAAAGTGTCGACCATTTCTGCATCTTTTGTAGACATGGTGAATGGTGAGAGAAAAGAAGAGATGTTTTGATAAGCGATACAGATCATTTATCTAAGAATAGTTTAACAGAATGTGTGCTTTTCGTGCCACAAAGTTAAAGGACGTATCATTCAAAATGATATGCAAGTACAAGTGCACAAGAGTTCTTTAGAATCCGCCAGGTGACACATTCTGTTTGCAGAAATCAAGCCTTGCTATAACTGTCTCGTCTTTGAAGTACGAATCTTACCTATATGTGTATAGGCATCGTCCGTAAACCGAATGCTTCATGTATCTGTCTAGCAATTGTATTCATTCTTCTCCTGCCATGTGCATGTCGTCTCCTTCTTTGTACTAGCATCAGGTAGAGATACTACTTTACATTATCAACAAACTAACAGAGATATCCTCACTGGCACACATGAGTAATGGTTAGCTATTTGATTCTGCGTCACGTCAACTTGACAAAATGGAAGAAAAATACGAACACCAATAGACTAGCGGGCTTACTCACCGTCTTCATGGCAAAGAAAACGGTACGCGCCTACTCCTTATTTCTTTGTGCGTCAAAAGCGAAAACCGGAACGAACGAAAACATACGTCGATCATGCAACCACAGAAGAGTGATCATGCTGCTGATATTCTTAATTTTGTTGATATAGAAAAAGTCCGAATAACGCATGGAACTTGAAGCATGATATATCCTATCTTTCAGAAAAGTGATAACACACCTTACTCGATCCGACCTTTCCATACTTTATAAACTTTGATAACAGATAACTGGATCGATTGTAATCTCTCTTCCTTTTTGTTTATCGTTAGCTTTCTCGGTACAGACAGGCCACTTGACTAAGGAAGCAGTTTGGTCAATGTACAGACGTGTGGCAAGCAATAATCTTACAGGGCACAATAGCAATGTGGGAAACATATCAGGCTAAAAGTAGTTTAACACTCTTATTCTGTCGTCCAACTAGATGTTGCTTCTCACGCTTTTATACCGTATAACTTTGTTGATACTATATAAATATCACTGAAAGACGTTATTTCGGATGGTGTAACTTGTTAGCCTTTAATTTGTTCCAAAGGAGCATCGAGTGTAGAGCGAAAACCGGGAAAGAACAGCAATCTATGGCTTCCGACAATCCCTGGTTCCTGAATAGGGTTGGTGGTGGATGAGCCGATCTATTGTTTCACACACAAAAAGTTCGGGCTGTGATTATGTTTTTTTTTTATTTGGTAGGGACAAAATGACCCCTGAAAAAGCCTGTAGCCTTAGTCTTTCATATCATCATATCTTTATAGTTATGTGTTGCTTTTACGCCAAAATACAATATGTTTTATCTTCAGGGTCTCAGTGCCCTAAAATCGTTGGCTGGGCTAACTGTAATGTGTAGGAGAGAAAGGTACAACGGCTAATAGCGTGTAGAGGTGGTTAGTTGCTACAACATGATTCCATGTCATTGGGTCGAAGGATTAAGCACCAGTGCATGGTCCATGTTACGTATTGGAGGAGTCTACCAAATTTGGGAGGAGCAGCAAAATTTATTGGGCGCGTGTAGAAGCGTGTATCGTGCTTGAATTCTGTTTTTTTTTTTAACCTTTCTAAATCACGCGCAATGCAACGATCACATTACAGCACTTTTTTCAACTCACATGAATTAACAGAAAGCGAACACAACTTGCCGACGTTATCAACAGCAGAGCTTGTGCATTGCTTCAAGACAATGGAGATCAGCGTGACCGAGCGGCATTTACTCCATCCAACCCCAGAAGGCACACAAGAGATCTTTCGGACCATTGTGAGTCTTGTCAAGTCGTGGCGAACGGAGCACGTACCCTCCAATTTCGGTGATAATACTACGATTGCCGGTATCAATGGCGTATGGTTGCTGTACTTTGAAGTGTAAGTCTCAGTCGTTAGAAATTACAACGACGATCTTTTATGTATTTTGCGTATTATGTTTTGTGTGTAGCTGCTTCAAGGGAAAACTAAACTATTTAATAGGCAAAGCTTATTGGCTTCTCTCAAATATAAAGATTTCAACACATCCGATCTTCTGGCCCCTACACCACATCGACTTGCACGTATATTCAGTGCACTTGCAAACTTTGCCATGTTTCGAGAAGGACGGTGGGCTGCATACGAAAATCCTGCAAGTGCAGTGGTAAGCACAAAATTTATTTGTGCGTTGCTCACATCCCTTCAAGGTCGGCCTTGATTTGGCTTTATGTGCATGCACCACTTATCACCAATTGTTTTCTACAGGAAGAAGTATTATTAAATGAAGGGAATTGGTCAGAACAAGAAAAGCAATTGGAGGAGGAAATCGAGCAGTATCGGTGAGTGAGTCGAAAAGCAAATCTACCAGAAACATGAAGGGGGGGACATGCATTTGCTTACAGATAATGCAAACGCGTGCTTAGGAGCCGCGAGGAACACGAAAAAATGCAAGTAAAACAGCTCGAATCTGATAATGCAGAATATGAGCAAGAGCTCAGGAACATTAGCGCAGAGGGAGATCAGCTCAAGGCGGAACAAGTCAAGTTACGAGAGACACGAAAACAGCTCAGAGACAGTATGGTAAAGATTGGATTGGCAAGAAACATTGGCTCGAGGATAAGAGGGCTGACAGAGATACTATATAACTCCTTGGACGTATTAGCATGATGTACAGTACCAACTGTTAGCCGCAAATGAGGCGATCACATCGTTCCGCTCTAAAGCGAGAGATCCGTTGCAAACAAAAGCAGTATGTAAACCATGACATTCTTTGGTTGACAACCTATTCAACCCCACGCACTCACTTGCAAACTCCATCCACCCCGTAGAATATTGCCAAATTGCAAGAAACCATCGACAAAGTGGAATCCAAAATCGCAGTAGCACAAACAAACCTAAACCTTATAGCGGAACGAGCAGAATATGCCGAAGAATGCGAGCAGGTAAGGGAAAAGAAAAAAGTCACTTTGATCGTCAAGGTCAGCTCACCCTCCTACCCTATTCACCTTGCTAAAACGTCTCTATAGGTTCTTAACAAAAGTGCTCAATTACCTCACGAAATACAACGATTACGCAATGAATGCAGCTGGACGCAAGGCAGCCTTAAAAATACAGAGGGTGATTTTGAAAAGCTCACTTTAACGTCAAACGAGCTACAAGAAGCGGAACAGGTAATATGCAAACTTGAAACAATATTTTTTGCTCTTAGCTCACCTTTTACAATGACAAACAACACACAAAACGCAGAAACTACATCAATTAGAGGAAGAGCTCAATAGCAGTGTACGACAGCTCGAGGAACAAAAGGAAAAGACGTTCGAATCACGGCATCAAAGTTTCTTAAAGAACGCACAAGACGTTGAGCAGGCACAAAAAGAAGCTGCAGATCTTAAAGCCAGACTTGGAGAACTCAAAGCAAGCATAGCTCACATGGAGCAAGAGGTAACTAAAAAAATAAAACTAGGAGAGGGACCCCCATTTTCCTCCCCCTCTCCCCGGGCCCCCTCTCTCCGCTATACACCCACTTTTTTGAGGAAAAAAAAGAAAAGCTGCAGCTAAAATTTTTCGGTAGTTGATTGATATAGCACAAAAGTCGGATGCCACCTGTGAAGCAATCAGGGCAGGATTGCTCGAACTGCGGTCTGCTTTCAAGGGCTTGTTGGATGGTACAATTGATGCATGCAAGCAGGGAACTTCTCCGTTTTAGCAAACTTGTAGAAATAGAAATCCATACATCCGCCCACCCCCCCCCTCTCACCCCACGCATTCGCAATATACTGTAACAATTAACGCATTCACACACCTCATGTCATATCATATATAAAGAACCCTACGACGCACAATCTAACTCTGTGACAGTTCTTGAATGACCATCTGCCATTTGCAGTTCATGTTTGCTTAGCGATCAAGAAGCGGGCATTCTCAACATCCTGCATGATGCGACATCTGCATCGGGAATATTATTGGTGCAGCCGCTATCACCCTACTACACCTTACAACCCAGACACATTTCTTGTATTCTTAAAGAAAAAAAAAACTATTTTTCGATTGAATGCATGCATGCAAGTAAAAAAAAGGCTTATATTGTTCTTTTTTTGAGAGAGATTAGGAAAAGGTATTAAAATAAAAAAAAAAAGAGAGAGAGAGAGAGAGAGAGATGCTATATTATGCGGGGGTGGTTGGGTGGGATTGGGCTGCTTAATATTCCTCGACCTCTTCCATCTCAGAGTCATTAAGCGAGTCAGAGCCAACTTCCTCGTAATCCTTCTCAAGAGCGGCCAAATCTTCACGGGCCTCAGAGAATTCACCTTCCTCCATACCCTCACCGACGTACCAGTGGACGAAGGCACGCTTGGCGTACATCAAATCGAACTTGTGGTCCAAACGGGCCCAGGCCTCGGCGATGGCAGTGGTGTTGCTCAACATGCACAAGGCGCGCTGGACGTTTGCCAAGTCACCGCCAGGAACGGCAGCCGGGGGACGGCAGTTGATACCGACCTTGAAGCCAGTAGGGCACCAGTCGACGAACTGGATGGTGCGCTTGGTCTTGATGTTGGCAATGGCGGCGTTGGTGTCCTTGGGGACAACGTCACCACGGTACAACAAGCAGCAGGACATGTACTTGCCGTGGCGGGGGTCGCACTTGACCATCTGGTTGTTAGGCTCGAAGCAGTCGCTGGTGATTTCCTGGACCGAGAGCTGCTCGTGGTAGGCCTTGGCAGCCGAGATGATGGGGGCGTAGGTGACCAGAGGGAAATGGATACGGGGATAAGGCACCAAGTTGGTCTGGAACTCGTTCAAGTCGACGTTCAACGAACCGTCAAAGCGGAGCGAGGCGGTGATGGACGAGACGACCTGAGCAATCAAGCGGTTCAGGTTCAAGTACGAAGGGCGCTCAATGTCCAAGTTGCGGCGGCAGATGTCGTAGATGGCCTCGTTGTCGACCATGAACGAAACATCCGAGTGCTCCAAGGTGGTGTGGGTGGTCAGGATCGAGTTGTAGGGCTCGACAACCGAGGTCGAGACCTGGGGAGCAGGGTAGATGGAGAACTCGAGCTTGGACTTCTTGCCATAGTCGAGAGACAAGCGCTCCAACAAGAGAGCACCAAAGCCGGAACCAGTGCCACCACCAAAGGAGTGGAAGACCAAGAAACCTTGCAAACCACTGCAGTTGTCGGCCAGCTTGCGGATACGGTCCATGACCGAGTCGACAAGCTCCTTGCCTACGGTGTAGTGACCACGTGCGTAGTTGTTGGCAGCATCCTCCTTGCCGGTGATGAGTTGCTCTGTGTGTATGTGTGTACAAGGTTAAAAGAGGTGCAAAGGGTTAGGAAATTTTCTCTTGGGGTGTTGACAAGAAAAGTCTTGTGGCATGGTTTTTTTTTTGTTGTAAAGTCTATATAACACTCGGGGTGGCACCCGCATCGTATTTCGCTGCCGCGGTTGCTGCTGCAGGTGACGAATTGACTACCCACAGCGACGACAACGACGACGACGACGACGACGACGAAATAGAGCAAACAGAGAAAGAAAGAAAGAAAGAAAAACTTACCAGGATGGAACAACTGACGGTAGGCACCAGTGCGGACCTCGTCAACAACAGTGGGTTCCAAATCGACAAAGACGGTACGGGGAACGTGCTTGCCAGCAGAGGTCTCGCTGAAGAAGGTATCAAACGAGTTGTCACCGGTGTTGAGCTCTTCAGGAATGTGACCATCTGGCGAGATGCCGTGTTCAAGGCAGTACAATTCCCAGCAGGAGTTACCAATCTGGACACCAGCTTGACCAACGTGCAACGAGATGATTTCTCTCATGATGAATTAAGTAAGTAAAGTTTTTTTTGTGTTAAAAAGTTAGATGGGGTGTAGAAGGTCGATTATTCCAAAGTTAGGGCAGGAAACCGACGGAGGAAAAAAAGAGTTTGAAGAGAAAAAGGATGTAGAGAGAGGGAGAGAGAGAGAAAGCGAAAAAATATTGGGATCACGACTTTTGTAAAAATTGCGCGACCGCGCTTGCCTTCTTTTTTGTAACGGCGCACCAATCACACTGTGCCCATGCAGGAGTCCTACACGTTGGCACGTGTAACGCGCCCTGTTTTTATCTCTCACGTACAAATCGTTACTTGTCCTGAACGCTCTTTTCTTTTCTTCCATCTTCACTTTGCGTGTTACTCTATCTACAGAGAATTGACTACTCAAAGAGGTACAGAGTGGAGCTGTGCTCAATTATAAGGACCATTGCTGGTGTTGCTTTGGTATGGGGGTTGTATCTACCACGCAGTACTACAACACGCTCGGACAGAAGCTGGTATTAATGCAAGATGTGTCCACCACCACTAGAGCCATATGATCACTCCGATTGGGGACATTTTCTATGTCCCACAAACCTATAACTTCATCTCTCGCACGTTACGCCTGGCCTGAACGATTGCCACGCCTCGTGGCAAAACTCAGCAACTCAACTAATCTCATGGCTTATGACACTCTATTTGACCTCTTGATCATTTTTCTTTCAGGGGAACTAAAAAAACAAGGGATGGGATTACCTCTTATGCCCTGCTGCACGTTTACAACTCTTACTAACAACAACTACTGAGCAGAATATCCAATGAAGGCGGTTGTCGAACTTGACAAAATGTTGATACTACGCCGCGGCTTTTGGAAAATATGTACGATATATAATACATAGTATGTTATATAGGCAACAAGACTCTTAAGCATCGCTGCATGTTGTACTGCATTTATAAGTATCAAAGATGGAACATTTAGCTCTCTAATTAATCTAGTAAAAGTGGTAGTAACGTTGCAAGGTCACAAGGGAGAGTACCTGAATGGCGTAAAAAAAACGATTGGCCGAATATCTGATCGACCAATTATCATGTCCGTAAAAAAGTCAAATACTTGTCAAACCATGCGTAACTGCTAATATGGGTGTACACCCACACCCCCCTATATCTTCAATCAGCAACCCTCTCTTTCCAATATCAGTTCGCTATCCAGCGCACTTTTTTTCTCTTTCTTTCACAAAACCATTTCCAATTTTGACAAATTATCAACAGGGCAGGAAGATGCCGAGTTGCTCTTGTTGGCTTCATCAACAATGTCGATCCTTTTATATACTTTGAATTCAAAAGCGGACAAAGGAAAATGTCAGTTTTTGTGCATAAACACTATGGAAAAGATAAAATTATGACTATTCTATACCACCTCCATGCGCACATCCAGCAACTCCAAAAGTACAAATCAACAAATGACCGCCTAAGTCGAGTCTTTTCAATTTCAATGGATACGTTGTTTTTTGCCTCCACGCATGCGCGTATCGCTCTCTATTATAAAACCAGATGACTCTTGCTGCCAGACATACCACCTTCATCAGATTTATATCAGCAAAAAGCCCGGTTCATGTTTGTACCTAGGTTCTAGTAACGATGAGCTGCCTGACACACACACAACTAATTATATGGGCGAATACAGAAGGAGCAAATGCTCGTTTATTCAATCTATTGGAAGCAGTTGAATGCTTTCTTTACGTGGCACATCTCACTTGTATTATACATTACATAATAGTGGACCCCCGGTTTTACCATCCGCGCCAAATGCAATCTCAACCCTCTTTGCAACGAGCTTTTTGGAACATACTGTAAATATCCGATCGGGTTTTCCTTATCATCATCCCATACATTTTATACTTTCGCTAGTGTTGATATCGAAGTAGAGTCAAGCAAATCAAAAGCTTTAAAGTAGCTTCACTAGATTGCATGAAGAATTTTAGTAGTATAGCTCCAAGTAATTTCGAGACTTCGACGCTAACAAAAAACAATGCACGGACGTCACCACAGATGTCTTTTGGAATACTGGCTTGCCGGATGCGGTTATCGATGTAGTTGATAAAGCAGTACCGTCAGCGATCATGGCAAGACACAGGAGGGGAGTTAATGGAATTTTGCTTTTACTTCAAATTAGAAAAATAAACGTTAAGCACATCATAATTTTGAATCATCACTAGCACAAAACAATTCGCCTCTACATATTTCTGGCAACTTTGGTGCCGGTAAAAGGTATTGGAGATAAGAGGTATTAATAACTTGTCGGGATAACTTGGTATAATCGTAAGCAGTGATGGTACATTTCATATTCAATCTATCTATGAGTATTACTAGTATAAGTGCATCAGTAGCAGTAATGTTGAGAGACAGTAGCATGAGAGATTGGTGGCAATACCCAACAAGTTGGATGATGTAACTTCCCTAATGAGCTTATGTACTGGGCCTTTCATACTGCAAAGAATTCAAGGCAAACATCATTTAGTTTGGGTTGGCGATCTGGTTCGTGTATATGTGAATATGAGGATGGTCTGTTTGCTTTGCGATACGGTTTTTTATTTTGCCACCAGCAATTTGCAATCATTGTTGGTATAGTCCTGAAGGTAAACCAGCTGTATTGTTTTTGAGAGCACACATGCGAATGCACAGCCTATGGTTTTCTCGACGACTCAAGCACAAAAAGGCTCATTTGCAACTACATAACTGCTCCAGAGAAAGCACCAACAAGTACCAAGCGCAATGGCAGTAGGAAGATGTAAAAAAAAAGATCGCGTTTATTACAATCGTCACTCGATCTGCCCAATAGTTACAATTACCTTTATAAGAAAGTACAATAAGAAACCAAGTTTATTTGATATTGCCTGACAAGTCGACCGACTTTTATGAATCCTTCGTTCCTCAAGGGAGGTTGCCCTCCCTTGTTCCCCGCAAGCCTCAGTTCCCGGCGGAACCTACACCTCCACAGTTACTACAAATAAAAGAAGCACCACAAAGGTCAGTCAACGGCGGGAATATATGTACCTCTTTGCACACACTCTCGCTTTCAGTCTTTTTAAGAGAAAAAACCAAAATGAAACAAAGAACATTTTAACTGTACGATGAGCAAGAGCCAGTCGTGCACTACTAGCTCTCTTCATCTTTGTACACCCACTAGGACCGTAGTCCTGGATAAAAAGAAGATAGAAAATGATAGTGAAAGAAACACTGCAAATGTACAAAGATGAATAAGAGCCAGTCGTGCACTACTAACTCTCTTTCATCTTTGTACACCCACAAGGACACTAGTCCTGGATAAAAAAAAAGAAAGGTAAAAAGTGATAATGAAAGAAACAATGCGATTGTACAAAGATGAATATGAAGAAAGAAAAGAATAAAGGGCAAAACGCGCAGTCGATTCTTATTTTTATGAGCCCGTTAAACAAAAAGACGGAGTTTTGTCACTACTGCCCTAAGGAGCCAGTGAACTGCAGCAATGTAAAGAAGTGCCTTGATGATAATTATCGTTGTAGTCTGTCAACTGTCATGCTAGTGTCTTTCTCCATGGTGCGTATATATTTTAAATTATGCGGCTCCGCTTGCTGTGCTCTGTTCCGATCCAATCATTGTCGGCGACAAGTCTGTGCGCTTTTAGTGGAACAAAAAACCGGCGATATAAAAAGTTATTTACCGTTGGACAAACGGTGTGTTAAGCTGAAGCATCACAGTAGCATTATGCTTGTATGGATCGCACAGTTTACGTGCATAGAGCGCTCGTCATTTCTAATGATACCTCAACGGATGCAGCCTGCGGTCGTCAATATATTGAGTAAAAGATCTTTTAATCAATTTCCGATAGAATTGGATATCCTTGAAACCATAAACTTATGAGGAACCGGCGAGTGTGAAGATGCTGAGAAGCATTTGTACAACAGCAGCCAATTTATGAGGTGAACGGATTGCTGATGTTACTGCTGGCCCAGCTACAAGTGCGATTATTCTTGTGTGTGCCCTCGTCAAAAACGACGATCACGTCAAGTCAGTACCCGAGCGCACGAGGTTGAACAGAGCCGAACAGAAGACGGCAGCAGAGGACGACCTAAAAGCTGTGGGCGTGTGATACGCAACGCCATTCACAGTAACCATAGACTTCAAAGCACAGTATTTTGATATCGCTCATGACAGGTACAGCTGTGGGTCACTCGTTGTCACGTTTAGGCAGTATGGAGAGCCAGGATTATTTGCTTGGCGGTTCTCAATCAACCCAAGGTGGAAGAACTGGATCCCGCAACATTTGAAGATCAACAGTACTATGCAACCTGGCTTTTGGACCTTCTTCTCCGACGCATGCCATTGCGGATAACCATGACAACATTAGAGTTCAGGCAGAACAACAGGAGCAATATGATCCATATTGACCATATCCACATGCTATAGCTGGTTGTCTCAAGCATCCGCTATCGATCCTTTCGGTACAGCCAACTACATACAATTACGCTACACAACCACGCCCAACTTTTGCAGCAATTTTATCAGTCGAACGATCTCCTACTACTGTCATCCGCGAATCCACCTATAACGATCTCCATGCATTCATCTTCCATGTCAGTGCTTCGCCGGATAACAATACGGCACCAGCTGGTGGTGATGCCTATGTTCCAGCACTTGCATCTACTATCCATGATTAATCACGTCAATCACCTGAGATGGATGCAACGGAGGCGGCAACGGTGGCAAGCGAGGAAGCTGGCTTTCTAAGGAAATTGCAGTAAGATGGCAGCAAGAGCTGGCAACGGGCGCACGTGCATCTGGCATCACAGCAACAACCGATGCAAGCAGTGTCAATAACTCTACCTCTAAATATTGCTTTCGAATCCAAGCAGCAGAGACTTTTACACATCCAAACAGATTCTGGCGATGACAATGTTAATAGGTGATGAATGAAGAATGTTATGGGACGACTCCTTAGCAAGCGTTGGCGGTAGTACAGTAGCGCGCTCAGCTTCAACAGCATCGAGCCACCCATTCCGTAGCAGCATGTCTGATCTTCGTGATAGCGGAATTTCAGACTTACGTATACCACCTATTCAAAAAGATGCTTGGTCTTTGGAGGAGGACCATGCTGCCATATCCAGTGACGATAACCCCTGTCGCCACTACCAAAGAAGAAAACAACAATTATAATGATATATAGGTCCCAATGTTCTTTGGTTGCTCTGTTGCGGGCTAAAAATACGATCGAATGTCATAGTAGCTGACTGTTTTCTTAGTCTCGTTCCTTCCTCCGAAAAGAAAAAAACCACACACTGCAAGTTCTTTTTGGGGAGAGAACATATATATATGCTATTGCTAACACATTATTATTTTCTCTACTCGCTCTAAAAGCCCTGCCGTTGTGGTACACCACTGGCACAATAGAGCCTTCTGAATGCAAAGAAGTTTCGGCCTCTCCCTTCTTCAAGAGCTCTTTGATGCTTTCGGGGACTCATTCTACAACCCGACGATGTGCCAACCACTGGGACCAACCATCTATCTACTTAACCCCGCTCTTTTCATGCTAAACTCCTATGTGTGGCAGATGAAAAGAGAGCCCTGGCTATTGTCCTGCGCTAATTGGCATAGAGCCCGTTGTAAAGAAGGATAGAGATCCCTGCTCAGCATAGAGCAGCAGCGCTAGTAGCAGCAACAGCAGCAGCTCTACAGTAAACGATGGCTATATCAACGCAATTGCACTAGACTATCAAAGAAACGCTGCTCTAGTGTAGTGGCACAGTTGGTTCCTTTTGTCCGAGGTGTTCAAATCACAGGCGAGGGTACTCAGTACCCTCCTGGAGTGTGGCTTCGTTTGAGGGTACCCAGTACCCCAACCAATATAAAGTTAAGTAACATTTTTGCTATACTTCCTCTTTCTTCCCTCTTCCACTCAATTTCTATAACACAAAATGTCCTTCTCTAATACAAATGCACCTCACTTGGCAACCCTTAGAAACGCCCTTAACCAAGACTTTACAGGTAAATAAAGTAATATTGCATAATAAATATACAGCATCCCTCTCTAACTTGACACAGACTTGGAGGAAATCCAAGTTCTAGAGCTTCTGGCAAGCTATCTCCAACGAAAGGAGACCACTGTTGTTCGTGGCAACAGGGGTAGAGAGAAAGTTTTTTCTTTCTCTACAACCAACGGTAGCCACACCATCTGTGGGTTACCTTTGCAGGCGGTTAGTATTCAAGCTGTTTAGATAGTAATATATATTGTATATTGGAATGTAAGCTAAAAAGTGGTTTGAACAGCCCCCCCCCTCCTCTGACCAAGAAGAAGAGGAGGCAGCAACAGAAGAGGCAGACCAGACTGAAGGGAGAAACGTGCGACAGTGAGGCACACACTGTACAGAGACTGGTTTTGTTGCTCAGCCAGAGCACCCAGTATTATTGGAGGGTAAGTACACATTATTTTTTTGTATTGTTATATCAACAAAATAAAAACATTTAGAATCTACACTGAAATATTCTACAAGTCCGCGAGAGTGTCGGCCGGATCTCTCTGGCACTCGACGAAATCGAACGTGGGTTTGCTCTGGGGTGGGGCAGCGGTTGCCTGTGCTGCACTACAGGGATGTCACTACAGCTTGTGTGGCAAACCACACACTTGCGACCAACCTCCGGCAACGGTCACGTAGTGCCCGTTTTCAAAAGGAGTTGAATTGGGTATACCTGGGGTGCCTCTACACAAAGGAGGCACTTGTCACAGAGGGCCTCAGCTGTACTTAATTTATCCAGCAGCACCTGGGTGGCAGTAAGTAGAAGACAGACATTTTTTTTTTCAAAGATGCTAAAACCAACAGCTGACAGTACTACAACGTTTATAGTTTCACCGTAACGATGATAAGAACGTGGCCAAGGGGATTCTAGGCGTACTTCGTCTCCTTCATCTTGCAGCAAAAACGACACCATTAGTCTTTGCTTTCCCCAAGGCATTTAACAGCCGTGCCTTTAGCAAGGTAGCACTTTTTATTAAATATGTTTGATCCGGGAAAAAGGAATCACCTTCTATAAACTGTCTCAGAGACATATACTCGTCCTTACAGCATTTCCAAAAGTGCCCACTTTCTTACCATCATCCACTGTTTCTTCTCAATCCTAACTCTTCTCCCATCACACGGTTTATTATTCTCAGTTGTGATATCCCACATCTGTGATTATTTTTTTGCCCCCCCGTTATTGCACCGCTGTATACATAATTGTAGATGACCTAAGTCTCATTTGCGCTGATTTGATCCGCGTGTTGTGCGTTATATCATTGTTAATATACAACAATTATATTCGTTCGATGTTCTGTAACGTGGGAATGGTGGACAATGAACGGCTTTAAAATGTAGTCATTTTGTAAGTCCAATTTGGGGAAGAAGCAGCACGTTTCTGTTGTTAACAGTAGTAGTTTCTATTAACTGCTCGAAAAGAAGAAAAAGACATTTACAGCAATTTATTGTCATCAAATAATATTTTTTTTTTTTACCTATGGAGATCTACGCCTCGACCAAATCCACCAGAATAAAAATTGACAGATTCTTTAGTGTTTTCCCATGTGACCCGCAACCTATATCATCGCTGCATGGTAAATGCTTTATTAAATGTCTCACAAAGGGAGTTTGGAGAGAAGCCGCGCACGCATACACCAAGGACGTTGGATGACGGTGGTAGTACGGCACCCCATATTACCACACACCTCGTGGAATTCGGCTTTAAACGCTCATAACATCTCTAGAATAGGGACATGAGCTGCCTACTGTCAATTAGTTTGGTTTAATTGAATCTCGAGCTTTAAGCAAAGTGTATCCTCATTCGCCTTCATAAGAGTCTGCTACGTTCTAGCATACAAGTAGTGCTAAATGAAAAAAGAGTCCGTACCCATGTTGGTTCGAAAAAAAGTTACCATATCCATATCCACGCTATGAGGAGAAGCAAAGCGACACCAGGATTGTTTTATTATCATTATTTTTTTTGTTTGAGGGGTAATACATGAAATATTCAAGTATGCGATGTGTTGTGCATTTAATATAGTGTATAACCATGTAATATGTATGCAACCAGTTGCTTGTTCTTTGTTGCGGATCTACCGATTTTTTTTTTTTTGCGTATTTTGTAACAAATGATGGAAATGATAATACAAAATGTCTTTTAAAATAATATTCAACCCTGAGGTCCCATGCCTTGGAATAATAAAAGATCTTGATCGTCGGTATTGCTCTTTTGATCGTCAGCATCCTTGCCGTCGCTGATGCTATTCCGATGCTCCAATAGCGACAGCATCGAGCTTTCTTCCTCGGGCACGGTGCTCGGCGGCATGCCCATGATGATATCGGCCGGCGTCATTTCACGAGGTGTTTCATGGACGGGAGTGGCATTGGCGGACAGACACCGCGGATCGATCGCATGCGGATGCTGTTGTTGTTGTTGCTGCTGCTGTTGCTGCTGCAGCAAAGACTGAATATGCGGATCATTTTGAGCCCATCGTTGGACCTCGGCTCGCAGAGCCAAAGCTGGCCCATCAAGATGATGCAAGTTGATTGAAGTCGCCTGTCGATCCTGCGTGAAATCACGACACTGTGTCCAAGTACCGCTACCGTTCGACTCCATGTAAAAAGCAATGGCTTCAGGCTGTGCAATACGTAACTCGAGCCGTGCCCAGCCCAGTCGTTCGAGAATCGGCTCGAGACGGACCTGAAGCACCGTGTCAAACGTATATTCCATCTTGAATCGTTGCTGACCGTCTTGGATGCGCCACACGAGTACGCGGCGCTGGGTATCGTAGTGACAAGCAAGATCGTTGGGTTGGAGACTCATACGTCGCCATGTGCCGATCTGTAGTGCTTCGGCCGAAAAGCGATTCGGCATCATATCGTCTTCGCCGTTACCGCCGTCCATGGACATGGGGGTGCCAAGTCGATCATCTAAAAAAGAGGAGTTAGATAAATGTCGGGGTTTTTTACTGTTGCAAATCCTTTTCATTGTTCGGGTTTTGGTTGTTTGTTTTTTTTAGTTACCTTGGGAAGGCATGCCCAGGTAATAGCCGCCACCAGCAGCAGCAGCAGCAGCAGCAGCCATGTGTTGCTGCTGTTGGATCGCAGCAAACGTGCTGCTTGCGGCTGTCATTGGATCCGTGTAACCCATCATGGGCCAGTACGCTTGACCGGCTGGCGAGGTATAGCTTCTGCTGCGATAGGATGGGTGACCACCCCCACTGGCACTGCCAGGGATTGGGGTACCGGCCGCTGCAGCTGCCTGTTGTAAAGGACCTGTAGGCGCATCGACTGAACTGTGACGCTCGTAAGAACGTCGATGGGGTGGTGGATAAGGTCCAAGCGAATGTGCACGCATACGGCCAGGTGTGGAGGCCGAGACCCGGCGAGCAGTCGAACTAGCGCCCACGCTCTGGCGCAACGGATCGGACACTGAGGCTGATAGCGGTGAAGAAGTCGATGAAGGCGGAGGCGTGACCGAAGACCAGTCGGCGCTGTTTCCTCCCAGAGACATTGGTAGAGGAGGAGGAGGCGGTGGCGGGGTTGACTGCAGAGGTAGCGGCGGCGGAGGAGCGACTGTGCTATGACTATTCGATGCCGCGGCTGTGGGTGCTGTAGTAGAAGAAGGTGGCGACGATGATGACGACGGTGGAGGTGGAGGAGGCGGAGGTGGTGGACAGAACCAGCTGTTATTATTGTTGGTAGAAGTAGTTGGTGAAGAAGAAGAAGAAGAACAAGATGCTGTATTGGTAGTGTCGCTGTTGTTTGGATTAGGAGTAGTCGTTGATTGTCGGTTCTGCTGCTGCTGTTGCTGGTTGTAGTAGTAATAGTAATAATAATAGTACAGATCAGGGTTAGTTGTCATAGTGCCATCCGGGGCGGTTTGCTGATAATGATAGGCCGCTGCTTGGCAGGCGGCGGCAGCAGCAGAAGCGGCATAGTATTGCATTCGAATTGTTTCGTCATGAAGCAGCGATGAGCGTTTAGCAAGATTCTTGACTTTGGCGCGACGGTTCTGGAACCAGATCTGGATGGATCGCTCAGACATTCCGAGCTCACGCGACAGCTGCTCTCGCACGCGGTTATTGGGAGAAGGATTGACACTAAATGTTTTTTCCAAGACAGCCAGTTGTTCTGGCGTGGCTCGAGTGCGTTTGCGAGGTGGCGGCGTGCCTTCGTTTGTTGGCGTAGGGGTGGTGGTGGTGGTCGTTGTCGTCGTCGTCGTCGAGGATGAAGAAGAGGAAGGTTGTCGCTGCTGCTGCTGCTGGTGGTGGTGGTGATGGTGATGGTGTGCTGGTAGTGGTGGCGGCAGTGGCGGTACGACTGCATGCTGTGGATGTTGTCTATGTATGGTAGGTTGATGAAGGGGATGATGATGATGATGTTGATGTTGATGTGGATGATATTCATGAGGACTGAACTCGCCGGGAGCATAGGTTGGATACATAGGGTGGTGTTGTGGATGATGGTAATCTAAGGGCATCATTTGTTTCGGTGGAATGTATGCGAATTGTTGGTCGGTGGAAGAAGGCACGGACATCATGCCGGCATGACCCAGTGGTGCTGCTGCAGTGGTAGCGACTGAGGAGTGGAGTGAAGGATTGGACTGTGGGTTCATTATTATTCTATAATGAGATGGTGAAGGTCGATGCAGAGGGCATTCACAGAATGCAAGAGACCAAAAGAAAGTGTACGTGGAAGGGGAGAGGGGTGGGATAGGAAGCGTGAAAGAGAAAAGGAAAGAGAAAAGGAAAGAAAGAGGGAGGGAGAGGGCTGTCTAATATGTGCGCGCGATATAAAAAAACCAAGAACCTACAAGGTCGCACATAGTATGAGCGGCGTAATAAAAGTAGAAAAAATGCACACTCGGGAAGATCTTCTCTCTGGTTCTCTCTCTCTCTCTCGCCGCCGCCTCTCAGTGTGCCCTCTCTCAGAGCACCGGTGTACAGTGAGGAGGGGTTCGTTAATTGACAGTTGCCTGAAAAGCAAATGACGGTTCTTCCTCCGGGAAAGCAGATCAATGCCCGCTCAACGCTTTGCTATGAGCACAACAACGCACTCTGTGTGTGTGTGTGTGTGTGTCTGCGCAACGTAGGCAATAAATGAAACGACGACTTTGGAGTAACATGAGCCGGCGGTTTAAACCCAAAGATCGTCCGCACGGGTATTATACATATCATAGGCGCTCCCCAAGAGTTAACCTGACCACAATCCAGTTTTCTTTTTAATCATGACACCATAACTCCGTTTACTTTTTTTCCTTTTACGACACGCTGTGTGATTGACTTTACTGTGGTCCTTCCCCTGAAGATCCTCTCTCGCACATGATGCACAACACCCATTTGACCGAGGTGGGGGCGCTATTTGAATGATAGCAACAACAAACAACATACAAACCGGTCTGTGACGATGTTTATAGATCCTAAACCCCTACCTCCCCTCTCTCTCTTTCTCTCTCTTTCTCCTCGTTGTAACCACGCGACACCTGGGTACAATGTGGATCAACCTTCTTTTTCAGATTAATTAGGCCCGGTTGGGCGGGGTTTCCATTGGGTCGCGCTGTTATATATGGCATCTACTTCCACTGTAACTTGTCCCTGAGTTTCCTTGATACATTGTAACCCGCCCTTATTATGTCACGCGTACTATACTCTTTTTGAAAAGTCCACTCAGTAAAATATAAAGGCCAAGTGGCCTGACATTTCCCTCGTCCTCTCATATGGATACTGCTGTATTAAATCCTCGCTCGGATCCCTGTAAAAAAAATAAATAAAAGAACATGTATTCGGAGTCGCGACGGGTCTAGAGCTTCGTGATGTTGTAAGCCCCCACTACTCCCGTGTACTGTGTGTCCAGGAGAACAGACAGACAGACAGACCGGACTCTACTCGATTTTCATTTAACAGCGGCCTAACTATGCAATAGGTAACCTTCCTTCCCCCCTTTCTATGATACTGTGACCATGTATCAGCAGAGTCTAGCTAACAGTGCACCGGGATCGGTGGGTCGAGTACCCCCATGACTTACTGCTGTCAGTGGGGTCATTCCGTTTTGACATTGACAAGAAGCGCAGGTTGTTGTAGCCTTGCCAACCAAACCCCCCACCTGGAAACAACACCCCCCAAAAGACCCGAATACTAGGAAACATAATATAACGTACATATTAACGTGTCATTAACTGCGTCCAACATTAAACCTTGTCCAATAAACGACGCCAATTGGAAAACTCTTTTTTTTTTTTTTTTTTTTTTTTTTTTCGCCAGCTCGGTACTCGTCAGAATTTCCCGAAGCAGCCTGGCTGTGCAACATGCATCATTTTGGTGACAAGGACGGATGCGATGTGATGCTGCCCCTCTCACACACCAAGCATATTGACCGCTTTGCTTTTCCTCCGCCTGTCTGCGCAAAAAAAAACCTCAATATTCTCAAAAGAAAATGGGTCAAGTTACAAGTGTTGGCTTATCGCGGACAATCTTCTTCTCGAGAGCGCCCCAACTTTTGTGTGTAGTCATAGTAATAGTAGCAAGTAGCAAGTAGCAAGTAGCAAGTAGCAAGTAGCAAGTAGTAGTAGTAGTTTCACCAACCCTACAACATACTTGCTTGTGCTGTAACAAGGGGGAGGCAGCAGTTACCCACTGATTGGACCATGCCAACATTGACACGTTTCCAAAGCATGGATGTCTCTAGTAATGTAATGATGGGTCGTCACTGCTGCTACCCTTTCGAAGGCTTTTGGAACGTGTCAATCCTCCAAGAGAGTTCAGGGTTGGAAGCAATATAAACGCGAGAGTATAATTACACGCGTTTGTAAGCAGCCTTACAAAGAAATTGACTTTCCCCCCCCCCTTTTTTTTTTCCCCTCCCCCAAACCTCATAAGCACAGTGTAACATGCTTTGGGTGACATTGGTATTAGCAGGCATATATGCAAAAAGCTTTGATAGCAACCTTTTTTTCATAATCAAGTATAACATGCCGTGCGACATGATGAGCATAGTAAGCCCCGCTTCTTTTCTATTGCCCACATACAAGAGAGAGAGAAAGAGAGACGTGTGGCCCATCTATTTACCCGTTAATTACACACTGTCCTTTGACCTGTGCGCGCAAATACAACATTACATGATGGATTGAGACGCAACAACAGCAACGTGGCAGTCGATCTAAACCTTTTCCAAGTGTAACTAGCTCAAAAAAGGCAAGTACCCGTTGGGCTCTCTCTCTCATCTCGAGTGAAACATATGTGTGTGTGTGTATGTGTGTGTGTCGAGACCGGTCTCTTTTGGCCCCCTTGGAATATGTGCAACTTGGAAACAGACATCATCCTTCACCCATATACTTCTTCAATTGCTCCCAACTCTTTTTCTTTCTCCGGATTGAATAGTGAAAAGGCGAAAGGGTTTGCCCAGTGTCCCGAATTAGGGAATGCGTGTACATGACAAATTATGACGTGCATGCAAGGTAAATAAATATATTTAAAGTTTTTGCTGCTTCCAGAAAAAAAAAAAAAAGATAGCTGACATTCAAAAAATTATTCAATCGCGATTACTTTGCTGCTGCTGCTGCTGCTGCAATTGAAGCAACTCCTTGGTCCGGCTTTCCGGTCGGTTCACTTAAAAAAAAACAAAATCGTTAGTATGGGTTCCGTTTGCTACGGTAAGACTTGACCCCTTCTTACAGAATGATGCTTCAGAAGCACAGGTACACCTGAGCTCCTGGTGGGCCACGACGTCGCTTGGACACTGCAATGCCACATTGAACCAATAACCCAGATTTTCCACAAAGTGCACTTGGTTGCGCTGCAAGTATAAAGCCGCGGCTACCGTTTGAAATGGCGCATCGCCCCATCTAATAACCACGTTTAAGAAATGATAAGCATAGATAGTAAAACAAGAAAAATGAGATGCATGCATGCATGCATGCAATGTCGGTTTCTTTCCTAATTGAATCGGAGTGCTGGTGGTGGTGGTGGTGGTGGTGCCGCACCCACAGACACAGAAGGACTTGTCTTACCTTTCATAAAAGAACCCTCCCGTACTGTCCATATGTTGAAAGAAGCGTTGGTATGGCTCGGATCGCATAAAGTCGAGTGAGATGATCATAAAGTTGTTCCAGAAATGGTTGCCGTTGTACTTTACTGTCGGTGGCTCCATGTCATCATCATCCGTCTGCGCGCCCGTATCAAGAATCCATGGTAAAATGGAATCGGAGTGCGGAACGAATGAATCAACGTTCTCTTGTCCAATGTACTTGACCACCTCGCTCCAAAACGTCCTGATTTGACGTTCGTCTTCTTTCATTGTCATTGCAAATGCTGGTGTAAATGATAGACCCCAAACAAAGAGGGATTGTTACAAAAAGGATGGGAGAGCGCCGTGTGGTAAAGTAAGCAATTGCATTTTGGCAAAATGATTGATGCATTATCCCAACAGCATCAATGAAACCCACGCGAATGTTTACCGAGTTTTTGGTCCTTTTCCTTCATCATTTGGAACGGATCTTCTTTCACGTCGCACATGTAGCGTGATCTGGGCTGCACCTTCCAATAGTACTCTGCATCTTGCAGCAGCGGGTGTTGAGCCAGATACCCAGCATTATACCGCGTTGCTTTACGCCAGCTTACAGATTCGCCATGATACATGCCATCCTTGCCCATCGCCAGCGCCGCCTTCTCCGCGCTTTTGACATCCACCCACGTCGGCTCGTTCCACTGTCCAGGCGGGATCCGACCAAAGTACACATTCTTTCGTCTTTTCGACAACAGCCGTCGAAACCGCGAGCTGAACGGACGATCGCTGAGTATGACCCACGGGTATCCATGGTACTGGTTGAACCGGTCTTCCACATCCTGCATCGTCATGTGTACGTCCATCAATTCGTTCTCGCTGGCCATGACGACCAATGCCGCTTTGATGTCTGTGCTGTACTTGATGCGTTTGTCGTTGTCGTACGTCGTATCATAGTCCATCCATTGCCTAGTGTTGTTGTTGCTCTCGAGGGTGGTGTTGTTGTTACTGTGAGAGGATCGCCAATGGACGATGCTGAAGAACGAGAAAAGGAATAGGACGCCGATGAGTGCTCGAGACCGCCACAGCTGACTGTATATCCTTTGTTTTGTTGATGTTCGATATTTCTCGTCGTCTATAGTGATCTGCATGGTGGCAGATGAATCGACGCAAGAAAGAAAAAGGTGATTTGCTAGGTATTATGTATTCTGCCTTGGTTTCATTTAACCTGGCTAGCGTTCTATTTAATATATCCCTGATGATCTGACATGCTGCACGGACTCCATGCGTGACCATTCGTTGCTATGCAGCACTATACTACCCACCGTCCCTGCTTTAAATCTTTACCCAATTTCATCTCTTATAAAGAGAGACTTTTGCAACGATTGTAACAGAGTGTGAGAAACAATGGCTTAGCAATAGTTATCAAGTACAGGAAGTATCTGTTTATTAAACACATCACCACGGGTTGGATTTAGGCTGGACTGGGAAATCGCTTTCATATGCACCACCAGCGGACCACCCTATTATTAAAACTCTCACAATTCAAGTATACATTCCTTGCTATCAAACGAGTGTAACACAGCCAAACCCCCCCCCCGCAAAAGAGCAAGTAGTTCTCTTTTGGACACTGTTCCAATATCAAACCTGACCGAGTAAACAAGGATCAAAACATTAGCTTGAGTATATATGGTGTTGTTATTGTTGGATTTGCTGGTATAATCAAAGATAGGTACGTAGTATATATAACAAGGGTGATAGAAAGAGAGAGAGAGAGAGAGAGAGAGAGAAAGGTGGGGTGGGGTGTTATTGAGCGCGTTGGCGCTCAAGGGCAGTGACATGAGTTTCCATTGTGGATAGGATATCATCCCAAGAAATAAAAATCTCGGACAGTGTGTTGACCTGTAATAATAACAGTGGTTTATTTTCACTGGTCTTTTTCTCTTTCCCAAAGCAATAAAACACTTACAATGCCATTATAATTATCCATCGACACCGATATCTTTTTAGTTACTTCTGCTAATTCTTTTGCTTGTTCGGCATGCTTTGCTTCTAACGGCGCAAGCTGAGGACCCAACGTATCTAATGCTGGAGATCGGTCCGGGTTTTTTTAATATTAGGGTATAGGTGAACTCTTTCATCTTTTTTTTTCCAGCAAACACACACAGAGAGAGAGAGAAAAAGAGTTTATATTTTTTACCATCGTATTCAGAGCCACTGACAACGTGTTCCAATGACTTGACTTGTCGCACTTGCCCTGCAAACTTTTCAAGGTCATCACACGCTGCTAGGACCAGTTCAAGTTTTGTATCCGTCGTAAGCAATTCGCGTTCCATGGCCAGTGTTGAGTCGGCCGGATCCAGTAGTTTGGCATGTGCGTCATCTAGTGTTTCTTCCACGTCTCAGCATCATTGTATACCCTCAGGGGTTTCCTTTCTATATATATATATATATATATATCCATAGGACGGTCCATGTTATTCTTTACATCTTTCAATAAACTCTTTGATTGGTTTGTTGGATTTGTATAGCGTGTGTAGTTCTTTTTTTAGATCGTCGATGCGTTTCAAAATGGAGGTTTTTGTGCTGCGTGGAATATTGGTTTGACCGGCCACAATATGTTCTAAATGTCGAAGACGTGCTTCAAAACCGTGTTCGTCCATGGAATATGATATATGGGGAAATATATATTTTCTTTGGTGCTCAAAAAGAGTTTACACTACCAGGAGAGGTTCAAACCGACACCTTTTGTTTTTTTTTTAACGTCAGCACACCACCTCAGGGTAAAAAAAAAAGGTTACTTACCACTTACCTTTTCCTTTTCTTGTGCGCTGACCTCCAACATTAAAAAAAAAACCCCCTTCCCACAAACCCGCCCAATCCACACAAATGCAACCATGGGGAGAACGGCAGTATATACGATTGGCCATGTCTACAAATCACCGTTCAAAGACGCCATGGTGAAAACCAACAGTGAGCTTCAAGAATTACGACGTCAAGAAGGTCAAGAACGCGAAGCTGCGCAAAAGGCGATTGAGTTGGCCGATTTGATCTTGAAAGATCTCGAGCATCCCGATCGCGATCCTATTGCTACTGATTGGGATACGCGACAAACACTCAAGGCTGTCAAAGCGTGTCACTATGCACACAGCGTACTGTCAAAAGAAGCGTTCAAGAACCCGGACTTGTTACGACATAGTTTGAGATATTGGATCGACGCGCTTGCTAGGTACACACACACACACAAAAGAGAGAGTGGTGGGTGGGGGGAGGTTCATCGGTGTCCAGTTTAGTAGACAGAAAAAAAACATGGCTTAAACCATTCTTTAATGGAATTTTTATAGATTGAATCACTATGACGACGCTATTGAATTAAGTAAAGAATATGTTACTTTGTTAAGTGATGTGGATGATTTGATGGTATTATACGAAGCCTATCATGAAATAGCTGGACTTTACTTTTGCCGAGGGTAAGTATGTCTCGGTTATGCATATATAAAAAAAAAAGAGAACACGTCTTTTTTAAAACTTAAACATAATCTAGGCACGATCAAGATCACGCCAAATTTGACGACTTTGACAATGCACGACGATTTTATAGTTTGGAGCGTAGAGCTCTCGATCAGTTACCTGGTAAAAAAAGAAAGGAATGATTTTGTTCAATTTCAAAAGATACGACAAGTAAAACTAAAAACATTCTCTTACAATGTTTCAATTAGGAGACACTGAAGATTTGGAAGACATTAAGCGATCCTCGGATTTAAATATGGGCATCATTGAAGCCAAGGAAATGGGAGGGTTGGAAAGGGCCCAAACGCTATTCACGAGCGCGTTCAAGACTGCAGCGAAACTTGGAAAATACATTGAGCAACAGACGACAGCTTGGGAAATGGGAAATGCGTATCGGAACCATGGCCATTTGGAACAACTTGCCAAAGCGCAGGGCATCGAACTCAGTGTGATCCGTCGCCACAAGCTGAAGGATAAAGAAGTACTTGTTCGCTTTGAAATTGGTAAATCCTCTTTTTTTTGCTGGGAGTGAATTGGGCTTCTCATTGTGCTCTCCCGGCTTCTAACTAATCAATATGTCTAGTTAAAACACGAATAGAGATGGGACACTATGAGAAAAGTCGTGAACTCTTGGATGATCTAAGAGGTACGACAAACCCCCCCTTTTTATTTCGCCATGTTTAACAACGTTGAACATTAAGTGTTACGTACCTCGCTTTTTAGGTCTATTGGATACTGAAGAGATCAACGAAGAATTAGTAAAGTTTGAAAACATCCTTGGGGGTTTGTGAGGGATGGAATTTTTCTTTATACTAAAACTTGAAACTTTTTTTGGTGGGTATAGGACGATCTAGAAGATATCATCAATTATTTGGAATCAAGAAGAATCGCTATATCAAAACTTCCTGACGTCAATACACTGGGACCCGTCTACCGACGCGCTGTACTTTTCTTTGAACTTGGTAAAGATACTACAAGCATTTTCTTTGCAACTTTTTGGCTAATGCGTTTTCTTCTTTTTAAAGGCAAGGCTGAGTTTGAAGAAAACATGCTGCATACTGCGCTAAGATCTACAAGAAATGGCATACGGGAAGTTAAAAAGGAACCGACATTGATGGTACAATTAGCGGGGTTGCTTCTCGATTTGAAGCAACTTGAAGCAGATATTCTTTGGAAAATCCGGCAATCGGTGAGTGCTTTTTTTTCTTTATATGAGGTTCACTCGCTACGTGATACGTCTTTGTGCTCACATGGATAAGGGATTAGCCGATTGATGAACTCGAAACATTAAACGAGGAAATTCTTGTCGATACCAAAAAGCACTGTCAAAACAAAAAACAGCGGCTTGAGCATTTGCAAAGAGTCTATGAACGGATGGCTGATCTTTACTATTATTTTGAGAAACAAGAACAGTGCGATCAGTGGGATACATTGTACAATGAATGTACCAAGCAACTTCAACAGTTTGAAGATGAGGTAACCATAGGCTTTACCTGTGCGATGTGTGTGTCTCTCGCTCCAATATCTCTCACTCAATACACACACACACACACACTGTAGGATGAAATGACGAGATACAATGAGGATGAGGAGCTCAATGAAGCAATTGCTTCCATGGAAATAACAACGGAGGTTGAAGAAGATTTGGATCACCAAGGTGATGATGGCACACAACAACAACAAATGGATCCTATTCTGGTAAGTCAGAGGGGGGGCACGTGATTGTATCCTGTTAACCTGCTCGTCCCTATCATTCTTTATTTAGATTAGCATATTCTTACTCACCCGCCCCCCACACTGATATAAACCCCCCATTTGTATAGACCGTACGCGTGGCGCTCAACATCAACAACGAGGAGAAACTCTTGTTTATACAAGTAATGAACGATACAAAGTGTATCGACTGGCTGATGGAACAAGTTGCCCAAAAAGCGTGGGAGTCTTACGGCTACGAGGTAAATACTTTTGGTGGAGGAGGAGAGGGGCACTCACTTTGACAAGTTCGCTGATGCAATATATAAAAGCCGGATATTTTCGCGTTGGAGACGGAAGCTTCTGGAATGCTACTCTCTCAAGAATTGGTCGTTGTGGCTATCCAAGGAAATTATGAACGCGTTTTTGCTCATTATGATGGTATATATATACTTTTTCTTTTTTTTTACACGCCATGGGAGGTTCAATAAGAAAGTAATTTTTTCTTTTTTTTTAAAAAAAAAACAAATCATTTTTTTATTAGGGTTTCGTGAGAAGACACCTTTGGAATTGTATCAGAATGCCTGCATGCGTATGCATGTGCCTGTACGTCGTAGCGTAGAGCTGGCGCTTGAAAACAACAATGACAAAAGTGGTGACGAACAACTCGTATTAGCGGATGCATGTAAGCGGGAGTATTTCTGGGGGTTGGGGGGGGGGGTGGGGGTAGTGAAAGTGAGAAAACGGTGGAGATCAAAAAAAAAAAAAAACTTTGTAACACGGTGACACAGGGTAGTAGTAGTAGTAGTAGTAAAAAATTGGCTCATGCACCACCACACAATTTGCGTTTAGGCCTTGTATCGCGTGACATTCCTGTAATATGTGATCTTTTAAGACATATTAAACCGGTGACCAAGTTGGATCTCTCTGGCAATGTTTTATGTAACGTACATCTGTTTATATATATATATATATATGGCTGCTAACGTGACAGATTAAAAATAACCATCCAGATGACCATGACATTGCTGATGTGTTCCGGCATATCCAAGATTTACACCATGTCGATCTCAGCAGCAATCGACTCACCAGTCAAACCATTGCAAGGTTTGTGCGCTATCCGAGTCTTCGTTCACTCTCCATCAGCTTTAACCCTCTTGGATGCGATACGCTGGGCCTGTTACCAGAACTCTTAAACCAATGCCCGCAACTTGCATCGCTCGACCTCGAATCATGCGACATTCGCAACTATACCCTTCCAGATCCGACGCGTCATGCATATCAACATCTTGGTAAGAAAAAAAAAAGAGGAATTTATATAAAACAATCACAACTCATAAACGATCCTATAGGCCATCGCCTTGATCACCTCAATTTGAGCTACAACCCATCCAGTGACGATAGTGCTTCTTTGGAACAATGGAAATCACTGGTCCAAAATCTAGTCAAAGACAATGGTAGTAATGGCCAGCAAATTTTAAACTGTAAATAATAACTGTAAACATAAAGAGTCGTCATTGTACATATAAACATCACGCAAAGAAGTACATGGAACCAAGGCCCCCGGGGGGGTATGGCCATAAAATTTTTGTGAGTGATGGCTTCCAAAAAGCAGGGCATTGTTTTTTTTTTGAGCTATTACCCATGTCTAGGTCTAAATACTTTGTAAGGGATGCTGGGAAAGAGTGTGCTTTTGTCCCCCGCTTTTTTTTTTTTTTTTGTTTTCAAATGTTTTCTGCAATAAAGAGGCTATTGTCAAGAATATCACCACGTGTTTATGCCTTATGGGCCGAGCTAGAGCTTATTGTACGCAAACCTACCTTTTTGAAAGATCAACGGAGGACGCGTTACTGACTCTTCTCTTTATTATTAGAAATTTGGCGTGACACTACTTGTGTTTGAACTCACATATAATCCAGGCAAGCCCCATCGATTGTTGAAAAGTCTTTAGAAAAAAAAAAGAAGAAGCAGCTACTCACAACTTGACCCTATAGAGGCAGTCTACGTTACACGCTACGCAGACATCTATATCTACTTGGCGCTGGGTGGATTGATAGCCGTATGGAGTGTATTTGGTGTCATTGTAACATGGAAGGTAATAAAACCCATCTCCCACCTTTTGGCCCCCATTTACTAACAAAATACCAATACCGGGTTATAACTACAGCGATGGCGCAAAGGAGTCAAAATCTATCTTCACCTTCTTGTGGTTCTCAACGGCATCCAAATCTGTTTTGGCATTGTGACCATTATCTTACTCTTTACATTGTATCGACAACGTCTGTTGAGCGCATGCTTCAGCCGCGAAGGTGACCATTTTTTCTGGTCATCGCTCGGATACGAGACGGATGAAGAGACGCAATGGATGATGCGCAGTTGTCTGCAGCGCTGGTCCAAATTTGCCATCCAACGCACTCTGACATGGGCGGTCTTTAGTATCGTGCTCGTCCTTGCGACGGTGCTCATCAATCGATACCATCTATGCCTTGCTCGAGCACACCGTCGCCAAGTTGAAGCCACTGGTTGGCCCGAATCAGAACAAGTAGAAAAGCAGCCGATTGTGACGGTGATGGATAGCAGTGCCCAACCACCGATGCGCACACCGCCACCGGGATACTGGGAAATCCAGCATGGTGACGACGGCAACGGCAACGACCTCAAAGGTGACTATGCCAAATTGCCGCCGCAACAACAACAACAACAACAAAATGAGCAACAGGATTATTTCCAGCACCAGCAGCAGCAGCAGCAGCATAGCCACTCCTTGTATGGAGAAGAAGAACAAATGTATCGTCAACGTGACCGGTTGTACAGCGAAATATCACGACGACGCGACCATCAACAACATCATCAACAACAACAGTACATTCCACCAGGAAATGCGGGTTCGTCTCCACCTATTTCGCCGGGAGAACACTCGATCCATCCACTTGATCTAAGACGACGGTCCATGATGATGGCGGCATCGAGTCCTTCTTTTGCTAGCCAACAACAACAACAACAAGACGACGACGACAATGATGAGGCCCAGTATCAACCGCCATCACCACCGCCCCGTTCCAATCGACACTCGACCAGTAGTAATGATCCTATACCATCATCATCGGAGAAAATGGACTATGATTTGTTTCGGAATCAACCCCACCGTTTGAGCGTCCACCACGGCAACGACGACGACGATGATGATTCAAGTGAAACCATCGCCATGTCCCGCCGCCGAAACAAACCACAGTGGTTTCAAGAGGAGCATCAAATTCTGTTGGATGATGATGATGACGACGAGCAATGATAAAGCTCGCTAAAAAAAAAAGCCTAGGCTTGGAAATCTTTTTAATAGATGTATATATAACTATATGTAGAGGGGTGGCAAAATAAAAAAGTAGAGGGAGAGAAATACACACAGGGAGAGAAATGGACGAGTCATGGAGGAGGAAGGAGGAAGGAGCAAAAAAGAAAAAAAGTGGCTGCTGCTGATTCGAGGTTAAGGGGGGTTAGATTGAGGTTGCTGCTAGAGGGGAGAGTGGGTAGAGTTAGGTAGGAATGCTTTTGGTTTGTTCTTTTTCGTTTTGAGAGAAGAAATCATGCAAGAGTTTAAGTTCTATCGAAATGAGTCTTTGAGTTCCCGTAACGTGGCCAGCGTTTCGACAGGATCGCTCTTTCCAGCAAATAATTGAAGCGACTGCTCATTCACCCGTAAGAAGGGATTGTACATTTTCTCTTGCGCAATTGTAGACGGCACTGTGATTGTCTTGTCCTGGCACCATGCCCATTTAGCCATCAATGCCTCGTTTTGCGGCTCTACTGTCAATGCAAACTGGCAAAGACGCGTCGTCAATACACACTCCTCCCCCTTTGCCAACCCCCAAAACCTTACCCCCCCCCAAGTCATTCAGCATACCTTCAAGTTGTTTCTGGTATACTCGTGGCCGCAATACACCCAGGTATCGTCTGGCAGCTTATTGATGACATGGAACAAGATCCGGTACATATCACGTGCGTCGCCTTCGAAGAACTTTCCTATTCCGGCAATAAAGAGAGTGCTGTACAGAGATAAGGGGTGAGTCTCTTCTTCTTCTGCTCTGAGACACACACACACACACACAGTTGTTGCTTGTGCTAACTGTGGGAGGGGGGGGAGGAGGAGGGATATCCCCCACCCCATACTGCATTGTTTTAAAAAAGGAAAAGCACTTACTCGCCAGTAAAGACAGCCTTTTCGTTCGTTGCAGGATCGACAACATAGTAGCACACGTGGCCCTTTGTGTGGCACGGCGTATGCAGAGGAGTGATCTCCAACGACCCCAGTTTGAATTCCTCATGGTCCTTGCAGACGTAATTGATTTCCGGAATACGAGCGTCGGCACCATAGACTGCAAGGCCGGGCTTCTTTGCTATAAAAAAAAAAGTGAGGGACAATGAATCTTTACAGTTTGGAAAAACGCAAAAAAAAAAAAAAAAAGGTTCGCCCGCCCACTTTGTGTCACTCGAATCCCCTCTCTCCTAACGCACATCTCCACTTTTTTTTTTTTTTTTTTTGTACTTCCTCCCACCCCCCCCCAAAGACTCGTTTTTTTTTCTCGTCCCTTCCATTCGCTCTCTCTCTCTCTTCCAATCACCTCCCCCCGTTTTGCCGAAACAAAAGCGTACCAACTAATTCAATGTTGCCGCCTGCGTGATCCCAGTGATGATGCGTGATAAAAACACTATTGACAAAAAAAAACAAGTGTGTGCGTGTGTGTGTGTGTGTTTAGGGAGCATGTTTATGGGAATGTTCGATAATTGACACAAACAAAAAACAAAGCAGCAAGCAAGCAGGATGAGGACATTTACCTTGAAAGTTTCGCCCCAGTTTGGCTGATTACGTTTAGAATCTTGATAGGCTCTACACTGTTGATGCATCATCATCATCATCGTCATCAGCATTCTCTCTCTCTCTCTCTCTCTCTCTCTTTTTCTCTTTCGTCACTACTACTACTACGACTCTTGTGCTGTCCCCACCACCACCCCCCCCCTCCCACACTCCACACACACACACATTGACCAAAGTACAAAGGGACATACGGATCAATGACGGCCGCCTCCTTTGTCTTGTCATCAATCAAAATGTACGAGTAGTTGTCTTCGAGTACGCCAATAGGAATGATCTTCATGGTCAGTGCTGCTATAAATGTCTGATGATGATGATGATGATGATGATGATGATGGATGGGGGGGGGACGGCAAAAAAAGAAAGAAAATGAATGAAGAGGGCAGTAACAAGAAGGGAAAAAAAGGTTTTTGTGTTGTGTGAGAGAGAGAAAAAAGGCAAGAAAAAGAGAAAAAAGAAGACGGAAAGAAGGCAAAAACCAAAGAGTTGCGTCTTGGAGAGAGAGGACACTTGTCAATTGATATATAATCTGCGCGCTTAATAGAAGTTTCTTCGTTGGAAAATTGTGATCTTGCGAGAAAGGTCCGATTTGGAGTAGTAGTAGTAGTAGTAGTAGTAGTAGTAGCAGTAGGGCTTGCCTTTGTCTTTTTTTTGCCTTGCCCTTTGTTCTCTTTTTATTCGGTAACCAATAGGATGCCCGTGTCCTCGCCTTCCCTTTCCCTTTCCCTTTCCATCCTTATTTAATACGTTGCTAGCCAACGTCTATTATATAACCATGGCGGTTCTCCAATGCCCCCCACTCCCCTTATCACTCCCTATTCTTTTTTTTTCTTTTTGAACAAGGCCTCAGGGTTCTGTGCCCCACTTCTTTCAAGACCACTACTCTCTTCCCATACACCCTCTCTTATACGGATGGATCTAAAAGCGCGACTCGACTGGATGAACGGCCCCGCTTTAGTTTTTTTGACAGTAATGCCGCATGTGGAAAAACGGCAAATTGGAAATTTTTTCTAATGTCACATGAGTTTGTATTCTTTTCTTCTTTATTACAACAAAGCCAAAAGTATGTTCCGCACTTATATATTTCTCGAACGTTTTACTCTTCTGCGCGAGCCTATTATAGCAATAGGGCCAAGGGGAAGAAAGAGACTTTATTAGTTTTTTGCTTGCTGTGTGTCAAAAAAAAAAAAATCATTTCCTTTTTTCCCTCTTTGCAACATCCTCCTCCTCACTACTCCCCCTTCCCTTGTTCCCCGCACTCCCTTTTCAACTTACTCCACGAGTTCTAACGTCATGATCACGCGATCCTAACTCGGCCTTCAATCCATCATAAGGATACGTGCGCTTGGCCTGGTTTTTTTTTTATTCATTTTTAAATCAATAAACAATTCAGTGATCCATTCTGCATGTTCATCAAAATAGGATACTACTTACAGCTGGGGGTTCTGGGTACGTGTTGTAAATAAAGTACGCAAAACCGGCAATGAGGCCACCCGCCAAACCCAACTGGGCCAAGGCCTTGTATGGGCTGTATGTATGAAGATCAGGTGCCCAAACACCCATCAATTCATCTTCTTCGTGAACCTATATACACAATGGTGTGGAAAGGGGAGAAATCGTTTTATTATTAATTCGTCCATTCTCGCTTCCCGGTTGTGGAGTCGTTGTTGTTGCTGCTGCTGATGCTGGTTTTAAAGGAATCCGTCAATGTGTAAAGATGTAAAAAAAAAAAAAAAAATTACCGGTTCGCCAAAGTTACGCTTATCTTGGGGATCCCACCAACCAAAAGGACCACGAGTTTGTGCACTCCATCGTGGCAAGTTGGGATAATCGCCAATTTGGGGATCTTCAATGACTTCACCCGTGTTCAAAGTGGATTGGGCACGCATCGAGGCGGCCATGATGGCGGGTCGTTGGGTTGACAAACGCGCGTTGAACAAACGTGTCGAGGTTCGCAACGCCATTCTATATATTTTTTGTTGTACTTTAGAAAAGGAAGCTTTGAGCCCGCTTTTTTTTCTTTTTGCCTTACACAAAGCCCAGCGTTGTTTGGGTACAACTGCCCGCAATCCCGACCGCCCTGTGACTTGGGTTCACACCCACAAAATGTGACGTAACCATCACCATCGAATTTCCCCAGATGAGAGATTTTTTTTTATTTGTTTTAATTGTCTCTGTCCAAACTAATGTATCCTTCACGACGCTGCTTCCACCAACGCCATCCATAATATGCTACAGCAGCCAACAAGGCGGCACCGAGAAGCACACCAATGACAATGAGCAGAACGGCCCACCAAGCCAGTCCACCGCCACCATCGCCCAGTTGATCACGGGGGAGCAGTACACGATCAATCTCTACCACACCGCCTGCATTGCTGGCACGTCCAATCTGAACAACATCTGCAGAATGAGTGGTATCGCCTTTGACTTGAATAGTGTACCCTGCATCGACCTGAGTGATTATAATTTTTTCGTCTTCAAGCAGCGGTGAAAACTCGACACCGTCACCATTAATATCCGAGTGTGTGTTTCTGCAGTCATCGTCGTCGTCATCATCATACATGTCCTTCTGCTTGCCAAGACGCTCACCGCTTTGACCAGGCTGTAATGTCATTTTTGGCAGTGCAACAGGCAGAACATGCAGCTTGGCAATACGCAACAACTGATCGGGATGGTTCAACAAGTCCGAGACATTCAATCTGGCAAACGCACGATCACTGGGAGCAAGGACGGTATAAGGCTGGTCAGGGCTATCCAAGATCTGGTTGGCCAAGTCAGTCTTGCTGATCAAATTGACAAAGCTGTTTGTGTTTTCGGCCAACAACAGATCGCAGTTGGAGACTTTTAATGTAGCAGGGATTTCAACACGGTCAATCTTGTGGATCACGCCGTTGGATACCAACATGTCTGGTTGAACCACCTTGGCAATCACGGAACGGTCACTCCCGTCACCTGCACCGACACCACGGACGTAAAGATGGCCATCGTGCGTCTTGTTGAGATTGATTTCTGGACCACTGAGTGTAGGTACGCGATACTCGCCTTGCTTGGTTTCATTGAAATAGTAGATGCCATGCTTGACTGCGTGGAATTTGATGACGCTTGCCAACTTGTCTTGCGAGCTGGGCTGCAGCAGGTGTTTGGTCAGAATGCCCAGACGGGCAAAGGCCTTGTTTGTGGGGGCAAACACCGTAATGCCTTCTGCTGACTTGATTTCTCCTGCGGCGCCAGATGCATACAGACTCGCAACAAATGTGGAAAGGTCCAGATTGAGTGGGAGTTGACTGAGTGGATCGCGTGGTAATTCAAGCGATCGGGAGACGGGATAGATGATGCTGTTGTCCACCGTCACTACGCAATAGAGAGAAAAAAAAAGGAATTACAAAAAAAAAGGCAAACGTGTCATCGTCGTCGTCGTCGTCGTCGTCGAACAACCAGACATTATCATGTTTACCTGGATTGCCAATGAGGTTGGCACGGTCAAACTGGACAGACTTTTTCTTTGCATTCACTGGCATTTGGTCTTGATCGACACTATGCACACGGAGGCGTTGTTTGTCTCCGCCCAAATGATCGCCCGATTCTGTCTTTAAGAGATCGCCATCGGTAAAGTTATCGAGCTCGTATTTCTTGTCAATAATGTGATACTTGAGCCAAGATTGGATCTCGCTCCGTGGGATATTGCGTTCATCCAATTCTTCGTTCGGAGGCGCAACCAGGGTGTAAGGGTCCTTGGTGTCGAGGTAGCCCTTCAATCCATTGTCCTCCAAAAGTGTCACGAACTTTGTGGCGTTCAATCCAATCAATGCTTTGCGTACATTCAGTTTCAAAAAGTCGCGGTTGTTGGGCAGAATGGACTTTTCGAGTAAATGGATTACACCTGCAGTAGTAGTAGTATTAGTCCCATTGCACCCCAAAAGAATAAGACACAAAGTGAGTCTTACCATTGCTGGCCAAAATATCACTCTGTACAATTTTGGCACCATTGACTGTCGCTTCGTTGTTCTTATCCAACACCAATTCCAGTTTTTCTCCTTGCAACGTTTCCAGCTGCGTCTTGCCTGTTGGAAACTCGCCAAAATAAAGTATTTTGTCGGAAATTTGATGGTGCAGGACTTGGCCCAGGTCATCCTTGGCGCCGGAATGGTTCAGATAAGCCTTTTCGGCATCGGTCAGACCATCAAGGACATCTTGCGTGGCAAAGATAGTGTAACCGTTTGCGCGTTTCAACTCTGTCTCAATATCTGCTTTTTTGGCGAGGTCGCTAAACGGATGCAACTCTTCATGCTCCGCTAGTGTTAAGCCTAGAAAGAAACAAGGTTATTGTTGATATAGTGTTTGTAATGCACACAAACTATTCTCCTCCTTGTATGCACCCATCTGTTTCTTACCTAAATCCTTTGGAGGTGTCAGCAGCCCATTCACGACCTGGACCACTCCGTTATCCGCTTTCACGTCGGCATCGATAATGTCCACGTTGACCGCGGGTGACCAATGCTTGCCATTCTTTGTCATTTTTATCTTTTGTACTCTTCCATCCTGAGTATAGCATGTATCGAGCAATTCTCCCCCATGCCACTCGCTCGTATAGACGGACTGTGGCAAGATATGGTAGAGTAGTTCGGCGCGGGTCATGCCTTGGATAGCCAGATTGAATGCTTCATTGGTGGGTGCAAACACGGTCGCAGTGTCATAGTGGCCGAGATCCTGCAACAGATCTGTTCTTTTCAGTTGTCGTACAAACTCCCGGAACCGATCGTCGGATGTGAGCGTTTCCACAACGGTTTTAGCGTAGGCGGCAGTCAATGTGCTCCAGAGAAACACAAGGTTTATCAAGAGTAACCGCAGATGCATGATTGGCACTTTTTTGTTGCGTATATGTAAGAGAAGAAGATGAACAAGATATATTTCTGGTCGAAGATGTTATATATATTTCCCCCCCCTCCAAACCAGTCTCGTGGGCAAAATTATTCTTATACAAGGGTTTTCTGGTGTCAATTTTCAACAATGATACCTGAATGATGCATAAAAGCACGCTAGTGAAATCGAAAAACAACCCATGCCATACGCTGCTGTAAGGCGATTTTTCATGGTGGCCAATGTTTGGGTGGCACCCAATGTGCGGAATAAAACCATATACACACACACACACACTTACACCAAAGATTAGAAATCCAAGGAAGATTTTCATGAGGGATGGCGCTTTACTCTAAATGGCATAATGGGGCCAAAGTGGGTGGCCCGGCTGACAGCGCTCCCTCAAGGGTAATTCCTTGATCCACGCTGAATAGTTTATCCCCGTCCAAATAATACTGATCCACGGAAAATATACATATTGCTGGGTGTAGTTGTTGTTGTTGTTGTTGTGCGGCTCCGCCAAGTGTATAGTTCTCCAGTGCCATCTGCTGATGTGATTACAAATACGCTCTTTTTTTTTTCTTTTTCTCCCCCTTTTTCTGTCGTCTAGCGGCTACTGTAACGCGCTTGCAACCTCATATAAAAAAAACAGCCATCCATCCATCTCTTCTCTCCCTTTCTTCCTTCTGCTATGCCTGCATCTGTAATTGATCAATTGCCACCAGAACCAAGTCATCGCGTTCTAAGTGTGGATGAAAAAGCGGTGGTGGATTCATCACCGTGTACCCTCACTGAAGCTAATAAACACCTCTCCTGGATCGAGCGATGGCAACTCGTGTCGCCCTATCTCGTAACAGCCATCCAATCATTCATGATCCAATTTGTCTCGGGCCTCAATGACGGTAACCTGGGTATTATCCTTCCAAGCATTAAAGCCCACTACGGCCTTAACCAATACGTGGTTTCAATCATTTTCTTGTGCAATGCTGCAGGGTATATGACAGGTAAAAGAACGTCTACATATATCCGCAACGCGCGAACAATTATAATAACTGTAAAATACTTCTATTACCACTGGTCGGGCTACAGCTGCTGTTTTGAATGGCTATCTGATCCGCTCTACTTCACAATCCAAAACTGCCTTACTTGGTGCCTGCTCCATGATTGTCGGCTACCTTGTCAACTTGTTTGCCGTACCGTTCCCGGTGATGTGTATTTTCATGACAACGATTGGATTTGGTATTGCATTGACCCAAGCTGCCGCAAACGTAGTTTGTGGTGAAATGCCTTATGGCATGCTTATGTTGAGTTTTCTGCATGGTGAGTGAATAAAAAGCAAAACAAAAAAGGGGAGTGTAGGAGAAAACGTTGCAGAAAACTTTAATCTGTATAATGGCACCCCCAATTTCTAGCTTTCTATGCAGGAGGTGCATTAGTGGGTCCACTGTTAGCATCGGGTCTTTTGAGCAGCCAAAAGCCATGGAATACTTCCTACATGGTCTTGTGCGGCTTAGCCGGAGCAAATGCTATTTCGATTTTCTTATGCTACCGCAAACTACGTACGGATTCAGAAAAGGAGCTGGATGCCGAAAAGGAGCTCATGCTTCATCATCATCAGCAGCAGCAGCAGGATGTACAACATAGCGCCACTACCGTTGCAGCATCAACAACAACACCGTCTGACCAAGAATCCATGACTTGCAAAGAGCAAGCAAATAGCAAGAACACTAACTTGCTATCCCAGATCTTCAAGTTCAGAATCACATCCATTGGTGCTGTGTTTTTGCTCTTTTACACTGGCACTGAGGTAACGATCGGCAACTGGGGTTATACGTACTTGATCAGCACCCGCAGCACGGATACAAACGCGATGGCCCATTTGATGACAGGTTACTGGTAAAAAGTCACACCGCATCCTTTCTTTTGGCACTTTTTTTTTTCCTCTATCATGCTATTCCCCACCCCATAAGAAAAGAAAAGCTATTCAATTCGATGGTGATATCTAGGGCTGGAATCTGCGCTGGTCGACTGTTCCTTGGTTTTGCCACATCGCGGTTCGGTGAGAAACGCATGGTATATTGCTATCTAGCCATGATTGTCGTCATGATGGTATTGCTTTGGCTGCTGCCTTATATCGGCGCAAATGCGACATGTAAGGGTTCTTTTTTCAAAATACTACTACTATTGGGATTTCGTTTGGGGTTCACTAAAAAGTCAATTATACAATCCTTTATTTGTTTTTATAGCGTTGGTGATCACCGGTATCATGCTGGGCCCTATCTTTCCAACCGTGGTTTCTGTGGCCCACAACATTGTTCCTACTCATTTGTACGCAACATGTGTGGGATTCTTATCAGCCGTAAGTATGCTCTTCAATCTTTCCCCGGGGCACAGTTGAACCAAATGCGGAAGGGTTACCACACACACACAAGAAAAGAAACATACTCAATTTTTTTGTGCTGTTGCTCTTATTTAGTTTGCCAGTGCAGGTACTGCACTCTTTCCATACGCAACAGGTGTGCTTATTGGAGCCGAGGGCGTATCTGCCATGTTGCCCTTTTGCATTGCCACTAGCTGTGCCATGCTGATAATGTGGTTCTTTGTTCCCGATCCACGTCCTCCAACGAAATTCTCTGCAAAAATGAGAACTTGGAAAACCCAAATTCTAACATCTATTCGCTCGTAGATGCTCATCAACTGTACTTTCCATTTTATCTGCTGTAAATTTACCTACAAAATACACATATGCTATATCCTTGAGAAACTCTTCCTTCCAACATCCCACATTATAAAAATTATATATTTCTTACATTTAGTATGTTTTGTCGTCAATCTGTTCCGAGTATTCGTCGTTTTCTTGTCGTACTTTTCAATGTTCACACAAAATCTTTCTTACAAATGCAACGATATCATATTATACATTTTTAGGACAAAAAATAACATCATAAATTTAACAGTTATCATTATATGTACACTTGAAAATGTTATACAAGTGACAGGTCTTGGCTATCGCACAGTAGTCGTTTTCTATATAGCATATGATCATGGCGTTCCATGCCCATTGACAATTCAAAATAACGAGTCAGCGAAAATGTCCATTCCATGGCTCGAGAATCGAGGTTTCTGAGCATCTTGTTGACTTTATCTCGATCAGGAAATGGATGGGGGGCTTCTTGTGGGTCATCATCATTGTAATAGACGAGATTTATGTTGAGCTTGTGTATCATGAAATGACGGCGACCTGAGATGACGATGGTGTCTAGAAATCGATCGATATCGTCCAGGGTCACGTTTTCGCAATGGTCAATGGTCAGCTCCTTCAGGCCACATCCCAACGGGGACGACGCCATAGATAACAGCACCTCTGTGGACACGCTTGGCATGTTACAAAACTTGATGCTGACCAATTTTGTTGGTCTTGTCCTCTTATCGTCTTGTCTGGATAGGGCTGTAAAGAAAGCGGTGAGCTGTTGCGAATCGATCCCCGTGCATTGAGACAAGTTCAAAGTGTGTAGACGTTTTGCATTGGTTGCAAACGATGCGAGCTCCATTCCGCCTTCAAAACACGTCAGATCAAGATGTGTCAGATTGGGTACTGAGTATGCGAGAAAACGCGACATTCCTCGATGCGATTCGGTGGGCCTTGTTTTTAGCACGCTCTCAACGCGATCATTGAGTATAAATCGGCAGAGACAGGGGAATATGACCGATGACAGTCGCTCCATGGTGGACTGTTTGCTGTATGGTCTATAACCACATTTTATATCCAAAGAGTACAAACTTTGGCAATATTCTATGGCAAGCAACTGGACCACTTGTCGAGTGTCACAATACTGGTCAAATGAATCGTGGAACACGAGGTTTTCTAAGCCTGAGCTTGCTACGGTCCGTCGATCCATGCTGAGCGAAGCAGAATCGATGGTGTCGTTGCTGTGTGAATGTAGAACAAGAGTCACGAGTTCGCGACAGTGTCGGCGCAGAATTCCCGGAATAAGCGTAGCAGAAGTGTGTTTAATGTTGCGTAAGCCCAATCGCAACCGTTGGATGTGTGGCGTCATTGCTAATATACGTCTTGCCTCAAAGCTACCGTCACTGTTGGATAGATTCAACGCAAGATCAACCAAGTGTTTGTGCTTCTTCAAAGCGCTTGACGACGACGATAAAGTTTTCCATTGACGTATACTGTGTACCGGCCCTGTGTAGTACAGCGACTTCAGGCTCTGGCAATGGTGAAGAATGTCGTCTGGAGACGGGTTGTAGTGGTTAGTGTCGCTGCTGCTGAATGTGAAAGACAATCTTGTCAGCGTTCGGGCACAAAATTCAGCGAGCTGTAAAAAGGACGATTTCGCCATGTAGGGTGCTGAAATTCCCACTAAGTATAAGGGAGCATTATTTGTTATCGGTCAACGATTTAAAAGTTGAGAGAGCCTGTTTCAGGACAAGAAAAATAATCGAATAATCATCTTCGTATGTCACCTTCAACAATCGTGTTGCATTTTTGGCCTTTGAGGAAATCAATGATGGCTGGTAAATTGTATTCACTATGCACGTTTGCCCATACGCGCTTGACAAACGCGCCATTGACATAGTCTTTGTAAAGTGAAAGGGCAGCAACAGTCATCGTAGCAAGGCTTTTATAATCGCTCGTCAAAAGCTGCTCCCACATTCCATGCCAATGCATCATTACTGATCGCCACGAATGACAAACTGCACTGAATTGCCAGCGATCTCGAACCGAAAAGTAACGGAAAATGCTGTCCAGAACTTCCGGAGGGAGAGTTACTAGTCGTGACATGGGGATGAGTGATGATTTTTTTTATATAGACACCGTTTGTGAGTAGCAGTATTTATGTTATAAGAATAAGAAGGGATAATTGACCACAAAGGGGGCGTTGCTTTGTAATGCAAGTTTCATACAAACTCGATCACCCAGTGCATACTGTGTTACAGAGCAAACTGGTGTGGTACAGCGATCATGCCGCCACGATCATGTGAATAAATTCTTTTTTTGATGGACTCTTTCAAACCAATACCGCTTGGTGCGGAAGCAGACACTCCCAAACGTGTTAAAATAATGTGGAAAGTAGCTATTGTACAGCATGCTCTTGGTGCCAAGAAAAAGAGGTGGCATCAAGCAATAATGATGATAGGTAAAAACTCATGTCGTCGTGGAGGATAACAACTTTACACATCAACGGTTGCTGCCGGAACGAACAGCTGGTATGGTACAGCAATCAATGAGTTTTTTTTAACCGACCTTTAGCAATGCATGTTTTCGCGTTTATTCAAAGAAGTAAATATTACGCGTCTGATCCCACACTCGTTAAAAACCTCGTCCGTGCTTCCTTTACGAAAATAAACACAAGTCGCGCTGAAAAGCACTTTTAGCCAAGACATTCACATCAAACGGCGCTCCACCTGTATTGCTTGGGAGGCTCTTGCTGAATACAGTTTTTCTCGATCCTGTTGTTGTTATTTCTGAACAACCTTTGCTCCTGCTTGCCTGCTGCCAAACTGTTCAAATTGGGTCGCCCGTTTTTACAAGGCAATGCCTTTCACAGTGCTTCGCACCGACAGTACCCCCCCCTCACGCTGCAGACATTCCAGGCACATGTACACTACCCACACTTTTCCTATTTCTTTTAACTTCGGTCACTGCAAAGTTTTGGAAGTTTGTCCCTTGTCGGATTGCACGGAAAATGGGCAAGAGTACCCTTCCGAGAGAGAGAGAGATTGTGTGTGTATATAACGCCAGTGCATGAGTTTTGTTCCTGTGTAACTCTGAAAACAACAATGATTCTGGTTTTTTCCAATTAACTTTGCTCTTTCCATCTCTTTTCTTTTCGCTCCTTTGCCAATTCCCGCTCTTTCTGTCAAGACTATGAAGGCAACAATCAAGGTCACTGTAGACCACACTGTGATTAAACAGCTCAAGATAAATCTCAACGGCCATGTCACGAAAGTGACCGTGGAGGCGAGGCTGCCGCCGCCGCTGCCGCAAGCACAATCACAACAACAACAACAACAACAACAACAACAACACGGAGGCGAGAACGTGACAGACGAAGACTATTTTCTGTCAGCCCTCTTCGATTCGTGAGCTGTGTACCCTCGCTCATGTTCCTTGTGTATAGCTCTCTGTCCAATACACAAACACACACACAGTCACACACACTCTCTCTCTCTCTTCAATACTGTATTTGCTATACAAAATAAACCCTTTGTGAAATCTAGCCTTGTGCTGCGCGCAAATAAAGATATTATCCGTTGTTTCTTCATTTATTGCCTACGCATGCGCTTGACTTAGTGTATCAGTAGACTGCAGTAGAGTAGATATGCTTGATGATGCCCTACAGACTTTCATCTACAATGGTCGAGGTTCAAAGGGGGGCAAGCGTAGTCACATAATGGTGAACACATTGACGTTCTGGTGAACACATTGACGTTCTTCGCCCACGTCAGCGATATGTTGCACATTAAACTCTCAGCAGCAGCAGCGTTACTTCATCCCCGCTACAGCATTTAAAATTGACAGATTACAACGAGCCTTCGCTCACTGCTAGTCAACAAGCCAGTAAATGAAACCAGAATAGAATGGTACCAGCTGCGAAAGTATCTACTACGTACCACCATCCTGATACGCATTATACAATGGCTAGAGCTCAGTGTTTGCAAGGTGTTTGGGGATGACTCCTTGTTGACGTATCATCAAGAGACATCAATCGTTTCATCGTCCATAAATTCTGTGCAACATGCTCAGCTTGTCTAAAAAAAACCTGAGAAGTTTGGTAGAATCCATCAACAAGCACTATGAATGGATGTGCAGTCTGCTTCCAGCCGAGTTATATCGTTTGTAATTGTCAGGAAACGACCGTATGCAGCAAACTGGCCTCTTATTGTGTCGACACTGAAGCCGATATATATCCCTAGCAATGGTGGGAGTTCGTGTGGCGTGTGGGCAGCATTTTCATGGCTTGTCGCAATCATGAAAGATGGGTCAAGGGCTATTCCAGCTGCTCGTGTCAAGAAAATTCTACTTGGTGGGATCTTCTTGACGGTTGACGCTATCCCCGAAAACCCGGAACACGAGGACGAGGTTCCAGATTTGGGTCATATAATAGATACCATAGTCCAGCAAGAATATGTGCGTCGAGATTACGGTTGTCTATTAGAAAGTGGTGCTACATATGTAGGATGCGTCCACCTTATAGCCGTCAAGTTGTTACCTCAGCTCCAACGTTTCCGAAAAGCAGCTATACACTCAAGCGTGCTTCAAAATGCCTTATTGACACGTTTTGCTTTCGTTACTGAACTGAAAAGCCCCCGGTTTTTCCCAAATTGGTTGGGCCGGCAAACAACTTCGATACGAATATATTAGTCTACGTTTCCTACCCGTCTACCTCTACCTTGTAATTGAAAGTTGCCACTAAGTCGAAAGCAAAGGCTAGCGAAAAAGGACGCGTGCACCAGACGGAAATTTCACTGTCCCAAAAAAATAAATGCGTGCAGCAGACCCCCACACCAATACCACGACAGGCTCAGTCGACAACCAGATATGATGCAGTGCTTAGAAATCAGATTGAAACAAAAATCAATTGACGGTTAGAAGGTGAACGCACCATACAGCGGTCATGCAAAAGATACTATACAAGTTGATGCTGCTACTGTACTTCTTTCGCCTCTCTCGTAAATTTACATTACGATTTCCGGATATCTTCATTTTTCAAATTCACAAATATTTTGTGCCTCAAAGAATAAAGCTCTCAGAAACTCTTGCTACTTATAAACAAGCGTATGCCCATGAGATATGCAGTGCACTCGACGTTGTTGGACTGTATGCAAAATATCTGGACACAAAAACTCACGCATTATGTTGAGCCTAAAACTAACGCGTGTCCATCCTTTGGACAAGTTGAAATTCAAGGAATCAAAATCCGATATACTGCTTTGCAAATAGGTTGTGTTAAATTTTCTTCAAAGATGTGATATTTTGCTGTGAAGCTTGGTAAGTGACCAAGCCCGTCTCTTCTCTTTTTTTTAAACAGCGGAGTGGATCAAACGCCAAATTTTTGATCCGACGTATTCAGCATTGACACGGGACAGTTGTGTAATGTAAGCTTGAGGTTTTCTGAAAGGAAAATAAAATTCATAAACAATGGAAAAATGTCTCTAGCAATATTGAGATCTCTTCAATTTCTTTACTGCAATAAAATATGCTTAGACACAATTATACAGTGTATAACGAAATGATAATGGGATAACAAAGTGCAGCACGGCAGCAATTGCATATGATCAGGTCTGATTGTAACGTAGCAAGGTCACGCAATGTGTACTTTTATAGAAAGCGAACGTGAGGAAGCTACGGAAGCAAAAAGATAACAGGGGCCCAAATGGAATAACGTATCAAGCACTTTATATTTTTTTTTGTCTGGTGGCTTTTTTTTAACGTACGTTGTAGCATTGACCCAAAAGTCCATTAACAAAAAGAACCTTTATACCAAACTCAAAGAGTCATCGCACATATTGAGCCAAGCTAATAAAATATTAGTGGATTTGGACTTTTCTTTCATTTTTCTCGATAGTACTATCTGAGAAGGGACTTTCCACTTATCTTTGATAACGTTGCTGTGAGTGTGGGCAGCTGTGAAGTATTTTAAAAGCCTTGGTGTGATAGAGATTGTGTTGGCTATAAAACAAAAGGCGCACCGAGTTCTCTTGGATCGAAAAGGAAAATCGCGAGTATTTTCCCTTATCATTTTGTATTCCTGTTGCACCAGTTAGCTTAAAAAGGGAAACCCAGAGTAGATCAAGGTTGAAGAATTCGCTGAATCGATATAAGCGTGTATATATATACAAAGGCCGATTACTTGTTCACTCAACTTTATTGTGGAACTTTCTTCTTTTTTTTTATATATTTTTTTATATTTCGTGTCCTTTCATTAGCTGGTGATATTCTCTCCTTTTTGTCCAAAACAAATGGCTTGGGCTGAAAAGATCAACGATTATGTGGCCCATTCTCGTGCTGGTCGATATTTCCAGCTCGCGGGTTCAGGTGCTCGCCGTGAACGCAAGAATACTAAATTTCTAACCGAGATTCGTGCTGGCCTCACGACATTTTTCGCTATGGTACGTCTCGTTCATCAATGACCACACAGTGTTTATGTATTCTCGATGGGCTAGATAAGATCGCTTCATACTTACTCTCTCAAATATATATATATGTGGAATAATAAGGCATATATCATTTCAGTGAATGCTGCCATCCTCAGTGACAGTGGTGGAACTTGCGTGTGCGAATCGACTCCTGATGATCCTGTTTGTGACCTTAATACTGAATACGCGCTTTGTGTCAATGAATTCCGAGTTCAACTCATTGCTGGTACCGCTATCACCTGTACGATCGCTTGTGTTCTCTTTGGTATTTTGGCCAACCTCCCTCTTGGTTTGGCTCCTGGGTAACGATTTTGTCTTTCTGCTATGCCAGGAACAAGGGGGACTTAACCGAATTGTTTAAATTTTTCAATAGTATGGGCTTGAATGCTTACTTCACGTACACGGTACATTATTTTTCAATAACACATACACGGTATCGACTGTTTCGTCGCTTGCTTACCCGTTCATACATGCGTACATTCCTGTAGGTTGTTGGTTACCATGGCACCGGCAACATTTCATACAAGGTTGCCATGGGTGCAGTATTCATTGAAGGCTTTATCTTTCTACTCCTCACAATCTTGGGTGTCCGGCAATGGCTCGCACGTATCATTCCTATGAGTATAAAACTGGGCATGGGTGTAGGCATTGGTCTCTTTTTATGCTTTGTGGGCTTGCAAACCTCAGAAGGCATTGGTCTTGTGGCTCCAGATTCAGCAACACTTGTCACACTCGGTAAGATAATATATATGCTCTTTTACATGTGACCGGTTGAACAGTAAATGCTAATACCATGTCTTATTGTATAGGTGGTTGCCCTGCCGATATGAAAGATGAGACTGGCGCGTGTTTAGGGGGCACGATGGAATCACCGACTTTGTGGATGGGTAATTATCTGACATCACAGACTACTAAAAATTTACGAGTCAAAAAAACCTGTTTTAACAGATACAAAAATGCTGCTTATATAGGTATCTTGGGCTTGCTTGTGATGTCCATCTTGTTACTCTACCGTGTGCGAGGTGCCTTGTTGCTCGGTATCATCTTTATTGCCATTACCTCATGGCCTCGCGTTAGCGAAGTAACTCTTTTCCCATACACTCCTCAGGGTCAAAACATGTTTGACTACTTTAAGCAAGTTGTAAAACTTCAGCCTCTTGATCGGTAAAGTATTGCAAGATATAATGCTGTCAGATCATTTTATGAATGCTAACTCGTTTCTGCATAACAACAGGATCCTGGCCCAATTTGAATTTGATTTATCCACCGGTGACACCTGGGTCGCATTAATCACCTTTTTGGTATGAAAAAAGAAAAGACTTCCAGTGCTCTCTCGAACGTTTTGTACTGCCATCATATGCTAACAGCTCGTATATTTATGCAGTATGTCGATATCTTGGATACGACTGGCACATTGTACTCGATGGCTAAATATGGTGGCTACATGGATAAGCACGGCGATTTTGAACGCTCATCCATGGCATTCTTGACAGACGCCATTTCCATTATCGTTGGCGCTTGCTTCGGCTGCTCGCCTGTCACCGCTTACGTCGAGTCCGGTGCTGGTATTGCTGAAGGTGGCCGCACGGGTATCACGGCCATCACAATTGGTTTTGGCTTTTTTATCTCCATTTTCTTTTCGCCCATCTTTGCATCTTTCCCCCCTTGGGCTTGTGGCGGGTACGATATCCTTTTATTTTTTTTTTGCTCAAGTTTTTTGTCTCGAAAATAGTAAGTATTCTAAGCTAACATGCTACTTTAAATAATAGCGCGCTCGTCATTGTGGGCAGTATGATGACTTCAAGTGCACGCAACATCAACTGGGACTACCCTGGGGATTCTATTCCTGCTTTTATCACCATTGCCGTTATGCCATTCACTTATTCAATTGCTTATGGTGTCGTCGGCGGCGTTATCGCTTACATTGTCATTAACACGTTTGTATGGGTCATGGACAAGATTACGTTTGGAAGACTCAAGCCAGACTACTCGCAGCGTGAGCCCTATTGGGAAGTGATTCGTGGCCAGCCGTTCCTACCGATTTACATGCGCTACTTGATTGCCAAGATACGTGGAAAGCCGTTCAACTGGCATGAGGACGAGCATGAATTTAGTGATGACGAAGATAACGATGCTTCATCCAAATCCAGTAATAGCAATTTGAAGGACGATGAAGGCTATCCTGAAGTCGTTACCACCAACGGTGGTGCTGGTGGTCATCCAGCGCCCGAGATCCTCAATGAAAAGACTTCTGTTTAATATTATTTAATTAACTATAGTAGATCATACATCACCAATACGTCTATTTTCAACTCATATGATATATTTCTTTCATCACTAATATTCAATAAATGGAACTGCATGAAATTCACGCATCTTATCAACCTTTGCTAATGGGTAGTCCACTTTGTTGCTTGACAAAACATTGATTTTCACGGACGGCTGTGAGCGGATAATATAGCTACATAGCTGCATTGATCCACATACTGCCGAGTTTTCTGAAATGTAAAACGTTTGTTCCCTAATAATTAGCTGCTATGACCATAACGTATCGATGCTAACTAAAAAGTTGTAACGTACATTGAGTGGGAAGTAAGATAACTGGAACAAACAAATTGTTACTTATTCTTTGTTGGCGTAGTTGTCCAAATGATCTATACCCGCCAACTGCAAGTCGTAGCATGTATCGGGTAAATATTTGGAGTTCTGTCCGTGTCGCTGCTTTTTTCCCTCTCGACAACACTTGCCCCACAATTCTCCTCCTCCTCCCCCCATGAGTCCGATCCGGTCTGTCTCCGAGGCGATCAACGCCGTGTCTGCTGTAGTTTTTCTGTTTGGGTAATTCACTTGCACGATCGCTGCGTTCTATTGGTGGCAATAATATTCATTCTCTCCATGTGTACATGTATCCATTATTATATAGCATGGCAGGCACGCTGCAAGTAGTCCAAGTCTCTTCATTCCTGCTGAGACCATTTTCGGAACGATTACTTGTACGGATAAATTCGTCTCTCGTCGGCACCGTTTGGGGAATCATGCAGGTAAGAGAGAGAGAGAGAGAGAGAGTAAAAAGAGGCAGAGAGACGCTTTTTGACAGAAACGCCGTTTAATAAACTCTTAAAAAAATAGCATATATTTGAGGTAACACTGCCACTATACACACACCACTGCTTTTTTCAAGTAACGTCATATTAGGTAATGATGGTATGATGGTTAAAAACAAAGATCTATGTTATAGAAACGACAAAAAGCTCGTATTACTTTTTCTGGTGATGTGATCCCGCATAGCGAGTCTGCGATCGTCATAAGCAACCATCGGTCATGGACCGATTTCTATCTTTTGCATTCTGTTGCTATTCGCCGAAACATGCTTAGCAACTGTAAAGTAGGTTTGAGAGAAGGGAGACGAATGTCATTTAGTAGTTTTTGTATGAATTAATCGAGATTTGCTTAGTATTTTGTCAAGGATTCGCTCAAATGGGTAAGCGATCCCTATAAGGAAGAATGGATGTGCGCGTAGCATGTGGGACTAAAAACATTGACGTTCTTTGTTTTGTGTAGCTGCCGTTCTTTGGCTGGGGCATGTGGGTAAGTTCTTCAAATACATGGTTGTGACTAGGCAGTCGGATCTAATTTACTTCAAGTTGGCGGATTTTTTGTTTGTTCAAAGAGATTGGACGCGCGATCAGCGTAGGATCGAAGCTACCTTTTCCAACATCAAGCGGCTGGAGACTCCGGTGTGGATCATGAGTTTTGCCGAAGGCACACGCTTCACACATCAAAAATTAAAGGAGGTTGGTGTACAAAGAAGGCAAAACTTGCGTCGATTGTGGAATACACAAAACTGACAACGATGTTATAACGACGGCTGTTAGAGCCAAATATATGCAGCTCAGCAAGGTTACAGCATCATGCATAATGTCCTCTTGCCTCGCACACGCGGATTTGTGACCTGTGTCAATGCATTCAGAGGCTCTCATGTACAATATGTGTATGGTAAGTAGCTCGATATATGGACAACAGAAGGGTTGATGGACAAAAAAAACCCCCCAAAACAAGCAATTTAACCAAGTGTGTGTATTAGATTTCACGATTGCATATTGCCATCGACTCAAAGGGAATTTAGAAGAGTTCAATATTGCACCAGATATGGTACGCCTGCATGTACGAGAGCTGGGCGACGAGTATGACTTTCACGTCAACGTAAAACGGTTTGCTGTCAAGGACTTGCCTGACAACGATGAGCAGCTGGCTGCTTGGTTACGAAAACGTTATGTTGAAAAGGATCAGTTCCTATCGAAACTACGTCATGGATGGACAAAGAACCTGGATGAACGCGTATGGGAAGAAGAAATGTAAAAGAGAGAAAGAGAGAGAGAGAGCATCCCCGTAAGTTATTTTACCATAAAACATGTAACATAGAAATGCTATACCCCGCTCTGCAACAGATACAGTATCAATAAAGTTTACTAGTGTAGATAATGTAAGATAAACTACATAGTTCACTGGCTCCTGTTGGTTGTTGTTTGGATCATGTGCTGTTCTAAAATAAAAAAAAAATGTGGTGAGACCCCAGGGCAATCGACACCACCCGAGTCGCTCGGGAAAATCGAGCGCGGTTATCGAATGACTTTTTTTTTTCTTCTTCCCTAAAAACCGCCCTTTTTGGATTTGGAAATTCATGCGCTTTGTTTCTTTTTTACTGCTCCTTATATCCATCCTTCTCTACCACTACTACAGCACCTACTACTCAGACGACATGGGAAACGAGACCTTACCTATTCTTATTATTGGTGGCGGTTTGGCAGGATTATCTGCTACGGTCGAAGCAGCGACACTGGAACCTTCTGTTAAAGTCATTCTTGTAGACAAGGAAGCCAATATTGGGTAAAAAAAATAAACTTGGAGAGAAAGCCACATTGATCACTAATCGCCGGTTGATAATACAACAAAACGCAATTATATCAGTGGTAATTCTGCAAAAGCAACGTCTGGAATCAATGCCATGACCGAACCGGGCGATTCGCTTGACGCGTTCGAAAGAGATACCCTCGCGTCAGGCGGCGGGCTGTCCAATCCAGACCTCGTGCATAAGCTTGTGCATGAAAGCGAAGAAGCTCTGGCATGGCTCAAGTTGCAAGACCCGACCTTGGATCTGGGAGTTGTCTCTCAATGCGGTGGTCATACGCATCCACGTACCCATCGATGCCCTCCAGCACCGGATGGCAGACCTGTCCCAGTCGGGTTCCGGACCATCACTGCGTTGAAAGACCGAATCGCCCAGCTGAGCAACGTGCAAGTGTGGACCAGCACTCGTGTGGCCAATATCTATCCAGAGGAGAAACGCGTGCGACTTGTCAAGGAAGGAGAGACACTGGATTTGGATGTGTCTGCGGTCGTGCTCACAAGTGGGGGATTTGCAGGACAGACACAGGAGTTGCAGCAGCCCGAGGGGACCAAGACCTTACTAAGTGAATATGCACCCCAGCTTCTCAACACTGCCACGACGAATGGACCATGGGCCAACGGTGACGGTGTGCGGCTGGGTTTGGCTGCTGGTGCTGCGACAAAAGATATGGTAAAAAACAACAAGAATATCGCTGTCTTGGGAGCACTTCCGCTAACATGCGTGATGGGAAAATTTGCTCTTTAGGAACACATCCAAGTGCATCCAAGTGGTTTTGTGGACCCAAACAATCCAAATTCAGGCTCAAAGTTTCTGGCGCCCGAAGCTTTACGTGCTTACGGTGCAGTGATGCTGAATGCTGATGGACACCGGTTTGCAGACGAACTGTCCAGACGTGATGTGCTGACAAAGTCGATCTTTGAAGCCAACAGCCGTGGCAGGGGTCATTTACCGCCAGATTATGCCTCCTGTTATCTGGTGCTGACCGAGCCTATGATTGAGCAGTTTGGTAAAGCAACGGCCTCGTTTTACGCGAAAAAGGGCCTCTTTGTCCAGTGCAACGGATTGGACGAGGTGGCAGCATACATCCAAGTGGATCCAACACAGCTCAAGGACGAATTCACACGCTATGACATGCACGTTGTGGAGCGCAAAAATGATACCTCTGTCAAAGCAGCTCCGGATGCTTTTGGCAAAACTGTGTTTCCAAACCCCATCACTTCTGACGGTACCTATTGGGTCGGCATCATTACCCCATGTGTGCACTACACGATGGGTGGACTTGCTATCAACAGCGAAGCCGCTGTGATGTCCTCTAAAACTAACAATCCCATACCAGGTATGTGAAGGGGTATCTTTTGTGTGTTTAATACTACGTTTCGACTAAGAACGATTCCTTCCACAAGGTCTCTTTGCTGCTGGTGAAGTAACGAGCGGCGTTCATGGCCGTAACAGATTGGCTGGAAACTCGCTTTTGGAATGTGTGGTTTATGGAAGAACAGCTGGCCGTAGTGCTTCTTTATATGCTAGTGAAAATTAAAAGAATAAAATACATGATTATCTACGCTAAGTATGTGAATATTATATACAATTGTTCTTGAATCGGTGGCTCCATGTACAGTTAAGAAGGTGGTGGTGGTGGTGGTGGTTGGGATACTCGACGAGACGACCGTAATAATTCGCCAAATGCATTCGGATCGGTGAAGAATGTCGAAAACAGCTGCTTTTTTCTTGGAAACTTATCATCAACCTTGGTAGCCTATATACACAATTTGTCAATAATCATTGATAATATGTGACACTGCGAGTTGAAATACTTTACGTTTTCCAAATCAGCTAAAGTGTCCTCCAATTCTTGGGTGCGAAGTTCAAGATCACTTTGGAGTTCCGTGTACGACTTTATACATATATATATACAAATAAATAGATTGAGTTAGAATCGATATATCGCACATGGAAGAAAAAGACCTCACGTACCGATGGCATCATGTTCAGGTTGTCCCGCGTATGAGAATGCTCGTATAAGCTATCCATTAACCCTTCTTTGGACTCATCGCTAAAATTGAATCAATGATCAGTTTCTTTCCTTCAGGCCACCAAAAAAAATTATTCGTTCTACTTACAGAGCACAAGCAGCGTCTAAAGTAGAGTTAAAATTGTTTGACCACTGTTCTGTCCATTTCTTCTCGTAATGCAATATTGCGTTGAGCTTGGTAAGTATAGAAGAGCCTTGGAACGATCTCCTTCGTAATCCTGGTAAAGAGTCGAGTTTCGCTATCATTGGAGAAATGGTGTTGTTAATATCAAAAAGATAATAAGTTGCACCATATCGTAACCGCTGATCTTGGACAAAAAAAAAGAGAGAGAAAAGGCTACCTTGACATAGCAGATCGTCGATCTGAGCAATGATAATTTCATCCCGCAGCTGGGCATCAGAGGAAAGGGATGGTTTTCGTTTGTCCATAGAGATTGATGATTGCAGTTGCTTGTAATTGTCATTTTCTTCAGCAGCTTCACTCGACAAGGCATCCAAAACACTGATACGTTGTTGATGGTAGTGATTGTCGACTTGGTATGCGTAGCTAACAAGCTTTTGCATAGCTCGTTGTTGCTTTAAAGTATCCAGCAGCTGTGAAGATTGTTCCCCCCAAATGCAATGTAAGCATTATACACATATCCATTAACACCTATTCACCAATGACGTGACTTACAACATCGAGATTTGCTGAGTAATGTTGTAGCAGCTCGTAGTCATCACTCGTTTTGGCAATAGTCAATGGTGTTCTGATGGTTGCATCAGCGAGTTTTGACAATAACGGCTCAATATCTCGGTGTTGTATCCTCCGCTGCTCTTCTGCTTCCTTTTTGATAGTGTCCCCAAATCCCTCAATGCTGGATCTAGTCACATAAAAGCGAAGAATGCGCGTTGATAAGTAGCGACATCCATGGAAACAAGTGGATTTCAGATAACATGTGCATATACGTACTTGAGTATCGGGATAACTTGCGGAAGGCCTTTCAGTTTCTTCAGATCCCTTTCAAGACTCTGAACTCGCGCTTCTAATCCTTTCTGCTGTGCTTTGGTTTTGATGTGGGACAGTTCATTGCGCATATAACTAAAAAATGCAGAGGTTAACTATTTGAAGCAAACATTTTTCAACTGCTTAAATATACCGACATACTCTGCTACCAAATTCTCAATAGCATCGCCTGCATCATTCGTTGCATTATTATTAGCTTCCAGGAACGGCAATTGATCGCGTAATTTTGAAAGTGCGTGGCTCAAGTTGTCGTAGAGGCGTTTATCAACACTCAAGTAGTCGTTGAAACCATGTGTATCACCGCAAAGAGATGGCTGTTCTGTGTCTAAGAACAATTATTTGAACCGAGTGGACCTGAACAACTTGTTGAATTGCATGAAAAAATTTACCATGATCCTCCGCAAAGATCTTTCGCGCGAGTTCTAGTGTTGCAAAGAGCGATCTGTCGTATTCGATACTTTGACGATCCATTCGGCAGTTTTCATCACTGAGTTCCTGGTCAACGTCAAGCAACGAAGTTTTTAATGCGGCGAGTTTGGCTTCTAACGTCGTACACGTTTTACTTGAAGAAAAGAAAAAGAGGGGTGAATACGTTGGTATTTCAGGGCTCATTTACACGAGTTCATCAGTGTTTTCCTTGTTGCTGTTGTTCTTACGGACAGCACTTGTGCATACTTTAGCTGCTCATTCTGTGTATCCAGGATTATGGCAAGTTTTGCAAACTCGTTGGGTGGTTCCGGTCTATTTTACACATACAGTGTTGAGTTTTTTTTCTTTTTCCAACCGAAACAATCAGGAACATTGGCAAAGTATAAAGCGAGTTATATACCGTGTCGATGAGGAAGCCTCTCTTTCCCACTCATCCTCAAAATCGTCCAGCTTACGCTTAGTCTCGGAATCAGATCGTGGGTTGAGCATACCGCGTCTTACAATAAAATAGGGTTCAACAAAGAAAGAGAGAACGCGCGCTTTTTCTCAACACGAACCCCGCACCACTTTTTTTTTCTTTGTGGTGCCATATTGTATAGAAACGCACATGGACGAAAGGCAACAAGATTCACAAGTGCTTGGAAAAAGAGCACAAAAACTGAATGCGCTCAACAATAGAATGGTCAACACAGTAGTGGAATCACTTAGGTAACAATTATCTTACCTACTATGAATAAAAAGCAGACTACTCTATTAACACTTTTGAAACGTTTTACCCATAAAGCCAAGAATTTAAACAATGCTTTGAACCAATTGCTGATGGTCACGAACAAGAGCTGGAATCTTCGCATGATCAAATTGTCATGTATTGCAGCTCGCATCTGTGGGTAAGAGCCTTTCTTTTTCCCATAATAATATTACCGATGGTTCTTTTAGTTTCAGTTTATGCGCGTGCTAATATTTCTGTCTTCTCGATAGAAACAATTCGACATGATTGCAACTGACACACAGTTAATCGACAAACTCAACAAAATGGAAGAAGATATTCGACAGCAGAAAGAAAATCCAAGCGCAAAAGCTCAACCAAGGTATGTCAAAACCAGTACAATTTTATTTGTGGCGAATATGAGTTTGGCCTAATATGGTGTACTATACTACAGAGTCGTTCCAGAGCCAGACCAAGTCATTCGATCATTACGCGTCAAACTAAAGATGGAAGCGCTAGCAAAACTGCGTGAAGATGAAGCAAAGGTTTGTCGCGATATTGTTACGGGTTGGTTCGCTTGCAATGCATATGTGTGTATATTAAACACACAACATACTTAGTTACGAGTGGAAAATGAGCGGCTGATGAGCGAGATAGCTGCAAAGACAGAAACACTTGAAAAAAAGAGGACTGATGTGAATACCACGCTGAAACAATATCATGAGGTAAAACGCAAAGGGATTGATCGCATATGTATGTATATTAGCTGTCTTCATACAGTACTGAAGTCGTTTTTCGCAGATTATGGGGGTTGCAAGATCTATACCAGTGGAGGAATTGGAGGCAGTCGTCGATCAGATATCCTAATTAATTCCCTTTGTGCTCTTTTTCGTTCACCCCTAATTTATCCATATGTAAATATTTCCATCCTATCATAATCCTTGCATGCACACCGTAAATCATATATGTTTATTGTTCAAACTCTATATATAATGGATACAATTTTCTATTAACCTCATCATCTCGCCATGACTGGGTAAGGCACAACAACGTTCTGCATCTGTCTGGATTGATTGTGGATATAAACTACGAAAAAGTCGCCACAAAGCATCATACTTTTGTTGTCATGTCCGAATCAATACCATGAACGTGAACCACCATGCCAGTGCTGTGTTTTTGCATATGGCACGTTAATTCATTCTCAGACAAACCAAAAAGTAAGCGAGTCACCCAATCGCATGATGAAAGAAAGAGATTTTTCTTTGTGCTGTCCTCTTTCTTCTTGACAAGTGCTTGCAAGGGACCATGGAGACACCCATTGAAGTTCTGCGGATCGAACACAGCGCCATATCCAAAGAGCTGAGTCGCTTCAGAGCCTGCGACAGCGAAACCCGATGCTTCTACTGCCGCGAATGGTCACAATACGTCTACAAGAAGCATTTCGTGTGGAGCGCCAAAACGCAGGAAGATGTCAGCCAAGATGATCCTGAGAAGCTCTTGGCCGGCAGATATCAAGTAAACCTGCTCAATGGAACAACGCCGGCAAAACAAAAGGAACGATCGCCCAAATTATCAGAACGATTCGAAAAACTCCTGGAAACACAATCGGAATCCAGCAGCGATGCAACATTGACCGAGGACATCATTTCAGCGTGTGCACTGTGGCAGACTTTGCCTAGCAGCCTATCCGGCCTACCGTCGATATTCGAATCGGTTCAATTCAATCCGTATCCAGACGCTATACCCTTAGCCGACGACCCCAAAGAGCCAGCACACTTGCTCGATCCACTCATCATCGAGCGCCAAACGCTGTGCTTGCCTGCAGAAGGTTTTCACTTGTTGAAAAATCTCACGGGTGATATTTTAATGTCACATACTCAACCAACATGCAACCATACACGGCCCGAGTCGCGCTCACCAGCGGATCTCGAGATTGATCGGACGATATACAACGAAAAGCTGGATCAGGTGACAAAGGGAGCCATGAAGGATCTGGAGCACGCATTAGATCATTCGTGGCGACACCTCACCGAGTTCTTGCAACGGCTGTTAGAGTTGGAAAAGGAGCGCAATATCCTGATGGGAAGACGGTCGAAAGACAGCGTGGATCAATTTGCAGAAAAGCAAAAGATGCCGACGTTTCAGGACTATTGGGAGGAAAAGACGACCGAGTTTAAAAAGAAAAAGATGGATGTCAAGACAGTGGATACGGCATTGACGACGTACTTTGATCGCCTCTCGCACTGTGCAGAAGAGTTCCAGACCGATTTTGCCATCACGCGTCTGGCAGCGTTGCGTCGACTTATACAGAAGCTGTGGGATCTGGTTGTACCGACGATCCAAAAGATGGCCGATCGCATGGCGTCGCACGAACAGCAGGACGAGCGTCACATGGAAAACTGCAAAGCAGTTTCGGCATCCCTCCGTGGATTGCATCCAGCCGATGACGTTGATGTGGCAGTGAAGCGGATACAGAGCGAGATGGATGGCCGCGTCAAGGAATTCAAGCAGGACATTGCAGCGGTTCTACACATGTACAAAGAGGAGACGAAAACGAGTGTGTCTGCCAGATTGGACAAGGTGGCCCAAAAGGATTTCAAGCGCAAGCTGAAACGGGCAGAGAATGGATACCACTCGTTACGTCAATATTTCAAATACGAGGTGACGCAAAAGATATTTCCAGAGCCACTTTTTTGCAAATTCTGTCTCGTATGCATCGAAGCATTGATGCAGGAAGGCGAGGTGATGGAGGCTGTAACGATCGAAAAGGAGGTGAAACGGTTTTTAGAGTCTCACAAGGATCTGGTGCGGCAACGGCAGCAGCTGTTGAATGAGTTTGAAGATGGCGTGCAAGTAGGGCGTCGCGAGCTTGCCGGTGTGCTTGGTAAGCTTTTCCTAAAGGAAGGAATGCGGATACAGGGTGAAAACCTCGCGTTGAAGCGGCAAAACTCGCTGCTGAAATCAATTGGCATGAGTGGCCAGACGGAAGGGTCGCCAGCACCGACGACGCCCTCTAATAAAAAGAAGAAGAACAAAAAGAAGAAGAAAAAGGCAGCGGCAACGAGTGCAACATCTAGTACTGTTGGTGTCAGTGACACCGCATCGGTATCTGCGAACGAAAGCAGTAGAGCACCTTCTGCGTGCTCCTCACCCAGACCGCCAGCCCAAGCACCAATTGACGATGATAGCAGTAATGTAAATGTCGATACACTGGCACCGCCCGTTGAAGTTGATCAACCACCATCACCAAAGATCGACGACAAACCAAAATCACCCGAACTATCGAAGCAGCAACCCGCAGCCCCTGAGCTGCCTTCTGCGAAGCAACAACAAAAGCAGCAACAAAAGAAAAAGAAACAACCCACTGCCGCGCAACCAAAGAAGGCCAGCGACAAGGTTTCTTCTAAACCTGCCACTGAAGCAACCAAAGCGCCGGTCGCAACCCATGCACAAAGTGCAGCAGCATCCGAGGTATCACAACCCAAAATAAAAGCAACTAAAGAACCACAGCCTCCGCAAGAAGCCATGGACATCAGTCGCAAAGCTACACCATCGCCTGAAAAATCACCGGTCAATCCTGTAGCAGCCGAAGCAGAGGCCGGCAATCTGCTTGGTCCTGTCAATGACGACGTAGACGAAACAAAGTCGGAGAGCGTGCAGTCAGAAGACGCGACGATAACAGAACCAATGTTAAGCGAGCCGGTACAGCCTGCACCAGCAAACGCGTCGATCAAAAGCGCTGTCGATTCACCAAAAGCAACGGCAGACAACGGCGGATGGAACAATGCAAGCACGCCGGGCACGTTTACGCCACCTGGCATAGCTGGAGGATCATCACCATCACTCAACCTCAATGGCAATCGATCTTGGAGCCCAATGAGTCGAGAAGGAAGCGGCAACAGTTGGAACGTCAACAAGCCTCTGCTCTCAACAACAACGACAACGTCGACTGGATGGGGTCCAGGGCTCGGCGGTGGATGGGATACCCCGAAATCCAACGGTGGTGGTAGACCTGGATGGCTTGACAATGGAACGCCGTTAGCAGACAATCATTGGCTTCAACCACAGCAACAGCGGCCACCTGGATTGGCAGCAGCAGCAGCAGCAGCAGCAGCAGCAGAACAACAACAACAGCCAAAAATGTACCAACAGATACCTGTACCTGACGAGGTCCGCGACTTGAGTCCGGACAATTTGATTGCACTCGTGCACAATCTGCATCAAGAGAATGGGCAGCTTGTACACGCAATGAATTCAATGCGACAAGAGATGGCGTTAATGACTCGACAGTACACGGACATGATGACGTTGTCAAGAGAGCGCGAGGAGCAATTGACGCAAATTTTTGAGGCACGAAGACGGACGGATATGGAGGAATCACGACGACACTTTGCCGGATTAGAATCCAAAATTAACAATCTGCAGCTACAACAACAGCAGCAGCAGCAGCATGAACAACCCTCTCTGTTATCACCCATCAAGACATCGTCGGCCGCGCCAGGTGCTGGTATCATGGCTGGCTTTGGAAACCAGGACCTGTTTGCAGGCTACCGCGAAGAAATGCGCTCAAACCATCACCACAACCGAAAACTGTGGCAGAAATCTGTCCGTGTTCGTTGCGGCAATTGTGGTGGAACTGGCCATTCCAGCTCGGAATGCAAGGTAAGGAATAGAAAAGGTGACAGTGTGTGTATATATGTGTCTCCTTGGACTAAACGGCCCTTTATATTGTCATCAACAACAGGATTCATGCCGTTATTGTGGTGCAAGCGATCATTTGTCCGAAGCCTGTCAGTTCAGCTAACCTGAAAAATAACTTCTTCTCCTCCTCCTCATCCCCTTGCCCCAACCCCCACCTTTTTGCACACACATTTACTTATCGCCACCATCGCTACAACTACTAACTATTTACCACACACACACACACACACACTACCATCACTCATATTGTATATTGCATTGTGTTTTTGTTCTTTCTTTCTTCCTCTCCACTTGTACATCGTCATCGTCCCTAGCATCCATTCCCCTTTTTCCCCTCTGGAAACCATCTTTTGTATGTGCTTTTCGCTGAGTTTTCTTATCGTAATAACAACTCTCATTATGCATACCTCCTATATGTACCCAAGAAGCAGGTCAAGAGTTCATTGACTCATGTTTAGGCGAACCTCACTGTCCCAAATCGAGATAGCCACCTGTAATGATCTTGTTTTTTTTTTAAAAAAGAAAACTGACTCGTTTGCTATAAACTGTCAACAAACATTTGCAATGGAAACCTGATACATAGCCAAGAGTCAGTGCGCGTACATACATAACCAAGGACTACTGATTAGCTAATTTACTACCAATGGGCCAGGGTTTGCGCGCTAAAGGCTAAAAGGAATAGCTAAAAAGCGCATTTAGCAAATAAGCTTTTTTGGTTTTCTGGACAAGCGGAATGGGAAAATAGTCTCAGCTTTTGTTTTTCTTGGGAAGGGGAAAAGTGGGCTAATTAAATACGACGCTTTATTTCGTGGGGTGTGCTGTCTTTCTCTTTCTCTTTCGGCTTGCGGGGCGTGCGCAATATGGAATGTTCCATCAGCACAAAGAGGGGGGTTGGCATGGAAAAACAGTTGACCAAGCCCCCCACCCCCAAATTGGGTTAAAGCCTATTAACCACGGATATACTTTCTTTCTGTTTCCATCCCCTCGTGGCAGCAGCTGCCATGAAACAAACAAGCCCTGTGGCCATGCTTTTTTTTTGTGTTCCACAGGTTATAGGTGCGTTATGGATGAATCGGCTTGATAAGATAGCGCACACCAGCCTCTATTGTTCTTTTGCACCGTGAAACTGTTTGCTGGAGCTAATCAAGAAGCCCCTCTTTTCGCTGACCCATTGTATTTGTCGGCGTGTCCGCGGCGCGCTCGGTTCCCGATGATGCGGGAGATGAAATTGATACTACAGAAAAAGTGCATGGTGTGATGCATAACCCACCTTTATTATACCAAATACAAAAGCAAGATCATGTCGTCATAGCTGTAGAGTCTGTAATCACAATTGCCTAGGCTTTGGACGTGCTCTATATAACCTTCACGATGCTGCATCCAGTGAGTGACCTTACCGAGATAGCATTTCAAAGTCCGTATCTACGGGGGCGCTGTTAAAGAAGTACTCTGGATCAAATGACTCTGAGACAAATAACGTGTCAACCGGCTACAATGATAGTAACCACGGGGTGGCTGTCCCACAACCACCCAGTCGCCCAACCCCATGCAAAGAAATGCCCTTGATTGTTCTCTGGGTGTGTCATGGCACAAGATCATGTTAATACTGCGATTGCGGAAACCGATGGCACGGTACAAGTTATTTCAGCGGGGGGGCGGTCCTCGGTCAGTGTTCTGGATATGATAGTGCGAGGACAAGACTGCATGCTGCGGGCAACAGGATGACAATGCAAACGACATAAACTCTCTTTCAGCAGCAGCAGCCAAGACAAAATTTCTCTTTGAATTTGGTAGGAGTTTGTGTTCGCTTGCTTCTTCGGGTGACACAATCAACGGAAGAAGAACAAGCATGAAAAATAAGAGAGAGAGAGAGAGATTCTGAGGTCTAAAATTAACTTTCGCTCTCTTTGAGTGTGCCTTTTGTCTCTCTTTCCCTTCCGCCGAAAAAAAACTGTAATAGTAGCAACAACAACCTGCCCCCTTTTGTCTCGTTCTTCTCTCTCTTCTTCTTCTTCTTCTTCTTCTTCCTCCATCTCCTCCTCCATCTCCTCCTCCTCCTCCGCTCTCTCTCTCTCTTTCTCTTTCTCTCCCTGCTCTGTTTCTTTTTCTCCAATGGAGTCTAATTATTCGGGGCACGCTCCCCTGGGACGGAACCTGGGTGACCTACGTCGCTATGCCGACGACCCATACCGTGCGGCTCGAAGAGGTGACAGTGGCACAGGTAAGAAATGAAAAAAATCGAGTCAATTACTCTAAAAAAAACTAACCTACTTGTGTGTGTGTGCGTTTCACTACCAGATTTCGACGACATTTTATCACTCAGCCCCGGATCCGACATTGCTCATTCTCGATCAGCATCCGATAGCAGCACTCGAAAACTCACGGGCTCGCCCGCGCCGGTCCCGTTACGAGACTATTACGAAGACGACCCTTACGCACGACAGGCAAACAATGAAACGAAACGCAACAGCAAAGCAGGCTATCTCGAGCGGATAGCGGAGCGCGCAAACTCATACCTCCCGTACTCACACCACCAACGAGACCCGAACGCACCGGTGGCACCCATCTACATTGAAGACACGACCTCGGTAGTAGCAGACAAAGATCGGACAATATCACTGCAGCCGGAACTCATGCTGGCAAACAACAACAACAATAACAACAACAACAATTCAGCAGAACGCGTTATTGGCGGAACAGCCGCAGAAGCGGACCAATTGGAGTTTTCGAGGAAAAAAAAGAAGCGGCGGCGTTGGTGTGGCATGCGCAAGCGAATCGTAGCGCTGCTGGTACTCCTGCTCTGCACAGTGGTGGCCCTCATCTGGTATTTTGTTTGGCCGCGTGTCCCGCAATTGACCTTTCTGGAAGTCGATGCGCCAGCGTATGACTATGTCAACAGCAACGGTACCCAGCAGGACTACTTTAATGCCTCGTGGGTGCTCAATATGACCGCTGATAATACCGCTAATTGGATACCGACGCATATCCGGGACATGGCCGTCACTGTCGTCTACCGTGACACCAGCGAGCCGTTTGGCCACGGCAATTCGGGTAGTCTCCAGCTTTTCCCAAGAACACTTCAAAACGTCGAGATTCCCATCAGTATCCGCTACACCGCCAACACGGAGGACCCCACCTACGTTGCCCTCTCCAATGCATGCGGCCCTCGTTCGTCCACCTCCGGCTTCATTGTGCCAACCAACACCTTCAACATCAATTTCCTTGTGCAGATATCCATCGATGGAATCGCTTGGTCAAACTCGCGAAACATCTCTGTACCACCAGGCTTCTCATGTCCCCTTCCCCACGATTAATTTCTTTCTCCCAACTTCTTGCATGATACCCCAATCACACTCATTTATTTACTATACAAATCACTCACAGCACTGCACATTTCTATCCTAATACACACATATATATACATACTCCGCATCACACTTGTTTCTTTGCACCCCCCCACCCCTTATTTTGCGTCATTGTACACTAATTCCTCTCCAATAAACTCTTCCATCCAATTTGCATCCATCACAGTAATAAGCGTACTACCAGATCTCGTGTGTCTGTGTCACCTACCAATATGCACAATGAGAATGTCAATGTTACAGAGGTCTTGTTCTGTCGTTGTTTCGGTGATACCCAATTGTTGCTTTGACAACTTGCAAACTGCCTTACAACAAAGGACCTGTTGATACTGCAATTGCATTTACAGCGACATTGAAATGCACACCGGCTGTCTCTTTTTGGTATCATTGTATATATCTCCGCTTGCTAGCATGACAAGATTCCCGTCAAATCCATGCATGTCAGTCATGAAACGCGGCGTAAAAACCGCTTATCCCAGGAAAAAGAAGAGGGCATCGTTTACCACAAGGTGATCTGGGCTTCATAACTGTAGAATCTATGTTCTCATAACACCCTCCCCCCAAAAGCTCAAGAATATCTAGGCAGTCTTGAAGCAATAGTGTAACGAACTGGGTGTTCTCCCACACATTTGAGCAAGACAACTTCCTGATCTATTCATAGAGCACTCGTATATCGCATCTATCACAGTTAAAAGTAGCAAGGAACTCGATTTAGAAAGCAAAAGAGTACACATAGACAAAGACCTCAAGTACGATTGAATTCAGGCCATTTCTTTACTCCAACGAATCAAAAAGGAGTCCTCATCAGCTACTACTGTAAGTTTTGCTGGCATTTGCAGCTGCTGCGTGATGTTGCCGTCGTTTGTACAATTATTGTGGAGCAATAGCAGAAAAAACTCAAGTTATATACATAACCAGGAATAAACAGCCTCGTTCTACTCTTTTGTGCACGTTGAGCTCCAACCCCTCCTTCTTACATCTAATATGCCTGAGCTACATTCGCTCAAGTACACCTGCTGCTCTCTCTCTCTCTCTCTCTCTCTGAAGGCAACCCGTACTTTGATCCCAGCACTTGAGTATCTGAGGCCAATATTAACTCTGGTTACCAAGTGATGGTAGAAGGAGCACAGTGCTTAAAATCCATTTTGTTTCAAATCGCCAAACCTGACAAAACTTTACTATTTTCAATACAAGATATTTGGCAATATGCTATTTTGTCAAAGTTGGTATCAATAGATTTAAAGGAAACATTCGATCTCGTTCATGAAGGCTTTATCTCCCGATCGCTGCTATTGAACCCATATATGGTAGCGGTTTTACGCGTCGTGTAATATACTCTTGATATGCACAACAGGGCCAATTAACAATCCTCGTGGGAAGACCGAGATTCGTGTAAGGAAGAGATTGTCAATGACAACTCCTGTTGTAGCTTTGTAGGCACATCAGCAGCGGCAGCATGATGGTAGCGCAGTCATTTTTTTCTATAAAACGTAATCTTTGCATGGCCAACTTATTGAACTATGGTGAGCATCTAGCGTGTGATGGAAATAACGAATAGCCGTTGCTCACTGTGGACTGCTAAATAGAAAATGCATAAATCTCAACCATACATTATCAAAAGCCCCCTATATATTTGTAGAAGCAGCAAGCTATCGTAATGTACTCATTGGTGATGGAAAATAGTAGAACAACTTTATATTAGTAAACTATTGAGTGGGAAGGACATTAGCACCGCTAATTAGTCGCTACTGTATACAGCACATACCAAGGCAAACGAGGCTTCATGTATAAAACAAAAAAAGGCGCGCGCTTGCCGTATTTGGCATAATTGTAACACACATTCATTTGTCAGAAAACAATAGCGAAAACAAAACTTTTGAAGTTCTTTAATGGCAGGGCGACCTCTACAACTCGCGAAAAAGAAAAAATTCTTTACCGAATTACCGAATTTTAAGATTCTTACACGACCTCAAGACGATGCACGATCTGAGGTAACCGTTTACGTCAAAGGTACAGAAAAAAAAAGTTCTAGACATTTCTAAAAAATAAAAACAACACACTGAAAATGAGACGTGCCATGAAGGCTTTCTTGCAGAGGGCGATTCGCCCGATCGATTTGAAGATTGGATGCATTCGCATCGTTTATTAGCACTCAGTCCGAAACATAAATGGGGACCAGCGGCACTGGGGTAAGGGTTCTAATTCCTTATTGATAGACCTCGTGTAGCTATAAAGGTGCGTTCCGAATAAGTAAGAAAGCTAATTATCACGGGAAGGTATTCTTGGCCTTCAGGGTCGCCACTGTCGCAAATTCCGATGCCGTTGGCGAGCCTGGGTTCCGCGGCATACCTTTTGGGTCGCAATTGGCAACGACTGAGTCGTCTTCGTCTACCCACGCCTGCTTCGATCGTGGGTGCCGTTGCCGTGGACGCTGGTCTCCATGCAGCGCGCCTTGCCTATCAATTCTCCACGGCAACACGTGAAAGTCACGAACGTGCAGAAATGCTTGCCTGGCGATTGCTCGATCTAAGACGAAAGCACGACACGCTCCGAGTCGTCGGCCATTCGCTAGGCTGCCGTCATATTGTCGAAGCATGTTCATTAATGCACCATGAAGAGCGGTAAAATAAAAATAAAAAAAATTCATCTCGTCACTAAACATTTTTGTTCTGATTCGCTCTGGCTTGTATGATATGATATGATCTTTAGACCCGACGCCATTCATCTCTGCGCTCCAGCGCTCGTAGCGTCTGATATTGCACAGCTTATTCAACCAGGCACAGGTGGTTTGGGGCGGAGCAAGACTGTCATCTATTACTCACACAAGGACGTTACACTTGGGATACTCCTGCGAGCTATACTTGGAGGTGATCAGGCCGTGGGCGAAATCGGACTACCGGGCGGGGAGCTGGACGCAAGTGTCAAGCTGATAGATGCTAGTAACTCGCTGGGAGGATACTATGTACGGGCACACACGGACTATGCGCACAAGTTCCACTACTTTGCGCATGCACCCACACAAATCAGAAAGATTACTATATAATGCAATTATAACGGCTTTGTTTATTCAGCGACAGCAAAACCAATCGGATACAAGAAATATAAGCGAGGTGTTTCAAATTCGAGTTCCAACGAAATTCGCTTTCCTTTTCTCTTTATTTTTAGTTCCGCTTTTTCCTCTATTTTTCTACTTTTGAACAAATATTTTATTTTGGTTGCAATCCGCTATTACGATTTAATCATAAACACACACTCACACACACACGCATATAGCATATAGCACATACCAAATAAAACATGATGGTCAATAACATTCGGGGGAGGCCTGGCCAGCTGCAGATCAATGTAGTCGAAGATGCAGTCCTGCTGCATGGTCAGGCCGACGAATCTGCAGGGAAGTTGCTGCAAGGCAGCGTTACACTGGATCTGGCCGAACCGATGAAGGTGCGTGCCGTCCATCTCAAGTTCTCTGGCAAAATGAATGTGTCCTGGTCTGAAGGTAATTTTATCATTGCAATTGCATATGTGTAAAAGGTAAAAAGGGACTTTTTTTTTCTAAAAAAAAAAAAAATATGGGTAACTTTTGGCAGGCATCGGGCACCATCAGCACTACCACAAGCAGGAGCGAACCCTTATTTCCCACAAATGGCAATACGTTCCCTTAACCGAGTCGCCTGTCAAAAAAACGTATACCCTTGCCGCTGGTCAGCATAAATGGTTTTTCGAACTGCCATTACCGGGTCATCTTCCTCAATCGCTCGAAGCCGAGGGTGGCCGAGTCTCTTACCGACTGAAAGCAGTCGTCGAGCGTCCGACATTCATTCACAACATAATCAAGAAACGACCGATACGCATAGTCCGGTGCATTTTGCCCTCCGAATTCCAGCTTTCTCAAACACTCGAGATCCACAATACCTGGAGCGACAAGATGGAGTATGCGATTACGCTTCCTTCCAAGATTTATGCGCATGGCGAAACGATTCCCATTTCCTTTGATATCCGGCCCATTGCCACGAATCTCCGAGTACGGTCACTGTCGGGCACTCTGAAAGAATACTGCACGTACACAACAAGCGAACGGTCCAAGACGGATACACGCGTGGTGCGCACAGAGCGGCAGGACCGCCCGTTTGCATCGATGGCGTTGGGCCAAGGCCTTGAATGGAAAAGGCTGGTGCGTGTCCATGTGCCGGATCGATCTCCTTTTATCTTTTGCGACGCCGATAATGACATGATCCGCATCCGACATAAACTAAAGTTTGTCATTTCGCTGGAAAATGCCGACGGCCATACGAGTGAACTGCGCTGCAGTGTTCCAATCATTGTGATTGACACGTTTGTGCAACGTAGCGAGGGAAATGCGCTGCCTGCCTATGACGAAACGTGGCGTTCTGTGCCCTATGATCGAGCTGTTTGGGATGTTCTGCGTACACGGACCTCTTCCGTCTCTGCCGAAGGTTCTGCCAATGCTTTGTCTTCTTCGTCTGCCACTGCCTCTCATGGCATTGGTGTCGCTAGCTCGTCTGCAGCGGCAGTTGTGCAGCAGGAGCGCCAGCCGATCACCATTGCAAGCCGTACTCGAGCATTGTCCATTACTTCAACCACAAAAGCAGGCTTACATGATGATCACAACAGCAATAGCAACTCCACAGCGGAGGAGAACAGCGGTTTTGGTTACCAACCACGATCTGTGGAGAGCTCGAATGGCTTATGGTGGCATGGCATGGAACTGTCAAGAGTGCCCTCCTATCAGACTGCAGCTCAGCAGGAACCTGCAGCGCTGTCTTCATCCCTGCCTCCGTATGATTCATTATCCGTCTCCCCTCGATGGACCCGATGATTTATCAGACTACTAATAGTTACTCGTGTATTATAATGCACGAATGCAACAACAAGACGTACCCTTTATCCCAAAACATCATGTATACAGATCCACCCCTATTCTCTGTAGTTATATTCCATATAATATCTCTTTCCCACCATTTCCCTATCCGTGTTTTTTTTAACTTGTAATATTACTGTCACTACCACCACCGCAAAGAATACAGACCTGTCTATATCCTATATTTAAATTACATGATGCAAAAGTTACACATGGTGAAAGTACGTTTACGTGAGAAATAACCGTTTTCGGATGAATTGTTTAACCCACCTAATGAATATAAAAAAACTTAATAAGATTTTTTTCCATGCTACCACTACTGTTCAATCCGTTGTCATGCCACGACTCATTCCTACATTATCGCGATCCATTCCAGTCCACCCTGCTACCGATGGCTACAAGACTCAAAAACTTGCCGTAGAAAAACATGTCTTTCCAGCTCCCAAACCAGCAACCCAAAAATATGCTTTCATGTGGTCCCACTCGAACGGCTTTAACAAAGAGACGCTTCATCCCGCCATGAGAAACTTTGCGAATCACTTGAGAAGTCAGGCCAAGTTTGACCACACTGATATTGACTTTGTTGCTTGGGAGGCTCGTAACCATGGTGATTCTGCCAGAATGAACCAAGGCACTTTTATTGAACGGTGTAAGTTGATAGTGATCAATAATTCAGCATTCGCCCCCGCAACTCGGATATGCACCTTGATTCATGGGTTGTGCATACACCCAATTTGGGTTGATACATATTCACTGATGGGCGGGTTATTTAGATTCGTGGTTCGATAACGTCATGGATACCAAGCAAGTCATTGATAAGATGGAGTTGAAGAAGGGTTATGACAAGTTCTTTGGTGTAGGCCATAGCTTCGGTGCTACGTCCATGTAAGTTCCCCCTCCTTCTCAAGGATGGTCTTCCTACTATATGTACATACGAATGCTAATATTGTTTGATGATACTCAAATCAATCTCGACTAGGCTTGTGTGTGAGTTCTTTTTCCCCAAGACGTTTGATGGTTTGTGTCTGATTGAGCCAGTCATTGGTGATAACATTGACGACGTGGAAATTCGTGCACAATATCCTACCATGGCATCCAAAAACCGCCGGGATACCTGGGCTAGTCGGTAATGCAATTTGTTGTTGAAGAAAAAGAAAAACAGAGGGAACACGCAGGGATAGGCGAATTAAATTAACGTATGATATGCATATCCGATGTTGTGCAGAGAGGAATGCTTCAAAAAGCTTGCACCACGACCATTCTGGAAACAGTTTGATCCAGAAGTCTTGGATCTTTATATCGTAAGTCCCTGTTTGTACGAGTTGACCTGGGGAAGAAGGAACTATGGCTTACATTCAATACTTTCCTTTAAGGATTATGGCATGTATGAAACTCCTGAGGGTACCATCACGCTAAAGTGTCCCAAAGCGCAAGAATTCGTAAGTTGTTAGAGAGGATGGTTGTCAAGGAGATAAAAAGTGGTTGCTGTGAGCCAATTTGAGGAAATAACTCATGCCTATGACGATTCTGCAGCACAATTTTGATATCCAATCCTATGCCCGAACGACGGGTTACCGCTCCCTCCCGACTCTCTCGATTCCTGTCCATATGATTTTCGCTTTGGGATCGCCTTTGTAAGTGATCTAGTGGAACAGACACTCTCTGCATATCTTACTAACTAACTCTTGCGACAACAACCCTTACACAGCTTGCCACCAAAAAGAGTTACCGATATCACTAGCAAGTCCCCACTGATAACAATCGAGCATGTAGAAGGCACTCATATGGTGCCCAACGAACGTCCAAAGGAGATGGGTATGTCTTGTATAATATATATGTTTATCTGTATATAAACATTACCTGCACAAAGACCATCTACTGACAGATTTTGTCTCTTCGTTTTACCAGCACCACATATTGCAAATATCGTAGATCGAGTGATCGGTGATTCCTCCGCTGTCGCTGCTGGTGTCGCTGCCAAGCTATAAGCGCACTACTACTTGTATAAACAGACAAGGCAATTGTATAAACACAGTAATCATAATATATATAAACGGAGCAACTGGTTGTTCATTATTTCGTTTCGTTCGAGGTTCAAATATGGATGATCGGATTCGTTTAAAGAGAGAGACAGAGAAAGAGAGCATTGTTGTTGTTGGTTTTTTTTAAATTGGATTGGGCCCGTATAAGATAGTGTGGTATGTATACTGTGTGTATGGTGTTTTTTTATCATTCCGTGTCCGTGAAAGACTACCAGAACATAATGTTAAAGAATCAGGGAGCAAAAAAAAAGAGAGAGAGAAAGAAATGCATAGTAAACCACTCAATCAATCTCTCTCCACACACACATATCACCACTACCACCCTATACAAATCCTTTTCTTTTCTGGTGTATCATTGTCTGGTCAGAGATCCATGCTTAATTGGCTTGAGGCGAGCCTTTGGGCGAAGGAGATCGAGAGTCGGGGCGCGGTGCAGGTGAGCGTGATCGGGCAGACTCACTGCGTCTGGGTGGCGGCGGCGAACGAGAACGAGAGCGGTAGCGAGGCGGCGAGCGTTCACGACGAGGCGAAGGCGAACGGCCACGGCGCGGGGGTGGGCTGCGCGAACGGCTGTAGCTTCTACCACGCGAAGGTCTACCAGGGGAACGCTCGTAACGCCACGATTGTCTGGGTGCGTTTCTGGCAAACTAGAGTTGTTTATAACAAAAAAGAAAAGGTTGTGTGAGTAAAAATTCGAAAAGCCATTAACTCAGGAAACTGTTGACATTTGGAATGAACAACACCCCCTCATTTTTTGTCCTGTTCTTTCCAATTCCCGTTTTCCCTCAATCACACTTCTTTTTCCAATATTCCTTTTTGAGAAATGAAATAAAAACTTACTTGGACACTGATCGTGTAGCCATCAATGCGTCTTCCGTGCATCTCGTTGAAAGATTCCTCAGCATCACGAGGATCTTCAAACTCTACAAAAGCATAGCTATAATGATAAAGTGTGATTAGCTCCAAAACACCTACACGACAACACGCGATCCGCGCTCTTTTTCTGCTGACAATGCTACATATCTTTCAGCTCAAAATAGAAAAGATGGTATAATAACATACGGCTTGGAAGAGTAACTCTTGGGGGCAGGGATATCGCAGCGTACTAGACGACCATATCTGGCGTAATTCATTAAATCCGTCAGTTGGATTAATTACGCAATGATCTAAATCTAATGGAGCATAGTCTCCTTACCTTTCAAACTCATAAGCAAGATCGCGAGCTCGCGTTCGCGAGCCAAATCCAGCAACAAACAAGGTAGTCTTCATGATCTCAGGGAAGTTAAAAGAAGAAAAAAATAGAGAGAGAGAGAGAGAGAAGAAAAGAATAAAGGAACCGTCAAGAATCTCCGATTGCTTTTCTTTTTGCAACCGGTCCGAATGACACATATTCGGAGCCTCTCTCCTTCCCTTTTAGAAAAAAAAACATGCCAACTTTGCGCATAATCGATGACGATGAGGCACAAGAAAAAGCTGAATTGGAAAGCAGCAATCAGTCGCTATGCAACATGTAAGTAGAGCTACTTTCTACTACAAGATTACTGGTAATTCTTTAGTAACTCTTTCTCGATATCGATAAAAAAACCTTTTGGATAGCTGTCAAAAACAGTTCGCCAACTATGTTTGTCCACGGTGCAATCTTCGTTATTGTTCCCTAAGTTGCTACAAGGACATGCAACACGCCGATTGTACAGAATCATTTTACAAGGACAGCATTACTGAAGAGATTCGATCGCGCGGTGCCACAACCGAAGAGGAGAAGCAAAATATGTTACAACTCTTACGGAAGTTCGAAGCCGAAAACGACGCAGCAGCAGCTGGAAGTGATAACGACGTAGACGAAGACGACGGTGACGACGACGACGACAATACTGCTGATTTACAAGAACGTTTTGCCAACATTGATTTGGAAAATGCAGACTCGGCAGCTATTTGGACTCTTTTAACAGAAAATGAACGGAAAGAGTTTGAAGCACTTTTGCAACAGCAAGATCAAGACAGCAGTATACTTTTACCACAATATCAGCCGTGGTGGAAAAAGAAGAGCGAACACACAAAAATAATTGAGCAATTTGATGAAGACGGCCATGACGATGATGGCGATAAAAAATCGCAAAAAAGAATGATGACGATGTTACCTGAATTACCAAACCCATTGCCTGATCTGGAAGCGATGATGAAGCCACGCTCACCGCCAGGACCTGAATCTGATCTGATATGGAGTTTGATGCATACTGCAATCGCATATTGCTACTTGATGCGTCATTTCCTAGGCGACGTTCGCGAAGACGTCAAAGATACAGTTGCTGTGCTATCAAAATTGTGCAAAGCAACGCTATTTTCTTCAGCACCTGGCTGTGCATACAAGAGCGCGAACGACGCAGCACATGATCTCGTGGATGTAATTTGCGAATACGAACAGGATACCAGTGATAAGCGCAAGACATTGATGCTTATGCTCCTAGATGATTGTCTCTCGCTGCTGGAGAAGCAGGATTCAATGGTGCGTGCATTGACTGACGTGTGGCAGTTATTGGAAGCAGGTGTCAAGCGTGTCGACAAGACTGACAAGAAGGCATGTTTCTTGGCTGCGCGTAAAGCATATTTTTATTTGGGCTACGGAGTCCATCTTGCACGAAATCTGGGTCTGGGTCGGATTAAACTGTCAGTTATGACTGAGCGGGAGCGTCTACTGTTGGAAGAGCGGTCATTTGATCGTGAACGCAAAGCGGTTGAACAAGCGTTGAAATTGCAGAAACAAGCCAATCCAAAAATTGCTCATGTAAATTAATGTAAATACGCTTCTTTGTAAATTAAAGTAACTGCAACTGTTGATACCATATTTTGTCGGGATTGGAATCATGTAAACTAGTATCAAAAGAAAAAAATACGTAAGACCACATGCAGAAGCGTAACTGATATTCTTCTTTTTTCCTAAGCGAAGGAGGGCGAAGTATCGGGTAAGCAGCCGAGATACGTAAATTTGGATGCGCGAGTCACTAACTGTGACTTCACTCAACTAAAACGCCTTTACCCTGAGGCTTTGGTTCGCCGTCATCTAACACAGACTTCAGTATACAGTTGGTTCCTTCTATTTTGATGGTTTTTCGGACAGGTTGCCTTGACGAGCGATTACTGGATAGCGTTTGCTGGATACTGCCAGTTTAAAAAGTCATTGTATAGTAGCCCGCCAACATCCTGTTCACTGGATTATTCGGGCTCACTATACGCATCGAAAGCTCGCAGGGAACCATACATTTATGCTACTTGGTGACCACTCCACAGAGCAAGGTGCTTTATTAATAACAATAAACAGTCAGTAGCCTGCATTTGCATTCTTATTCCATCCTGAGTGCTGCTACTGCAACAGTCCAGCCATAACCACGTCAGGAGAACAACATGTTCGTTGCTTCCACTGCTTGTACCGGGAACCTCTGAGTCAAACCATGTCTCTTTTTTCAAGTATCTAGTATTAGCGCCATAACCGATTTAAATACCCAATGATTAATAACCTTTTTACCTTTGCTTTCAATTGTTGTAATTCCACATTCTCTGATACTGATGAATCTATCATTGCTTCACCTGTTGATCCTTAGGTCAAGCTGTCCAGCCGGCTCTTGAATGTCAACATTTTGTCGATCTACAACATAATCAATAGAAATTTGTGATGTAGTGACGGCTCAGTAAAGGCTGGATAATCGTTAATCCTAGTGCTACTAGTTCTTTTTCTTTAACAAAGAAAGAGCAGTGTAATAACGAACAAGACCAGTGCGGACGACTTGCTGCTTTGCATTTATTTCAATTATCATTTATTTGACTGGTAGTAGTATCTAAACATGCAGGTGCTACATAGCTAGCGACGTTGCGTATTTTTTCCCACTACATTTTACTACATTACTCACGTTGACCTGATTAAAGGCCTTTTGATTTAAACTTCTAGGACAATGCCACTTACATCCGGACAAACCATGAAATATAATCATATTGATTGTTGATGAGATATTGACTGCATGATGCTGTTGATTTTTTCTTTCAACTATCGCAGTATTGCCAAAAAAGACTTAAAAGTTCAAATGGACACGTATTTACAAAATAGTCGCCTGTCAGCTACATTACGTTTATTATTAAAATAACTGTCTTCGACCTGAATAGCGTGATGTGGCGGATCAACTGACTACATAAAAAAGGAAACCACCATTCCTACTGCTATCATAAATTCATCCCTGAGCTTGTCACAACAGCGATCGATACTTATATATTACCTTGAAAAAAAAACCGCTGTCTTCCCCTATGCCAGCACCATTTTGGGATAATGCTAGTTACCAAAATCACCCCAAGAATTGTACAGACTTATACAATAACAACAGGAGCAAAAATATAGTTATCATAGACGAAGTGTTCCGGTTGAGGCTTAAGCATTCAATTATACGACTATGAGTATTAGCTTATTTGCTCATATTGTTACCAAGGCGTTAACCTTAACTTTACTGAAAAATACTTCCATTTCAGAATGGCGGTTGGGGGAATATCTAGTCGGCTGAGAGGAGATTTTTACATGGCGCGACGTTTTTGAGGTTTTTACTTTCCTATGATAAAGTACAGTAAACTAATTTTGTTTTAATGCAAAATCAAACGAGTTCACTATTGGTTTTCGATCGAAAGGGTGAAAAAACATCGAAAGCCTTGCTATAAGTTATGAAGAAAATGAAAATAAGGACTTGTTTCAGTTGAATTTCTGTAAGTTCATATGTAAAGTTTCTACTTGTTACCAACAATTAATTCTTGGCTGCTGACGCCTGTGGTCATCTAGTTGTTATATAATACGCTGTCGGGAACAGCAAAGTATTGATTTTATGAGGGAATCGAGCACCCTCTTTATTCTTTCTTTGCTTTTCTTATCGTGTGCTTAAGCACATGCAATTAACGATAATACATACATTACTTCTTTCCTTATGGATAAGCAAGTGGAAAAGTATAATTTCATTGCTATTATAGGAAATGGTGGTGATGTGGAGCGAAAAGAGAGGGAAAAACGAATATGCAGAACAAAAGGTAGAACGAAAAGAAATTAGATTGTCTGTAGAATAATTTAGTGAATGGGATAATAGGGTCAATAACTCATCGACAGAATGCATTTGCACGGGTTTCATTAATTGACGCTTTAAATGCTTATGAAGCTTGCCAGATACAACGAAGAATGTAGTCGATCCAATAGGAAGCTCCCAGTCGCAGGTAATGCCGAGTAATCTGACTTCAGGAATGTAGAAGAAGATTACCAGGCAAATGATATCAAAGCAGAAAACCCGATTACCGTACGTGAGGTATGGGTGATCTTGAGACCCTGTGGGCTCATTCCAGGTCGCCAGTAACTACGACAGTCTCATGACTACCAAGGAGCATAGTAAACAAGCTACCAAGAGTGATGCGCGAGCACAGTAGAATGCATCACAAAATCCTTGTTGATAGTTAGAATCGCAGGCTACGCACAAGCGCAAGTGACATCAGAATGATGTAAATGTACAAAAGGAAGCGCTGCATGTTCTGATAGATACGTCGACCTTCTGCCACTGGCTGCAAATGTATTGTCAGTCAAAATAATATCGGATGCTTGCTTGGCTACATCGCTACGTTTTTGCCCATGGCGATATCAACATCAGCAATACGATAAGAACGAAAATAATTGACACCATCACCTGTCATCGTTGAAATCGAATGTCGCATTTCAAATGCTTGGATCTTCTTGACTTCGGTTTCGGGCAAGCAGCGTGCAACAACAAGTGGTAGTCGTGGAAGGGCATAGATTTGCCCATCGGTCATTGAGTCGAACTGTGGACTGGTCATGACGAGTTGGTCCATATGTTTTGACTTGATAAATTGGTTGTTAGGATGTTGATTTCCTGGCTTATGGCTGTTGCTGTAATGTGGTGGTCATCGGTTAACATATACAGCATGCTACCAGCCCGATGAGCAGCGGCAACAGCTTCGCGGCGAGACTCGCTCGTGGTGGGTCATATATCCCTTTAAGCCCCAGGATGTCCAAGTAGCACTCTCAACGTCGTCGTGCTTAAGCCTGCTGCTCCAATCTTCTTACTTGTCGTCATCCTGTACTATCATATCGTCGTCACTCGTTGATGCTGCGATGTTATCCATGCGGCGTCTAGCAAGTGCAATTACACGTCGTAAGCCTTTTGGATGCTAGCTGATCCACTTTTTCCATGATGCTTGCCAAATCTTTATGTTGTCACAAAACGGCAAGGTACATTCAGCGGCACCTTTGCTAAACGATGTCATTTAGCATAGAGCGTCGACATACGCTTGATTGTGGAATCAAACTGGTGCTCCGCTATTTGTATCCAACCAGCCTCATTCAAACCTGGTCTGCCCATGCCAAACTTGTGTGCAAACTTTTGCAAAAAAGCGACTTCTGCTGGTGCCCATTTGGGTGACCAATCTTCTATTTTAACTGTTTGCTCTCTATTGTACTTATATATGTTTTAAGTATCGTGTATAATTTTAACATTAAGTTAGTGTACCATTTTTATTGCGATTTTCGCGGTCATCACGTAGAAAGATGTACAAATTGATTCAGTAATCGAAATGGTGAAGGTAGTTTTCAAGAGCAACCCCTTTAAAATTATTAGCTTCCGCTCATTGTAATGCAGTATGCACTGCTTTCTTTACGCTGGGGGACTTGGAGTGAATATAAATCACTTATTTATTCCCTTTGAGCAAGATAACTGGCTTAAAAATTGAACAAGTCCCGTTGGGTTTCAATTCCCAGGGACCTCGCTGGACGCTGTGGGACTTTGAGGTTTTATTAAAACAGTATTTTTATTAAAGAATATTTAAGTTTAACATTATTAGTAGAACGCCATTTGAAACGTTTGTAAAACAATTCTACTAATGAGTATGGGCATTACAGTATCAAGTATCAAAAGATTTGATCTTGGCTGTAGAGTGCATGAGAACCGACAGTTTAAGCACACAAAGCTCTATCAACTTGTTCCAAGTCCAAAAGACTTTCTGCTGTCGCAAGAAACTTTCTGACGTGCCCAAAAAACTGATACATGCAACGGGTCTCACAACACTTTGACATTGTATTACATGGTCAGTGCATTATGCTTGTGTCAAACGGTTGCCTAGATATTATGTTTAGAATCGATCGAGTCATTGCAAAGTAAAAGTAATTACGAATCTAATGTGAGCCATTTGACATTGTCAGCATTGTATAAGAACAAGGACACAGCACGCCAAAACATGAGTTCTTTCCTAACTGTCAAATGAAGCGGCGAAGACGATTGAACACAGTCAGAAAGAAAATGGATATTGCAAGGTGAAGCGACACGCAAATATCTTCACAAGGAAAGAAATTGTAAATGAGTTTGAGCAGGACATAAAGTAAAAGAGCAGGTTTTTATTCATTGTAATATTAGAGTAAAGAAACATTTTATAAAAGACAAAAGTTATCGTTATGAATATCAATAGTCGAAGGGTACAAATTTTATTAAAAGAACACAATCAGTGGACAATAAAGACAAATAATAAGAACGCGATTTTACAAAGTGACCTCAACAAGCAGTTCGCACAACCCGTAGGCTATACAAAAAGCATGAAGAAAGCAAGAAGAAACAGAAGAAGTATGTAAAAGGGGGAGGAAAAGAAAGCCACCAATGCCTCGGCCTGGGAGTCCCAGTCTCCCACACATTTGGCTGGGTCAATCAACCACAAACCCAGCCATCATGGTACAAACGAGTGGGAACCATGACGTACACTACGTTTCGAGAGAGTCAAGTGCAAGCAATCGGTTGAGGATTGCCTGTGAGTGGGGAAGGGGGAAGGGAAGGACGGAAGGGAAGAGGAAAGGGAAGGGGTGGGGAAGAGGAAAGGGAAGAGGAAAGGGAAGGGGTGGGGGTAGGGGAAGGAATTGACTCTCGAAACACCCAAAAAAGAAAAAAAAAAATTTGCTGCTGTTGTCGAATGCTGGAGGAGCTGCTTACTGGATACTCGGATGCTGGGAGCCGAACACTGAAGCTGGGAGCTGATTGCCGAGTGTCGATTGCCGAGTGTCGATTGCCGAGAGTCGAATGCCGAGAGTCGAATGCCAGAGAGTTGATCGCTGAGAGTCGAATGCCGAGAGTCGAATGCCGAGCGTCGATTGTCGAGAGTCAAATGCCGAGAGTCGATTGCCGAGAGTCCAACGCAATCTACAGTGGCACCTGGCTCCTCATTGCGACCCCCACCATGGCAGACCAGACACCAGCAGACAAGGCATCCAACCGAAAGGACACTACCATATTTCTATGGCGAGAAACCGAAAAGGATTTCTCCGTCCTCTGATCTCGCCTGAAGATCGGTTGTGGCCAACACCGTTGAACGCCAGACTGGACAGCCCAAAGCAGGGACCGGTTGTAGGCAGCCAGGGGGACCACGGGAAAAAGGCTGAGACCAGGACCGACAGAGGCAAGACCAGGACCAAGGGAAGAGCCAGAGCGAGGGGAAGACCAGAACCAAGGGAAGAGCCAAGAGAAAGACCAGGAGGATCCAAGGGAGTGAAGGGAAAAGAAAAGTGAAGAGAAGAAAGAGTGAAGAAAAAATTTTTTGTTTGGTTTTAAAAAAACACGTCCCAGGCCCGTGCTAAAAATACAGGCAGCAATAGCAACACGATCACACTTTTTTTTGTTACTTTCACACTTTGTTTTCTTTTTTTCTCATCTTTTTTTTTCACATGTATCATACATCAGCTGAGGGAAGTGGTTGATAAAATGACCAAGCCAAATATTGAAGCAGCCTGTATACAGGATGACGCGCATACTATGTTGAAAACAGCCATGCTCTTGACACTCTATTTTAAGTTGGCCACCTCCATCATTGCGGGCTTGAGGGATCGTGGGTATATACTTGATACTTGATTAAGAGTGCGTCTTTTGTTTGTTACACACGCCACCACATCGCACCATGGTTAATCCAACAACGGCCGAGACTTTCTACAATGGCTCATTTATCCCATCAGGAAGCTGGATACGACCATTCAGCACATACTTACTCCAAACCAAAAATGATGTATATTTTGCCAACACCTTGCGCGAATATATCGTTATCATCCGAAGCTATTGTTCACCGGCCAATATCGACGCGGTATAAATCCAAAAATAATCTCGTATTCAACATAAGCAACATTGACGGTAGACACTGTACCGAGACCCTTTGATCCCTGGCTTGAGCTTGGCGCTAACCAAAACTAGTACACGCCCAATCATTCTGATCATAAGTATTTTTTTTTATGGTCTGGAGGCAGAACTTATTCCCAACAGAGTGTCCAGAGGAGTGACGGACTATTGGGTGTGAATACATGTATGAGAAAATGAGGAACAGAGAAGTGACGGAAAAGAGAAACCTATTTATATGTGCGGTGATAGATGGCAGTGGCATGAGCAGCTACTGCCTGCGGATAGAAAGGGTGGCCTTCGAATATGAAAAACCAATGTGCTGACCAGATCGCTTGAACGATGGCGATGCATAGAAGAGTGGTTTTGGGTTGGGAGCAAAAGCGACGTGCGAAGACAGCAGTCTTCATCGCATGTGCGATAGCCGGCAGGCGTGGATCGGCACAGTGAAACGGTGCCCGAACCAGCTGAGGATAAGTATTGATTAGCTTGCATAACACTATCCGCTATCATCGCCCATCCGCTCGTTTCCACCTGCCACTGCCAGGTGCTTTTTTTTTTTTTTTGTGACAAAACATCCATTCTAAGTGCATCATAAGCAGACCTTCTCTTTCTAAATTATCGTAAAGGATATCAAGAGATCACTAACGACATACGCCTATGCATCATATTGCGTCAGTCCATACAGTATCGGCTTATAGCCGCCCCTCGTTGTACAGGTGTAAGATCTTCCACATTCATGATATAATGGCAATCGTACTGCTACTGCTTACATAAGCTGGATAATCCGAGTATAGTGTTTCCGTGCTTTACAATTGTGTCTATGCTACAATGCTTAGCTGGTTGCTGTGGTAGTTGTCTGTATATACTTTTGATGTTAACCAAATATCTTATCTGATGATGTCTTTGGACAGTGTAATAATGTGTTTTACCACACAATGTATTTAAAAATGTGTTTGCGCTCTGTATTCTCTTTTGAAAAACTAGCAACGAAGGTATTCTAGCGAAATGCATGCACACCATAGCTAGTGCTTATACAGTATGTAGTTAATAGGACTTGACGTATACGTATTGTAACAGTGCATATTTTATTCGGTGTAAGTAGTTTCAATCAATTGCTCCATAGTGTTGGGATACAGTAGTAGGGTGATAAACGTAGGTTGAAAGAAGTTGAAGATTTAATATAATATATATATATATATATATATTAAAGTATACTGTTATTGAGGAGCCTTTTCATACTTTATTGAAATTACTGCGCATAAACACATCCGTGTAGAGACATCCTAGAAAGTTTGAAAAGCATTAAGGAATGTTTTTTCATGTACCCTTTAAGGTTCTCTTCTGTTGATATATCGACTGATCTGTAGTAGCAATAACAAGTGAACATCCTTGCGGACAACCCCCACAAGTATATATTTATAGGATGAGTGTAACCTGATGAGGATCAAAAATAGAAGAGAGTGTCCGTATCAAAAGCCAATGTGAAAACAGAAATTTAGGAATAGCCAACACCACATACGACTGTTCGAGTGGGACAACACCAAGATTCACATTATTGTATTGTAAGGCGGAAAAACAGAGTGTTTGGAAACGAATCTATGCGTACGCCTCTCACATACGCTTAAAGTACTGATGTGTATATACTATAATTGTCTCAGAATAACCGTCTGTTTTATTGTGTCAGTGGTAGAATTGGGGCCGAAACAACAGATACAATACGCACCAATACTACTGATTGACGCTTTACAGTGTAAAAAGTAGACAAACGAAATACACAGGGAAGAAAGATAGAATAGGAGATTCCTCTAATAGAGGTACAGCGATGGGTACACAAAAGCACCAAAGTACTAAGTTGATCTAGTGACTACTATGATAATGCCAAATTCGCTGTCAACTCATCAGTATGCACTAACGAGGAGATGATGGTTAATCGTGCAAGAAGTGAATTGAAGTTTACACTCAGAGGGCGCACAAGAAGGTGGAGGTACTACTAGCCAGGGGAGGTGTGTTTTGATAACAAATACATAGAGAAAGCTATATGAGCTACGCATGGGGGTTCTGCAGCAGCATGTGAGGTAAAGTAACGATGGCAACGATTGCTATGTTGTAAGGAGGTGATTATGACACATCCGGTCCTTCAGTTTATCCGTGCGAGTATAGCGGTACCTGCAAAGCGCTTCCTTGTCGACCATGAGTCTTGACGTGTGATCACATTACAGTAGGTCTCTCAACACCTTCCCGCTCACGGTCAAACCAGAGTTCATTGTATCATCGCCACTATACTCCACATATGGAACTCCATTGGCATCAAGTGTTTCAAGGATCAACCTTCTGGCCGACGGTGTAGCAGCCCGCATTACATTGAAATCAGTACTTTTTCATAGTGCGTTTGTCAACCCTTTTCTGACATTATAAATACCGACAACAACGGTATTTCAATAAATCATCGTCTACACAAAAAAGGTACCTGCAAAAGGTGCGGAGCTCAGTCCCAAGGTGAAACCTGGGTGTGTAATGCAGACGAGGCACGAACCGGGAGACATGGAGATACTCGGTGTATGTGTAACCTCCTCTTTTCTCTCTTAATGATATCCCATGCAGAAAAAAAGCAGCGAAGCAGAGAGGCTTAGGCAGTGCGCCATGGTTGTGTCGTTGTTTCAATAATTTGACAGTCAAGTAAAGGTTTTTTCCATCACCACTCTTGTCTCTTTCAACAAGAACCGTGATGGCAACAAAACTCGGCATGTAAGTAGAGCAATGCGCGAACGAGTTACTTCAATCAGTTCCTGAGATCCGGGATCAATGGAGTCGATTCAGAATGAAGCAGCCAACAACACTAGCCCAGGTTTGTGTGTAGAAGCGCCGTAAACCATCCCCCTTCTACCGTTACCGAGCTTCACCAGTCTGTCCTTGGCATACACTTTACTTTGGATCACGTGTACAGCACAGTCATCAACTTCTGCGCCCTTACTTCTAGTGAATATGGCTTCTTCTTATGTGAGCTTCTTGTTGCAATACCAGTCATTTTTGGCACCTGCATTCCTTTCCTCTGTGATCGTGCTGCTAAAACCCTATAAACCTTCTGTGCACCTTATGGCCTGTTTAAAAACAAGCGGCGACACTGTCGGGGACATGCCCTGCATGAAATCGGTGAAACATATTAGGCAGGGCGAGCAATGCACGCAGATCTCACGCGCCTTCAATTCTCTACTGATGGTATTCATTTGATAATACTTATTTTATATCTGCAACAAAGATGAAATAATATACACTTTCGCTGACACCGCGACTCAATCAGCTGGAAAGATTGTTGTACACAATGCGCGAATTGCGTACTGCCACCCGCTTTATACAAAACCACAGGCGATCAAATTATACTGTTATGCCGGCTGGTTTCAAACATAAAAAGAGTGTGAGAAATGAAAAAGCTTTTGATAAACTATAGCAGAGAACCGGTTGTTTGTCACACAGCACATGAGAATAAAATAACGCTTTCCAGATACTCTTTCATCCATGGCTAAGGCTTTTGGCTAATCGAATGTGTTGGTTTTCTTTATACGCGCACCGCTTGTTGCCCTTGAACGCGTGATACCGGTCTTCCTGGGGATAAGCTTTTTCTTTTTACACTTCTTATTGGAACGCGCTCCTAACACTATCCGCTTTTACCCGTCATTGCCTCCTTTCCACCTGCCACTTCCAGATTTGTTTTTTGTTTTTGTTTTTGTTGACAATACAATTTGTTACAAGGTAGCGGTGTTGATACCTTTAACAGCCGCCTTTTTCTTTGTAAATAATGGTAGCTTAAAAGAATTATAATCGCCGTCGCCGGCTACAAGTTTCTTTAAGTGATAGGAGTTACGTAAACTATACATGAATGTCGTCGGTGCATATCGGATTATGGCCGTTCATTGTACAAGTGTCTCTTGTCCAGTTTACCAACTATAAATTGCGCACATTCTTTCACATTAATGGTTTACTGATAGTACTACGGTGTATTTATTATCAGAGGGCTTCGGTGGACTTATTATCAACATGTCTGATAATCATTTAAACCCATATGAAGCCATTCCGCATTTGGCACACGACCTAGGTCCCGTGAACTTCATCCGAGCTTTGACAAACAACCGCTTCTTTCACCAGCTGTTTATCAACCGATGAAACAAGGTGAGCCATGAATCTATCCATGTTGCTTTTGTTTACATTTGAATAGAAGTTCTTTGTTTACTATGTTGAAACGTTGATGGTTGAGGTGTTTTACTTTTGTTTGTTTTTTTAGAGGCTTGTTTCGAAGAGCAGTGGCAACTCCGCGGTTGACCACGGTTTGTTTATGTCATTCTGACTGCTATGTCTCGATTTCCCCCACTGCTAGATAGACGGAGACCTTAACTAAATATACTGTCTTCCTCTTTTCTTTTAGAAAATGACTTTTCGAATAGCAGTCGCACTATGATCACGCACTGTTTCAGTCTGTTTATGCAAGACTGGACGACAGGTTTTTGACTGGTGGCACAGTACAAACTATCTTTTTTGTGGCGTTTGAAGGGGCCGATGTTTGTTTATCAAGTGCACGTACAGTAAATACTTGGCATCGATTGTTGTCACGCGTCATAATTAATATCGTAGCTCACACATCGAGTGTCATAGATAACCGATGATATGTTACTGTTCTTGTTACGAAAGATGGGCACTAGGCTTCGATGAAAATGCCGCAATCTATCAGAGATAATGACTCAGCGTTCACATCCTAAATTACCATGTCTTCTCTGTTCTCCGTTTCTCTTTCTTTTTACATTCGTCACCATTCTTTCGTACTATTTTCTTTTCTTCCTTCACAACCATCGTAGGGTCAGATCTTTTTGACACTCGATTAGTGGAAAACCCGCTCTATACGACGCTCAGTTGTCATCACGTCAAACGACTGTCCGTACACACCCTAAGCCGAACGGCGTCATCAACCATGTACTGTAGTAGTCAACCAATTTAAGGTGCGTTCAAGCTTTTATGGGCCCCGTATTGTGGATGTGCTCACTGAGACATTGATAGCACAATGACGAAGAGTCGGCCACTCACTGTTGTTAATAGATTCACGGTCCTTCATGTTACATGCCAACAGCGTTTTTCAGATCTTCCAGCTGGCATATCTATCTAATTACAGTCATGCAATAGGGTCGTCGGTATGGCGCAGGTAAACAGACTACGTTGCTGCTTGGGTTCGATGCTCTGTTCAGCCGCAATGACATTTAACGCGTCACCATTCAAGTATGACTTGTATTGATATGCATCATTAGTTGAGTTGGTTTAAAGATAAATTTGAGCGCTACATAATTAGTGGTTACTCACAAGTTTGTGTACATCAAGGACCAACTCTGTACCAAGTTCTCTATACCCGTTGTGAATTCAAAGTAGATGTCGTTCTGCACTTGCACCCAGTACCTTCGACTAGGGTGCGCTGACCTTGATCGGAGAACTTGATTACTGTTGCCATGTTATAAGTGGTCATGCTTATCGGCTTGTCACGGTGCCTATGCTGTCATGGACACACAGCTGTTGCTGGCCAGTTCCCTGTCGCTCGCCTTTACAATGGTCAATAAGCTTGTTGCTGGGCTTCTGTTTTTATGTCTATTGACGATACTATGGAAGCGCCATTGGTACCTCTGCTTTAGCTAGCTTCTGTCTGTTCATGTCGCTTGCTGGCCTTATTTGCTAGTAGTCTTTGTTTTTCCATAGTTGTCTTCTTTTCTTTCCATGAATAAATATATGATTTCACTCTTCGTACAATAATAATTCTTTGTGTCTGTCCAATGATCTTGTACACGTTGTTAACCCTCTAGACATCAATGTCATTTCTCAATCATTGTGCCTTTGCTCTCTTCTTCCACCCAACTTGTTTATAATCACAATACAGTATACCCCCTTTCATTGCACATCCGTTAACAAAATTTTTGGGAATGGAAAAAATAACATGGTAAATTTCAAACCCCCGTTTATTTCACTTTCAATGTATCATCCAGGGTTAATCGCGTTTTAATACAAAGTGTTCTTTCATATATGCTTTGAAGAAATTAGGCACTGCACATTATTAGTTTCGGTTGAGTCAGCGAAGAGCTTTGTCTAGCAAACACTTTTCTTATAGCTTGCCGCGTAATTGCCGTAGTTCAGAAGGGAGACTAGGTATAATATCTTCATCTCCAAAAAGTTACTTTGATATTCATGAACAAGTTATCGTTGATCTTATATTTATAAAATATTTCAATAGAAAACAAACATTCACCCATCTCCTTATGACTTCAAGTTCTTTATAGAATAAATCTTTTAAAAGCAAAGGCATAACATATAAGTAACAGAGATATGCCTATCCTTGTATATAACGTTTTTTCTGATTTTCAATGATACTACTGGGTGGCAAGCAGTCGCTGTTTTACCAAAAGCTTCTTGGTCTCCCATTGTCTCTTCTTTTGGTGTATATTTTATTATTATGTATGTGGGAAAAAGTCAATACAGCCAGAAAATGTATTGGATAATGGGCTATGCGAATTACGATTCCTATATTGTGACAACTTCATGAGCGTTGGTAATCTATGTAGCATTAAGATGCGTCGTGATAACGAATATCCGTACACAGCTATTGTGTCCTAGCATCCGTTGACTTTCACAATTATCATTTGGGAATTTCAAGTTGGAAATTAACGGGTGTCCTGATCTCGTTCCTGTATTATTTCCGCTACATGCTACATATCCTCTTATCGCCCTGTCAGCTCTTCATCATACACATTCACGCTCTCGAAATAAAAGCTCCCGTTGCCTTTCTTCATAGCCCTCGCTATAAACACTATCTCTTTTGTTTGCCATACACGCTTTGCCCTGATCACCGCCTATACCGCCATCCCCCCCCCCCAATTCTTTTCACTTAGTGCCTCCACTCAACTTTCCAAACTTCCTAAGTCAACTTTGCTCTGCTCTTCTTGTACTTCATTTTCATCTTAGTAACTTATCCAACCTCATTTTTTTTTAAAACCACAAGAAAATCCGCAAAGATATTGAACATTTTCCTTTTCCGGTGCTTTTCTGGAAAATTCTCTTGTTTGTGTTTATACATCCTTCCAAAACAATTTCGCTTCTACTGTTTTTCCACTGCTTCAACACTTTTGCCGATTTGCTATGTTGGGGGACCACTGTATACTTTTTTGCTTCAGGAAAAAACGTGCTAGTACACAAATCGCCTTGTTATGTACGTCGGTTTATGTGACTCACAGACAGGTTCCATGTATTAGCAGCACGACGTGCTTACTTTTTCCTCCTGTCCTACTTTTTTATCCCTCCTTCCGCCTTCACACAAACGAAAAGACCTATATCTTCTCATTATACTGGCGTTAAGAAAAAGGTTATTCTAACTAGCGTGGCAGTCTACTTGTTGTATCCAACAAGGCTGATAACACTCATTCTTTGTTCCGGCTTTAATGACTGCTGTTATTTCCCTCAAGATTTTACTAGCGTTCTATACGTATCGCATCAGATCGGATATTAGGGCCATGCGCACCCGATCCGGATATGCGGATGCACTGATGAAATTCGAATCCGCCGTATATTCCAAGATTGCGCAGGAATGAATGACAGCCTTCCGCTGTTTGCTCTCAGTCAACTAGATCACAACAATTGTTCGATAATGTGCTCCGATTGCTATCCCTATTCCGCTTCAAATGGTATTAACGTTCGCATTATCTATAATAAGAATGACCCCAGCAGAAACAAACAAGTTCGATAAATCAAACAAAGACAGTAACGTCGCCAATTCTAAAAAACAGTATCGGTAAGTTCAGAAACAATAAAACTGAAGCCAACAACAAACGTTAATATTCTGGCCTTATTGATGGACGGAGCCACTGCAGCAAGGTACTGCAGGGCCATGCAACACCCTGAAGCGAATTAAAATATCGGAAGTTCCAGTCGGCAAACTCTATGATGTAGAGCAGCTTACTGCCATGCAATGGGCCAGAGATGCTTGGGAGTTAGTCTCACAAGGAAAAATCAAAAATTGATGGGGTCACAAAGGATTGCTCGATGTAGAGACAGAAGAGGAAAAGAATAATAGAGAGACTGCAGAAGAAGCTGAAAGGCTACTATCTGATGAGCTTGATGTCGCGAATTTGAATACTCGCGAGGAGACATGTGGCGTTGATGGTTTTGATGGTTTTGATTTGATACCACATGAAGAATCGGAGGGTATCCATGCACCAAATTCTTTCGACGACCTCGTTAACGATCTCTCTCTTCCTCCAAACCGTCTCCGAGCTCTCCTTCCTGCACCACATTCTTCTCCATCTCTTCTTTTTTCATTCGATCAACGATCTCCTATTGCTTCTTCTCGTAGTACCATTTTGAGCAGGACTAAGAGAGTCCAAATCCTTGCTCATGATGGCTTCTTCTCTTACCAGTCGCGCCTCTTCATTCGCCTTTTGCGCCTCCTCCAGCATTTCTTCCAAAAGTCTCCTTCTCTTTTCTTCCTCGACGACCTCTAGACAGGCGAGCTTCAACTGTTCACCAGCCAGGCTCTCGAGATCGTCATCTTCGGCGTGTCGTCTCTTCAAAGCCTTGGCTTTCTTGTTGCACATCCTTCTCGCCATCCACGGTGACCTCGTTGTCCTTGTCGCTGATGAACTTATATTTTTGCCCATCCTTCAGCAGAGGCCAGCAATGAGCCATCTTGAATGGCTTATACCGTGCTTCAGCTTTGCTGTTGTACTTTTCGATGATGCGCTGTTCCTATTATATGGACTTTCAGAAAGAAAGGAACTTCTCGAATCTGTTATATGCATATTATTATGCAAAAGACTACCTTGTCATCATCGGAATCGCTACTTTTTGATGGCCCTCTCGATAAAGGCCACGGCCGCTGCATATCTCGCGATTTGCGCGCTGATGATTTCCCAACGACCTTCGGGGGTGCGGTTCTTGTCATTGCCGCCTTTTTCAAACTCTTTAAGAACGCGTTGCCAAAACGGTTTGTAATCTTGGTTGATGCCAACTTTTTCATTCTTGTTGACGAGAAGATAGGCTTGGACCAAGAGCAGATCCTCGTCATTGCGCCACCAAGCACCTTTCGTCATTTTTTTGGTCGGCAGTTGCGACAGGGGAGGCAGCAGTAGCGATTCGGCTTGAGGAGAGGGTGGTTTTGGGGGGAGAAGTGAACGTAATCGTAGACATGGGATTGCTGTTGTCGTTGTTGGTGTTCATACTGTTTGGGAATTCTTTTTGAAAGAGAAGGGGGGTTTTACAGGAGCTTCACAGATGATAATTTTACAGGGACCGGTGCGAAGACAGAAATGTAAAAAGACCTGTAAATCGGGTTTACAGGATTTTTCACAGATAATCCGTTGCGAATGCTCATAGCGCGCACTGCTCTTGTGTCTTTTCGGAGGACGTGCATGATCGATGCTTTTAAATGACCTTCGTAGAAACCCATGTCAGGCATTATTAAGCAGGGTAAAGCAAAGTGACAATGACAAACCCGTTTGGATGAATGACGAAAAGGAAACCGCGGTGGCGGAAAGGGAACCGCAGAAACGAAAAGGAAAGAACGTAGCACAAGTAAAAAAGAAAGAACTAGCCGAGTGGAGTGACGGCGTGAAAGCGTAAACAAGAAGTAGCGAAAAGGAAAAGGAGGAATGGAAAAGGAAGAGCGTAGCACAAGCAGTAAGGAAAGAAAGCATGAAAAGGGCGGTTGTCATGGTCACCACTGCATGTGGGAAAGCACTTTTTCCAGTGGTCCATTGCTCTGCTGGCTCGGGGCACCAGGACAATATAAATACCTGAAGCAAGGGGTACTGCTGTTGTTTTGCTTTTCTTTTCTTCTCTCTTTTTCCCACTTTACTTTATACTTTGCCTTTTTTTTACTAAAGTTCTTTTGCTGCTTACTATTGCTCTTTCGACGTCCTTCATTACCGTCTGCTCACGCTTGCTCCATCTCGCTTTACGCCAGTCGAACATTACACGTCTTTGCCACCTTCACTTGCTACAGCTGCTGTGTCCTTGCCGTCAACAGAACGTTGCTTTTTCCTGTCACTACCGTCAATCGTGCTGGCTGCCATCTGTAGTGACGCTATTCTGCTCTCGTATATGAATCTCAGCAATGCCGGCGCCCATGTTGCTCTGTTACCTGCAATACATATTCGCGCTCACTCTGGTTTTTTGGCTGTTGTATACCTTAACTTGCTCCATCTCGCAATTCTCTTGCCACCTAAGATCGTGAACGTGTTGGATATTCTACTCATTGTACAGACGAATTTTTTTCCTTGGGTGTCTTGAACTCTGCCGGACGCATTGTGGCTCTACTTGGCGTCTTTGTTTCCAAGGCTCCTTTGCTGAACGGACTTGTCTACGGTTTTCCCGTGCGTATCAAAGATGCTGTGCATGGATGCTGCTCTGCCGCTTCACTGGACGACCTGTTCTTCTCGTAGCTTTCCTGTGTATGCTCAAGCTGTATACCTTCATCCTCCGTTTTAAATTTTTCAAGATCAAGGCTGAGACTGTGTGGTTTGCTGTTGCTCTCCATGGATGAAATTTGCTTTTGTTCGGACACATGCGTTTCCGTTGTGAGCTCCTGCCGTGCTTGCCGAAGTTATGATCCACATGGTAAGTTTTTCTAATTTAAGATCTTCCTTTATTTTAGCTGGTTAGAACTTGTGGATCGTTTTCCTAAAAAGCAAGAATGTTTAATAGGATGAACGAGTGCATGTAAACGCGCGATCGTTGACGGCGGTCATTGTGGGTATTGGCGACGGTGGCAGAGGAATTTGGATGGGCAGATTATTCTGTTTGTTTATAGAACAGGTGCAAGGCCGTTGACCGTGTAGCCATATCAAGATGCTGTTGGTGTGATAAGGTACTTTACTTTTTGGTGTTTGTGTATTGCTGGATCAGCTTGAGCCATAATCTAATTTGAGGCTGTGGTTTATAATGTAGATACTACAGCGTAAGAACGTCTTTGTATCATTGTTACGTGTGAGGATCCAGGTTAGTGGTCAAGAGTTAGTTTAATTGTGGTGGGCATGCTGGTGGTGGATGGCTATGGTGGATGAGGGATTCAGAGTGCCGGTCTTTCTTTGCTGAAGGCAACAGTGTTGGACTAGAAGGATGGAATTCTTAAATAAAGACTATCAATTTTGAAAACGGAAAAATACTGTTTGAGCGGGTTAGAAGATGTGCTGTGCACGGCAGTTCTTTTGTCGGATAACTGATACGACGGATTGTGTGAGAGCACTAGTAAAAGAATTAAATACAGAAGGATCTTTATTTTATAACTCGGATTACCAGCGTATATCTGTGGATAGTCGAACAACGACATATGAATATGACAAAGACTATACTGAACCATGATGATCGTGCTGTCTTTGAGTGACTGTGCTGCTGAAAAAGAACAGCACATCTCTACTTTTTATCCTCTTCACCAAACAAAAGCATGAATATCACGAACGCTCCCAGCCATCGATCGTACAAGCACCTCTGACAACTCAGCATACCATTCTATTGATATCTCTGACACCGTGTGCTTCTCACGAATGTTTGCATACAACGATTTCTCTGGATGACAATGAGCAGATCAACACGCCTGTAATGATATAATATATACAGAGTGTCGGCCACGCGTTTTTATCATACCAGTGTAACAAAACCAAGGCGGCAATCGTACCCACAGCACTCGAACACATATAAAAACTTTGACGAACGAACGACTATACAACGCAAGTTTTACACAATTCCTAGTAGTCATTCCAATCAGTGTCAAAACCGGCGTTTTCTGATATTAGCAACGCCATTGCACGTACAGAGGAACTCGTATGAATATATTTTATGCCAGTCGGTACTTTTTTTTTATCGTGGTAAAGAAAATAAGAGATACACAGCACCATTAAAACAAAGACGGTATCTAGCGCTAATTATTTGATTATGACGTTGGTGCATCCGTATAAAGATGTATGTATCATCCCATTACACTGAACAGCCACTTTGGAATCCATGTCTCACGACAAAAAAAACAGGCAATCTATCATCCTGCTCATATCATCTTTGCACAGATCCAGGCTTAGATCCAGCAGACTATCTAAGCTTAGACAAAAATAATCGGTATGTGATCTTTACAATTTCTGCTGATGCTATAGTGATGTGTCTCGATACAAACATCCCCATAAACAAAAATGCGCACGCATACATCACCAGCATCATCCTTTTCCCAAGGAAACGCTATGGAATAAAAAGACCGGCCTGTGTATTTTCTGTGTAAGAGACGCTGGATTGCCCAGAGGATTAAACATGAAAACTGAAGAGAACATCAGCATCAATACGTCCTCGTTGAAGCTTGTAGTTGTGGAGTTGGATATTTGTGAAACAAAGGAAACAGCAGCATTTTCGCTGTTATGCAGGCTTCTTGCTTATAAAAGACACAGATGCAAATGCTGGTGTTCAAGCGATCCAACAGATCTTACTCCATTGTCATGATATTAAGCAGCTACGTTACTGATAAATATAGGACATCGTGTTAAATTAAGTTACCCAATAAGTTGAAAAGAAAAGCGAGTAGCTCGCAACGGGTTGTGGGGCGGGGCAGCGAACACCAGTGAGCGAGCAGGTTAGTCGAATGCGCAAGTGCTGGTCCGGGTTTATTAAGGTTTCGGGTTTAGAGTTTCCAATTGATGAGCTTGGATGTATATGGGACTATCTTCTTCTTCTCCACCACCGCTTATTTTGAATTGTTTATTTGTTGGATGTTCTATACTTTTTAATTGCTAATGTATCTGTACCTGAATTGAGAGATAACACTAAAGGTCATGATCCTGAGTGGACGTGATTGCCAATAATGGTACTTGCCGCTCTAGTTATTATTGTAACGGACAGGATTTAGTTTTGGCGAGGTATAGTACTGCTTTGCTAGCCATCTGCGGAACGGAGATAATAAAGTGCTTCTTTTAAGCGATACAGTAGAGACATCTATTACAAAACATATCATACTCTATGATGCTATTATGTTTCACTGGTTTGTATAGTACATATATATATATATATATATATCTGTAGCAGAATGAAAAACAAAATCCTTGTTATTCCTATCGTTGCACAATAAAGATGTTGCATCTTGATTATGGATTATCCGTCATTTTGTGCGTTTTCATACATACGCTAGTGTAAAAGTTGCAGTGTCCGTATAATCTAATGTTATCACAGAAACGCTTACACGACTTATAATGGATGAGATACCACGTCCATCTTCAAAAATCCACGACATTTACTTGCAAGGTAATATTAACAACGCGACTTTTCTGTCAAGGCATCACCGTCGGATGATACGATATGTTTTTATGTTTAGTAAAGCAGTCTTTTGATTTGAAGTGTTAATTATAAGATAACTCCTGTGTTCTTAGGTGAATATGCGTGCTGCAATCTTATGTTATTGTTATTATCATATTCATGGACAAGAACTGCTGGAACTGGTTGGATGGAGGCGAGACATTGAAATGTTTCTACAAGGCAAGGGTTGATAGTGACAAGGAAACCCACTGCAAAACACACAAGTACAGTGGCAGTAAGCGAAAACTATGATAGCTATTCTCGGGAACCCAGTACTACTGTAGAGGTCTTTGCGATACAGAGACGTTTGCTAATTCATTATGATGTAGTTTATATAAGAACAGGCCTAGCGGATAAAATGCCATATTTGGGAACTCTCTCCTTTTCTGTACAAGAGCCTTCAAAATCCTTGGTGGCACCGGAAATAAAACGCTGATATAAACTCACACACTCGCCTGTGTAGTCATCATCTTATTACCATCCGTATGAAATAACAGATGCAGTGAAAGACGCTACTCCATTTTTTTAAATTTTACAACACAGTTTATATACTAACTTTTTGTAATGCACGACAACAAACGTGAATGAATTAAAGGAAAAGGTAAAGAAAAATGAACAAACTATATATTTGTGAGAACAGAAGAGGGAGATGGGGGAATGAGCAAGTGTTACACTGCAACCCGGGAAATTCTGCGCTTCTCACCGACAAGTTTCCGACGCATATCCTTTTTAACTCTACGATCGTTTGTGGTTGAACGTCCAGCAAGAGCACCATCGTCATTTGACGCAACAGTAGAGCCATCGTTTGTTGCTGCTGCTGCTGCTCCATGAGTGACCGGGTTCAGCAGATCATCCTTGATGGTGTGGAGAAGCGATGTGGCAAAAGGACATTGGTCGAGTGACAGCAATTGGCCATCGATCACGCGGGAGCCAAGGACTTGGACATCAATCTGCAAGTACTTTTGCTGTTGTTGTTGGTGTGTCGTCTCGTTGGTCATCATAGCCACCGTCTCTTGGTCGGCATCATGATAAAGTGGTGATATAAACGACAGCACGGGATTGTATTGGTACTGCTGTTGCTGGTACTGGATTCCGCTTAGTCTGTCGCTGAGGTCATCATCGTCGTCGTCGGTTGTATCCATGTTAACAGCAGCAGCAGCAGCAGCAGACGTACTGGTGTCATTATTCTGAGGGATTGGTGCGACCTGGGAGAATTCAGAGGAATACAAATAAATCTGGGGAGCGGCAGCAGTCGCAGGGGAAGATGCTGAACCAGCAGAAGCAGCAGAAGTCTTTTGCGACCAGCGCACAAGATCACCCGTCGCCATCATTTCTTCATTTTCTTCGTTGCTGGTGCGACTGAGTCTGTCCTTGATCCACGTTTGTAATGTCTGCGGTCGTACAGGATCCATGAGAACGAGGTCCGTGGTCTTTGCTTCTGCCGCCTTTCCCTGCTGTGGTCCTTGTTTCGGCGCTGCGTCGAGTGTTGCTCGTTCCAACACTTCTTGTCGTTGCTGCTGCTGCTGAATATAAGCGCCGTCCAATGATAATGGTCCGGCATGGCCACCCACTGTCAGTTGATTTACCGTTCGTGCTGGCAATGAAAACAATGCGAACGAGAACAAGATTATCTAAGATACGTGTGTAACAGTTTTGATAAGTTTTTCTTTTCCCTTGTGTATGTGAAAAAAATCATCCAAGATGTGTGTATTTACCATAAACACGACACCGGTTGCTCGGTTGTTGAGCTTGTTGTTATTATGACTCTGTAAAGCAGTTGTTGCAGGTGAATGCATGTTATTGCCCAACCGTCGCCATAAATCATGGTTCTCCTTTTCCAACGTATCCACTTGGGCTTCCAGCGCCGCGACTTTGGTTTTCAATTGATCGTTCTCGACTGACAAGGCCTGCTTTTCCTCTTCCAACGCATTCAAATGCTCCCGTTTTCGTTTCCTTGACAACAATGCAGCTGCTCGGTTTTTGATCAGCCGTTCCTGTCGCTTAGCAATGGCTGCTGCCTTTTGTGAGTCTTGTGAGTTTTCTTGTGGCTCAACTTTGATTGCTACAGGTTGGCTCTGTTGTTTTTGTTGTGTTGTTGGCTGTGATGGAGGTGGTGGTGATGAGGGCGACGATGATGGCTGTTGTTGTTGTTGGGGTGTAGAAGGAGTAACACTTGGTGGTGCTGTCGCTACCGGTTCAGTGGTGGCTGGATTGGGCTTGATATTTTTATTGACCCGTGCGGCTAATGGTCTCAGGGGCGCCGGAGCGATGGATGCAGGAGGCTGTGAGTCGACACGCTTCTTGCGACCTCGTTTCTTTTTTGGCTGCTCATTATCTGATGATGACGACGACAACGAAGAAGACGAAGAGTACGATGAACGAGTGGAAGAATCCACTAATGGCTGCTGCTGCTGCTGCTGTTGTTGTTGTTGTAAATACGCAGGAGGAACAAATGATTGAAAGAATTCGAGCGGTGCAGCTGGTAAGAAAGATGGGTGTGGTAACCAGGTTGTACCAAACGCGTTGAACAACTGTGGTGGTGGAGGAGGAGGTACTTGTACTTGTTGTTGCTGCTGTGCTGTAGTATCAAATGCCATGTCCATTGATTGATGGGCGTGTTGGGAAGCATTGTCAGATGACGACGAAGTCGAGTAAGGTGGTGAAGGTGGATCGTCGACATTCCAGTTGCTGTCAGTAGGAGCGGCAAGACAATCGGCATTCAAGTACGACATTAACAAGTCGTCTTGGTCTTGTTGTGCATCAGGGTCGGGTTTGACGGGTATTGAAGATGGTGATGCCATAGTGCAAAAGTGGTATAAAGCGTGAAAGGTTTGGCGCGTGTAAGAAAAGAAAGAAAGAAAAGGAAAAAAATCGAAACTAAAAACGAGGGGGCTAAGAGAATATTTTGGTTTCGAGTGGGTAGCACCAAATGTTGGTTTAAAGAGCTCAGCCAAAATGGGCACCCCCCCCCCCTTAATTCGCCCGCGCTCGTGCCTCTGTGCGAAAGTGTAATTATAGATTCAAATGAATACCACACTTGTGGTCGATAAAGAATGTGGTTTAAGGACACCGAGTATTGCTGCCATTTGGTTCTTTATAGCATGCCCTTATGACATTTCCTCGCGGTCATATGGACCTTGTGCCTGTCGACTTGGCCTTTTTGTTACTCGGCCAAATGAATGGAGAGTTCTGTGGATTACATGATAGTTGCGGGAAAAAGAACTAAATTATGGTGGTTTTACGCTCGCCGCGGCTCTTGACAATTAATCAGGTTTGCTACATGTATTTTTGTTTTTTGATGATCTTACATGATTTTTTATACGCCCGCATCGTTGTCGTTACTTGTCATATAGATTCGATACGGTGCAAAATTGTTGTCATTACAATATTTCAAGCCAAAACAGGTTGGTGTTGTACACATACACACTGCTCACGTGGTCACAAATAAATAAACTAAAAGCTAAATTTAATATGTCGCCTTCTGTCGTCAGTTTGGTTGCCTGCTCTGCTCTCTATACAATAGTTCGAATGATATATGATGTATGATTTACAACGTACTGTTTATAGTTGCAATTTGAGTTTAGTAGAGCGATGGCATTAATCTTAACATTGGAGGATGTGATACTTTACATAGCATAGAGGAAAAACAAGGTATATTTTTATAAAATTGAAAATCAGACACACAATGTTTTCCTTTATTGCAAGAACCGTTTACTATTATACATGACATTGTTAGTTATGCTATTGATCCTACATATCATTGACACATACAAAGTTTATCCGCACCGTAACAGGTCCATGGATGAATTACCGACTTCTTGCTTATTTCTTAGCCTCAGTCCTCTGAGACGCTTCCACTGAGCGATACTCTTTGCTGCTTATGTGTAAGAGTCATGCCACGCAACTCAAGGTATAGTAACAACGATAAATATCCAACAATGGATCTGGCGATGCCGCTATATTTGCTGCTCTGAGCTGCATCTTCATCATCGTTTCAACGAGTCACAGACAGCCGTTCAAGACTCTAATTCATCGCAGGATTATTGGGAGACGTTCTTAAAAGCGCTTGATACCCGTATCACAAGCTCAAGAAAAATGATTTTTACATGATGAATGACGAGACAGGTCACCAGTCCTCCACACTACCGCCGTACGGGCCGCCATCGTCATCCGTTTCTAGAAACATCGGTTGAAGGGCATTGCAACTTTCGGCCAACCGAAAATTTAATGATGTAGCTGGTCGAATGTTACTAGGCGTAACATTTTGTGTTAATCCCTGATTTATATCAACATCGTCGTTGTCGATAATGAGAGTTCTCCATACGTCAGCACAGTCCAGAAAGATATTCCTTTAAGTTCTACAGGTGTCCCAACATCGTATCGCTGTCTCTTGATCAAGTCGACTGACGATAATGCATACGATGTCGTACGGATATCGAGCAATAGGGACGCTGACTTTATCTTGTCGGTGCGTTTGTATCAGTAGCAGCGCGTCTTCTAGCGTCGAATTCGCTTGCTTTTTTCGTCGTTGGTATTCATGCTAAAGTGGTAATTGCTCTCTTCTAATTGTTGCTCTGAATTGTTTGAAATTGTTTGAATTGAAGCCCTTGCGGTATCTGGTGTTGAAGCTTGTCATTTGCTTTGTATGGTTCTGAAAACTGACATTTGATTGAATCAAATTGCTGGCAAAAGATAAAACAATCGCCTGACTTCTAAAGAGCTCCAAAATGGGGAAGATTCTCATCTTAGTCCCGTTTTAATAAGGTAAGCACTGCATAAACATCTGAAGATTATAACACAAAACTTCAATTCAATAACCATTAATATATACAGTACGTATGCGCTTTCTTAAAAGCTGGCTGTGTCCCAGTGTAAGTCCTCCTATAGCTTCCAATGTAAGCTTCTCCAGGTTCTTGCAAGCGGCAATACGATGAGCAGCCTCAAACGTCAGTGGCAATCCACCGAGTTCTAGAGTTGATAGCAAAGATAAATTTTCTGCGCTCGAATGTGCAAATGCAGTTACATCCGATGCTTGTACTGGCTGACTGGCCGAGCAGCCTATAGATAGTGTATGCAAACTTTGGATCGTTGCAATGTCTCGCAAAACTGATCCTGTAAAGCCATCGCACCGTTGGACTTGTAGATCACCGAGTAGCCCAAGAATGTTTGAAGGGACAGATTGATCTTGCTCATGGCGCGTCATCAACATGGCGGAACAATAGTGGTAATGCTCTAACAACCGTTTAAAGCCTCGACCGCGAATATCAAGCCCATGCAAGTGTAATGTCTCTAGTTTGCTTAAACCCGCGATTGCGTCGAACAGATGATCCCTCATAACCGCGTCTAATCCATCATACCGATCGTTTCGTACCCGATAGCTTTGTATCTCTAACCATCGTAGTGACGGGCAGCAACGTAGAATGGCAGGAAGGTGTTCATAAAACGTCCGAGGTCCGTTGCATACATAGAGTTGTGTCAGTTTGTGCATTGGGATCGATGAGAGTGGTCGCCAATCAGCTAACGTACTGTCATGACTACCAACAGGGTCCATAGTGAGCGCCAGTTTTTGTAGACTGTCACCACTCTTGGCTAGTCGATGGGTCAATGGCTTTGCCGAACGTAATTCGCTTAGCACTAAGCATTCAAGTGCTCCATTGCTCTTCTTTCTGTTGATATCGCTGACCGCTGTCGTAGCCGTTGCCGCGGTTGACGAGGTGGTGGGGGTATCACGTGGAAGATTTAGATATCCTGTCTGTATCTCCACCAGTTCGGGACAATCGTTTCCAAGCACTGACAAGATATCGCCCCCATCAAGAAATAAGCATTCTAGTTTTAAATGTCGAAGATGCGGTGCGTGGTGAAAGATCGGTTTAAAGGTCGATAATGGTACTGGATTGCGCGAGAAAATATCGATCCTTGATAATGAAGCTGCAACGTTGCTGTTGTTGCCAGGAATAGAAAAAACGGACCATTCCTCGTCGTTGTAGTTGAGTGAAAGGACGTTGAGTTTTATAACATTGAGCTTTCGGCAAGTCGACAATATACGTCCGATAGAAACATGCATGAACGACCGCGAGTTCAGGTCCAGCCTGGTTAAAGTGTGTGCAATGTGAGGTAGAGCAGTGTATAATATTTCGGTCAAGTCGAGAAATGGCCCATCATCTGGCACTCCAATTTTCAAACGAGTTCAAGAATTATGGCGTAGAGGAGAGGGGAAAGAGAAGTTTTATTACTATTAATACAACGATGGTTTTTGACTGTTGCTTTATACAGTATATTGTTTCTGTTTATGCTTACCGCTATAGGAAAAAGTCAACGATCGCAGGCTGGAAAAATTATTGGCTCCAATCAATTCGAGGTGTTGCTTGACACTTTCGGGCAAAGCAGTGATACGTAGCTTTTTTATATGTCTGGACATAGCTGGAAGCAGATGAAGGATCTTATGCATTTCCGGTGTGTTTTGCTGGTCATCGATAGTAATGTTATCCCACAAGTCTGCGCAGTTCAATAGCTTGTAGCGCCAGATATGACAGACATCCAAACATCGTGCCATGGTTGCTTCATCTAATTGACTTATTATGGAGCACATGATTTCGTACGGGCTCCGCACCATGAAATCCACAGTGGGCCTCTGCTGTTGATGAGAAGAGCCTGATATTATTGTTGGTGGAGGATGTCTATGTGCAGTTGCTAACGGCATAAAGTTTATTGTCAAATCGGAGGAAGAGAAAAGTATAAAGGAAAAAACCCTCAAAGTCTTCAGAAGTACGAGCTTAGATGTGTGCATTTGCAGACGCAATCGTAATAGGCGCTTACTACACTGCAGATCTCATGAGCACAGGTGACGCCATCATCGGATATTTTCTGCTTTGTCAGTCATATGCACCCTCAACAAACAAGATACGTGATGCATTTGATTAAAGAAACACTTGATTATAGATCTATTAACAAAAAAACAGCAGAGGTATATATATAACACAAATAAAAGAGAAACTTCTATACAACACATTTTGTGCAATGCGTGTTCAAGGGTGCGTGTTTGTATGCCCTGCACACAAATGTCATGCACAACACGATGAAAAGAGGAAAAAAAGGCGGGAGGTGGAGATACAAAGAAAAAGTGAATCTAGTTTATACATAATTACATAATAAATATTAATATAGACGATTTAAACCTTGCTGACACCAGGGATAGGTTCAGCAGCAACGTCCTGTTGAACCTGAGCCATTAGTTCGGCATCGTGTGCAGCGGAATTGCCACCAAAGATGGCGTCCATTTCTTCAAGCGTACGGCCCTTAGTTTCTAGTAGTTCGAAGACAAAAATGGTTATTAGTAAATCGAGACAAAGGAAGTTCAATAAGCAGATTATCATGGTCAGCAGCTTACCAGGTACCAAGAACAAGACAAAGAAGAACGAGATAAAGCAGAAGCAGCCAAAGAACACGTAGGTACCATAGCCAATGCTGTCAAGCATAGGTGGAGTGATCAAGCCAATGATGAAGTTGCACATCCAGTTTGCCGAAGTACTGATAGACATGGCCTTGGCACGAGCACGAAGAGGAAAGATTTCAGATCCATAGACCCAGCCAATTGGACTGGAAGATGACCGGGTAAGTATTCAATACAAAATAACAAAATTTACGATGAAAGGAAAAGAGAAACTTACCCCCACGAATAAGCAAAGTTGGCGATAAAGATGTACACGAAAACGACGGCAACCCAGCCTTCCTTGGTGTGGTTTTCCCAATCATCCGAGAACATGCCAACGATAACAGCAATGATAATCATGCAACAGGTCATGAAAGCCGAGGCGGCCAACAACATGGGCTTACGTCCAAAGCTGTCAAGGAAAAGAACGGTAGGAACGGTCAAGACAAAGTTGATGATACCAACGACACCAGTAGCCAAAAGAGAGACAGTATCGCCGGTCAAGCCAACGGACTGGAAAATTTTGGGAGCATAATAAATCAAGGCATTGACACCAACGAACTGTTGGAAGAACATGATGGCGCAAGCAATGAACAAACGGTTGAACATGCCCTTGCGAAACAGTTCAACATAGCCCAGCAAGTTGACCTTGATAGCAGCAGTACGGGTCCCTTGTTGCACAAGATCAGGATACATTTCAGCTTGCACACGGCGATCAAACTCGACCGTAGCCTTGATTTCACGCCATTCGGCAATCGCAAGTGGGTCGTCAACAGGAACACGGCGCAGTTTGGCAAGCACACGCAATGACTCTTCGTCGCGACCGACAGAGGCTAACCAACGAGGCGAGAAGGGGAAAAACAGGATGCCGACACCGAGGATAACACCAATAGCAATTTGCAAGCACAAGGGCACGCGCCATTGCGCTTCGTTGGAAATGAATTGCGTACCATAGTCAATCCAGAAAGAAATGAGGATACCGAATGTCACGGCTTGTTGCTGCAAAGATACGAGCGAGCCACGGATTTCAGGTGGTGCGATTTCGGATTGGTAAAGTGGGCTACATGAACGAGTGATTAAAAATTAGATGTCTGGCTAAAACTTTTGTCCGTTATCATGCTTTTTGATGGAAACTTACACAAGCATACTAAGGGCACCGACTGCCATACCAGTGACAAACCGGCCGCCGAACATATAGCCAACGTTTTGAGCACCTCCTTGCTAGAAAAAGAAGAGTTTAGTAGACGAAAAGAGACGGATAATGAATCAGATACCAAATACTTACGATAGAGCTGCCCAAAAGAAAAACAACGCTGAACAAAACGATGGAATATTTTCGAGAAATCTTGTCCGCAAAGTAACCGACAATCCAAGCGCCAACCCAGGCACCAAGTTCCAGAATGGACACTACCAAACCGTTTGTGGTCGAATCCATGGGAAATCTGGCCATAAATGTCTATGAAAGCATGCGTCCCATATGAGCACAATTTATCCATTTATGGTATATTTATATATGTGTCTTCTTCATCTAGTAGCAAGTATTGAAAGGATCGCCATGATGGTGCTACGTACCTCCATTTCTTGTACACCAGAAATGACACCTTGATCGTAACCGAACAAGACGCCACCAAGTGATGCAAATAAGGCGACTGCAAAGACATAGGGATTTTCAATGATGCCTTTGATACCGGAAGAACCTTTACGTTGTTGTATAACGACAGCGTTATCGTCTACTCCTGTATGTATATCGTGTTTACTGTCTTGCATTGTTTTTTTCTTTATTCTCTCTATGTTGTAGTAAAAGGTAGTGGTAAAAAAGATAAAAACAAAGAAAAAAAGGGAGGTGAACTTTCAGTGGGTAAATAGATGCAGGCTTCCTTTTTATATTCAATTTCTTCTCATATTAATATCACTGCACCTCCCCCCCCCCTATACCACCAACATGTCTACCCCGCCAGCTGTAAGTGTTATATGTAGCGCAACGTAGGAGAGTCAACTGCAACATGGTGTACTCCCTCAGACCTCCCCTCCCCCCAAAGAAGGGCGAACGGAAGGTCCCCGCAAGTGCGAAAGAGCGGATGTACTATCTTGCTCCCAGTGTTTCCTCGCGTTTATGACCAAATAAAGGCAAAATAATAGGAATTCGGGACCACTCTGAAACGCACTGAAACAGGCGGGAAGCTGGAAAATAGGGAAAAAGCTGTAAAGATAGTATCGCATAGATAAGTATGCACAGGTGGCGTGCAGGTTGCTGTTGTTTGCAGTGCTGTATGATGGCTACATCAGGTAGCAAACTGCATATGATCCCATAAAAGAGATAATGACCGTGCATCCGTTTATGTTTACCCTGGTTTTCTCTCTTTGCTCCCCACAAAAGTGCTATCTTTATACACAAGTTCCGACATAATTGAGCGCGCCCCACACACACCCGTCAACGTCAACAGCATCATCAGCACCTTACCCAGCGTCATATCGTCATATTTGGGTCTTTTTTCTTGTTCCGCACATTACCCCGCCTCTTCCCAGCTCCATCGACCGCCCTGTGCAACCCGGAAGAAGGTTGACACGTAACATAAAGCGAGCGCTGTAAGATGTCTGCTAGCTATGTGCATGGTGCATACTGAGCCTTGTTATCTGCATCTTATATGCACCAAGACAAAGCAAGCAATAATAGCTTTGTGTTTGCTACTAGTTTAGAATTTTCAATTGCTGCTGTCAACTTTTCCAAACAAATATCTTTTCTTTACAGGCCTAGTAAACGTTTTTGAGCTAGCAGAATTAAAATTTTTACCGTATCGAATGAGAAACCATCATTTTCGATTTCAGGGTCGCTGCTTTTGTCCCGCGCTATTCTGCAAGCCCGCGGCATTCGGCGAATTGGAGCTTACCATAGTTCAGGGTCGCTTTCGACCGATATCATTAACAAATGAGGAGGAGAATGTTTCTCATGTGAATGGAAAAACACTTTTTTTTTAACTTGTAAAGCCGTAGTGCGGGGACTATTGATCAAAAAGTTTATATGCTTATAAAGCACACCCGGATGAGCTCAAAGATATGTTTCGGGAATAGTTTCCCCAGGTCTTAGCTTGGGATCAGCTAATAACTCCTCTCCGCAATCCCCTTTTCACCACTCCACACTGCTCTCTAAAGTATGCATATACAGCTATACACTGCCTTGGCGAGCTGAGGGCGGGGGCGGAAGAGTTTGTACGGTAGCCTCAGCGCTGGGAACTGCCCGATAACTTGTCAATAAATCCGAGTGCTTGGCACTAATTGGATGAAAATTGAAGATACGAACTGATTGTGGTTGGGCTATGATGTTATATCCGTCATTCTCTCAGTTTTACTCTCCTGTAAATGCCCATCGAGTGTATCGGATACGGAGAACATGGTAAGGAAGCAGGGGACATTCATTGTTTATCTTTCTATGTATTTCCTTCTTGTGCAAGTGCCGTACTTTGATTTTTGATTTTTTGCTTTCGTTCTTTTTTAGCGTTTGCACGTATTTTCTAACATTTGTATCATGTATACCTTGGTAAGCCTTCTCTTCGTTACTTCTTTGCAAGGGAGGCAGAAGAAAAGGAGAAACTTACTATACTCTCGGCGATTGCTATTCGTTTCTCAGCATCGCATTGTCTCTTTATAGCGTCTAATGCGAGGCCTTTGCGTTCTTTAAGCCTTCTGGCCCTGCTACGATAGCTCCTTTCTAGTTCATCAATCAAGTCTTCCAAGGCTTTGATCTCAGTCCTCGAATCATCGTCGTCGGCACTTTCTTCTTCAGCGCTTTCAAATTCTTCCTCCTCCTCATCATCATCGCTGGGCGCAAAAAAAAAAAAGAAAGCTGAGGTGTTAGCAATAAGTTTACGTATAATTTATAGTAGCTAATAAAATACTGTTCACAAAGAACCTACTCTGTATCACTAAGCATTTTTAACTTTTTGTAGATCGGATTGTCACTCGTAATTATCGTAGTGGTTTTACTTCGTCCTCTAGTAACCGGACGATTAGGAGGCGGAGGCGGAGGCGGATGGGTATCCTCGATGACAATAACAGCTTCTCTTTGGCTTGTATTGGTCTTGATGGTTGGAGTAGTGCTTCTGCTATTACGTTGGCTTTTGGCGGTGGTACTATGATTACGGCTTTTTGTCGTTGCTGGTTTCGGGCTCATACTGTTGCCGCTGGTAAGACTAGATTGTCTCAAATTTTTGCTCAGGCTTCGTGTGATGATTTTATCGTTGGTGAATGCTCTGCTTCTTGTCATCACGCCTTCAGTTGCTGGAATTTCTTTCCCTTTAACAATAAGGGTACTCTGTGATGATGATGATGACGCATTGTTGTTGTCGATACCAGTATTTGCATTTCTTGATTTTTGATCGGCATTAATACTAGCTTCACTTGCGGTGCTATCAATGCTTTTTGTTCTCGTTGACCTTCCTCGCGTGTAGACGGTCAATGGTCTACCTCTTGTCGCGATTCGACTTCTATCGCGCGTCACTGGTCGCTCGTTCGTCATTGCTTTCGATTCATCACGATTTAAACTCTTTAATCGTGTCATGCGTCGTTCTTCATTTTGTTGTTGTTGTTGAGCGATCATACTATTATCGTCGCTTTCCTCCGCGGTTTTTTCACTGCTACTACTGTCGGTACTACTGTCGTTCCTGCTGCCACCTTTTGTCAATCGACTGCTTTTCCTAAGCTTATTTACATCGCTAGTAGCAATTACGCTACTACTTCTGCTAGATAACGGTGAAGATGATGTTGCCAATTGTTTACGTTTCGACCTGCTATGCCGAACGATGTCGCTATCAGTACTACTACTGCTGGCACCACTACTGGTACTAACAGTTCTTCTGGTACGTTTTCGTTTCGCATTGTTGTTGTTGTTAATATATCGTCGACGCCGTTGTTCGTCCGGAACTCTTCTGCTATTGCTCATACTGCTCGTGGCTCTATTGATTCGTTTGCCTTCACTTCGAGTGATCATTGTTTGATCGCGCGCCTTGCTCCGCGTCAAGATACCCTCGCTGAAGTTTCTGGGTAGTACTGAAGATGAATTGAGTTGACGTGTTTTTCTTTTGTTCTTGACATTGTTGCCGCTGCTAGTGGGAGGAGACGATGGTGGAGGAGAGTTTTGTAACAAGGCTGATTCCTGTGTTGTTGATTCATCGTTATTGGTATTTCTTAATTTACTTAACGTCGTGCCCATGATTCATTTGTAGCAGAGCTTAAATGTTGAAAGATGCCGTTTTTTAAATCGAAGGAGAAGAAGGAAAATGGTGATGATATGATTGATGGCAAACTATTCAAAAGGATATACGTGGACGAGTGGTACAACAGCGCTATTTTTACAGAGAGGCGTTCGTGGTCCGTTCCCGCCGCGTTTGTCCTTTTCAAATCCAAGACGATGAAATACTCTGGCTGTTCAAGTAGCTCCTCCTTTTTCGCCTCCAATCTAAATCATCACAGTATATATCTAATCGGGACGGACTACCATTTGCTAGTAACGGTTCTCTTGCAATTTCTTCATTATCGAATCCATCCCAATCATAGTTTATAAATTGTCCATAGGGTAGCTGCAAGAGCTTTTGGGACTAGCCACCGGATTTGCTAGCTCATATGAGTCACCAGAGAAAACTTGGCAGTTATGCATGCTAATATGTAGGTTATCGTAAATGCGTCAGTCAAGAAGAAACTGCATGGATGAAACTGTGCTTCTTTTCCTGCTAGGGAACATACTTTATTCTTGCCCGTGCCGGTTGTTGCTTGACGTGATTGTGACTAGTCGCTTTTCTCTTAAGAGTTTGGATCTAATACAAGGTCTTAGACTAAGATACATAATATGCCATTTTTATTATTAACATAGTTATGCGGTTTTATCTATTAGCCATCGACATTATGCATGAAGGTATCATGAGACCATTTATGAGTGAAGCATGCTGTGTGATACGAAGTAAAGGGCAACAACTTGAGACATAATCCCTTTTCTGACATTTCAGCTCCGACAGCCTCGCTGCTGGTCAGGCGTTTTGAAGGGCACAGTGCGGAGAAGTGATATTCCTCCCTTTCGATTGATTTGTTATAGTCATGGTGCGTAGAAACGATGGGGATAGAGAGGGAAGAGTGAAAAGCAAAGGAAATACGATGGATGATGTTCAAAATAGAACGGATGGATGGATGGATTCGACGAGAAAATCTCGGACGGATGAATTTAAAGTTAAAAGAAACGACGAGAGTGGGAATATGGTCAAATTCTGTAAAATGCATGTAACTCATTCATCAATTCTGCAATTTCAATTAAGCCTTCCAACAAATCGTTCCGGACCAAGGTCAAGCTTGGCAAGAAGCAAAAGCAGAACCGTCCTTTGCCCCATTGGTTCCGCATGAAGACTGACACCAAGATTCGGTAAATTATCTCTCTATAAACGACGAAACTTGAAACTCGATTCATATGTGGCGATTTATAACTTACTCTCTATACTTTATAATGATATTATTAGCTGGAACGCCAAGAGACGCAACTGGCGCCACACCAAGCTCAACATCTAAAGCAGAGCAATCTCTCGAATTGTCCAATATATTCCAATTTTTTCTCGTGTATCGCTTATTTACCACTTGGTTTGTTTGCCTCGTCTCTTTGGAGAGGGGAAATAAAAAATTCGGAAGGACTGCGACAAACTCCCCATTTCACGTCATTTCGAATATCATAAAAGTCTGGAAGGAGAATGGTTTCGTCTTTATGCAAGCTTCTTCGGTACTTTACAGCATTGAGAGAAAAGCTTGTGTTCGAGAGGGAAAGCATTTTGAGGGTATGCAAACGGAGGGATACGGTCATGCAAGGGTATGGGATATTAGTGGTGTATAAATAGACTATGATGTACTTTATTGTTGAGGTTTAATATCCAAGACATGAAACAAAATATGATTTTTGCATGAGAATATATAATAAGGAGGGGTGATTGTGCGTGGATTAGGAAATGAAGAGATATAAATTACTAGCTTTGGAGTGTACACAAGAGTAAATGACGATGAAGAAAAGGGTGTGCGAAATAAGGAGAATGTGAGGGATAGGAAAGGCCAACATACAGGAAAAGAATAAATTAGTACACGTCAGTTGGTAGGCTAATAGACAATGTATACCGGTGGACAGTGTGAAAGAGACTCAAGATATAACTCACCAAGGATTGAGTAATGGAACAAAGGATGACCAGACGACGGGCAGCATACATGATGATCCATTTCTAGTCAGTAATCATATCTTCTATACTACTTCATGACACATGATGGTGAAGAAGAGGCCACAAAGCAGAGTAAAAAAAAGGCATACCACCTATAAAGTATTATAAACAGAGTGAACACACATGTTTGTACCACACTTAAAAGATCCTTTCCCCCTTCTTCCAAGAGACACTCTTCCCTATAACCCTCGAAAATTAAAAGAAAATCATATCTTTACTTACAGTTGGTGGCAGTCCATGAGGTACTACGCCACATGGGGGGCGACGGCCACAGCTGGACTACATAGAGCACCACACAACAATTGTTAGGAAAGAATAATAACGCTGTACAAACGGAGGTGAAAGTCTTACCATTCCATGTCCGCTTGTGGCAAAACGAAAATACTAGCGCATAGGGCTAGACTTCGGTTTGGGGCCAGGTGCCTCTGTAGGATATAGTAGCGGGAAGAATCGTTAATAACACATCGCGATAGATAGCGGTGGGTAATGGAGAGAGGAAGCATCATGTGTGTAGCATAGAAAAAAGAATACTAACGTCGTGTACAGAGAGCAAGAGAGAGCAAGAGAAAGACAGAGAGAGCAAGAGAGCTATCAAAAAAAACAGAAGAGGCTCGATCGTGAGTAATCGATACCACGGTCATCATCATCTTTGACACACACCATGTACACTCTTGCTTCTCTCCTCTTTTAAAGCAGTAACCGGGCGAGGCCGAGGAGGAGACGGCTATAGAAATGAAAGAAAGCAAGAGATTTGATCGTAAGTCGTCGTGATACTTCTTGACAGACATGCACACCACCACACGCACGGTCATGCGATGGATCCCGTTTCCCAAGAGTTATACGTACAGTTGATGACGAGGAGGAAGGAGAAGGAGAAAGGAGCGGAAGAGAAGAGGCCAAAGAACTATGAATGGGTGGGAACGCGTACCTTTTATATAAAATTCGTTGTGAATAAATGGAACAATCGATTAGATTCTTGGCAATTGCGTGATTTATCTGTTGTCCAATACAGTAGCCAAACGAGCACATAGGCGATGAGGTCAACACTAAGGCAGCACGATGCATGTTTCAGTTAACAGTGCAGCAGAAAAACGATCGTTTTTCATTGACCATTCTACATTATTAGCTATAGTGTCGTCATTTATTATTTGAAATGTATCAATATTGATATGATATGTCATTCTATAGCCACGGCTCTGCTCTACATGAATATTTCTTTGCTGAATGACGAATATAGTCCGTTTATTCGAAAAGGAAGGAAGAAGAGGGCACTGTCGCAACTGACACGAACCAACTGCATGCTTCAGACTCGATTGTTCGAGAAACAAGTTCGAGACACGGTGAAGGGGAACCTGGCATCATTTTTAAGACTAATCAATTTCCAAAGCAATATTCCGCCACAATTTATCGTCGTAAATGTAAATGATAGTAGTATCATGTTAAAGCTAAAGACCTGCCTTTCTTGTGATAACCTATTGTTAATGTCATGAATGGATAAAGAATGAAGGGGAAGAAGTAAAGAGTTTGACAGGACTCGTGGGAAGGCAAGTTCGCGATGCATGAATTTTCTGCAATTGCTTCCGCTGCACACAAGTACGGGAGAACATTGACGAAGGGTTGACGCGTTTGTTGTACGAAAAATGGTCGTGATACTATGTAGAGTTAGATTAACATAAACGGGGTGCTGTCACCGATACTCGAGAGAGCACTCTTGGAACTGCGGACGCGAAAATTCGATGCTGCATGTAAATGTTGGTTCATTATATAAAAAATGGGAATGAAAAGCGCGGCTTTGGGAGCCAACACCACATCAGAGGACGAGGCGGAGCCAACGGGAATTCGGGCAGGAACGAAGCCCAATGAATTTTTACATATCTGTCAAATAACATCTGCGGCCCTTCGTTATACATTTCTTTGCAACATGTCAAGCACTCCTACTCTAAATTCATCAGGCACTGCTAATAACACTCAAGTCAGTGTCAATGAACGCAGCAAAAGCATTTCTCGAGGAGCAAGTCCAATCGGCAATGACAAGACATCTCGAGAACTTGGCGGAAATCACAAGAAACATGTATCTTTTGAGGCAGGCGCATTGGAAGGTGCGTTGATTAGTAGTTAGAGCGCTAGAGGATTTAAAGAAGCATATCAACCTCAGTAACACTAATTTTTTGTTTGTTGTTGTTTGTTTATTCTTTTAAGTCGTGGTGCAACAAACTAGAGTTTAGAGATGGCGACACCGTCACTGAAGCCAAACTTGTTGCTTTCTTGAAAGAAGTAGTGGCCAAAGGTAACATCAAAAACAAGAAAGGTAAGCTCCCAGACGGCAAATCCAAGCGCTTGGGTAAAGAAGCACTACAGGCTTATGCCAAGGCAGTTATAGCATTACAAGCTGTGCAAGCCAGTGTCCTTGGAAATATGCACCCACCAGCCCGAGGAACGATTGTCAAGAACTTCTTGAGCGATTACGACCGGGAAAATGCAGTGCGTAAAAGAAAAAAGTACGAGGACCCGTGGCATAAACACACTCAACGACGGATATACGTTGGATGAGCTAAAGCTCGTTTCACGCTATCAAATTGGACGTAATACGCCTCATCATTTGCGCAACCGACTGGATTTATTGCTGGGCCATGCGATACTAGGTCGAGGACCAAGCGTATTATGCAGCTGTTAGATTTGTTCTGTACCGAATTCAAGGTTGAAGACCCGACCAAGTGTATTGCTCTGGTTACCACTATGGATAAGGGCAAGACCAATCAGCATGGAAGAGTCGAGTACGGAGCTGCCATCAGACACCGCTGTGCAGAAGTTTGTCCCATTGGGGCTTTGGCATTCCACCTTTTTTGCCGCTGGCATATTGAAAACGAAGAGTTCCCGGATTTCACATCATGCAGACATTGGTACGACATACACGTCTAGAAGGGTGCCAACCGTATACGAGCTATCACTTACAATACGCAAAGAGATGGGTATCAAGAACCGCTCCGAGCTGTTGGTATTTGATCAAGCAAAATAACGCACATCAATCGCGGTAGTGTTCTGAGGTCGATCACTGAACAAGATGTTTCTGACAGTGATCAACGTCGAATTGGACGGTGGGGTTCAGACACGATTATCGGATGCTACTTGACAAGTCTTCCGAAGCCAGCGATTCGTGCTTTAGCTGGTTTCTATGCTAAAAAAGCTGGTGCATTTTGGTTACCAAGGGCCAAAATCGATCCGCCACAGAGCTTGCAACAAAACGTTTTTCCTGATATCGAGTACTGGGAAAACAAGTTCGAGACGAGAACTGTCCAGAACGATCTCGCAAGTCCATACTTTTTGGAATTCTTAAAATTTTTGAGGATTGTTTTTATTCAGGTATATATGTAGCTACTATTTATTATATCATATTGCATAAAGCACAACTTCAAGGCGAGATCCCTAAAGTATTTCTGATATCATATACCATTATTTTAGGACTCTGTGGTTCTGAAAAAGCTTCATCCAACCCATTTCTTGTGGGCCCACGCCATATTTGACGATCCGCTATACAAACAGTATGAATTGGACATGTTGCGTTATCTAGCAAAGAACCAGCGAAGAAGAAGAGCCGTTAGGTATACAAATCGAAAGGGCTATGTCACATTTAACGGAACTACTACGATCTTCATTCGGAAACATCAACAGCGACATCAGTGGGATCAGAAGCGATATTAAGGCTCTTGGAATGTCACAGCGACAAGGTTTTACCAGTACCCTATAAGCTGTTGACTCCATTTTTCCAACCCGTTTGTACCTCTCCCGCAATCCGCCGAATATGGCCCCCCGTACAGAAGTTGACGTCGCAAGCAACGAGATCCTTCAAGTTGATCATCAAACTGCCACAACTGGCGATGTGCTCCCATTGGAAACTGCATCTTTGGCATCGCCGTCACCGCCTCCACAAAGCTTTAAGCTTAACAGAAAGCTTCTAACTGTCATCGATGTCTGGCGCGAGTACACCATCGGAATTGCTGGGCAGCCTTCAGTTCAATTTCTGGAAGAAGGAATCCCACGGAGTCGAGGTTTTTTTTGCCGGAGAAAACTGATATTTGAAGAAGTCGAGCGGATAGCATGAGAAAGCTATATATCAACCACTGATGCTGCAAGCCAGCTGGAAGACAAACGTCGTGATTTCGGGATCAGAATAGACAAATTGGGAAAAGAAATCAAGCGTCGGAGAACCGAGGAGTAAGATACATAGAATGATCCATAGATTATTGAATAAAGTTGTCACCTATTATACAAGTTAAAATTTTATTGTGATTCGAGAAATACATAATATGTGCAAAAGAAGCAATCAGTACCATAAGAACGGGTTAATTTACAATGCCTCTACCTACTGTACGTTGAAAAGTTGTTTTCCATGAGAAGCTTTGGTTTCTTTATATACCAGTCTTTGTCTCTTAGTTGTTCAAATGTAGGTTCAATCCACATATATCAGACCATCTGTATTAGGCTAACATATATAGGGGACAAATTAACATAGCATAAGATTGTAACACTTTCTATATGGAATGGCCACTACTGATTCTATATGATAATACTTAAAGATATAATTTGACATATTTCGTAGTGAATTTAATGAAAGTGAGTACTGGTCAAGTGCATCACGTTGTGCGCTGTAGTATGCAAACCAAAATTACTGAGAGTGTTATCCTCCCAGTAAGGAGGATAATGATACCCGACGAAGGGTTATGGTGACGCATCAAAGTTGAGAGGCTAAATCAATATGCAGCTACTGCACTCAATGTAATGGTAACACTGCTCGAAAGAAAGAGTATGTAGCAATTTGACGAGGTATACAACGCTAATATTTACCTAGGGCGAAGAGATTTTATAAGGTTTAGTTGTATGCCATGGCTGTTAAAGGACCAACCTGGCCTAAGCTCCTGCCCCTCAATGTGACACCTGATTATATAGACGTGAAATATCATGCGTAAAAAAGGTACATCTCGGATTTTGCGTATGACTATTGCAATTGCGTTACCGTCGACAGTGACGATAATGAAGTCCACGAAGTCATCGCTGAAAGATCAGTACTCTGACGCGTTCGTTCTGTGTGATCAGTTTTATGAAAACCAGTTGAAGTGGTCGTTTTTTCAAAGTACAGCAAGTTGGAGTTTTTTAATTTTTCCCAATTTTCAGCGTGGGTCTTAAGCTCAGCCAGATTGTTCAAACTTGGGTCTCAGACCCGACAATAAAGTACCCACATGTGTATTTACACCAGCAAGATCTTCTAAAAGACCTTTTGTATGGGAATGCTTCAAAGTCGACTAATGTAACGACCACATATACCAGGTGTTATCTTGGATTTGTATGATATGTATTAACAGGAAAGTATGTAAACACCAAGCTAAACTCTGAGCGGCACTAGTAGTATACGCATACGTATATTCCAAAGGATCGTTAATATGTTCTCTGAAGGCACTTGCTCCGTGTATAGATGATGATCTGTAGTGTAGCATTAATTATAACTTAGAGACGAACCTGCTGCATAAAATCATGTTTAATGAATTGCCATTGCATATTTTCATTCATTTTCGTATTCTACATAGATCTACAGTACAGTAACATAATTCTATAGGAAGGGGTATACTATCACTGTCATGTAGATTTGTATGAGTTCCTTCAGTTCTCAATCAGACATAATGCATAGAAGTTTTTTTTTAGATATATATAATAAAAAAAAGAGATAGCATTATATCTAATAGATTGCTTCAAACTTTGTTGATTTAGATGCTTCTTCTGTTGAATGATACATATGGTTTATTCGTTTTGTGTACGTCAAATTATCACTCCTGCACGGTATTTATGGTAGTTCAAGATCAATGCTTTTGTTGGATCTTATGTATTTCAACCCACCATCCGTGATATTTGGCAAGCCCATCAAACAGAGGTCTCTCAAGCTTTGAATTTTGCTGATATACCGAAGAGCTTCATCGCCAATATCATCAATATTGTACAAGGACATGGTTTGGATGCAGGAAGGATCTTGATCATCTGCAAGAGCTCTAGCAAACGCTTCAAAGATTGTTGGATGGATAACCAAGCTGTCGAGATAGATAGTTTCAAGCAATCTGACGGAAGCAAGAGATTCCAATATCGCTTGATTGATTTCCCAGTTGTTGTCAGCCAACTTGACCAACTGTAGACTGCACATATCTTCTTTTTGTGCAAACGCGCGAAACATAGAAATCATTCCGTCTTCGATAAGTCCTGATACGTCGCAAATCGCCAATTCTTCTATACACTCCAATTGAGGCACAGTTTGGAATATGGTAATGTCCAAAAAACTGCAGCTGTTGAATTCTAGCGTTTCCAACACTGGAGATCGTAACAGTATGGCGGTAACCGTACCGGTTAACAAAGGGCCGAAAGAAATCGTCAAGCTGCGTAAGTTGCCAAATGAAATATTATTGGCGAAAAGTGGGTCCCATCGTGCCAGTATAGTTTCATGTCCTTGAACCGCTGCACCTGATACTTTTGGGAAGGTAAAATCCAGCGCCTCTAGTGTGGAAGCATTGTCGGATAGTAAATGCACCGGTCCATCATTTACAGTCCTCTCACTGTTTAGGTTAAGGACCAGATAATGCACACCACTTGGCTGGTCGTCTTTGTCATTAGAGAGCTGTGTTGATGGTGCCTTTTGCGCGATTCCGTACGCAGCGTCTTTAGAATCGTTAATCGCCAGACTGTACAATGACGGGTATGCTGTCCTGATGATATTGATAATCGACGTGTCGCAGTAATTGACGTCCAAGTGATGCACATTTGGGCAGCAATGCAGTATTTTTTCCAACAGAGTGATGCCCATCATATTAAAGTGTAATTGCAGATCAACCAGCTTGTTGACAGGCATCGATGGAATGCCGCCGAGTGCTTCTGCTTTAAAAACGATTTGATGTTGATGGCAAACGAGCTTTGTCAGGTTCTTGCATGTTGAAAGAACTACCCCAAGCGGCAGCACAGGTACAGTAGGAGCGAGCGTGACAAACTGTAGTTCTTTCAGGGTATTTCTGACTTGTGATAAGGCGATCATAGTTCGAAAATGGTCTTTAAAATGGCAATGGTCTATAAACAAAATGAAAAGACGGGTTGACAAAATTGACCGAAATCTTGATTATGCAGTAGCTCATTTCAATTCCAGAAAAGGATGCAGGGTGATAAAAGCAGTATAGTTGCATAGAAACTTACAAAGTCGTAATGTATCGAGCTTTGTATAATCGCCATCCATGATATTTAGAAAGACCTGGTCGCTCTGGTCACTTGACAACTGGAGTAAACTCATAATCTGTACATGGTGGCTGACGTGAGGTAGAGCAGCGGCCACCTGTCTTATCTCGTTCCCGAGGAGACATACGTTCATCCACGGTTTTCGGTTCGCGGCTATGTAGTTGCGCCAAGTACGAGACACACTTGATCCTTGAGCCAAAGTTTCTTGAGGCAAATACTCCATGATGTGATATATTAGATCGCACGGTATACGTGTGGTAAAGTCAGAGCGTTGGTCAAGTTTCGCACTTGCCGCATCGTATTTGTCTTGCATCATGGCACGTTCTGCTTCGAATTGCTCGCCGGATAAAGCGTCGATTCCTTGCCGATATACGGTCATTGCAGCTTTGTACTGGCTTCTGAGAGAGTAGAGCGAGCCTGCGCGCAAATAGCCAACGGCTAAGGTTGGCGCATAGACCATTAGTTTTTGCGCATCCTCGAAACCTTTGTCAATTTGAATTGTCGATCCATAGGCTGCTGCGCGAAAATTAAGTAATGCGATTGCGTTGGTGAACATGTTTGTAAAGTTTACGGTAGCTGACTCGATCGCGTTATGAAAGTCCCTGTTTTCGATTTGTTGTACGCAGGATGAGAAAGCTTCAATACTGGTGTCATTTGGAGTATAGAATCCTTCGAAATGTCTTGGAGTAGTGTCTGAGTTGGTCGCTTGTCGCTTGTTTTGTCCGTGGACACAGTCAGTGGAGTTTCTTCGTTTTGACATGGTTGTTGGTCAAGGTACAAAAAGGAGGCCTTTTTATCGGCTGCGTGAAAATGCGTTGTTCTCCCTCCGCCGCGGACTGCAGTAGGCATAAAACAAGACATATCATAGGTTTCAGTACTGCCAATAAAGAATACATCGAAACAGATAGCTCTGACGTGGTATTACCCGCATTACTTACATCCCTTACTGAAGACGTATGAAACCACGCGTTAAATGATCATGGCGACCAGTTACTCATTTTCTCCTGATGAATGGCTGTTGCTGTATCTACACCACAGGTAGCTTTGATGCCAAGCATACTTTAATCGTTTGTCTGTTTTGGAAGGTTTAGCCACATAAACTCCTTGTTGCCCTTTCAACTTGTTGCTCACCCTCTGTTTTTGGACTTTCCGGCGTATATGAGATAACACGCCGTTTTAGCATCATGACTGCCTTTAGCGATTAGGAGAAGCAAAGCGCAGTAGATATTTCTGCGGCTGGGCATCACCGATATTTACATGTTATTGTTTATTTATCATATCGAGTGCAATAAGGTTTGAAGCGCTCTTTTATTTGGAAAAGAACACATCTTGCAAAAGTAAAAACACAAAAAGTGTGTCTCCAAAACAAAAACAAGAGCGCCGTGCTGACAGGAGTATATTTAAGAAAGTCAATCAGGCTGTACGTACGTACGCAACTTTATTAGATTACAGGGAATAGTCAAATAAAGCAGCGATAATGTAAATGTTTGTTATCCACAGTAACCTTTTATCTCTTTGTTTTCAACTCTCACGGCCACCACACATATTATCGCTATCTTTGAAAAAATCAACTAGATTTTTAGTCTCTGCTCCCGAACTAAGAACACTGTGTACCAAGAATTAAAGGGCTGGGTATGTGCATGTTTTTGCTTTGCTACAGCTATCACAGACATAGAGCAGCAGAGCGTGATGCATGGAATGCATATCAATGCAAGCTGTTGCCATAAAATTTAAGCAGTCTCAATGCCGATAGCAGTTGTTTGATGTACTTAATAGCCAGATATGCATGGATTCTGTTGTTCTGAAAATTTCTAACAAGTATAAAACGTATGGTATATATAACGCACAACAACCCGGGTAACCCAGCCTAGGCCATTCCTATCTGCATGCATTCTCTTTCTCGTATGTTAAGGTTATACTATATATTTTTATATATGTAGGTTTCTGTTGCTTCTCGTGATGGTTATTATAGTAAACCTAATTATCCAGTTGAGCTTCTTCCTCCAAGAAATCTTCTTCCACATCCAAATCGTCGTCCTCCATCTCCTCCTCAACACCAGCCTCCTGATATTGTTGGTATCTAATCAAAAGTGCAGAGTAAGAAACATTACATGTGCATAGTAATAGCAGCAGCAGCAGCATCAACAGTGAGATATGAGAAGAAAAAGGAGAAGAGTTAGGTTGCATGTAATGCGCCATTTTCAGTAACTTACTCAGAAACAAGATCGTTCATGTTGGACTCTGCCTCGGTAAACTCCATTTCGTCCATGCCCTCACCGGTGTACCAGTGCATGAAAGCCTTGCGACGGAACATGGCAGTAAATTGTTCATTGACACGTTTAAACAACTCCTGGATCGCCGTGCTGTTGCCAATGAATGTGCCGGACATCTTCAAGCCGACAGGTGGAATATCACACAACGACGTCTTGACCGAGTTGGGAATCCACTCAACAAAATAGGACGAGTTCTTTTGCTGGACAGCCAACATTTGATTCTCGACTTCCTTGGTAGACAATCGGCCACGGAAGATGGTAGCGACAGTCAGGTAACGGCCATGTCGAGGGTCGGATGCAGCCATCATGTTACGTGCATCAAACATTTGAGCTGTCAGTTCGGGCACCGACAGACTGCGATACTGCTGCGATGCAAATGCAGTCAAGGGCGCAAAGCCGACCATGAAGAAATGCAGACGTGGGAAGGGTACCATGTTGACAAACAGCTTCCGAAGATCCGAGTTGAGCTGTCCAGGGAAGCGCAAGCTTGTAGAGACACCGGACATGACAGCCGATACGAGCTGATTGAGCTCTCCATAGGCCGGGTTGGTCAATTTCAAAGTGCGGAAACAGATATCGTACAGGGCCTCATTGTCGATACAGAATGTGGCATCACAGTTCTCGACCAGCTGGTGGACAGTTAACACGGCATTGTAAGGCTCGACAACAGTGTCGGATACCTTGGGCGAAGGTACGACAGAGTAAGTGCACAGCATACGATCTGGATACTCTTCACGAATCTTGGACAGGAGCAACGAGCCCAAGCCGGAGCCAGTACCGCCGCCCAAAGAATGCGCCAGCTGAAATCCTTGCAGGCAATCTGTGTGTTCTGCTTCCTTGCGGATAATGTCCAAGACAGACTCGACTAGTTCGGCGCCCTCGGTGTAGTAGCCTTTGGCCCACGAGTTGCCTGCACCAGACTGTGCATGCACAAAGTTGTCGGGTCGAAACAGCTTACCGTATCGACTGCTTCTGATCGCATCCATGGTGGCAGGCTCCAAGTCAACAAGCACCGATCGCGGTACGTATTTTCCCGTAGAGCCTTCGTTGTAGTACACATTGATCCGTTCGAGCTGCAAGTCATTATCGCCGGCGTACGCGCCAGTTTCATCGATGCCATGTTCTTGGCTAATGTTTTCCCAGAACTTTTGGCCAATCTGCAGTTCATTTGGGGATAGTAACGTGGCTGAGTGACCTTTTCTTCTTTTATGGCTCAAGATCGTAAGCAAAGAAAAACACTTACTTGATTGCCACATTGTCCTTTAGTAAGAGAAAAAAAGGCAGTAAGACCATGCATACGTTAAGCTAAATATGTTCTTTTCGTCATAGACTTGAGATTGGGTAAACCTGTTCTTCTTACCGGCCTGCACGTGGATGATTTCTCTCATGTTTAGACGAGTTAGAAAAGCGAAAAAGAAAAAAGAAAATGATGCATAGTTTGGAGTTTTATATGCAGTAGCGCTACCATTTTTGGAAGAGCGTGTCGCCCTGTCATCGATGGGTGCACAAAAACACTAAACTTTCTAGTTTGCTTATTTCGTTCTTCTCCAAAGGATTTTATGCATCACCCCCTCTCCGCGATGACACTGCCTGCGCTGCTCGCTCCTCTATGTTTCACAGCCCATGTTTTCTCATATAACTGCATTTGACTCATGACAAAGAGCTTGCTGAGAAATCATGTGCCGTTGTTATAACGGCGAGAAAGAAGCAATAGCGGGTACATACTATGAAGGGGGGCCGCACATGGAGCATTGCACGGAAACCCCCTTGCTACTTTTAACTCCTTTGGGAGGGGTCAAGAGTTGGCATATGGGACGTACATATCGTGGGTTGTACAGATCAACCTGCTTCTGTCTTCCTCTAAAATTTGATCCTGTTGGCGGCAGACTACTGTTATACGACGTATATAATCAGGACACGACTTTTTTATGTCTCAAAAGCGACAAGCTAAAACTTTTCATGCAACAATCACACGCGAATGGCTCATCCTCCCTGTTAGGTCGAGAATATGCATCTACTTGTACTATTATAGCAAGTATACGCCACAAAGTAGTTTGATAAATTAGCTACTTGTCTTTTTTCTTTCTTCGCCACTGCTATGACGAGCGCTCACTATATTTGACAGTGTGGACAATTTCATCTTCATCCCTAATACCATTCCAGTTACCTTACCGATTCATAAAAGAAAAACACATTTTTCCTTCGATGTGTTATAATAACCGAGCATGTATGTGTTTTGTATAGAAGACGATAAAAGAGAACGGTTGTATTGGTAAAATTACTGCTGCCAGCATAATACATTTGTTATATCGCATCAATCGTAAGAGGAATGAGCTAGAAGTAGATACTGTAACGAATGAGAAACGGTGCATATATAGATTTGATCTGTAGGGGAATAATCGATGCATTAACATAAGCGACAGTACATATCGTAATCATTGTAAGTATTTGTAAAAAAAACTGCTTCAATTCGTATTCTCACAGTGTCGTTTTACTATAACTGGCCTTGGTCGACGGCGATGTGTATTCATTGATACTGCCTGTGACAAGGAGGGATAGAGTGTGAGAAAACTGGCACGCTGGCATATATCCACACTCGCCATAAACAAATGTCATCTGGTACCAGGATCTTCTACGAGCAATGAAAACTTCGCATTGCATTGTAATATCCGTTATTTATGGATGCTACCAAACGATTTCTTTATGTTGCATCCATCTGATACAGTACAATGATCCCCCGTTAAGATCACCCTCGAATAAATTCAGCCCTCAGTTGCAGCAGCCCTATTGAAGGGACTTTAGAAGAAAGAAAGCATATAGTTTCTATAAAAACTCGCCCTCACTTTTATTAACCCTCATAAGCTTCAACCTTCTGAGAACCCCCTTTGAGGTTTATCTTAACGGGGGACCGCTGTACATAGAAGAAGAAATAGATAGCTCCTACATAAAGGGCGACATTGCTCTTCATGTATTTTGCATCAGCGACATTATCACCGTACTGTACGTATGACATTACATGCTTTTGAGTATACGTTATGTACATATACTTCTCGGAAACAGGGCACTGCTTCTACAAACTAATCTTGTTGCGGTTCTTGTTTGTATGCAGTCCCGATCTCGGATATTCCATTTAACCAGTGCTGAGGTGGTGCACATAAAATTCGGCTTTATGCCGTTGCTTCCCAATATAGCATGGAGAAAATGTCCTATACCCAAAAGAGATGACCCAACAAATCCAACCGGTAAGCTTTTTTTTTAAAACTTGGTCGTTCCCATACGTATTTTATAGTAATATAGTATCATATTTCAAGTTATAAGTACCCTACTCCAGCAATGTTTCTATCTACTACTGGTGTACTGCTTTCTGCTACTCCTCTACATGACGGGTTTATATATATTTTGTGTATATTCATTGATTTTACAGATGCAAACATACAAACAGAATTTAATAGTCAGTAGTATAGATTCCTAACTTTTTTTAAATTCCTAGCGAAAAGATGATGACAACTGAGAACCTCAGATCTAACTCTAAGTGATGAAAGTATATTATAAAGGATCGTTATTTTACAGTATGCATATTTTTCGGGTGCGCCTTACTGCTTCATGGCTGCTGTGCTTTACATAGCAAGTACGTATGTCGTGCATACACCATTCATATCTTTCTATAAAAAACGACAAGTGATCAAGAGAACAGCAAGAGGAAAAATGAAGAATACAGCAAATGTTAAGAATGCGTATCTACAGCAACAGGCCGCTATATCTACCACCCTTGTTCCTCTTTCATACTTGAAAATCGAATGTACGTACTCACGGCTCAATTTATGCCTACACATACAAGATTTGTTCGTTATTTGGAGCCCGGAAATAGCTCTTTTAGACCATCTCTTATATTACGCTTATGCGACGAGCAATGGGCCAATATCATTTGCCTGCGGCACTCTCTCGTACTACTGCTACCAGAAGACTGTAATGGCACTATATTACAATGAGAGATTCAAAAAAAAATTGACATGCTACCATGTAATCAGCAGGGTGATATAATTTTCGGTCGATTAATGGTCATAATATGCGAATGGTAGCAGTAGCGCGGTAGATAGCCAAGTTACAGAGAGAAAGAAGAAATGAGCTCACCGTCATCAAAACTAGATTATGGTACCAGAAAACCTTCCCACACATAACCTGGCAAACTCTTATATGATCACCAGCATGAATATATCAACCAATTTAACTGATTCGGAATTGGACTTACGAGGGAGGAGCTTTCTTTACGTATCATTGATCTCAAGATAAAGCTATGATGGCAGTGGTGATGGTATCGTGGTGTGGTGAAAGGGTAGCTTTCAATGAACAAAATTTCATATATACGTACTACCCGTTATCTCTCATGATCATCAAAGTTAAAATAGTACCAATGGCGGTTATGCAAAGAAGGAAAAGTTTTCGAGGGATATTTGGGGGTGGTCCGTGAGCACTAATTGGTAGGTTCCAGCCCCGTTCTCGATGTAAACTCTCACAGATAACGGTTGCGCAAAACACACCGTAGTTTATATAGTAAAGGCTGCGTTTGTTGCATTTTCAAGTAGTATTTTGCATCAGCAGTGCCACTGAGAGTCGATTACTTGTTTAGTAACCGTGTATATTCTCAGCCTATTCCGTGTTGCTATAAACACTATGCTTGCTACTATCTGCTGTACCATTTATTGGCTTGAACAACGACGTTTACACAAGAAGATTCCCAATGGAGCTTGAAAGATACACTACTGATAGTAAGTATGATAGACTAATGAAATACCATTACCACCAGCAGCATGCGAAGATTAAATCTAGATAAGCAAACTAGCAACAACAGACAAGTCTTGCCTATATTTGCATTAAGCAAGGCTTATAAATAGACGATCTTGCTAAGTAGCAGTAGTGCTGTATGTACAACACAGATACACTCATACCACAATACACAAAAAAGAAAAGGCCCCGTCCGCTCTCGTCACTCATTCCCATGAGTTGTCAATATAATAAAAGTTTATGTTCAATCCAGAAAGTCGTCGTTGTATAAACCCCCAATGGGCTTTCCCATATGGAGTTATCCAGGGAATGCATCCAAGTTGGCCAGTCTAGTGTTAGTATTGCTACTGATAAGAAAAAGACTGGTGGGGGGTCTCCGCAGATTTGCATGTACTGTAGCAACCCTATTTGTTCTGGCCGCAAAACTTTATTCGTTGCTTGTATCACGCATAATCTCTCTTCACTAATGTGTAAGATGGTATGTTGTTTGAAGCAATTGAACTCAATGACTGGGTTACGTTACTTTGGTCTCCCCCCAAAGATCTCTTTATGAGGAAGAATGTGTGTGGGGTAGAATTCTTTAACGTTTTGCCGTATACACACTTTATCAATTTGTAATCAACAACTATGCTTTTAAAGAGGGTTAGTAATGGGTGCGCATACACAGCGCGAAAATAAAGCGTTGAACAAAACGCCGGATGAAAGATTCCGAGCCAAAAGAAAAAGCGCGAACAGCAAAACTTGTCACTCCCAAAAGAGTACCCGTATCGATTTTTTTTTTAGAATGGATGTCTTTTTATATACTAGCAGCACTTACTCCGCTCTGCCAAAAGACAAGAAGAAAGAAACAGGTTTTCACCAGCTTATGAAGCGAGCGGAAAGGTGAAAAGAAGAAGAAGCTCTTGTATGCGCAAAAGGATGGTCGTTTTTATACAAACTTTGCATCCGCTAACATGTGAAAAAGAATGGTTGCCTTGAGTATGCAAATGCTTCTTTCGGCGGAATTAGCCGGGAATGTGAGTGTGTTCGAAGCCAGAGAAGTGTGGTCTGGTATTAAAGAGCAGCGTGCTCATAGTATTGTTGCTCTTGTGTTCTGCGAAAGGAACCGGGTCCTTTTTTCTCGAGCGTGAGAATAGGCCGCGTGCTAAATAAGGTTGGTTCCGCTTGTGCTCGTCATCCATATTGTATGCGTTTCTCGGAGGTGTGCATGCGGTTTTTAGGAAACGAACGTGGCTGCCATAATTTTGTTACGTGAATATCTATCACGACTGCCAGCCGTCCGTTATTAGTAGCGATGTGACTTTTTGACATAGAAAGAGAAGTTCTGATAATCATGCTGTGCTAGAAAATGGAAGAAGCATCTGTGGTTTCAAATGATATCTGTCGGGCAGCCAGCCACCAAATGCGTCGTTCTGACCAAACCTTCCTCCTTCAAGACTGTTACACTCATATCTTCTGCTCTGCTACTGTGTAGCAGGAGCCACTAGGCAGTATATAGCTTAGCCCGGTTCTTGTTAAATGACCTTTGCAGGGACGGTGGACAGACAGGATAAAAAGATAGAGGGTGACACAGACCGCCAAATGTCGGGATCTCTTTTGCGATCAGACCAACGCGTCGTTACACGTCTTGTTGTTTGGCAACCATTATCAGTCATGGATCAACAATTGGATGGGGATCGCTGGTCTTCATTCCCACACTTTTTTTTATACATCCTTGTCTTTTGCTGTGCTTCTAGGCTTGTCTCTTCCCACCCCCCTTTGAATAATAGCAGGACCGCAATGATAATAAAATTAACGTGCCCCCCCTTTGTTTTCTACTCGCAGCACGTACAGCACTTAGTAAACTCGCCTAAACTATTAGGTAAATACTAGCCCGCTTTACCTATCGGCTAATGCAATTGATACATGTTGGCCGAAACACTCATGTCGCTTTCGACAACAACCCTATATATAGTCAATGACATTTCCGCCCCTTGATATTCAGTCTCACCCAACTTTCCTCCCTGGCCATTTATCTCGCTTCTTCTTCTTCTTTTCTTACTTTCTCTTTTATCTACACGTACACCGCTCGACATGACCGGTAAACAGCAAAAGCAGCAACGTCCATCACCCGATCTTTCGTCATCGCCCACACGTACTATAAGTGATGCTACCAAGATGGGTCTCATGAACGTTGCTCACGGCGACGCTTTGTTTATACCTGAAGCCGATCCTTTCATGACTGATAAATCACCTGTCTTGTCGTCCATGCCATCTCCCATCACCACTTCTTACGACAGTAGCAGCAGCACGCCCTTGACATCCTCGCCAAAATCAACGTTTTTCTTGTCATCCCCGACTTCATCACCTTGCGATAATGGACGACAGCACCAGCACCATCATCATCGGTCATCATCACGTCAATCGTCCATTTCAAACGTAGGATCCCGGTTTTTCATAAGTTTTTCCATCCTGGAAGAAAAAAAGGGGATTTAGAAAATCGTGGCGCTCAATTTTCTTTTTGCTTTTATTGTAGAACAACAACAACAACGGCGACGGCTCGTCAATATCGTGTCACACCAATCTGCTGTTGGACGATGAAACGTATTTCCAGCTATCCGAATACCTTGCTCAAAGCTCCCCTTCTTCTGATTACGACAACAGTACTACGGGCAGTATCGATAGCCACAATCGGTAAATGGACCCTTTCCCCGACTACTCGCTCCAAGCCACCCTCGTAGCCACAGTTGGTTAGAGGAACATGTATGCAGGTTGGAAGAAACAAAATTAAACTGACAATACTTGTTGTTGTTTACTTGTTCTAGCCTATCATTGACGGAATCACCAGCAGCACCAGCAGCAGCACTAAATATGGACGGGTAAAGTGTTACAGAAAATACAAATAAATTTTTGGGAGAGTTTGTGCGCTTTAGTAATAATCAGGATTAACCTTAGTCGTTCTTCGTGTGTTTATAATACTATTAAAGACTTCAGATCCGTGTGATCGGCGCCCCAGACAAGTCGCGCGTGGAAACCCAAACCCGTCTGTGCATCCAATTGTTGACTACGAAGGGAACCAAGGTTTCATCTTGGCCTTATCTCAAGCTGCCAGAGCACCTGTTGGCTCGATCAAGATTAAAGCGCAGTGCACAACGATCATCGTCGTCGTCATCTCCATCGTCGTCAGCGCCAACGTCCCCTTCTTCCTCAACTACGCTGTTAGCCAGTGATGGTCGAACGCTGTTATCGGATGAATCATCCAAAGTAATATATCTCGATGCCAAAGTGGTCTGTGCCAGTCAACCCGACCAGCCCGTTAAAGTGTGCTCCGGTTGTATCCAGCGCGAGGTAAATGCTAAATTTAAACCAAAGCAAACCGTGCTACTATGTGGGGGAGAGGGAGAAGGAGGAGTGAAGGGACCAGAACCTATTTGAAACATGAAGCTTACATAACCCTTATAAATGTGGTCTTTATTTGACAGCGTAAACGAGCGGAAAGATCTAAAAACGGAGCAAATCAGCACAAAAACAACAGCGACCGCCTGCGATTGATTATTGACGATATCCCTGAACAGGATCGTATCTTGCTTTTCAATTGTGGGCCCATGGTCAACTTTAGCTCGGGCGATGCCATTCTCCCCACAAGAATTACGTGCTATTGCCGTCACCATAATGAGAAAGTGGGCTTTTGGTAAGTTAAAGTGACCATCCTTCACTCAACAGCAGTATCATGTCATGTTGACAAAAAATATGGCATTTAGTGTGCAATTTACAATGAAGACCGATAATGGCGATATCATTGCAACGGGAATGTCCCCACCCATTTTAATTACAGACGACCATAAAAGTACTCGCCAAAAGAGCCGCAAGCGAGATAGGAGCGCTTTCGAAACAGCCTCATTACCATCATTATCAATGTCCTCCAGCAACAAAAGCAATAGCACCACCGGCAGTAGCAACACAAACAAACCCGCACGAAGATTGCCTCCACCTGGATTAAGCACAGCAGTGGCTCCCGTGACCCCAGCAACATCCCGCCGAGGGTCCTTAACACTCGCGGCAGCAATGGAGAATATGCCGTCTATGGATGCAGCCGATCCAAGTGATTTTTCTATTCTGGACAATAGCACCACAATTACTACCGCATTTGACTCGTCGTCCTTGCCCACACCCGGTGAGGAGCGTAACCCGTTCGGTAACCCGCTATCTTTCTTTCCGCCTATTACAACTGCAACCGCTGCTACCAGTACCTCCTCTGCTCCCTCACCATCAGCAGTAGCACTTCACCATGCACTAGCACCACCATCCTCATCGACATCGTCAACGACCGCGAGTCCTGTGCTGAACCCGCTCGAGCATCGGCTACTATTACCACCACAACCACCACTACCACCAGCAATGTCGGAGCAATACGTGGCTCCCGAAAACCTGTCCTCAACTCGGACGCCACAGCTCGAGCGCCTTGTCCCTGCACAAGGTCCTACTTATGGTGGATGTGAGGTGACTGTATTGGGAGCCAACTTTTACAGGGGCCTCACGTGCCTCTTTGGTGAGCATCAAGCTACGACCATCTTTTGGAATGCAAACACGCTGGTATGTCTCCTGCCTCCCGCAGCCCACCCGGGACCAGTGGTAGTCTCGTTTAAGCAGCACTCGCTCGTGTTGGACGGCCAGGATGTGCCCCTGTTCACCTACTACGACGCCAACGATCAGGCCCTATTAGAATTGGCGTTGCAAGTCGTCGGGCTGAAGACGACGGGCAAGCTACTAGATGCCAAACAAATTGCGATGCGGATCGTTCAGGGTGGAGACAACAGTCCACTTTATCTACATAACCACAATAATGGTAGCGGCGCTACTAACAATGATGCTGCAGGTACCTCGGATCATGATGCCGAGGATGACGATGACAATACCACTACCACGTTGGAGGACACGGTCATTCAAGCGCTCGATACATATCGAGTCACAACCAATGAACTGCTACATGCGACAAACGACGGCGGTCATACACTGCTTCACCTGGCAGTTTGGATGGGATATACTCGACTGGCTTGCAAAATAGCAATTATGTGTCACGAGGAGGCGCTCAATGTCTGTGACCGGAACGGATATACGCCACTGTCTCTTGCTCGGATCAAGGGAAATACAGCCATCATCCAAGATATTATCCTGGCACGTTCTATGGTCTCCAAGCGCAGGCGCACAACAACATCCGCAGTGAATGATATGATGCTGTTCCCCATCATGCGCCGTTTTTATCCATCGTCCTCACTGCTAGCAGTGTCACAGTCGCAGGCAAATGGCAAGAACAACAAAAAGGTTCAGAATGGCAAGAACTGCTTTGACACCCTTTGGCCATCTACTACGTTTCAAAGCATTAGTATGCTAGCATAGCAGCCTTCACTGCTCGCAGCACGACACATTATTACACATATTGCATTTTTCTTCTTGTTTCTATACATCTCTGACACATTCACACACACGATCATGCCCTCATTCATCATGTATATCACCACTACCATTACCAGCAGCCCACAAAATCCCATGAGCAATAACGACCGGCTACTGAAAACCACAAGCAAGTCATTTGCTGTTGTCGATGATGATACCCCTGCCCCATCTTCTCAACATTTTTGATCAAACAGTACTACTACCACTATTACTACTTTATAAGAAAAATTGTCATTTTGTGTACATACTGAGCCCTTTGTTTTATCAACCCCCACGCACACAAATTCCTACACCAGTCGTTTTTCTTCCATTTTCCATATCAGCTACGCAGGCACTCAGCACGACAACACACGCACACACGCATACATGCATACATTTTAAGTTTTACTTTTGCAATTTTTTTTTATATGCCGTCAAAAAATTCTATATATAAAGCTCAAGTCCTTTTCCAATGTTTCATGCTATCTTTACTTTCTTTCTCTCTTTTATCACTGCAATAACAGCTTCTATATGATTTTAACCACTATTAAGATGTCTCAACCAACAACAGGAACCAATATCCTTCGTAACAAACAGCATAGAAAACAACAGTTGTCCAGCGACCAATATTGTGCTCAATGCAAAAAGTCTTTTACAAGACGACGTGATCGGTCCCGGCATGAAAACTCTGTGCATTTACGACAAGAACGATTTCAATGTAGTCTTTGCACAAAAACATTCACACGTAAAGACTCTAGAGTTCGGCACGAGAATCAATGCAATAAAGCAGCATTTCATTTATCCTCTTCGCCCTCTGGCTCCCCCTCCTTCTCCGCAGCCGGCATCAAGAACAAACAAGAACACCACCATCCATCGCCACCATTATCAATAGGAGGACAGAAGCCATTGCATGTTAGCACCGACAACCATTGTTGTAATGACAGAAGTAGCAGTAGTATAAGCAACAAGGACGACGTCAAGGAACGAATAAAATTGCCACCCATACAACAGAAGATGGAATCGATGGCTACAATGATGGATATCGATGATTATGACAGGAACTCATCTAGTAACAGTACGGAGGGTAATATTTTTACCTATAAAACTGCTGCTACAACTACTCCTAGTAATATGTCCCCACCCATTGGCGACGATAGCCCACCCATGTCAATAAAGTCTTCGTCTTTATGAGAATCATAAAACACTTAATACTGTGTTCACTATAAACTGCCTTTAAAAGTGGAGTAAGGTTTGGGGGCGAGCGGCGGCTTGTTCATTTTTCAAATCCCTTGACAAGAACAAAGCCATAGAGAAAAGAATGTTGCATTTCACATACTGGGCTTAGCTACGTAAATGGCTTATTTTTTCCCGCCTGAAGAAACAAGACACGTTTTTCTGTCCTTCTTCATTTGACACTTTGGGGTTTTAATTTTGTTTGCGTTACATAATAAGCCAGTATCATCATGCCCATTTTTTTTCATTTGGGTGCAGCGCAGCAGAAATACCAAATGCTTGTCGTGGAAGTAACAAAATCAGAGAGTAACAGAACGCTATAAGTACCATTTTTATCATCACTATATGCACCTTGTGCAGCATGTTTTTTTTTCGAATAGATATCGTATGCGTTCTCAAACTTGATTACTGTAAAGGCTGTGGCTGATGATACTGGCGCCGCCGCCGCATGCATATCCCCTAAACCACCCTGCTTCTTTTTCTATGATATAATAGAGTCCTTAAACATCATCGATAACTTCAGGAAATTCGATTGTAAATGGTAGTACATAAACTGTTAAGTTAAAAGCACGTGGTAATAGTGAAACTTCGACAAACGAAAGGGATAGCCGGCAACGCCCGAGTTCTTCAATTGCCTTTATCGCTGCTCTTATTTGCGGCATGGTAATGTAAATAAATATATGTTCTTCTAAAACGGAAACTTTGTTTTTTGTATGACAATGCAGTATGATGTATCAAATCATAGATACAAGAGTGGCGTCGGCACACTAATGATACAAATTGACATAGGATTGGATCAATCATGACAAAGAGTAATTTTGATACTACTACGTATGATAGCTCGATTTCTTCGGTCATCGTTATGATCACCACCTCAATTATCTGTTTTAAGCAAAGAATCTCTTTTTATTATTATAGGTCTCCCATGATTTACAGAGAAAAGTGAGAGCGATGGGGATGTGTTTTGTGTGTGTGGCTACGCATTTTTCAATGTCTTTTTTGGTCATAGGTTGATTAGCACAATTTTTTTTATAAACATGACATTTCTATCAGCAGACCAATGATGTTCCACCCGGAGAATATAGCAATATTGCCTCACATTGAAAAGCTTGGCATTGATGGTGTTATGTATATTAGAGAGGAAAGTATTAGAACTGACTGCGGATTTGAATTGCACGACCGGACGGCGTCGGCGTCGGCGCCGGCAAGAAATAAAGTATGGCAACAAATACACATCAACAAAACCCTCCTTTGCCTATTCTTGATGCTTCTGGTCCTTCACAACCAATAATGACTAGGCAAGCAGAAAAGAAAAGTCGCAGATCTAGAAGATCCAGTCCCCGTCATGAACCCGACCATAACGAGTGGTGTTACTACTGTATAATTGTCATCTAACACATCGTATTTATTTACCGGTATTTTCGTACGTAGGTTCCAACTTTGAAAATTGAAGCTGCGAGTAGGAATATGATTGTGTCCCCTTTGCAGAATACACTATACGGTGCAGTGCTACTTCATTGTTGAGCATTGTATTTATCTTTCAAAGATTTAGGAGCATCCATATTTAAATAATAACATCTTTTCACTTGCTTTTTGTAACGATAATACGTATCCTGTCGCACAATAAGAAGCAAGATGAAGGGTGAAGAGAGTAGCTGTATAGTATCGGCAAAAGAGAGTGAGCGAGTGACGTGTGTATATAGCAACCCCTCATCATCTTATCCTATCTTTCTTAGCATGTTTGTTGCAGCTATGTAGTGAATAGACAACAAGATACTAGTCAATTTTCATCGTGTCTTACCGCCATCCCAATTCATTCAGAGCCACCATGCAACTGCGGCCGCTACTACAAGAGGTGTAACCTGTCAAATAGGCTACTATCTGCTGTTGTAGTCAACTTCGATTCATCCGCCTCGTCGTTCGTGGCAGTTACAATTCCTCACTTTCTTTCTTAACAAAAGATGAAAAGACGCCATCGCGTAGATTCAAGTAACAATATCAAAATAAAAAACAACAATTCAAAGATAGTGAGCTTTCTGATAATAAGTGAATTAATTTTAACTCGTCCCAAAACAAGTGTGTACAGTGGTACTATTGAAGGAGCATCTTCTTGTCAAGGGATTGTTGACTTTTCACCTGTAATTGACATTATAGCAAAAGTGAGAGTCCAGAATGATAGGGTACATGGCTATGAGCTGCTACACGTTCAATTATAAGCGATAACATTGTATTCTGCTCAAAGATGATACACGCATTGTCTGCTACAACACTACCACGATGTTGTTATCTGCGGTGGAGCTGTAAATGCCCGCATTGCGTCGAAGTCCCGGTGACATTATAGAGCGAATCAAATTTGAGATCAATGCCTGCTGTACCTAAAAAAAATGCACACGCGTGTCGAGGGTGCTTGTCACTGTCTTTAGCCTTTTTGGTTTTTTCCTCAACTTACATACACACACACAATGGAGATACCAGCTGATATAAAGTACATTGCACCCTATATTCAACGTGGTCAAGAGCTTAGTGAAAGAGATCCTATCGTTTCTTACTATGGTATTGTCTCGGTCTAACAAAATATACTTTGAACAGTAACAGTAATGGGAACTCCCACTTTTCCTCTTTATCACTTAAGCTCATTTTCCTTATATTTATAGCTCAATATTATGCGGTGAAAATGGCCATTAGCAAAGGTCCGAGTAACAAAGAAACCAATGCGTACTTGTCACAGCTTTTGGATAAATTGGAGCAGGTAATTCTAGGAAAATAGAAGCAACGCATACACACAACCTTTAGCTTGATATGAGGAGAGAGGGGGAAGGAGCCAAGCTTAAGTTCTTATTAAATCTTGGCAGATCATTTATAAATGAGGGAGAATGAGATATTAACATATATTCTTGTTCTACATTAGGTGAAAACAGCCCTTGGCGCCAATAATGAAGCTATCACCAGCGATTTGGTGGGCTATGCACATCTTGAAAACTTTGCACTCAAAGTGTTTCTCAATGCTGACAATGAAGACCGCAGTGGAAAGGCGTCCAAGTAAGTGGATGGGTTGAAGAACTGGATGATGTGTGGAGGAAGGCGAGAGAAAAGGGATGGAAGCACGCGTTAAATGCAAAGGGGTTCTGATTATCGTTTTGCTTTACCAAAGGAAAACCGCCAAGACTTTCTTGGCAGCGTCCATCTTCTTGGAACTTTTGAAAACGTTTGATGATTTAGATCCAGAGGTATGAATAAGTGAAACACGCTGTGTAGGGAACTGGGAAAAGCTGTACTGAAAGACTGGTATGAGCGACAGTAAGAAGTTTCACACAACACATATTTGATAGATCGAGGCAAAGATTAAGTACGCAAAATGGAAGGCTGCTGATATCATGAAGGCCCTCCGGGAAGGTCGTACACCCACACCGGGCGCACCTGGTGAGCAGCAACAAGAAGATGAAGAAATGGCGTTGGATAAAGACATGCCCGCACAACCTCCTGCCTCGATATCCGAATTTCCTAGTCCACCTTCGAACTTTACAGCGCCTTTACCCGGTAATGCTTCTGCTGAACTGCCTCCAAACTTTACGCCTCCGCCACCCGCCTCCGCCACACCATCCTCGCCTGGTCAACCTTCTTCTTCTACTACTATGTCGCAACACCCTTCTCCCCCTCCTGCTGCTACTTCACCGCCCGTCACGCCCAGTAACAGTACGCTTCCACATGTGCCTCCACCCACAACATCTACACCGCCTCCACCTGTCGTACAGCAAAAACAACAACCGCCACCGCCACAACCTGTTGCAGCTCCTGCACCTGTACAAACATCAACATCTGCAGGTACTTCAGATACACCCATGCTCGACCCTGGCAGTGTTGCGGCCGCACAGAAACATGCCAAATGGGCCATCAGTGCTCTTAATTATGACGATATCAAGACAGCCCGCACTCAGTTATTGACAGCGTTGAACGATCTTGGATATAATCAGCAAAATAACTTTGGATACTAAAAGTGGAAGAAGTTCACTAGTAAAAAATTAAATTGGAATGTTTTGGAGGTTGGAGGGAAAAGTTTTATTATTGAGCACGACTGGAAACGGTTTTGCACAATTTGGAAAGGTTATTGGACCATTTCTCCATTGTTTCATATTTCACAGTGTCCGTAGATCTACATATCACACAGATTAACAATAAATCATACATATACCACTTTACGCTATTTATTACTTTACCTTTGCTCAAGTTCAAGTCGTTGGTTGACTTGATCGATTCGACCAGATATCTTTTCATCCAATATCAAAGCTATCAGTAGTTCCTCAACTTCTTCGACCGCGATGTTGAGTTGCTATGGTATTACATTGATGAGGAAAAGGAAGGGTTGGGCGCTAATTAGCCAATTATCTCAGGATGGTGTGCTGTCTTTGGTTGTTTAAGAAGAAATATGATTGTCTATTACCTTTGCCATAAACGCAAGCTCTATCCGAGTATAGGGCTTGATAAGCTTAACGAGAACTTGCTTCCGAATGTTTGCCAGAACATCGTCAATGTAAGCGCGGATAAAAGAGTCACCCATGATGGCTTGACGATTACTTTTCAAGATACGCTCGAATTCCCGGATATCTTTTCTTTGGAAAGCGCTCACTAGGTTAGTCATGGCAACAATTTCTCGATCGTTCTTGTATGGCTTGGTTTCTTGTGAGTCGAACGGGTTGATCTGTGATTCGGTCAACATATTCGCAAGTACCAAATATCTGTTTGTGTAGGCTGACCTTCAGTATATGCTTGAACAGTACAACCTTGGACATATACAAAAATTTGTGTAGGGATCACTTACTTAAGTACTTGAATACGTTGTGGACTTCCAGCTTCATCATAGTTTTTGAAGGATTCGAAGAAATCTGTTTGTGCCATATCCCACTCCTCTGTTTATTTTCAAACAAAAATCATGCTCATAACGCATCAGTACATCCCTACTTGATCTTTGCTAGCAAATATAGATGATTTTGGTTGGAATCAGTCCAAACTTACTTTCACCCATATGCATTTTACCACCACATTCACGGATAACACCCATGATCCGAGGATGTGGAATAGCCGACTTGACATTCAGACATTGTTGATAGAGTTCCTATATAGGATACATCAATTACTTATTTTTTTTTCTTGATACGACAACGTGCCAATATAGACACCGAGCCTTTACAAACCTTTAGTTTCTTGCTGTTTTTTGTTTCTGTGTGCATTTGGATTTCGAGTGCAAGCACTTCAAGAAGATGTGTGCCTTTTCTTTGGTAGTCTGTGCCGTCACCACTCTCACATGCCTTGCGCAACTCGCGTAAGATCTAGAATGTCCCTTTGTTGTCAGTAGCTCAGAGTGGGGGTTTGTTTCCTCATGATAGTATAAGAGAGAGAGAAATAGGAGCATCTTTTTACCTTTTGTAATCGGCCATATTCCTTGCGATCCAGATAAAGTTTGGCCAGTTTTAAATTGGTCTTGACCCACAGACGCTAGATAGGACGGATAGCCGGTGATTAGCTTTCTACTTCCCCATCCCCTAATTTCTCAGTCGAAAATGTAATGTACCTCATTGTTCATCTCCTGCAGCGCATCCAACGAGATCTGATAAAACTGCTCTACAAAGGCCATATTGTCTGAAGTTGACACGTAATCCAAGATATTGCTGATACTTTTTTCGCTATAATTGCGGGTGACAGCCGATTTGGTATACGTAAGAAGTTGCTTGTAGTATTTTAAAGTCTAAACAAGCCAAAAGCCCAAAAAGTTATGAGGCGAATCATCACTTTTGTGCATACGAGGTTCAAGATGATAACACGTACGTCGTCTGGCTTATTCAGATGAAATGATATCTTGGCCATCTGTTTGAGTGATTTAAAGCCCCTAATATCAATGTGTTATACGTGTGTGTCTCAGGCCCAAATTGAAGGTACGTGTGCTTTCTTTGTGTGTGTTTGTGTGAGAGCACATACCAATCCCCTTTTTCTTCCTCAGCATCAACGACACCTTGAAACTCGGTGATTGCGCCCTCGGGATCGTCCTCCTTGCGGGCTAACAACATTTAGAATGAATGTGAGACACATTCATATTAAAGCAATTCCTCGTCTAAATCCATCGTTCCATTCGAATGAGATTTGTCCTTTCTACTCCAGTTTCAACTATACCTTTCGCATTATAATATCGATTTTCTAAGTCGGCATCGGGTTCGTCGTCGTCGTCGTCTTCGTACTCGAAGTCATAATCCTGAAGAGAAAAAGGAATTCCAAGTTCCTTTATTTAGTACCTTTTTCCCCGTCTTTCTCCACTGTTGAAGCTTTCTATACAGTTTCCTTTTTCCTAAACTAGCTACTTGCCCCTTCGTCATCTTCAAGCATAAAATCGTCGTCGCTCATGGTTGGATAGAAAGTGTGGCGCGCAAAAGAATGAAAATGTGAAGGAGGTGTTGTAAGTTCGCGCAGCTTCGCGCAATGCGTCGAATACTTCACGTCCCGACGCACCTGTGGCGGAACGGTCTATTTCAGGTGACAGGGCGGATTTAATATGATTATTCTTTTACGCTCGTCAATAATGTTGAGCGTTTGCAGCTACACGTTCCCAATGCTTTAAATGGCTCTATCTTTGAGATATCTCGAGCAAATGGGAAGACATCGACTCGGCCTTTTTTAATATTAAACGAACCATCATTTAAGCGGACAAAAAGAGCTTTAAATTAAGAGTTGATTTATACGGTTTCGACAAGACAAGCTCAATTGGAAAACTCTTCCAACTTTTAAAAATAAGAGGGCTATGTAGGAGAAAACATCAACCTAGACTATTGCAAATGATCGGTCTTCGCCATACGAAACGCTGCTTTGACACAATCGTTGTTTTGTATTAAAACGGGCCATATATGCGTCTTATCGATGACTTAACACAGTCTTTCGGAAACATGCCATCAATACTAGTAACAGGATATAACTATTGTTGCGCTGCATCCACTGAAGAAGGCTATGTACAAGGTTTGAACGTAGCGATCTCGTTGAAAGGAAACGTTTACCCGCTAAAGTATGCTAGAGTAGCCCAAGGTCGTCTTTAAAACTAGTGCTTCCTTGGATATGTATAGGCTTATGAAGTCGAGGTTTAGGAGGAAGATTCCGAGCCATAGTTTTTCTTAAAGTCAAGTTTTGTAGCTGTTGAGGGTCACCCACATTTTTAAGTTACTAGTATTCTCCTTTGGGTCAGCAATAGCAACCGCAGCAGTTATCAATTTTTCATACCGTTTTCACGATTTCGGTCTCAAGCACTTCAGTCACAACTATTTGACCCGACCGACCGACCGACTGGCATTGTTTCCAGCAGCAGCTAACATAGAAGGGAGAAACTAGCTTTTTCCTCTTGTATCATATTCCCTTTTTTTTTGCCACCATACTTTTTTCTTTTTGCATTTTCGGTAACGCTCAATGTACCATTAAACAATAAAAGAATAAGAGTGCCCAATTGCTAATGCGTTTGCTTGATGCATATACAAATTGTGTTCTGCACGAAACATTTTTTTTCTGTAGTTGCAAAGCTTGTTGTAAAACTATATAAAGCAATGCCCAGCGCAGCGGTGCATGTCATTGCGTCGGACGCAGCAAACAACAACAGCAATAATAATAATAACGAAGACGCGCGCAGTACAAGTAGCACACTTGTTAATGGCGAACGCAACGACAACACGGCAGAACACGATACTACTCGAACAACGACAACTAACGATGAACAACAACGAAGAGCTGTTTCAACAGTACGGCACGGGTTTGACCATGCTGTGTATGAGGATGACGTTCTAAGCTTTTTACACTTTTCTGACAAACGACATGACACCAATGCCAAACCAGATCCAGCTGTGCGAAATGTGTCTCTAGATTGGGTATAGTGTCCTTCTTTCTACGAATAGTTCTTTATACATACATAACTGACTAAACTCGTTTCTTTTTTTCTGTTTGTTTCTTTGTAATATATACCATATATAGCGCTTACGAGAAAGAATTAAAACAGTGTCAGGCATGTATATATATTGTTCAAATGAAGAAAACAGTCAGCGTATTTGCTAAACAGTAATCAAATTATAGGTCTCCTCGTTATCTGTCTGAACATCGGCACAGATCCACCGGATGTCGTCAAGACCAACCCGTGCGCCAAACTTGAATGCTGGATCGACCCATTTTTACTCGTCCCACAAAAGTCACTCGATGCGATCGGCAAACACCTGCACACACAGTATGAAAACATCAACGGACGCACGCGATTCAAAATGTCGCTGGATCCGTCGGTGGAGGAAACGA